GTAAGGAGACAAAGCCGGGCGAAAGTGGTTATAACTCACTTTGCAAAGAAATTGATTTGACGTAGCTCTCGTACTTCCATCATTTAGATACGATAAAATCCTAGCATATATCGGGCGATTTGGACGGTCACGGCTAAGTTTTGGGCTATATGTGCGAATTAGCAAGGAAGAGAGAAGTAAGTATAAAATAAGAGATAGCGAAGAAATGAAACGCATGCATCGTCAAGACCCTTGACGTCGTTATCCTCGATAAAGATTATTAACAGTATCCTCGTCCTTATCACGGTGAGGTCTCCCTCCAGGTCTATCCGATATTGAGGCAGAAGTGTGGATGATTTGATTGGGAGCACGAGAGCAGGAGCGTGAAAGGGATGTTAAGCCATAGCATATCTCGATATTCTTGATCGAAGACCAATAGGCTAGAACAAAATAAGCTTGATTATAAGTTTAATATGTCTTCAACACCATCGTTATCCGCGAAGACCAAGTGCATAGAGAGCTTACGGCGTCCACTTGATCAAAGTGTGTGAACAAATGCCCGTCGATGTCGTGGTTTGAGTCCTTGAGCGGCGACATCTCATGACGAGAGAAGGGGCGTGGGAAGGAAGCGCTAGACACGAGCATTCTGACAGACGTCTACCCGGCGGTACATTGCAGACCGCCTTCGAAGCGTGTTATAAACACGGTCCCAGCGAGACTTGTGGGTGCGGGTCCGGCGCTGAGTCTAAATAACAGGCGTTTGAGTGGCCATAGTCTACTTCCTGACTGCACGGAGATCGTTTGCCCTTATGTCGCGACGTTTCCGTCACGGCACAATGATAAGGTGGGATCCAAGTATAGATCCGGACACACCTACATTATTTATTAGCATTTCTCCTAAGTAACACCGTAAGAAAGCCTGAGAGAATATACGGAAGGGCAGTACAGCTTTGCGATAGGAAATTAAAAACATACAAGGAAACGCGTTATTAGTGCTCTTCGTGTGTGTCCATCCATTATTGCATGGCGAACTGTTGTCGTTTCGTCGGCAATGCTCTAAATCGGCGCGCGTGTTCGCGTAGCGATAAGACCTCTACCTTCGGACATGAAGTTAGAAAGCAAGCTTTGCCGACATTGACACACCGACATTGTGGAAAGAGGTCTCGAGGAGTCGAGTTCGTAACGAGGATAGGGTGCTTGCTATAATGAATTGAGTTGTTGGTATGTCTCCTAGACGTGAAACGGCTTCAAAGTAGAAGTACTATCCCAAGAAGAAGAACAAACGAATCATAAAATACACGAACATTTCCTTTTCGGTACCACCTTGCACTTGCATCCAGCGTCAAAGCTTCGGTCGTCAAAACGACAACGAAATTTTATGGGGTGAGGAGATGCTTTCGCCGTAAAAATCTCACACGAACCTACGGAGGACTCGAGGGACTACCTCTAATTGAAGATGAAGTCGAGGATTCAGAGTTCAGCGATAACAAACTCAAGGCACTCACGGTAGCATTACACTCACGGCCACAAACTTTAATCATCCATGCAAGTAAAGACAGGGCTGAGTGCTTGAAAGTCTGTCGGCGGCTTTCGGAGGAGGAATCTCGGTATCCGATACTGCTAAACCGGGTTAAATATACACCTACGCGTACCTACACTGTCTTATCGGAAGGTCACTTGAGTGTGACACTGACTAACTGTAAGCTTTCCTGACACCCTGAGAAGTTGAGACAACGAAACTCACCCTATGAAGGTCAAGTCACAAGTCGTCGTGTATAATTCTGGCAGAGAGAAAAAAAGTCAAGACGACTATTAGTTGAGAGAGTTCCTCAGGTAAAACATACGTCCTTCTATTTCGGCAGGTTCCCGAGACATACAGTCCGCTTCGACTACGAAACGGTGAGCTTGAAGTTTTTCAGAACCATAGGAGAAGGCGTCTTTCTTCGTATGCATTGGTTTTAGATGATCGTTACCCACAGAGCAATAGGACTGAGTCTTGAAATGTCGAAGCTTGAAGCCTTGAGGCAAAGTATCTGTAGATGAGAGAATTCAGAGCTTATGGATAGCAAATTCGACTTCGATACACACGATAGACATAGTTACGGCCCCCTTTCGTCCGCTCCGTTAAACGTTAACGTCTATCTGGTACACTCTCGTGCAGAGACGATGAAAGCCGCCGGCTTGCCTTTCTCGGTGACCAACTGCGTGGGAGCATGGTCGACACTTTCGGTATCTAGATAACGTCTCAGGGATTGATTGCACCGTAAAGACGCCTACACGTACCTACACAATCGCTTCCGTATGTTGCTCTAATAATACCGCACCACAATTGAATCCGAAGATTCAGTCGCGCAACATATAATTATTGGTGTTCAGGGAGCTGCCCTAGAGAGTCGCTGATGATCAGCGTACAACTAACGGATCGTGAGCATCGGAAGTTAAGAACTCACTGTGCACGCACCTTTACCGTCGGTATGTCCTCGGACATGCAAGGTTGCACCGTTATGAGTGGCAGTCCCGTCGGCAAGTTCAACAGTTTAGCATAGTCTCACCGATACCGGTCCCTCTGTTGTGGTGACATGTCAGAAGCCGTGTTCTTCACTGCATGTAGATCGGTCAAGTGCGCGCTGAGTAGAGATTAAGTATGAGCGATCGAGAAGACGGTGCGTGGTATCGTACATACCTGCGCGATCACTTCGGGAAGAACGAAGACGTTCGGCTTCGAGTAGTAGTGATAACCCCCCTTGAACTTACTGACACTTTGAAGTAGTCTGTTAATGTTCGAAGAGATCTGTTGGGTGATGTTACTCACAATAAAGAGACGTAGTCGGATCCTAAAGCATCAGGTAAACTGTCTCAAAGAAAAGCGGACATTGTGCGTTCCGTAAGATAGTTTAGATCGCAAAAACACGCCGATAGCTACTGCATACAACCTCACGTCGGCCGTGCGCAGCCGTATCTCAATCGCTAGCCGTTAAGGTTTATCGAGTCGTCCGAAACCACCCAAGAATAACCACCGGCTTGATCATTTTTCTCCCTTCTGAGATTCCGAATCGGCGATGGACAAAGGACCTCTGCGTGGCAACAGCGAGCAGATCACAGCCTACGAACGAACTTGGGGACTTATGCGCGTCCCTCGCAAGAAGCCCATCTAGTGGCCTGCAGACGTTCAGAGCCAGTATCTCACGACACGTTAAGGTTCAGAAATAGCAAAAGACCCATAATACACACCTTTACGTCCGTGCTTCCGTTGAACGCTGATATGGACTGATCGAAGGTAATATAGCCATCCTAACGGCTGTCAGCCCTAAATCAGCGTAAAAGTTCCCAATTCAAGAATACACTGCATTCACATACCCATGAACGCAGTTACTTCGGCTGGTTCGACCAACTTTGGGAGGAATAGAAAGTACTTCAAAAACGCATGTCGTCTCTGGGACCACGGAGGTTGAGGAAGTATCGATGCTCCTAACTGCACTATGGTCAGCATCCACGATCTTCAACCAAGCCGTGCGTGTGATGGGGCACAGCGAAACATCTCCGTGCTCGGTGTAGGTTGGTAGCGGTAACTTGAAGGACTCCGAGTCAAACAACGCATATCGTCTCTGGGACCACGGAGTGAGTACCGGCGTTCCCACCAAGCGCCATGTCCATTGCAAATTGCGGACTTTGAAAGCTGCCGGGCAAGCCGCGCGCCATTTCGACGCGGGCCACAGTAAGACTCACTGATTTGGCTGGGTGGCACCTATGTACGAGACCATTGCGCGCTAGGGCAAGGTACACCCCACCATTAAATCTCATCAATTCTACGATATTATTTTACCTACATTTGATTCATTTGGTCGCAACAGAATTCCTTTATTATCTTTGAATGATTTTATATGAGCATATGGCTCGGCGTGTAGCTCGTTCGAGCTGAAATTAGAAAATTCTGTCGCGACCAAATCAAAGAAACATATTTTAGATGATTTTATGCGTGTCTATTTTGAGTGTCGCCCTGCGCGTTGTTGCCTTTGTTGTGTTGCAATGTTCGTAAGTGACAGCCTGCAGCCACTCGGCTAAGGCAGTAAGCGAGACGCGGCACAGCGGAGTTTGAACCAGCCCCCAATGGGTGAGTGCCGGTACTCACACGGAGTTTTCGATATACGGTCAGATCGAGGGAGTATAGATGGACCTTACGGCACTAAGTAGTCCCATAATCAGCATCCAAGATCTTCCGCCAGGCAGCTAAACTTGAATGCCTCTCTCTGTGCTCGACTCGATGGGACCGTGACACGCAGATATACCTGCCGTTTCCATGTTTGTTGGATGATCATTGATCCATGAACTTCGGGTCCTGTATAAGATTGCCATAGCTAGGCATCGTCAGAACTCAGACATCGAGTGGTGGCAGAAAGCAAGAACTTGGACGCGACGACTTCGGAGCCGGAAGACCCTTCGGAAATCTTCGGACGCGTGCCACTGTGTCACCACGCGAGTTTATTCATCACGACATATAATATGATGTCACAACAGTGGTTAAGCATCAGTGGTGTAGCGGTAACATTGGGTCTTCCCATGGCCTAGCTCCGGGTTCGACTCCCGGCTGATGCACCTAACGTGAAATAGCGCTGGTTTATTTTTATTTTACAGTATTGTTTTTGATCTCAAATTTTCTGCTATACTGTAACAACTGACCTCGCAGACACAGTCGCGTCTTGTTTTGTCGTGTCGTGTCGCGTCCTGCGTATGTACATCCATGATGAATTACTTCAGGATTGAACGGCCGTCCCGATGGAAGATGGCAAAGGTTTCACACTTACACCTAGCCATCTTAGTGGGATAGACGTCCGCAACGAACAGTTAAAGCCGCTCCGACTCATCAAACACTGACAACGACGGCTCTCATGACAAACCGCCAAGAACCAGACAGAGTCGAAGGGACCGCACGAACACAAATCGTCTGTAATCGTTCAATCTTTCAAACCAAGCCAAGCTACACCTCTCAATGTAACAGAACAAACAGACGAACAAGCTAGGTAGAGAGAGAGAGGGAGACAAACAGACAAACAATCAAGAACGATGAGATGAGTGGGGACCAAACAAGAAAAAAAACGACAGACGCGAAGGGTAAATGGGTAAAAACGGTAGGTATGTAAGCGGGGGAATGGGTGAGTCGAAACGGGCGCGAAGAGTTCGAAGACGCATACAAATGCGAGGGAATCAGAACAGCAAGACGAACCGAACTAGATAGTGTAAAAGTATATAGTTCACTGTCCGAGTCCAGTCCAGCGAAATACGAGGACGAGGGCTAGCTAGCGTGGCAGAGGAGGGAGAGAGGAAAGGTGGGAGAGGAGAGGAGAGGAGTACAACAGGCTCGTTCGTACTTCTCGAGACTCAAAAGTCCAAAACGTCCACGAATAGGCAGCTATTCAGAAGTCCAGAGACGAACGAACGGAATGAAGATGCAAGAAGAATCAGATGGGGAATGTAGCCGAGCATGAGTACGATCACGACGAGCAATCAGGGATCGTCAACCCGTCCTTGAGCGTACGGCTAAATCACAATCACAAAGCATCAGCGAAACAGGTTCAATATCAGGAGTCGAACAGAGCGAAACAATAACAAAACACGTACTTCGAGGTGAATAATCCCCACCATCCCTCAACGCCACCAAACTCCGCATCCTTCCACGTCTCATCGAAATACTCGAAGAAGAAATACCCGGTGCCGTTCGCGTTGGCCTGGCAGACGAAGTTATCGAGGAAGATCTGGAGGTTATCGACCGTGGCCGTCGACGGGCCGTTGCTCTCGTTACCCGCATCGGACGAGTTCTATACACACGCATACATAATGCATACAGCATCAGCACACATTCCATTCCATTGGTGAAAACTATCAATCAAAGGCAAGTAAAGGTAAAAGAAAACGCACCGTAGGCCACCCCGTCTCCGCAATATACATCTGCGGCGAATTCCCCAAACTCTGCGCAAGCTCCACATCATTCTCCTGGAAAAACTCCCAAGTCCAGCCCGCGCTCTCCTCCACGCTCACATTCGCGAACCACGGATGAACGTTCGCCATCCCGTAGTCCACCGCCGCGAGCACCTTGTCGTTGAAATACGACCCCGCGTCCGCGTTCCCGATGGGAATGGTCACGTCCAGCGAGAGGTTGCCGATCGTCGAGATCGTGTCTTGGATGTTCGCGAGCAGGATCTCGGCGCCTTGGTTGCCGATGTCGCTGTTCGGGTCGGAGCCGCCGCCGTTGGCGCCTAGGTAGCTGTTGTATGGAGAGCAAGTATTATACGGAGAGCAAGCGCGGATGGTCAGGGACCAAAGAGAATAGATTAGGGGAGTGGGAGGAGGACGTACTCGAGGATGAACTCGTTCCCGACGGTGATACCCCCGATATGGTCCGTCCCATAGGTCTGGATAGCTGCCGTGATGAGGTCACGCTGGCGTGTGTAAGCCGTCGAGTCCGTCGCGGAGGGGTAATTCCCGAGCCAGACGGTCATGTTGACCTTCGTCTGCTTGATCGCCTCGAGCTATGTGGACGCATATCGCGTAGAATGATGGACGGGAGCAATAAAGAATCAGATATGTGAGTATCCCGAGCACCTGGACAAAAACATGGTTTGGACGTACGACGAGAGCAGACTGGTTGCAGTCCGCGCCGTAGAGACGGATTCGAGTCGTCAACTGCGACATCAATTGAATATCGGTGATAACATCCTCTACCCAACAAGAAAAAAGCACATCAATACACCATTCCTCAACCCCTCAACCCCCATCTAAACAAAAAGGAAAGGACCACCCACCCAAACTATTCCCACAATCCGGCAACTGGCTCCCCTCGGGCGTATACGCAATCCCATAAAGACTCTGCTTCAACGCATCATTCTTCGTGAACTGGCTCGGATCGTTCGGGTCCGAGTTTGTCGGCGACGAGGACGACGAGGATGAAGAAGAGGTTTTGTTCTTGTTCGCGACGGAGACGCCGACGCCGACGCCGACACCGATGAGGGCGAGGAGTCCGATTATGGAGCCTGCGATCTGTGGTTTGTGGTTGCGGGGACGTGGATTTGAGGATGTGGGGACGTAGATTTAAGGATGAGGGTGTGAGCGGGAGGTGTGGCGTATGTGTGGCGAGGATAGCGTTGACGACCAGGGGACAAGGGACGTTCATCGCATGATGAATCCGATGATGGGCGATGAACCGTGAACGAAAGAATAGAATCCGTCGCGCGAAAAGAATAGAAACAAGGGTGGTGATCAGCACATGAAGCATGATTAATTCAGACTATTTACAGGGCCAGGGCCCAGGGGCGTTATAAATAGACTGCGCAGCTCCCGTCCATAAATCGAACAAAAAAGACGACGAAAATGGGAACTGCGAGCTGGTAGGGCTGCGCAGGTCGCCGTGCATGGATGGGGGAGAGGGGCAGGCGGGGTACGGGGACGGGGCGGGGCGAAAGCGCAGTAGGAAAGACGTAGAGCGGAGTGTTGGTGCTGACTCGGAAGAAGGAACGATGACACCATGGTAGACAGCACCACCGAATCCAAGAGGTGGTGCAAGTGCCATGCAAGAGAAAAAGAGTCAAAGAAGAAGAGACGTACGATCCACTTCGCCTTGGATCCCCTGCCCTTCGTCGGCGTTTCCATCCAATTATTATTCGGCGCGTAACTCTGTCCTCCATTATCGATATTAGCATAATGGTCCATTCTGTTCAATTCTGTAGCTGAGGGTACGGCGGCGGCGGCGACTGCTGGATGTGCGTAGGTTCCGCGGGTAGCTGCGTCTGCGGCGTTAGTTGTTGCTAGTGCTGGTGCTGTTGATGTTGAGAGCGGGGTGCCGATGAAGGACGAGGATGTGTGGTCGGGTGAGGGAGAAGGGTATAGCGTTGAGAGCCTGTGAGGCGGCTAGAGATATGAACAGAGGAGGATGGAGTGAGAAATCCGGGATGTGTGAAAGGGTATACGGTCGGTGTGAGTGCGTCCGTTCAAGGATCACAGAAAAGAGGTGGAACGAGTGACTGTGGAGTGCGATTCGCACAACAAAAACAGCGGAGCGGTACGAAATGATAAACCGGGAAGTGAGAGATGAGAGGAGAGGAGAGGATGAATGTGATGGTCAAGAGAAAAGGCGCCAGGCGAGTCCCAAACGAGTCGAACCGCGGTGGGAAAGCTCGTTTTGAATTGAAAGTGGCACCTGTTGGCACTGGCAACGGACGTTTCTCTCGGCGGGAGGCACCGCGCTGCGGAATCTATGAACGAGCAGACGCTCAAGCGCTCAACTCACCGGCAGCCCACCGTCAAAATAATCTACCAGGTCCGGGTTCGAAGCCGCTGGGCCTCCTCCGTCACGGTAGCGTGGCTCGGGCGTACTGAATGGGTCGTCGCGGTAATGGGACATCGTTTGGTGCGCGATCGTCGAGAAGGAGAGGGTGTTTCGGAAGGGAGGGAGTGAGAGTACGAGGATGAAGGGGTCGTAGCGGTCGTGGACGTCGTCGTGGTTGGAAGGAAAGGGGGATGAGTGCTCTGAGGCGCTGAGAAGAGGGCATGTTTGTTGGATGGGGCAAGGCACCCGCACAGCGTCACAGGGCAAACTGACGCGAGCTTGGAATGATCATCATTGCGGCCGGTTCGAGCCGTTCATTTCCTTCCTTGGCTCCCCGTTCGGCCAGCCCAGGCTAAACGAAACGGTCAATCGAACAACTCGACACTCCGTCTTCTTGGCACCGTAGAGTCGAGCTCGCAATTGCCGAAACGAAATATTTATTGTGCACATATATTCCTCTGACCAGTGTCCAAGGTCCCTTTGCCGTCGCCCTCTCTCAGTTATGCCCTCCTTATCGCTATTCGCACTCGTATTCGGCTCCTTTCATGATACGTACGTACATATCATTACTCTTCACTAAGTATACCACAGTCAAGTAGAAACCCACCCATACGATAAAGATACATGACAGCTTCCTAGGTATCTACCCACCCACCACAGCAAACACAGTCCTATTTCACCCATTCACCCCTTCATCTAAACGGAAAACAAAACAAAACAAAACAAACACCCACACTCATCTACTTAACACAACTCAGAACCCCAAACATCAATCAAGTGTTCGTTCATGGTTCATGATATCGATATCGAGTAAACACGTACGTAGACTATGTAGGTAAGCAGGGTAGGTCGGTAGGTAGGTAAGCAGGTAGGTAGGTAGGTACTAAGTAGTAAACAGTAGACGGTAGACGGTAGACACTAAACACTAAACAGTAGAACAAAGCGAAGAGTCCGATATTGGTACGAGCAAATTCGAATGAGGAAAAGTAAGGGTAAGAAAGAAAGGAACAAGAAATCATCATAGAATAAATAAAACGAACATCAAATCAGAAAAGCACAGAACTCGGAAGTGAGGATGAAAGCGTCGATGTCGTCGGGATCGTGAGCATGACGGGAGCGATAAGTGGCTACAAAGGGTGGCGAGTGGTGAGGGCAGGTAGGCTGGAGACGATCGATCGACGGACGGGCGACATGTAAAAGGGATGCGTAAAAACTCGTGGTTGGGTGGATCGAAGTTGAAAAAAGGTAAGTAGGAAGAGAAAAAAGCGAAGGGTATAAACAGAACCAAAAAGCCACCCATCACCGTCACCACAAACACAACAACAACGATCAAAAAAGACGAGGGAAGAGACAAAGGCTAAAATTCACATACACGATTATTTGGTGATGACAGTGACAGGAAACGAGCAAGGCAAGGAAACGAAAACACGATAACGCAGATGAAAGAAGAGACTCGGGACGAACGGCTGTGCTGTGCTGGTCGAGTGGGTAGACAGGCAGCGCAGGAGTGCAATGTCGAATTATCACGACCCCTGCACAGGTGTTGGTACCCCCTCAATCGGCTGAGGCGGCGCTGCTCCACCTCCAGCTGCCGCCCCTCCCGCCGTCGAATCCTTCCCCACATTCGCACTCCCTACTAGACTCCCCTGAACCGGCGCCCCCACATCCTTCGTCCCCACCGGACTCTTCGCCCCCTTCCCTCTTGAAGAAGACGGCGGAGGCTGCGCGCTGCTCGGTCTCGGTTTCTTCAATACCCTCCCATGTCTCTCATGTTCGTCGTCTGTCACCGCTCCTCTTCCTTCTGTTATTCCCGCACCCGCCGCCGCCGTTGCTGCTGCTGCTGCTGTTGTTCCCGCCGTTGTTGCCGCACCTGCCGCTGCCGTAGTCGCAGCCGCACCCGCGCTAGGCGGCACCCCCCTCTCCGTATGTCCCGACCTCCCCGATCGCGTCGACGGCAGCGTCCGTGACCTCGTAACCCCAATAGGCGATCCTTCACCTCTCGATGGTGCCTCAGCAACAGGCGAAAGATCTTTTGATGATCGTCTCCCTTCAACAACTGCACCCCTAACCCCCTTATCCCGCTCATTCATCGTCCTCCTCCTCGCCACCCTCTTCTGTCCTTGTCCCTGTCCAGTCTCACCAGCGCCTCTCCCACCAACTAGTTTCCACCCCCCAGTCCCCGTCGTCGCCGGACTTCCCTCATCCTCCGAACTCGACACCAAGACCACATCCTCCATATCCTCTCTTGCCCCATATGGCGAGTTATTATGTGCGTGGTAGGGCGAGGAGTGTGCATTTCCTTGTGGGTTCCCGCCCGCGCCCGGATTCGCGGAGTTGGGGTGATAAGGCGAGTTGGAGTAATTCTCAGGCGGGGGCGGAATGTCGAGCATGAACCAGTCCTGGTGCGCGATGAGGAATTCGACGACTTCTTGGGAGAGTTGGTGTTCTTTGGGCGTGAGCTCGTGTTCGGGGTGGGACATGATTCCTGGGCGGAAGATCACCGCGAGGTCTGTTACAGGCCACATTCCAGGTCAGCGCCACACTCACATATACGCCACACAAGCAAAAGGACGGAAAATATGACGACGATGGGTGTGAAAGGGTGCGAAGTGTGAAGAGATGAAAAATAAATAAACAACACGCACTCTGCGCCGTCATGAGATTCTTATCCGCCTTCCTCGCAAACACAGAGAGCAGATCGAGCACATACAACAACAAGTACTGGTTCGCGCGCGGCATGGAGTGAATCAGGCGCTTATAGGTCGCTATCACTTCGTCTTGGTTGTACGGTTTCTTCGCTGTGTGGCGATGCGTCGTGCGAATTTAGTTTTGATATGATGGATGAGGGAAAATGGGATAGGTTGCGTACCTATTGCATTTCGGAACTGCGAGTGCGATGTTGAGTGGGTGTTCTCGATAACTGAGAAAGTAAGAGATGGGACTCACGTCGAAATAGAGATTATAGGGTATCACCGGTTCCTACAACGGGTTTTTGCATTTAAGAAGGGATGACGCGGGCGTTCGTGAAGTTACGGCAGAGAGAGGAAGAGAACACGCACTGGCATCTGGGTAAGGTATCTTCGGAAGACACTGGCGACGTCATGCGCCGTATACTGCTCCTTCTTCCAGTCTAATGATTTTCCGTACTGCTAGCACAAAGACGTATGAGCAAACAAGCCATCCCACAACAGAACTAAAATCGATCTTGGCATGACGTGGGAGGAGTGCGAACAGAACATGGAAGGCGATGGACATGACGGAAGAGAGTGAGAGACGAAACGCACTCGTGGCGGCGACTCAAACAAAGCCTGAAGATCTCGCATACGCTTATTCGACCCGTTGACCCGGAAGGTACCCTCGACCTCGGTTGCTATCTTTGACGATCAGGGGCTGCTAGATAGACCCTCGGACCACGTCATAACCAGTGAGACGCACCATTTTCTTTGAGGAAGAGACCGCTGCAGAACAGAACAGAGACGGAGTCGGTGTGAGCATCCGAGGATAAGTCAACGAATAGAGAAAAGTGGGAGGCAGCGGGAGGCAGTTGAACGGATGGTGTGGCAAAGGCCACAGAGCGGGATGGAGGGCAAAATAACGAGAACATGACGGCAGTAGGAGGATATGACGACGATGGTGCCCCGAGAATGTAGATCACAAAAGGAAAGAAAGAGGACGGACCACTTGGCTACAACAACAGGTATATAACCCCATACATACAGCTCTCCGTTCGAATTTGCCGTCGATATCTGCACACTCGCATACTTCAAGCTCTCCTTCAACGGTTTCCCAAACACAGGGTGTTCCTCCAACCCTGTCCCACCACATTCCAAATCGTGCAATTAGCGCCAGCCGTGTGAGAAAAAGACGGGGAGTACACACCGGACTTGTCGAGGTCGTATCTACTGCCGGGCTGCCCCCCGGCCTTTGATTTCTGCGCCGAGGTGAAGTTCTGCCACCAGGCTCTGAGCGACGCCCTGGTGGGTGGGTGTTGTTCTGCGGTCATGGATCTGGAGGCGGAAGAAGACGCAGAGGGAGGTAGGATCGAGACGTCCTCTGTCGGGCGTCGCTGGGGCGAATGCGGTGCCTGTTCTTGTGCTTGTTCTTGTGCGAGCGGTGACGGCGATGTCTTTGACTTCGTGGGTGTGCGTTTGGGTGGGTATGCGACAGAATGACGAGAAGGTGGATGTGTTTGTGAATATGATTGTGATTGTGGAGGATCAGGAGGACTTGGAGTGGAGTGGTGGTCGGAGGCGGTGGAGGGACGGAAGAGACGGAGGGGGAGCCTGTGCGGGTGCGGAGCGGGCGGGTCGGGGGCCGGATGTTGCGCTGGGCGAGTCGGGGAGCGAGGTCTGGAGTGGTTGCGCCCCCCAAGGAAGCCGAACGTTCGTCGGGGTCGGCTCGAGGCCAGTGCGGCTGAATTCAAGTACGAAAATGTGAAGAGAGAAAGGCAGACGCCGACGCGAGCAACGAGGCTTCACCCGCCGCTCGCCCGCCCCGCTTGGGGCCTCTGACGCACCTTTTCTCTCACGCTCCGGCGCTGGGCCACTTCGCTCGATTTTTTTGTACTTCTGAGCTCCCATCCAGCCGTCGCATACTGGACCATAGTAGGTTACTCTTCTGGCTCCATCGGTCCTCACTGTATCTGACGTTGCTTATTGGGTTCAGCTAGTCGAACTCTCTTGCGCTCGTCTTCAACCCTTTTCTGTTCTCAGCGGCCACGACATCAAGGCCACGACATCAAAAGCATCTGCACCGGGATCCTGTTATATATCTGGTCTAGTTCAGATAAAGTTACAAGACCACAGAAAATCATACATCGATCACGCTCTCGACTCTCGACCGTTCGGTATCGCATGCTTACCGAGTCACGACGACGGCTTCCCCGGATGCTTCCGTCTTACCTCGTTCAACCTTCTTCAACCTTCTCGGCTCTTTTTAGCCATCCATTTTCTCTGGAGATCGCATGCCAACTGACTTTCCCTGAAACGGAATCCCCGTCACCTTGCTAGTATACTGGTTACTGATGCGTCTTCTGTCAAAGGACGCTTGCTGCTTGTTCCAGACGCTTGCTGCTTGCTCAGGACGCTTATAGAGTCTTCAGGACACAACCTGCTTGTTTTAGGACGCTTGCCACCGGGTCGAGGTCCGCTCCTGTACGCGTGTTTGGATCAGTGGGCTGGAAGCCCTATACTATCACTCCAGCAGTGTTCGGTAACGAATTCGCAAAAATATTCCCTACACTTCATATCGAGCTCTGAATAGACAAGATTTGGTACGGACGCTGGCAAACATCCACGCTACCTGTCTCTGAGATTTTACCACTCAAAACTGAGGCCTGTCGTTGAGCGGAACGTTTCCGGTGGTTTTGAGGGGTGTTCGGTAATTTCTCCGCACATTGGTCACGACGAAGTCACCATGCCGAGGCTTCGACATTTTCAACCCCGCTGAAAGCGGTGCTAAACGTGTGGCTCTGCCACGCATTGGAGGGGTGTTCGGTATGTGCGGAGATCGAAATATCTGCCCATTTTGGCAAGCGTGACTTCGATGTCTCGCTCGACGAGGACGACGTTCTGCCATTCAACAACGACGATGGATCTGTGCCATGGAGAAATTGGTAGGCGGTAGACATGATCCATTCCACCTCGTCATGATTTATTCACACAAATCGGAACCGATCCACCAACACAAGAGCAGAATCAGATTTACATAAACACCATTTACCGAAGTGGTATTCCTCAAACCAATTTTCCTCCTGTGCCCGTTGCAGCTTCGAGATTTATTTGAGGCCTCTATGAAGCTACATCAATGACCTGAAAAAAAATCGAAGAGAACCGAGTTGGTATTGGCTGCTCTGTGAGCTAAGTATTACCGAACACCCCTCAATTACCGAACACTTTTGGAGTGATAGTACTTCGAGCACAATCAAGGTCGCCTTCCTCGTGCGGGAACGTGGTATGTGCATTTGGTGAATTTACGCTCCAAGTTCGACCTATGGAGCAAGACGTCACGACGCTCTTGGATTTTCCCCGCGATGCACCATCAACGTGCGGGCTGTCGTGTGGCATCAACGTGCGGGCCGCTATGTGGCATCAACTAGTCTCAAGCAACGCTTTGGGTCCAGCTCTACGGCTCACGCAATGTGCCATCAATTGTGAGCCGCTAAGGATTAGTAGCATCAGTGAGTCGTAGCGGGAACTTTCCCGCTGTTTGTTAACCTGTCTGAATAAGCGTCGCTTTGGGTCCAGCTCTATGGCTCACTCCTGGCTTTTGGTCAACATTAGTTCTATTGCAAGCAAAGGTCTTCATGCCGTATTTTCGACAGATCTCTACCGAACATCTTTTCAGGCGCACACACTTATGCAAATACAGCTATAACTACGGCCTACAAGTTCCCTCAGAACAGCAGAGTGATCGTGGCAACATCTGCCCTCCCCATAACAGACTGTGGTCTGCGGCCCAGCGCTTCCCACCTTTTTCTTTTGCTGAATTCTTCTATAGTTCTCAGACTATATGCTATGGTGGAGTCTTATCAAGATACGCGCTTGTCCAGCCCCTACTCAAGTATACTCGAAAGAGACCAATACTTGGGCTCAGACTTTGCTCGGATGATGGAACGGGGAGGTCACATTGCCACGATTGAACCCACGGATTCTGTAAGTGCACGCACCTCGGATGTCTTTTTTTCAGTTGAAACGACCCTAAAGCAATGTATTAGTATGAGCAAGCATTCTCTAGTACGGTGAGTACTCTCTGACATTGTTATTATACAAGGTCGAGATTCCGGCAACTTCCAAAATTGAGACTAATCTTGTCTTCACGATTACTCAGGCTGAGGTTCACAGTGGACCACCAAGTGTTTTGCCTATCATAGATAGGTGCACTACTCATCACATCCTAGTGAGTTGCTGCACCTCTCCATTGGCCCGAAGCGTTATTTAGTCCAGACGCTGACATATATTTTCCGTATTTCTGAGGCCAATCCCATTGGTGGTGACCATGGCTCTTCATCTCGACCGTCTTCTTCGTCGCGCCCCAAACCTGTCACGTCTATCACTCAAGTACGATTCACACAGAACAGGGGCGCAAACCGATATCCACTGCCGAAGAACCCATATTCCATCTCGTTCCGTGCTCCTGGTCAAGCTCAGAATGGTGTCGTCGCTACTGTACACTGCGACAGCTCCAAAATTGAGCGTGCAGAGGAACTTGTCTTTGTGGACCACGAAACAGGAACCATAAACATACGTTTTCGGCCATCCGTGAGTTGTCTTATCGATATGTACCCTCTTTATTGATATGTCTGTATTGACATGCATCCATTCTTCCTACTCCCCAGGCCGAATTCAAGTCAAAGGGTTGGTCTGACTGGGACGGCACGATCAACGTTAAGAACGGCAAAACGCAAGACGGAAAATACAACCCAATCACGCGTCGACGCCTTTTCGAGCTCATTTCTGGTCGATTCAAGGGATGTATTGAGGGTCGTGTACGTGCTCGGTCCTATCATTGGATCAATATTCTTGTTGTTAGTCCGATGAGAACCAGAACTGACGACAACTGTGTTACGTAGCGCTCCTCCAGGGTTACCAAAACGCCCCTCATCAACCCTTTCCCGACCGAAGTCACGCTCAATCGCATCGAAATTCGTACAATTTACCAAGTATCGCACGGATCGTTCCAGGTCGATATCGGAGTTGTCGAGTAGTGTAAGCGATGCCCCGCTCATTTATGTCGCTGAGGTAGTCGCGGAGAGTGTAAAGATCAGAATAGGCGTGGAACAGTCTCGACTGGAGGTCCCAGCCCTGGAGGAGTTTTCTACATGCGTTTGCTTCGTATATGTAGGACGCGTGCGTGTACCCTAGAGTGGCATGGTAGTTGTCGTGTGGTGCGCTCCCCGCGGATTGCTTGATGCTGAGGTCCCTGGTGCTGCAGCCAATGCATCACAGCAATCTGCACATCACATATCGAGTAGACTTGATCATTATTATCTGCATCGGCGTCGCCGTCTGTATGCTCATTCTCGATTTTCGTAGCCGCATAACTGCTGAACTCTATATAGCCTGCCGGCTTAGGCATCGTCCTCCCTGCATCCGTCAAGAACGCTGCTTAAGGTTCAGCAAAAACTCTCTCACGCTTTCTTTCCGTCACCAAGCCTTGTTTATTCTCAGCCGTCACGACATCAAAAGTATCTGCCAGGGCTGTACCGGGAGTCCTCTATTTATCTAGTCTAGTTAGGATGAAGTTACAAGCCCACAGAAAATTATGCATCGATCACGCTCTCCGACTAGCACCCGGACACTGTCAACTTTAGACCTCCATTTGTGGGCGCGATATATGGAACATCAGCTCTCACATTTGACAATGGCTTTGGAGGAGGTATAAGGTGAAGATAAAACGCAATGCGGTATGCTCCATTAAGGTCCGGTAACTGAATCTCTAGAGAAGATCTAAATGTAGGAGCTGACGATGCATTTATCGGTACGGAAAAGTATAGTATAAATTTGGTCTCCGTCCCAGCTGCGGCTCAAACGGTCATACGGAGTCTCAATCCTGTAACTCGCGGCGGGCGGCAATTAGACCTTGCTGTTTCGGGCGTTCTCCTATTTAACTTTCAGCTCGTTGTACCAGGCTTCATCCGTAGAAGACGAGTGGATTTCAATTCACCAAAGTTTCATGATGGTTCTCATACTTCCCCGGCCCATAGATGACTCTCTGCTCCCCTGATTTCGCTCGCTCTCATGTTCTTCGTACCTACGAAACGTATTTATATTATATGAGAACCTGCGCCATCGATACCACTGAAATACGGGGTATTTTGATGAGAAAATAATACACGCAATAACTTGAACGTATACTATCATCAATGTATTCTGGTCAAGTTCACTTACTCCTTCTGACGGTTCAATGCTAGTATATTGGAGTCACAACAACACGGCGTTTTTAATTGCCTTGAAAGAGACGATGTGAGGGTTACATAAGTATAATAAGGACATTGGGATAGCAGACCCTCTTTTGACGCGCTTTGTCCATTTTCCATCAGGTTCATTTCTCCGATCACCCTAGAAAAATTTACGTATAACTGAATCGATTCGCACGGCAGGAAAAGGAAATGAAGTTTTAGGCAGACATCCCAGCCACGATACCGTCGAAGGCCGGCTTTATGACGAGGTTCTGTGAGATTGGTAGATCAGAATGACTTCGTTCGAGTATGAGTAAGGGTGGTGGTAAACTCACAGAATCCCACGGGCAAGCAGCACCTTGTCCAGAGAAAGTGGATGGCACCCAAGAGTACTTATCCTATGTACACGAATGTGTCAGCTTTATTTGCGTTCATTGTGGCACCTGTAAAGACAGGGAACTCACGGTGTAATCCCAGATCGTCACACCAACACATCCATCCACGGCCTGACACGCCGCAATCACATTCTGATAATCTGTCTTCTGTTGCTCATACAACGCCTCCGTCGCCGGTAACGTCATCCTAATATCCAACTCCGTAATGGCAACCTCAACTCCCAACGCCGTGAACGCTTCCATCTGACTTTGGATCGATGTCGGAACCTGGCCTACGATCAAGTGGCCTTGGAAGCCGATCCCATCGAGAGGGACATCATCTGCAAGCAGAGACTTCACGAGAGAAAGCATGGAGGCGGACTTTCCAGAGGCGTATTCGAGGTTATATTCGTTGATGTACAGCTTGGTGGAGGGATCAGCGGCGCGGGCGGCGGTGAGAACCGTGGGAACATATGTTGTGTTGAGCTCGTTGTAGAATACGTCCGTGCGCCAGGTGCCGTCATCGTTGAAAGGTTCATTGACGATGTCGAAGGAGTCTAGAGCATTGAAGAATTGGTATGAGCAAATCATAGAAGTGATAGTCGAACAGTCACCACGTACAAGTGCCACCCTTGTAGTGTGTGAGGAGCGTCGTGCAATGGTTAACCATGGCACTCTCGAGCTCAGAGGCGGAGAGAGTTCCGCTCGAAACCCAGCTGGGAAGTTGATTGTACCACACACAGTTGTGCCCACGAAGGAGTTGTCCGTTAGCCTGTGCCAGATCCAAGATCGCATCACCAGCCGTGAACGTAAAGGTGCCCTGAGTAGGCTCTGTTGCGTCCTGAAGAACACAGATCCGAGGGGTGTCAGCCAGTAAGCTTGGCCACGGCGAGATGCAAGGATATAATAACGGGATCCACAAGACTACTCACCCACTTCCAGCTGTTTCCAGGTGTGATCTGTCCAAACATCGTGTTGTCACTTAGGATCGCCACATAGGCCGTGTCCGTCAGCTCGGGGTTATCGGTCGCAGAGCCAAAGTAAACTTTTCCATTGCCAGTAGCGAGAGTGTTCAATTTGGCAGTCGAGGTTCCACTAGGGAGGCTGGCGGATCCAGTCGATGTAGACGTAGCACTACCGCTGCTAGCCTCGCCCTGATAAAGCACGCGTAGAGGGAAAGGAAGGTTTGAGTCGAACGATAGTCAAGAACTAGGTATGGAGACATACGGGGATGCATTCTGAGTTTTCGCCATGTACTAGTCGTGAGAATATGAGCTCGGAGGCATGGGACTATACACAGCTCACGTGAATAGTACTAGGAGGACGAGGGAGAAGTCAGCTTGACGATTCAATATGAGAACGAAGATATGTGCATACGTCGTTTGAGTATGCGCAAGTCGAGCCAGCTGCACAGGTAGTAGGTCCGGCTAACAACAAAGCCCGTCACATTAGTCGTCGTCCATAGACCTGCCCAAGAAGACTTACTCCATCCAGTGCCACCACACTATAAAGAAAGAGGATCAGAACGGTCACAATGACCTCATATCAGGTTGAACGTACCTGTCCCCAAACAGCCGACTGAGCTGCCACAAAAGGCGCTGCAATGACAAGGGCCGCAAAAGTTTTGGAAAGCCTCAGCATGATGTCTTGAGCCGAACGAGTGACGCCTCGAAGGAGATGATGCGGGGTGAATGTACACGCCGAGAAAGACGAGTGAATGGGTCACAGTGATAGCTCTGCTCTCCGAGCCCGTTTTATACCGATGGTTTGCCTTCGTTACGGTCAGAAGCATCGCGGCCACACCAGTACCGTCCTTGCTGGCCGAAGTTCGGATGTTCGTCGCTGATTCGAGACACAGGAGGCACAATGCTGGCAGGATTCACATGAGCGAGGGGGAGATTCAGCACTGAGCAGATGGAGGCCGTAGCACATGATCCCTATGAGTGTCAGTCGATGACAATCATGTCCGCCTGATGCGATAGAAGGCTCAGAGGCCTAGTCGTACCTTGGTAGCGAGATGAGACTGTGCACAACGAAACATGTAGTTGATGGAGGATACATGGTGTACTACTCGTTCAGATACTTCTGCAAACAAGCTAGGCGCGGAGTTACAGTCGACATTAGGATAGTCGACCCCAAGTTGTGAAGTACTTTCGACTGGGGCGAAAACTCGGATAAGCAACTGACCACGGCCCGTGAGTGTCATAGAACTGTCTGAATATGGAATGACCATCAAGTCACGTCGAAAGCCATTGAAATTTCTTGCATGCGCTCAGGGATTCTGAGAACGTTGCAAGCTCTCCAGCTAAAAATGCTCCGAAACTCGAGTGACGCATATACGTCAGAACCACGTCCACAGGAATAATCCATGCAGGCTCAGAACTAATGCCGTTTACAGATGGACCAGCCATAGGCAATGTAGACGACGGTGGCGCACAGCAGAATTCGAATACATCCGACGTTTTCACGCTCGTTCAGGCCCGGTGACGCGCCTGCAAAGTCGTGGTAAAATTCACCCATTCGCATGCAACGGACAGTCGGACAGTCGGTAGTGAAGCGATTGCATACACCTACACTGGCAGCAGCAAGATGCTCTCTCATAGTAGAAGGGAGTGGTCGGGGGCATGACAAAGAAAATACCCTGAGGCCTGAAATTGAAACCTCGACAGAAGAAGCAAAAACACAAATTTTTATTGAACACACCGTCGGGACTCGACACTCCAATGTCCCGCTCCTCCGTAGAGCTCCCCCGTAGGATCAAATAATGTTGGTCTCCCACAGCACACTCTCCTCCCTCCCGAGTGCCCTCCCCAATCACGAGCGTCTGCCACAGACGAGCCGGGCGTCGCCTCCTTGAAAGAGAACCCAGTGCAAACGAGAAGAAGAGCGTACTGTGAGCAGACCCACGCCCCGTAGGACGTGTCTGGTTCAATCAAGGGGACTGGAACGCGGACAAGGAGGCTGAGAGAGCTGGCCGAGTCCGAACTTTTATGTCCCCAGGGATTTGTTCTGAAGAAAGAGAGGGCAGCAGAAGGCAAGAAAATTTATACCTGGGCCGATTTGGGATTCAGTTCCCACGATCGAGTGGCGAGAGCCGACAAACTATGGCGCCACGAGTATTTCTTTGTAGAAATGGACCTCTTGAGGGCGAAATCTTTCCAGATTTTCTTATAAATGGGATATTATGCTAAACGTGGTTGTGTTTGACCACCTGAACACAGTATGGAACAAGGCAGCATTTCCTACAACCCATGGTCATGTCCAATGTGACTCCCTGCATACCCACCCATCTCACACGCCTGGGAATGATCGTGAACACCACTGCCAAACACCACCTCCCTTTTACTGCTCGTGCTATTCGTCGGATCCGTGCAAATTGTCCCGCCACGCGCAGCCGAGGCCTCACGGACGCAACCGTTGGGACAAGAAGCGCTGTCGTTATATTGCCTGGTGATATCGCTATGTGTCAACGACAACGAACGAGAAGAGGAAGAGATGGAGCTGGAAGTATGAAGACATATATACCACGCAAACAGAGGATCAGTCTCGTTGATAAGGATCTGACCTATGGCGAGGGTCTGTGCACCGGGGAGGATGCGGGAATATTGGAATACGTCCCAAGACGAGAGAGTCATCACTCCCTGTTCGACATATACAGGACCATTCAGTGTCCAAAGCTGATGAAATCCTGGAGCATAGGGACATACCCAACCGGCCTCGTAGTTATGTTTGATCGTCGTGCCATAGACATACCTGACGAGTATGGAAGACGGCCTGAGCATCGCGAAAAGGTTGAAAGAGAGAAGGCTTACTCTTTGAACCCGGCCCATCTAATCGCACTCGCGCACATCGGGCAACTCTCCGCATTTGTGTAAAGCGACAATTCTCCCCAGGCTGCATATCTATTGAGAAATCAATCTCAGCCTCACCACCTAATATCATCCACGAAGGTAGAGGAATCGAGCTTTTGAAGGACTCACATCTCAGTCGAAGTCATGTTTTTATCCACGAACACCTTCGTACATGCTTGAATGGCCGAAATCTCTCCGTGAAGCGTCGGATCGCCAGTCCTGTCATTCGCACCTACGCAAACGACCTCGTCGCTAGAAAACCCAAGACCGTGGTGCCACACACATCACGTCGCCAAAACGCCACACAGAATCTAAGTCAGCCCCTATCCCACAAAGAATCCACTTTTTCACTCAAGTTCCAGTATCGAGTCGCCCTCGAGCCCAGTAGAACAGCGTGGAAAGTCCAAGATTCTGATATAGGCAGAACAGGATGGGATTGAATCGAGGGAGAAGGAAAGACGTACGCCGTGTGGTTCACGATCATCGCCCCGAACGACGCGAAAGGACAGACACTCCCCGCCTGCTCATACAGCTTCTCATTGACCAGTCTCATATACTTCTCCCGCACATCAGCGGTGATCCCGTTCAGCTTCAAGCCAGAAGAGTTATAATCGTCATTCGCTACTATGTCTGCGCCGACTGCAGCGAGTAACGAGAGAGGGACCAGGATAGACACGAGAGAAGGAAAATGCATGAGGATTCGTGAGGCCGCGAGGATGTACTGATAGTAAAACCAAAGGAGACGAGTCGAGAGAGAGGTCAAGGCAGACGCGACTGGAGTCGAACGAGCAAGCGAACGCGATCCACAGCTGCTTCATATATACTCGAATTTCTTATCAGCAGTATTTGTCCCTCGAGAGCGCACGGTCTAGGAACGTCGGCTGTCGATAAGAAAAAAGATCCGAAATACGGATGATGCGTCCTTCGCCTTCCGTTGGACCCTCGGAGCTGGATGTGCTCGAAGACATGTCCAAAGTGCCTAGATTTGAAGAGATGGAATCATTGTTGTTCAGTAAATTCATGTAAGGTCCGTCTAGGTGCCTGCAGAAGTATCTCGAGCCCGTGTAACCCTACATATATTCGCGCCTCATAAGTGGTTTCCCAACACACCTGTGTACCACTCTAAGAGTCGTACACAATGATCTTGTCCAAATCTCCTGCATAGTCTAACACAACCCATCAAGGTCAGTGAAGCAGATACACGAGCGAAGCAAGGTTAAGGCAAAGAACTCACTAGATTGGTTCGCTCCGAAAGTGATCGTATTGCTTCCCTCATTCAAGTTCAATAACACCGGAACACTGATCACAACGCTTCCTCCTCCAGAGTCAGGCTGGTCGACGAGCGTGGTCGCACCACCGTTCACGCTGCGCGCGTATCATTGCATTCAATTTTCAGATTCGAGGGATCATTCATGAAAAGTTTGGAGAACAACACGACGCACCTGACTGTAGTGTTCCTGTACGTCGAGTCTCCGTTTGAGTAGTAAAGGGCCACCCACTGACTCGTGCCAGCTCCTTGGACGGTGATTGTCACTGTACCGCCGTTACCTATTGGGTATACAGCAACCAGTTTACAGTGTGATGGTCAATTAGCCCATGGTCAAAGGGAGATAGGAGCAGAACGTACCAAGGAAACCAACAGTCTGCCCACCAGAGAACGCCGAGCTGGACGAAAGGACTGCCGAACCGCCCAATGTCCCATCTTCAGCCTCGTACGACGTGCCATTCACGACCGTCCAAGTCCCTACACAGAATCATAACCCATTATACATCAGTCCCACTCCCCTCTCATAAACCTTCAGCATTGTGGACAAGGCAACCGAGACATCGTCTCCAACAAGATACACAATGCACAAAGAAAATCGCTCACCAGCGTCCAAATTCACCGTCCACACATCCGCATGTATGACTTCCGGACTTCCACTGCTCCAATCGAGGGGATACCAGATATACCGACTGCTTCCCAACAGATTCGACCGCCACCGATCTCCCATGTATATCGCGTTGGTGCCGAGGGGCAGGTCGTATGCGTTTTGGGAGTACCACGTTCGGGTGGATTCAGGGGCGATGTCGGCTTCGGTGGACCAGGTGCCGGTGAGGGACTGTGAAAAGAGGAAGGGGGTCAGAAACGATCGAAGGGTTGTGCGGGGAGCGCATCAGGGAGAGGGTAAGGGTGCAGAGGAATATGACGTACGGATGAAGTGAAGAATTTATTCGGATTGGGCGCCCAGCCACTTGTATGCGATCCAAATAGGTAGTATACACCATCTCTCTTCACAACGCCAGGAGCCTCCAGACTCGCGCCTACACAAGTGAGTGGTCATTGAATAAACCGACTGGCATGAGCTCTACGTCAGCGACTGTAACAGAACGCACAAGAACGAACCTGCGATCTCGGAGGCCACACTCGTTATGTTGTAATAATCATCGTCTAGTAGCCCGACCTTGAAGTCGACATTGTTGTCCGAGGCGTAGAGCAGGTAAGCAGTTCCGTCATCTACAGTGCCACATATTCGAGTGAGTAAATGAAGCTCGAGAGATTGACGTGGGTAGAAGGAAGTAGCGTACCATCCTGGAACAGTCCCATGTCCCTCGAATCAGCACCGAGAGGCTTCCAGCTTGATTTATAGGTGTATGGTCCGCAGGGCGTTGAGGCTGTGGCGACGCCAACCATAGCGTACCCGTAGCTGTTGACCACCCACAACAAAAAAAAATATGAGTAAGAGTTATAGTTGAGATATATAGTAGCAGAAGAAATGGACTTACTTGCTCGAATCAGAATGGAACCACATCACATATTCGTCGTTCTGTGATACCGTGTATTTGGCATATATAAAAAGGTGCAATGAGATACGGAGGGCCACAAACCTTCGAGTTGAAAATCACTGGGGCATCAAGCTTTGTAAGTACAATCTAGAAGCATATCGCAAACGGACGTACCTTTAGGCCTCTCGACAATGTTGTTCGACGAGATATTCGTCCCCGCGACGGGCGATAAAGCGTCCGGTTGTCGTGTCCAAGTCGTCAGATCCGGCGACTACCATTTTGGACTAGCATGAGTGTCGAGATACAAGAGTCTGGAATACGCTGGGGGAGCTTACAGTGTAACACGAGACGGCATGAAATAGCGCGCTATTAGCCGTCTTGTCTTCCCCGAACCAGTAGTAAGTACTGTCGACCTTCACAAACCACACATATCAGTCCATCTCCAGGATAACAGAGGTTTGAAAGCGCGTTTTGACCTACCTTGAGGATCCCAGCACCATGCCCCTGTATGACATTCCCGTCCGTATCGGTCCACGCCGCACCAGACACGATATCCGCTGTATTGGCAGCTCGTACAGGCGAGACTGCCAGCAGGCCTAGGGCTGGTACAATCAGCGAGAATAGTCCGAACATCTTGCTCGGTTTCCGAAATCCGTAGCACAATAGGAGGAGCGATAGAACTCAAAGTCCCAACTCGCGTCCAGGGTGCTCACAGTCCGCTTTTATAGACGTCCGATGCGTCACCCACGGAAGAGGCACGGAGGCACGAACGAAGCAGGTTACGAGCGCATGTTGTAGTGTTCCATGTGCTTCGAGAAGAGGCTCGACGCCGACGATCTCTTGGATAGAGTACAGACTAGGAGCACAGGAGTCCAGAGGAGTCTGAGGTCGTCACCAGCCTACGATGATCGTCCCGGTTGACAGTCACGATGGAGAGAAACAAGTATTATGAAGTAAAGTCTCGCGTGGCGTCAGATGGGTTTCTGTGAGGAATAGGAGAAGAACGCAGGGCGTAACGGAAACCTCATGATAAGTCACGGAGACCAAGAGCTCGTGGCATCGACTAAGAGTCAGGATGAACCTCTGGAAGGTGACCATGGCTGGTGCGAACGGAGGGCCGTTTGGAGAATCATGCACAGAGTAAGGCCGGAGGTTTTGGAGAAGAGGCGCCGCCACGGGCCGCTGCTCCTTGCTGAGCTGGCGTAGTATATCGTGGACCATATGAAGCGAGGAGCATAGCCCTCTGCTCCTTGAGCAGACGTCTGTAAATACGAGTGCAAGAAACTAGATAGAGGATCAAGGCAACGAAAACGCTCGGAGTTACGAACCGTAAGACAACTAAGGTCGGATAGGTATAAGTCGGGCGGCTTGATTGGCATGAAACAAGCGAGACGAAAGCTATACTGGAAACGAGAGGCGGTATGAGCAACACAGGCCAGTGTCAATGCCAGTGTCTATGCCAGTGGTTTGAGAGACAAATGTAACCAGAACGCCCACTCCCGTGATGGACGCTTGAAACCAGGGAGCTTGTTCGGTCTTGAAACGTTCAAGGACGCTCTGCATTCAAGGTGTAGTGACCCATTCAGGACAAGAAGAGAAGATACTGCTCGAGAGTGACGATTGGGACCGCGGTGGTTCCATGAGTATGCCCCCAAACTCATCAATTGATGTTCTCATCCTAGAGGTTCCACCTCACTCCATGTGCGAGTGCCAGTACCCTTGTCGGTCCTTGACAGGATGAGTTCAGAGTGAATGGGTTTTGACAGTAAATGTCAGAATCTTTATTCAAGCCTAGTCAAGCATTGGATGCCTGTCCGTAACGTTTCTACATCGTTACGGACAGGCATCCATTGCTACAGAAAAACAAACAGAGGACGAGACGGCGAGGAATAGCAAAAGCCGATTACGAACAAGAGATGGGTCAAACCCTGAAAACGGGCCATCGTCTTCCTGCGGCGCCGGAGGCGGTGTGGCGCGTGGCGGACAATTACCGGATTAGGTGAGTTCCATGATGAAAAACGACTGCGAGCGATGCGAGTGACGTCACTCCGCAACCCTCGCCCCGTTGTTTTGGCCTCACTCCAAAACCATCGGGCGGGTGTGGATAGGCATGGTTCTTCGTGTCAGCGCTGCTAAATGTGAAACAGGTAGAAAACAAAACTTACGTCGTCCGAAGAACTGTTACGCACTCGTCCCTCCTTCTCCACATCCACGTCCTCGTCGTCCTCACCCTCCCCGTCGTTGCCCCCGACGAGCAGCCTGTCCTTCGCCACAGTAAGAACCTAGAGACTAATCGGCATGGCCATCTTCTCGCACAATCGGCATCATTGGGCTTACGTGTGGATTCCCGCCGTTGGTTCAATCGTTTGGTGTGGTGCGCCTCTCAATTACAACCATTTGGAGCATGTTCTTTGTGCCTAACCTCATCCGTATTTACAGGAACGTTGCTTGCAATGATAGTCACATGGGCTGCTCAAGGCAAACCCATTTATGTCTCGGAGGACGGCACAATACCGTACATCTCAGATATCGGCGCAGACATCCTCAAGCCGTTGTTCATCGTCGGGTGCTCATTCAACGGGGTGTCTCTTGTCCTAGCCCTTACAATTGAACGTATCCTTAGGCATCGTGGACGGTATGCCCTCATTATTTTCCCAACATGCGAACTTGGTGGTTGACGTTGGTGTGTGGCGCGCCACAGATTGGTACCCTCCATGCGCAAACGTGAAGCAGCATTCTCCTACCTCGCCATACTCGGCAGCATTATCGGCGGAGCAGGTGTCATTCTCCTTTCTATATTTGATACCAAGAGACACCCTTCCCTTCACCGAGGTTTCCTGCTTATGTTCCTCGTCGGCGTCGTCATCAGCGCTTTCTTCACGATCGGCGAGGTGTGTATATCTGTCCTTTCTGCTTGAACTCTCCATCTCGTCGCCTTGTTCTGTCACTGACGACGAAGCATCGCTATTTGTTCAGTATATGTGGCTCAGCAAGGACTACCCAATGTATGACAACCTCAAGAAGGCATACATAGCGAAAGCTATCATCACCACAATTCTCGTAGTTTGCGCTATCGTGTTCGGTATCACGCTTTACACGGACGGGAACGTCGGAGGTACGCACTAATTCTTTTCGAGCTGCTATACCTTCCTCTAATTCGTTTTGCTGCTCCTCTTCCTCTTACTTACCGACATGTTTTGTGTTACAGGCATCTTCGAGTGGATAATCGCTTTTGGCTACACGTTCTATCTCCTCTCTTTCGCGTACGATCTCCGCCTGTCAAAGGGCGCACATAGAGGACAGTTCTCACACGAGCAGCTCATGTTGGAGAGGGAGAGGCATCAAATGGCGCAGGTCTAACACTGTTCGACAAACTTAATGCTTCATCCCTCCATCTTTGTATTGTTCCTGGCTTTCAACGCTTTCTCTGCTGTATGGTGCGTCTGCATTAGTCCAATCGTTTTCATCGGTCCCTTGAAACTGACCCGAGCGAATGTTCCGTATAGATTAGATGAATCCTTTCACCCATACCGCCACCATCGCCCTTTTTTATTATATTGGCTTCACGATCTAGACTTTGAACCGCACTCCTTATCTGCATTTCACGACTTCACAAAAGCATTGACAGTCATACACACGACTTTCGTTCTCATCGGGACGCTTGAGCACTTGACATTCTCTTGGTGTAACTATACATTTACGGCCTCTTACTTTACTACCCAAGTAATAGTAACGCATCGGACGAATAATCGAAGCACATTTCCTGCTCGTCCACAGGCAAGTTGTGATTCTCGGCTGCATCAAGTCGGACCTTTCTACCTCCAACACGACCCTGGACCTCCTCTTGCTTCTTTGCGTCACTCAATGCAACTCTCTGAACTTCGCAGACGCACCGATGTTCGCTCTGTCAGTGCCGTGGCCGGTGATAGTATAGCAGCCGCTACGGTTGGATTGAGGGTTGAGCTGGACTTGGGTGGAGACTGGACACTTCCATTCAAGTCTGTAAGAAGTAAACTGCGAACGCACTGAGAGCACAGCGCAATCGACAGAGATGGAAGTTTCTAGGAGCACAAGCAGAAAGATGGAGGATGTGCATTATACCGTATATACCGCTAATGAGATTCGTTTTGCGGTCTTGAAGATGAGAGTATCAATTAGGAGGAAGGAGGAGGAAGGGGCCACACTCTGCGCCACGCCGCCCCGGGAGAAGGAACAGAATGATTTGCAATTCAGGTCGCTCTCGGTGATCGTCATGCCAAGACTTTGTATGTTGCTGCAACCGCACAACGGCTTCCTCGACCTTTTTGGTTGTCTGCTCGATACCAACATAGTCATCGAGTCAAATAGTCATGCAAGACGAAGACGACATTGGACTAGCCTTTGCTTCAAAACGAACATCCACCACATCACTCGCCCTAACACGCACAAGCACACCGATATCAGAAGCAGGCTCAACGTCCAACCTTTCTATCCGGACCATGAACGACGCGACTCCTCGAGAGCAAAGACATCTGTCACTACCTCGGTCGCCTTCATCTCCAGATGTGACTACTATTTCCCTTCCGATGGCAGTAACACCGACAAGGACAGTCTCGCGGTCGAAGACATTGCATGCGAGCGCTGGGAGGTCATTGCAGGCGAGTACGAGTGTGAATACCAGTACCAGCATACCGACACTGGACGGTGTGGAGTTTGAGGAGGCCAAATTGGGAGCGTTGAGGAAGTGGATCCTCGGGATAGCAATAGGTTCGTACGATGCAGGACTTTGCTCCTGTACAATGCAAGCTAATCCAGATCATGCAACTCAAAAGTCAATTTCGACCTTGAACTCGGGCCCTCCTTGACCTGCGTATTTCCACCAATTCCTCTATACCCCTTTGAGGCAGAGAACATGTCAGTCGCGTTCCCGTCCTCGCCTCCATAATCGCATAGAGCCTGTACGTATTAAACCACTCTGTTATTTTGATAGTGCGTTCTCTGCGTTTCCTGACTCGCCTCAGTTCGCGGAAGGTTCTCAGATCCATTCGTTCCGGATTTCTGAACAACGAGGAAGCTCGAGCTCGAGTTCTACCAAGGCGCCACAATCTCGGAGTAGTGGCGTTGGAGAGAGACCGCCATCGACGGACGGATTTTTATATGGGTTCTCTCATTTCACTCAGCGGAGGGATTCGACTGTGAAGCGCGGATATGAGCAGGTACGTATCTCCTTATCCCAGATGTGAATGCCAATGTTGCTGAGAATGTATCCGAATGTACAGCGTTCGGTGGTTATCTTGACACACCACCCATACCCCGCTCTGTTCATGAGCGTGCTCTCCAAACTCGGACCACTACATCAACTCCACGGTGACGCAATACTCGAGGTCGCATGCCATAATATCCTGAGTTGGTAGGTCGCCACACTGCCTTCACTCGCGAGGTCATGGGCAAGCCCACTCACTCTACCTGGTGGGAAGAACAGGTCGGCACCCACACCTGGCAAGGTCGTTGAACTAGGATTTCTGGGCTCAGTCTTACATGTTCAGCTCCCTGAAAACCTGGACGAGCAACAGCTCAATGGACTGATCACTACTCGAATCGTACAGACTGACCCCGACCTTCACGTACGTTCCTCCTCCCTCCCCATCACCTTCCCCTCATATTGATCGTATCCTCTTTTCGTCAATATAATCTAGATTCTCGCATCCGCACCTCCCCCGAATCCACTGCCATTACTGCTTTTCGAGGCTTCGTTGTCTCATTTGTGGTCGATATGGGAGTGCCTCGTGCTCTGTGAGCCGATCTTGATTTTTGGGAGCTCGCCGGCGATGACGAGCCAGGCGGTGTGGTGGCTGAGGGATTTGTTTCGACCGGTTCGTCTATTCTCTGATCTCCATGCTTCACGTGTCGAGTGGCAAAGGACGTGCCACACTTAGCCCTCGCGGTATGTCATTCTAGTATGCAGGAGCTAATGGTGGCATTATGTGGATCTACACAGATACCTTGGGTCGGCGACTTCCGACCCTTCTTCACGATCCATGATAAGGACCACTCGATTCTCGTAAACGAGAAACAACCAAAAGCCGGGTTGTTGTTAGGTGTGACGAACCCGTTCTTTGAGAGAGCCTGTAAGCATTGGCCGCATGTGTTATCGTTAGGCAAGGCACGGTACGTCCTCTTCTCTTTTCCTGAGTCGAACACCTTTTGATGGTCCAGGACTGATTCAATCTGGATATACAGACCTAAGAGCCTGAAGGACCTCTCAACATCTGGCGGGAACACGGCTGTCACTGGGCCACCACCGGGATGGAAGACGAAAACGCACAAACGGTACATTTCGAAGGATAAGATCCTATTCGTGCAGATGGAAGATGCGCTAAGGGGTGGATCGCAAACTAGTGAGCGCTCTGTCTTCCCCTCACATTTTCCCATCTCCTTGTAATATACCATGGTCATTACTGACATTGATCGTACGTGGGCTTGAACAGTGCTCACAGCCTCAAACGACCTCCGACGCCATTTTTCCGCAAGGACATCCGAATTGCTCGTCCCGTTAAACCGATACCTCAATACTCTCATCCCGTCGCCTTCCGAGACGATTCGCCATCACGCTCAATACGAGACACTGCAGCAGATGACCTTCGTTCGTGCGCCTTCACCGTCCTCGGAGTCAGTCTTGAGTTCGACTTCGACGGCGACCACAGCTTTGGCGGCTACATCACCCTCGCACTCCCCAATGACGGGATTCTCGGCCTCTCCAGCGTCCCAGCCGACAGCGCATTCCAACCAGTTGCATCCGCACCAGGAAAGCTCGTCTGCACAATCGACATCGAATCTCTCCTCATCTTTGTCAAGGCTCTCGACCTCACCATCATCCTCAGCTTCATCCCGACCTGCTTCTTCTCACATCCTCGCTTCTTCATCCTCCCCTTCTATCCACCCTCCTACACGCTCTCCCTCACTTCCACCGACCCAACGCCCCCTTCGATTGAAGCCCTTTTCCCAACATGCGTTCCTCTCTTCCCTCAAGACGCACGGTTCACCGTTACCATTTAGGAGTAAGGCGAAGGAGAGGGAGTTTTATGAGCGGTGGTTGAGGACGCCGGCGTTTGGGATGTGGTTGGCGAGGCAGGAGGAGGTCGTGGAGAAGGTTTTGAGGGAGAGGGGTGGAGGTTAGCGAATGACGGAGAGGGATAGTGGGTATCGCAGGGATGAGAGAGATGAAGCATCCATTCGGACGTGTGGACTGGAGGTGAGAAGTCGGAAGGCCGTGAGGCCAGGAAGGAGAGGAAGAAAGAGGGAGGGCAAGGAAGAGGCAGTATGGAAATGAGTGATCGGTAGTTGGTCGATCAATTGAAGCAGTTGGTTTTGTACATCCGAGTGGATGTAATTAAATCATCTTACGGATGGAAAGAACGTCTGAGATTGTTTTTGCCATTGCGCTGTCGCTTTCGAATGTATGTATGGGGACTGTTGTCTCAAGGTTGGGCGGAAAGGTGAGCCTCGTTTCTATTGTACACTTTTAGTTGATCTCATACCCTGCACTCTATAGCAATCAGCTACGCTAGTACTTGCCGCAATACTTCATGTACAAAAGTCACAAGAGAAACTCCATTTTGCGTAGGCCACATCGTCATCTGCGCCACATCCTACATCGTCTGTGAAATAACGCCATGTTTGGCTTTCGACTCGGTCAGTTCGAATTGCGCCATAGGTCACCGGTCAAGGTTCAAGGTTCAACGTCCATTCAACCTTGAGTCTCGCTGCTCATCGCTCATCATTGGGCTGTTTCTGCCTTTGAAGACGTCAGAACATTCGGCTCCCCGCGTCCGTCGTACTCACGTCAATGACTATTCTTGTGGATCAGGGGTCTGAAGCCTGTACGTCGAGCTTGCAGTCAGCCGATACCGCAGAACCGTCATCGCAAACTTTGAATTCGACGGGCACGACGACGTCGATAAGCAGAACACTTTGCTAGAAGGCTCTGCCCCTACATTGACTGTGCTCTACTGACCGATAGCATGCCAGCAGTTACCTTTCCATCTGTCCCTCGCTGGACACCGGCACCTCCGACCAGTGAATCGCATACGTCATCACTTCTTTCATTCGCTGCTATAGGCATTGCACGTCAATCTGATCATCTCGCTCACTGTCCAGTCGAATGGGCCGACCTCGAGATCATAGACCTCGCGAAGGCTAAATCCTCTCCTGAAGCCAGAGCGGAGCAGGTCATCAAGGCCCGCGACGCGATGCATAAACAAGGATTCTTCTATGTCGTGAACTATGGATTGGCAAAGCCCCAGGTCGAGCGGATCTTCGCTGTCGCTGCGGTGCCGTTTGAAGGAGTGAGTCCGGAGGAGAAAAAGGCGTTTGAAGCCGACATCAAGGGCACGGGAGAGTTCATGGGGTATAAGCCCTTGCAGTATTGGGTCAGTTTCATTAGTCTGCAATTGTGTGAGTTTAATGTGAACGGTTGGTACGGCGGCTGTCGTTTGGGCGTGGAATTTCTAGCATATTGCGAATGGGGTGAGGGACCGGATGGAGCACTACAACGGTAAGTCCCCTTATAGGTGGCGTCTCAAAGTGGCAGCGCGCTGAAAACATCCTTGCTCGTTGTAGTGAACCGTAACGTCAACTATAAACAACACCCAAGCCCTCTTCAGCCCCTGTTACCCGAGATCCAGGACTTTATCAAGTTCAATCACGAAGAAGTTGTGCATGAAATTGAGAGGTGCATCCAATCCAATCACTGCTCGTTAGTGAGTCGAGCCTTATGAATTTACAGACTACTCTCCCTGGGACTGGAGCTTCCGGAGGACGAGTTGGTGGGAATAACGAACTACGAGGACAAGAATAACTCGTATTGTGAGTAGAATCAAATTATGGCTCTGACATCAATCTGACAGTAAATTGATTATAGGCCGCTTTATGATGTAGTAAGTCACAATCGCAGATTACTTCGAAAGTTGCATCAATGACTGTGGCGCGCCACAATGCCCAGCTATCCACGACCTGATGCGGAGGAAGTCCAAAGCAACAACCTTTGGTTGAAGGGGCATGCAGGTCAACTGTTCTTACGTCTCTTTGTCCTTGGGCCATATCTCGCTGACGGTATAATTTATAGACCAAACCGCCTTGTCCATATTATACAGCCAACCCGTGGCTGGGCTGAATATCCGAAGCCACGAAGATGGTAAGTGGCGCTGGGTGAAGCACATCGATAATGCATTGGTGGGTGCAATAGACCTTATATGTTAGTGAAAAACTCGACTTCTTTTTGTACTGACCTTGTATTGGTCTTGAACCAAGTGTGGCTTTGTTTAGATTGACTATCCCGTCGTCGTTCCAAATTACTTCAGCGTAATGGCGGGCGTGGAGCGCGCTTGGCCAATCACGAAGAGAGAAAATTCTTGCGCCACCGGGCATTTCGTACTGGAAATCGCTCGGTTTTGAGCTGAGTTTGTACTGAACTGGATTGAAAAACCTTGAAACAACTCGTAGCATATAAGGTCTAATCCCTTGGGTTTCTGTCATCTCAACTCTAATAAACCTCCGCGGAGCGTCAGGTCGTGAACTGTGGTGATACCTTGACCATGCTAAGCGGTGGATACTACAAATCAGCGATTCACCGCGTCATCCAACCTCCAATCGGCGCGTGTCCCTCTCCAGAAATTCTTTCTCGTCCTTCCTGATCGCCGCCTCTGTTATAATAGACCAGCGTGGCTATAAACGGCTAGGAGTCTTCTACTTCTCCTACGTCGATGACGACGTCCGTCTCGAGCCTCTCAAGCATAGTCCCCTCCTCCAGCGCCTCGGTATGGTAAATACCACAGAAGAAGGTAATGAGTCTGCACGCCTTATGGTAGAATGGAGGAAAGCTAGAACTGCGGCGTATGGGACGTCAGAGTTGAAGAAGAGCAATGAGGAAGGGGTCGAAGAAGAAGTAATCAACGGGGTACGGGTGAAACATTACTCATGAGCATACCGGGAACTGGATTGAGTTGTTGGTAAGCAAACTTATACCATCTTTGTGGTGAGAGTGAGGTGGACGGGCCGTGTAATATATGCGATTCTCTCAGCTCAGCTACAGACGGTTTTGGTCAGCCTACTGAAAATAGCCATATTTCCTGACGGGTGAAGAATCATCTATAAACCAAGGGGCAACCTTACAACCAACGTACAACTCAGTCATGCCCACCGTCATCTTGTACCACACTTGCGCCACAGTGTGGCGCGAGAACATTGCTGTCGGAGTTTAGGCTGGGCTTGATTCCCTTTCGCCGCCGATCGCACCACAATCACCTTCCCAAATATCTCTTTGGAATAGCATGTTCGACGCTCGGCCGAACTTAACATGGAACAGTACGCTCCCTGCACGTTCTTTTATAGATATTGAGCTCTTCCAAGTATCAGACGGATGACTCTCAAAGGTCATTATTTTTAGGCAGGCTAACATGGGAGTGCGATTTCGAAGGTCCCCAGATAGTCAAGTCGTGAACATCCGTGTGCGTATTTAGCAAGCACAGTGCCGTCCTGGGCTGGATGTGGGCGTTGCACACCCACGTAGAGCTGAACAGGGTACAACGCTTCTCATTGCATACTTTCTCACTCCTTCGTCTCGTATCGAAAGAAGCAGGTAGTAAATCTCTGGGTGATACTTTATACTTCTGTCCTGCTCCATCATACGTCATTGAAACTGCAAACGGGTGTCCTGTGCTACACTCCGCTTACACAGAGGATATAACCTCCGCGGTGACAGAGAAACGACAGAACGTCCCATCCCACCTACAGCACAATGCCCGCCATCACGCTCCCCTCCGTACCCCATTGGACACCAGCTCCCGTTACCACTGAGGCTCGTGAGTATGCATATTCCATCATTTTTGAAAGCCGTCGTCATCTTAATTGATTTTGTGATCACCGGCAGTTCAGTGGGCCGATCTTGAGGTCATTGATCTTTCAAAAGCCAAGACTGCGGATGGACGAGCTGAACTTGCCATTAAAGCACGAGATGCGATGCATACACAAGGATTCTTCTACGTTATCAATCATGGGTTGGAGAAATCGCAGGTCTGTCTCTACTTCTCCGTCTTTCGATGTATCACGATTCTCATCAATCTGGAATGACAGACTGAGCGGATATTTGACATCGCTGCTGTGCCCTTCGACGGCGTGGCGCCAGAGGAGCAGAAGGCGTATGTTGCAGATATGAAAGCAGCAGGAGAGTTCGAAGGTTACAAGCCCTTACAGTACTGGGCAAGTGTCTGATACATTACCAGAAATGAATATATAGGCTCCTCACATTAATTATTGAACACAGCACATCGACAACGGAGTCCGTGATCGTATGGAGCAATACAATTGTAAGTTTAGATCTACACTGAATGAACCGATGTGGGTTTGTAACTAATAGGACTTGCTCTTCGTAGTCAATCGCAATGTTCACTACAAGGAACATCCTCAAGCGATTCGCCCACTGTTGCCTGAAATACAGGAGTTCATCAGGTTCAACCACGAGGAAGTACTTCATGAGCTTGAAAGGTTGGTGATGACTATAAGTAGACAGTATAACATTGAATTATTTCTATGATTCAGGCTCCTTGCTTTGGGTCTGGAGCTTCCGGAGGATACCTTAACGCACATCACCTCCTTCGAACAGAACAACAACGGTTATTGTACGCCCGAGTTATTTTCCATATAACACGACCTTGATTAATTGATTCACCCCTCTCAAAGTTCGGTTCATGAGATAGTACGTGCAGCTATATATGTGTTATCGACTTCTCGGCCGAGATTGACCCCACTCATGTCAAATCAGTCACCCTCGACCAGAGGAGGAGGAAGTGCGGAGCGGTAATTTATGGTTGAAGGGTCACACTGGTTCGTGTCTTATTTTACACATATGGGTAGAGCCAATTTATTTGTTCATTTTTCTTCCAGACGCGGGTGCCGCCACGATACTTTGGAGTCAAGAAGTTGCTGCCCTCCAAATCAGAAACCACGAGGATAGTGAATGGCGTTGGGTTAAACATATTGAGAACGCCTTAGTATGTTATATCGTTCCACCCAGTAATAATCATCCAGCTAAGGTACTTGGCTACTATCAGGTCGTGAATTGCGGTGACGCGCTGACAATGCTCAGCGGAGGCTACTACAAGTCTGCCATTCATAGGGTAGTGCAACCTCCATCGGGTAAGTCATGCTTATACTTCCTTACCGTCGTACCACTAACCGTTTGCTATTGCGGAAGACCAACGTGGTTACCAAAGGCTTGGAGTATTCTACTTCGCCTCATTCGACGACGACGTCCCCCTGAAGCCACTCGAAGAAAGCCCTGTTCTCCAGCGCAACGGACTCTCAACACCTGCGGAGAAAAGAGCGCCCCTGATGGGCGAGTGGCGAAAGGCGAGGGTTGCTGCATACGGCACGAGTGAACTGAAGAAGAGTGCTAAGAAGGGTGTTGAGGAAGAGTTTATAAACGGCATTCCAGTCAAGCATTACGCTTGAAGTGGGCGAAACCGAGATGTCAGCTGCATGGAGAAATTTGGACACTCTCGATTCTCTTAGCGAGAAAATGTACGATATGCTCGATGTTTTTGCAGTGTACTTATGTTTGACATGGTTGCAGTGAGAAATGACCTGGGACCTGGTTGGCACATCAAAATACGCCACACTGTGGTACATACAAGGAAGCCGACTGCCTGAGTTTTGAGCGGAACTTGAAATATCCTGACGGAGCCGGGCGTGACCTCCAGCGTGTTTGCGAGAGCTGTTGCTCTTGAACCACACAACTCACCCTCGTCAACGTGCAATACTTGCAGTATTTTTGCTTGGCTCTGGCTTGGTCGGTCTCCGGCTGCGAAAACCACGTCAACTACCGGGGGTGTCCTGGCGTTGCTATCGAGTCGGAGGTGCTACTGGCAACGATTCTCAGAGCGCATGTACCACACCGAAGTTGCATCGGCTTGCTTTTTATAGCCGAGCTTGTGAGAGACATGGAGTCTCAGAAATAGAGATGTATAGAACCACCAACATCGCACACTGACAGCTACTCACTCCTCTCCATCCGTACTCGTGTTCTCAGTGCCTTGAGCTTCTCAGCGGTTGGGTACGCTGTCTGCGGATGTCCGTTCTATGTAAAGCTCGCGGTGTGGGCGGTACAAGTATAGCTAGGGGTGCTCAGACTGTAGGAAATCAACTTTCTGCGTTCTCACTCGACCAATGCCTGCCGTCCTCGTCCACCCCATCCCTCACTGGACTCCTGCTCCTGTGACTAAAGAGCCCCGTAAGTATTTGACTAGCTTTCTGAGGATTTATACTGCAGTCGATTTCCCCAACACTCATAATACTGAGACATTCAACAGTCAAATGGGCAGAGCTCGAAGTCATCGATCTAGAGAAAGCCAAAACCATCGAAGGGAGGGCTGAACTTGTGGTCAAAGCGCGTGATGCGATGCACAAACAAGGATTCTTCTACGTCGTCAATCATGGACTGGAGAAGGCGCAGGCTAGTCTTTATCCTAACAGACTTGGGCCCTGGACGTATACATCGGTACTCATTTGCTGTTTGGTCAATGACAGGCGGAACGAATTTTCGATATCGCCGCTGTACCCTTCGAAGGTGTCCCTCCTGAGGAGATGAAACCGTATGTAGCAGACATCAAAGCAACGGGGGAATACGAGGGCTACAAGCCTATGCAGTACTGGGTAATTATTTGATCTGATAATGTAGAGCTTGTATCTGTCGTCGCTGATAATCACTCATAGCACATTGACAACGGTATTCGTGATCGCCTGGAACAGTATAACTGTGAGTGCTTGCCAAGTGCTTGCATATTTTGACTGAGTTACCTTACTTTTTTTTATCACACAATATACTTGGTGTATAGTCAACCGCAACGTGAATTACAAGAAACACCCGTCAGCATTACGCCCTCTTTTGCCTGAGATCCAGGAATTTGTCAGGTTTGACCATGAGAACGTCGTTCATGAGATAGAAAGGTCCGTGGTCGAATAATAAGTGGTTAGAGCTCTAATATGACCCTTTCTCCTTCCTTCTCGATTCCGGAAAACAGATTGCTTGCCCTGGGGCTCGGGCTTCCAGAAGATACACTTACAAAGATCACATCTTTCAATAGCGAAAACAACGGCTACTGTACGTTTTCAATACAACCGCATAAATGCCGATAGCTTAAGTATGGTGCTTGTTGCGCAGTCCGTTTCATGATGTAGTAAGTATTGGTTCGCATGCATCGATTATTCCGACAGACTAAGGTGTAGTACGCGCCACACTAGTCATCCTCGTTCTAAAGAAGATGAGGTTCAAAGCCGAAATGTCTGGCTGAAGGGGCATACCGGTTCGCTTCCATCATTCAGTTCCGTTACAGTTGACGTGACCTACAGTGTATCAACCTACTAGATATAGGGGCTCTGACCGTATTACACAGTCAACCCGTATGTGCATTACAAGTTCGTAGGTACGAAGATGGTGAATGGTGTTGGGTGAAGCATATAGAGAACGCCTTGGTAAGATACCTTTTCGAAGCAGATACTCCGTGCTGATACACTTTTCCCTGAGGTTGTAAACTGTGGAGACTCCATGAGTATGATCAGTGGAGGCTTTTACAAGTCTGCTGTTCATCGAGTAGTACAACCTCCGTCTGGTTGGTCATCTAGAGTCAGAATAAGTATTCTGGGCTCCTATCACTGACCTTTTCTCCGATTGCATAGACCAACACGGTTACCAGAGGCTCGGAGTGTACTACTTTTGTCATTTCGATGATGATATACAGCTAGGACCTCTCAGAAGCCCTCTGTTGCAACCCACCAGTGCAAGAACGGCGAAAGAAACCGCTGAGGCAGCGCCTCCTATCGTGAGAGAATGGAGGAAGGCTAGGGTTGCTGCGTACGGAACATCAGAGCTTAAGAAGAGCGCTGAGAAGGGCGTCGAAGAAGAGTTCATCGATGGGATTCGTGTCAAACATTACTCATAAAGGGCCAGAGAAACGAGGTGACAGATATCATGACTCTCTCGATCGACGATGCACATAATAAGTAGTATGAAACTGTATGATGATTTCGACAATGCCACAGGAGCTGAATGAATGTGCTGGCTTTAAGAAGTGTGTAATTGTATCGTGGTCATGCCAAAGAAATGGTAGAAATAGTCGCGTCTGTGAAGGTAGTCCGTGAGCACATCAAATCCTCTCCAATCAAGATGAGACATGGCCGGGCGCTAGCGAGATAAGTATCCTGCGTGTCACTTCTGCCACTCGAGGAGAACCTCCGGTAAGTTCTGGAAGTCGGTAGAGGCAGAATTGAAGTCTAGAGAAGACAGAGAATAAGTGAACACATTCTCTCCTCGAATCTGGAGAGACTTTACCATCTGGGATGGCGGTGATGTTGTCTCGTCTAAGTTGGAGTATGTGCCTTGACTCATTCGTATATTGTGGCCAAGCATCTATTTTTGTATAAGTTCACGATGATAGTAAATTTTGAAAAGCTGCATACCTCCAGGATTGAGATCGTGTACAAAGTCGAGATAGAAGTCCTGCCAAGTTTCCGCAAACTCGGTCTCGACACTCGCTACAGCCGGGATTGGACCGAAGAGTAAGGGTAACTCGGACGCATGATAGACTAACCTCGGACGTGCTTATTAAGTATCTGTTTGTAGATCACGGAAAACAAGAGGCTCACCACCTAGAAATTCAATGTTTCCAGGTATCTGCTCCTGGAAGCTGTACGCATAGACCGGTTGCAAACCGGCGGCCTGCTCTACGAAGAGCCGCCTCGGAGCCAAGAAGTACGCATCACCATACCATGCTGACGCCCTGTCAAACAAAGAGTCTCCAGTATTAAATGGTGCACCAAGGCTGGTGTCGTCAGCGGGATACAAGGCATTGTTCTCCAGGAGGACGTCCGAGGTAACAGTTGAATTATCGATGATGGTGGAGAGCATGAATTTATCAAGTGCAGCATCCTGGGCGGATCCTGAAAGTCCAAGGTTCATGACTGCGATGCTGAAAAGTGACCCGTCGTTCAACTAGAGGGCATATTAGCATTCAGTATAGGTCACAGAGTTTTCAAAATGACGCAGCTCACGTTCGTTCCCATTATGACGGGAATATGAAGGAAATCACCGGCGAATATCTTCTCAGACGGCTCAACAGAGATGAAGTTCCCAGCTGCAACTGTTGGCTCCCAGAGCTGACCATTGAGCACGTCAGTCATTAAGGTATTGGTGATGTTCATCAAAGTCTGTGGGAGAGGTCACAATATCAGTTACACTGTAATGGATCTTGAAGCAGGATCAGGCGTGCACCGAAGGAAACCTGTTGTAAGCATTCAACGGAGGAAGATCCGGCCTCACAGGAAGTAGCGTTCAGCAAAAGATCGTATGGTTTTCCAGGTTGATCATAAGAACTGGGCGGCGGTGCCGTTTTGCTTTCGTAAGGCACTCTTAGTTAGCACAGGATAAACGGGATCTTTGAGGCATAGGGCTCTTACAACGGTCCAGTCGCTGAGTTCATGATGGCACCACGGAAGAGCGAAGAGTCACCATATAATATATGTGTTTCGACACTCCCAGCTCCTGCCGACTTCGCCAAATGTAAGCACATATGCACAACTATGATGCATTTACAGGCTTACCTGTCCCCATATTGTGACCTACGCGGAGTATTAGACATGATCGAAGCATTTTCTGTGGAGAGCAGCCTACCTTCAAGGGATCCCCACCGAAATGTGATATATTGTCTTGAATGAACTGTAACGCCATTCGCTGGTCTTGGATGCCTGCGTTCAAGTCTTCGACGGGCATATCGGCACTGGCCAACTGAAAAAACGTCAGATACGAGATAGACGCTTGACCTTGGAACTTACGAAACCGAAGGTATTGAGACGATAATTTCTATTGATGACGGTCACGATTAATTCGAACGGGAGAGATGACTCATTGTAACTGAACTGATACTTACATAGAAACGAAAATGATAGGCCTTCCGGTCGCAACGCTCCGGTTGACAATACCTGAGAGATATGTCAGAAATGGAAAGGCAAAGAAGAGCATCTGCCACACACCAGTTCCATCATATGTCGGGTCGGACGCAGTTCTACGAAACATGACGGCTTGTCAGTGAAAGGGGACTGAAATAGAGTTCTATCCAGTCCAGTACCCCGTATTGTAGGATCCACCCTTCAACGGTCACCTAAGTCAGTAATCATCGCTACCATCAATGCATGATCAACGCGCACATGAATCCATACGAGCACAGGAAGACCTGCATCTACCGAGGTATTCTCTGGACGCCACACCTGCACCCGGAAGATTAAAAAATAGACTGCTAATATAAACAGGATGCTCACATTCAAGAACAAGCAGTCCTCAGAAACAGGCGCACCGAGGTTTACTGTACCGGTCAACTCAGAGGTCAACGGTTGCGAGCATGCGTTACCAAACGAGTAGGCGGTCTGTATCCCTTCAGAGAATTCGGCGATGGCCCGTGGGGCCTTAAAGCGCATGGAACCGATGGGTGGTAGGGAATAGGGTATACCAAGCCATCGATCGGTGCCGTTCTTGCTCGAGGATACGCCTTCGAATAGCCCGGTGGTCAAGTTGACCTGGGGCCCCGAGGCATACGCACAGTATGTCCCATAAGTAATTAATAAAAGAGACTCGAGTAAACTGGAGCGCATAGTAAGGAGCAGAGACTAGAAAGAATGAGACAAGGTCGAGTGCGGAAGTTGAATGAGCATCAGAAGAGACGACGGCTTTTAAAGAAGAAAAGCCTGCGTCTGGACTTCCTTACGATAAGCTCAAATTACATCTCAGGCTAGTAATTTTAAAACAACTGAACCGAAAGACCCTAAGGACCCAAATTTACAGCTGATGGACTGTTTCTTTTGGGCCTGAAAGAAGGTCTCCGGGCAACGACATCCTTTAGAGTGAAGATCAACACGGAAAGGGGGCGTAGGGCACGCATCTGGTTCGCGGTGTGAGTCCGAGCATAATGAATGGAAAAAATAATGGGACGTACTGCTGTGTCGTTTGCACAGGGTGTCGCTGGTCTCAGAGATGTGCTCAGCGGCGTGCCCTACTTGATATATACTGTGGGTGCAGAGGGATTCCGGCAGATGCCGAAGAGAAGCCGCGGGCAATGCCTGCGGAAGCCATGTCATCGGGTTGAATTTCAAACTACCTTAAGTGAGAAATGACAGTATGAGAACAAACAAAGTGGAAGGAGCACCAAAGAATAACACGGTAGGAGGGACGAGCTTCGGGACACTTGACATGGCGGAGGTGGCGACAGGCTTCGCCGTAGCCAGAAAGCTGGCCCAAGCGGAGACAGTTGCAGGCTCTGCAAATACAGTGCCCTGTGTTGCAGAAGTCCCGACAAAGAGCTCCGTCTCAACACGAGGAACATCATCCGCTAGATTGGCATTCTCTCCTCCTAGAGCAGTTGGATCGCCTTTCGTGTCCGTGGTGATAGAACCTGTGGCGTTTGAGTTGATAATGAAGTCGCGGAAGAATACCAGCGCCTGTTGAACCATCAGTGGATCTAGCTCACCACAGAGGAGGGAGTAAACAGAGCCTACTGAGTCTGGCTTGAAGTTGGGTATCATGTGGCCTACTCCGTCGAAGAGGGCGTACACAACACCGCGCTCCTGATGAACGATACCTGCGATATTGCCGTTATCGTCTGTCCAAGGAGTGGATGGTTTGCGGGTAAATCCCCGAATGCCCCCAAATATCGTGTTCTAAGATCAGTCAGAATCATGAACACTGCTGAGTGTGCCTAAAGTACTCGAACCTGAATGAGAACTGGGCAGGGGATGGTCAGACATGGGATCTATCACGGGAGTCAGTTGAAAACTAACTTTCGAGACCAGTGTGATGTGCTATGGCATTACTACCACCAGAATATAAGACGATCTCGACGTTTTGAGAGGAGGCGTTGGCGACGAAATCGGCGAAAAATATCCTTGGTCTGTTTTGATGAGACTTGATGGTAAGTTCATGGAGAGGATCGACTTACTCGTCACCTACACAATGGGTTAGAGCATGCCGCGTGAGTGGGTGCGGCACAGGGGGGCGTACTAGGGTCTCCGAACAAACTGGTTGATCCGAGTGCTGTCGGTCGTAATCGTCAGCATATCGTATGAACGTCGTATAATTGATCTTCTCACAGATGTTGGTAGTTGAGCCAAACGGGTAGACGGAGGTCGAGACCCAGTTCTTGCTACTTGGTGCATGGAGCGCGTTACGGACTTGGAAGGCTGAAAAAAGTATGATACAATGCAAGCTTTGGTTGCCGTACGAGGGATGTACACACAATTGAAATATGGGCCGAGATCAAAGATAGGCTGAGCCTTCAAGACGTTGGAGACATCGAATAACTATGGACTACGTCAACATATTGGTTTTTTGGTAAAATGTAGGATAAACGTACGTCGAACGCGCCGGAGGCTAGAGAAACGGTTAGATCAGCGAAAACCACAAGTGATATTGATTTAGGATGCACGTACTCCAAGGTGAAGAGAAGTTTCGCGCATAATCGATCATCTCATCGAACAAAGAACACCCATAAGAGTTGCTCGTGGAGCTCGGGATGAAGCTAGAGCTCTGTCGTTTGTCTGGGAAGGCAGCATGATGAGAGGACCTTCTGTCCAGAGTAGTGGTACTGCTGTTTAATGAAGCCGGGGCAGACTTCCAGAACGAGGAGCGCCGGGATGGTGTTTCAAAGACTAAAAGAGGATCCTGCTGTGGGTATGTGAGATTGAGATCAAACCCACACTGGTGTTGCCTATAAACAAGATGCATGCGTTGTGAATGTACTCTGATAGGTCGCTGAGCAGGTCAACCTACTGTGTGACGAAAGACTGGAATATGTCCTGGTTGTAGTTGATCAACTGGGGGTAGGACTCTAGGATTGATATCTGAGCGAAACAATGTCAACCTTGCACAACGTCGAGAACAGTGCGTTTCGGACGAACGGTGGACAAGTGAGGGGAAATCGTTGTATCGAGCAACCCATTGCCGATAGCAACCTTGCTGAGTTTGACGGGTGGCGAAGATGACGACCAGATCGCTTTGGCAATATAGGGCTGTTGGAGTCAAAAACAAGTTTCAGCAGTTACGACTTGGACAAATGGTCATCGGGCTTACGATGTAGACGCCGGCGTAGTCCTCACCAGCCAGAATCAAGGGCCTGGTCGCAAGGCTCGGGAATATCTTGACTAAATTTGATAGAAACCCAACCTATGAAGATGAGCATCAGCATATGCGGTCTGGCTTGATGGGTAAACAAGACCACCCACAAAATCGGCGCCCATATCGTCCTCATCGTTGACTGTGCCGCACAAAACGGTCCAGTGAGTACCAAGCGCGAAGTAGATCTGAGAAGACGTACTATAGCCGTCAGATTCGCTCGTCGAGAAGCCAACACCGACTGTTATCGTCAAGTATAAGATATTGCTCAATTCCATCGGAAAAGCCACCGTACCAGGTTGGTCTACATAGATCAAGTCCACGAGACCGGTCCAGCTCACTATATTCTGCGTAATGCTGGTTTGGGACTGATAGACCATCGGTCCGGTCTACTAGCAATGTTAGAATAGGGATGGTGACCCAAAGGAGATGAGTGGCTCACCGCAGTCATGGCGGTAAATAAGCTAGACGACCCAGGACTGGATGAAAAAGTCAATATATGCGTACAGATATCAAACACAACACTCACCCGCCACCGCCACCCAACCAGATCATCCATGGGCTGAGTTGCAGTTGTGTAGAAGGCGCCGTCAAAGAGCCTGCGTTTGTCTCGAAGCCCCAGAAAAAGAGTGTATTGTTAGGATGCGCCGCGCGGTTAACTGGGATATTTCCGGCGAAATTTCTCGGAAGTGGGAAGGTAATGCTCGGGAGACCATCGGTGACGAGGTAATCTGTCTCGCAAAACAGTGAGAAACCGACCGGGGTTATCAGAGACGGAAAAAGACAGACAATCTTGCCATTCAGTGTCGAATCCACCGGAAGGCATGTTGCCATACACCTGAGGGAAGCTTCCGGGTGGTTGGAAAGGCTTACTCGGAGATGATGTAGGCGTAGCCACGGATGTCGAAGAAGTGTTGGAACGCGACATGGTACTTGATGGGGACGTCACATTGAAGGATGATGTCTCATTCGCGACAGCAGTAGAGCTCGAAGCCGCAATCGCATGAGGCAGCGAGAAGAAGATATGGCCCACCTGCAAGAGGAATGCCCTAGTCAAACCACGGCGGAATTGAAGCATCAGTCAAAAGCCGGCTCAGCGTCCAGGGCAAATTTTGATGACTGTCCATCGTATTTGTATGGTCGAATGGTACACTAGCGGCCTATAAAATGCAGACACGTTAACAGCGCAGAAAGCTAAACATGCGGTGAGATCGACGGGCATTCGCTTTTGTCGCAGAAGTGCCGTCAACGTCGGACTTCAACTGGAAGATAACACGGATGAAGTCAGTCTTGGCAGGCCTTCAAGAATGGCTTTGAAGTGCTATTGAGAACCATCATTCAAAAGTAGCATATGCATGCTGCGTTATTCTAGGTAGTCGGGAGGAAAATATCTGAGCACACTAGGAACGAAATTATACGCGGTGACGGAGCGGACGTCGTCGGAGAAACTCCTGCAAGGCACGGCGAGGCCATTAATGGTTTGAGCCCACCAAGTTCCATTAGAGCTACCGTTCTCAAGCATCGAGGGAAAGGAAGAACGAGACATTTATGAGTGGTGAGCCAAATCGAATATGTGCTCTCACGCGAGCGGTTCGTGCGAAACACGGGTGACGACAGGTATGGTACAAGTTCAACAGCACCCGAACTGTCTGGAACACAAAATTAGGCTGGATGGTAAGGTCGGAAAGCTGGTACATACCCGGCAGAAATATCAAACACCGAGCATGCTTTTCTTCTGACTTTCAAGACATGTACTCGTCACCCTCATTGTCCATCTCTTCATTTGCGAACAGGTCCAGTCCAACATCCACTCCTACTTCTACTTCCTCGTCCACGTCGTTTGTAGAGGTCTGCTGTAGATAGGCAGGGGCCGTGACTATGCCTATGGGAGAATCGATGGAGGGAGTCAGGTCCACAAAGGTGGGGGGACTGAAGTTGTCCCTCGTAGGGGTGGGAGGCTCGCTGTTGTGCGGAGATCGCTGAGACAGTGCTCGTCCGGGGCCTGAATTGGACGGTCGGGAAGAGTCGCAGGGAGAGCCAGAAGGTGAAATTTCGTGATTGGGGAGGTGGTCCTCCTCGGATCCATACGAGTAAACCGTCAGGACGTCCTTCCTGCTCGTCGACTCCTCTTCTAAGGGAATTGAAGCGGCCCCGCCAGTACCAAAATCGTCAGTTCGGCAAGAAACATCAGATACTCCGTCCCCTACGCATATATCCACTCCAGGTGGATTGCAGCCTACACCATGCCTCGTGTGGTTCGTATTTAGAAGCATATACGTGTCTGAAGAGAGGCGCGGAAGCGGGGAAAGGTTCAGGATCTGTCCGAGCAGATTCCAAGGGTCTGGAGAGTCTAAGATACTCCCAAGTAAGACAATCTCTGTAGTGGAGCCGAAGGACTGGTCGGATAAGACAGATGAAGTGTCATAGGTGGGTATATATGCAAGCTCGCTTTCCAAAACTCGGGAGTTCAAAAGCGAGTACCATGAAGACGAAGTATAGGATGGAGAGAACAAGATCGAATGAACATCGTCCGGGTCTATCAACTGCTGAACAGGCTCTGAGGGCGAGATGGATTTGGTTCTCTTCGTGGATAGACTCTGAAGACGAGGTGAAGGTGGGTAAACAGAGTATGCTCGCACTAGGTTGGGAGCGACATCGTGCTCAGAAGGGGCACATTCGGAGAAATCAGGTAAGGCAAGGGATAGATGGTCAGACCTAGACCCACGATCAAGATTGTCAGAGTCTACGAGGTCAAAAGGCGAGCGGCCGAGAACGAAAGAGCGGACGGTGGCCACTGGGGACTCGGAGCGAGCGCCTATCGCTGCAATAGGAGGTGGGAGCGATTCGACACGGGCGACTACGTCGAGGGGAGGCGGCCACTCCTCAGATGTTTCAGCGCTGGACCAGTACTCGGCGTCGTTTGATCCATCGTCGTTTTCGTCAAGTTTGTTTCCGATAGCTTCTTCATATTCGAGGAGGACTTCATCAGAGATAGGCTCGACTGGTGTGTCGTCAGGTTCCTTGGTATCTTTCGGTAAGAGAACACGTCGGTACTTCCATGCATGGCACGTGAGATGTATCTGAACGAAGATACCTTCAAGTGCTGGTATCGGGATCGACTGAAATACCATGTGCGGTGTGAGGTTTGGATTTTGCGAGGGCAACATAAAACACGGTACCTTGATAGATGGGAGGCTGGGGATATGATCGGTCCGACGAGTATTTTGTTCCGCGGTGTCCAGGGCCCAAGATTCGCTGCTTTGAAATGGTGATAGGCCGATCAAGTCGAGCTTCAGCAAGCAACATATATTACCCCTGGGAGACAGAGCTGTATGCAGAAGTTGAGAGCGAGTGAGTCCAGCAAGGAAAAGGATGAGCTCACGTTCAGTGCGGTCTAATGCCTTTATCACTCTGGACGTCCTAGCAACCTGCTTTCTCGGGGCGCCCGTTGCGGTTTCGTGAAACGGCACCGTCAAAGGTTCTATCGATGGCCGTGGGGAGTATGACTTGGGAATAATAGGGGCAGCGTGGGCTAGATTGATGTCTATCGCGGTTCTTGTAGACAATAGAGCGCGTCTGGTGGTCGTCCCGATGTCCTTGCTCAGAATTTCCAGTCGTCGTCGACCGAAATGGCCCTTCTGCACTCGCCCTTGAGTATCGCGTGTACGAGCCTTAGCAGCGTTGCTGAGGACCACGACATGATTATGAGGCTAGTCCCGAACACGGGGATACCACCGACGTAGAGGTATTTGGCCTCACCGCTTTCCTCATGCTTTTGAAGCGTTTGATTGCGGAAAGGTGACTCTACGCTGGTGCGGCTGTCCCAAGTTGCCCAAGGCTGCTGTGTTGTTGGGAAGAAAGTGGCACCGTTCCTGTTCCGTTAGGACAGGTCTTGAGACGAGCTTTGTCAAAGCGTCACGTCACGCCTCTTCGGTGGCGGTGGCGTCTTTTTGCTGGGAGCCGTCGCTCGAGATTTTTGTTACGGTCACTCGTCCTCCATCACTCTCGATTCCCGGTGTTTCCCGGTCATTCCGTCTCGTTCCGGCCTCTCTGCCTGTGTTGTGCAGTGCTCAAATACTGAAGTACTGACAAGTCTGAACAAACAAATGTGGGCTAGCCTGAATACGGCCTACATTCTTCCACCCGTGTGAGGGATTTAATCTCGAGCCACGGGCATGCCGTGCTCGTTCTTTCCTTGAACGCAGGTGAACGTGGTGTGAGGTTTAAACAAGTTTTGTGGCGTTTTCGCCACAGCAAGGGTTGCCTGTTTTTTTTTTCAGGGATGCTTGGACAAGAAAGCCGGTAAAAAGACGCATTATAATCAGTTGGCCAGCGCTGTTCGATCCGAAGGAACAGGTCTGGCCCGGAGGGCGTGGAATGATGACGTGGCCCATCTTGTTTTGCCTTGTTTTGTCAACACCAGCAGACATTTTCACACGGTGCCACTTTCTACCAGCGTCCACGATCTCCAACACGACGTCGCATTCATACTTCTTCAGTGCTTGTTATTCTACTCATAAACACCTACTCTTGTGACACTGAGTACACTGTGCTGAGTGCGCTGTGACGCTATGGGTGGAGCGAACTACATGGGGTATATTTAGCTTCCCTTGCGTAACGTGTGTCTTGATTGTCTGCGACGATATAAATGAACTCAGTTACTCACACCGATAAAGAATAGAATAGAAAAGAATACATACACGGGTATTCATAGGCAAACGCCTACGGACCGAGCCCGTACCCGACTACGTCAAGGAAGAGGTTGAGAAGGTGCGTCCCAATACGGGACTCCGTACAGAAGTATCTTGCACTTCTTTGTCTATATCACTCATCATCCATGCTCTGCGTGACTGCGAGAACATGGGAATGAAGTGCCCCCATGACGAAGTCGCCCTCGTTATAAACAACGAGGAAGGGCTCAACGACTTGCCCCTGAACTTCTCCAAACTGTCTAACTCCCCATCCTACTACTAACAAGTACTTGTGCTTTGTCACCAATGAGACTTTCGCTTGCGATCTGGAGGTCTCTCTACGTCTGCTCATTGATTCCTATTACTTTCGCTTCTGGACCTCAAGTTAACCTGAGAAGCGGTGTATTCGAGGGTCTCGTAGCTGGTCAGGGTACTGAAAAGTTTCTAGGGATCCCTTTCGCTCAGCCACCCGTTGGATCTCTTCGTTTTAAGGCACCTGTTCCCATAAACCAAACGTTTACAGGAGTTCGAAATGCCACGGCATTTGGTAATGCGTGCGTCCAACCGCCCTCATCCAGTTTAGGTGCTCCTATTGGAGAGGATTGCCTCTTTCTGAACGTGGGTCGCTCTCAATATACTCAATTTTGATTCGCTTACAACTGTTCGTGACAGGTGTGGAGGCCCGAGAATACAAGCACCGATGCTTCCTTGCCTGTTCTTGTATGGTTCTATGTGCGTAAATGTCACTCGTTTCGTCCAGTCGTGCTGTGCTGATACAGAAATCGCCGTCAGGGTGGCGTATTCAATACTGGGTGAGCAAGTTATTTAGATTGATCGCGGTTATGATGAGTCTGAATATCATTATCTCAAAGGGCTGCGTCCAGTGAGGAATTCGATGGGACAAGTGAGTTCATTTCCTCATAATGGAAAACCACCGCTAAGTGATCCCCCAGTCTTGGTGAACCGCAGCATCGAGATTGGGAAGCCCATGATATTCGTCTCTACGTAAGGGCTCGACATTTTGTCCCTGGAACCTATCCTCATCGTCCAGCAGAAACTATCGCGTGAATACCTTCGGCTTCGTGAGTGTACCATACGTAAAGTGCTCTTAACCTCGTCTCAAAAATGTCTGCACAGCTTGCGAGCGCCAGTATGGCCGTAGAAGACCTCAATAATGGTCTCCAAGACCAGTCAGCTGCACTCAGGTTCGTCCAAGAAAACATTGCTGCCTTTGGAGGCGATCCCTCAAAGGTTCGAGAAGCAAACAAAATCGGATCCTGTCCATAGCTGACAAATCACCTCAGGTCACCATCTGGGGCCAGGTGCGATATCTAGAGCTCGAAACTCTGACTGTGGCTCACTTCGATAATAGTCTGCTGGTGCTGGAAGCGTTGAGGCTCACATTGTTTACAACGCTTCCGCTGGGCTGTTCCGTGGCGCCATAATGGACTCCATGACCGGTCCTTTGTAGGTCCCCGCCGTTCTTTTGCTTTCTGGTCACACTAAACTCTTCTATAGCAAAAACTCTCCAGCACCCAGTACTTATGATGCTCCAGGAAAGCCTTTTTCACTCATTTTGAATACGACAGGATGCAGCGCAGGCCCTACGGCCTTTGCATGCTTGCAGGAGACACCAGCTGAAGTACATATTCAATCGTTATGACGTCCATTTTTGTTGATTTAGACTTGTGGCCAAACCCTCAATTTGGCAATTTAGCCCTTGATCAACTTCAGCAACGCCCGAGTAGCAGCGACACTCAACAACCAATTCTGGGAGCCCACTGTTGCCCCTGGTAGCTTCTCTCCTGTTCGGGCTTCTGAGATAATTGCGGCGGGGGACTTCCTCCACGTCCCAATGATCGCAGGAACGAATGTGAGTAGTAGAACGAGGATGCGATTTCATGCGAAATGCTGACGTCTGAATTTACCTAGCTGAACGAAGGAAACTCCTTCTCTACCAGCCTTCTCGGTCTCAACCTCACTGGATCTGCCCAGGACGAAGCCTTCGACAACTTCGTCCGCGCCACAGTAATCAACCAGACCCTCATTACCTCTGATGTCCTGGATCAGTTTCACACATTTTACCCAGCAAACGATCCGAGCGAAGGTGCACCATTCAATACCGGTGACTCGTTGTTCGATCGCGCTGCGGCTTGGTACGGAGACTTTATGTTCCTGTCTGCCCGGAGACGCTTCTTGGATGTCGCGGCCTCCCTTCAGCCGACATTTGTGTATCATTTCCGGGAGTTCATTCCTGGGAACAATGTGACGCTTGGCGGTCGGTTTTCTTTGAAACTGAACCGTGAGGTTAGAACTAATGCCGATTTGTTGACTCTAGTCGCTCATGCTTCAGAATTACCGCTCATCTTTGGGCCAGTACCTGCCGTTGCAGCGGTGGAGGATGACCTTGCCATCACATGGAGGGACTTCTACATTAACTTCGTGAACGATCTCAACCCTGGCCGTAAGGTTTGTTCGAGAGCTACGCGGTGACGGGTGCTAATGCGCTTTCACAGCCGCTTGGCCACAGTTCACCAACGAGACCAAGCAGGTCTTGCAGTTGAAAAGAGATAACATCACAGCTATTCCTGATGGTATGTTTGCACGTTCTATATGGTATAATATTTTCTAGTTTCCTGATTGACTTGACAGATTTCCACTCCGTGATGACCGACTTCGACAACTCGGCCTTGGTACTAAATGAGTGGCAGAAGTGAAGGAGTCACGTCGACTGCTATATATGAACTTCAGAAACTTTGTGAGGATCTGAATCGTGCCGTTTGTTCCTCACAAATTCCTCGATTTAGGATAGGGCCCACAAGGGCAAACCACACTGCCGGCCAACGTTACTGTGGCGCAGTAGCTTTCTCGCAACTTTCTCAGCGCCACCACAAGACATCTGCGGCAACCTCACCTCTGCGCAATCATTGCGCCTCGAAGTCGCATATCCTTAGATCTTCTTGTGTAACCTATGGGGCACTTGACTTTCTACGACAGTATAAATATACTTCCGGGGTATTAATAAGTAAGCATTCCCGGACCGGCCCACTTCGAGGGAAAGGCTGCGAGTATTCGCCCTCGTACGAAAGTCCATATAGAAGTGTCTTTGAACTTCTCGGTGTATATGACTGGCCATTCATGCTCTGCATGACGGCCAAAGCATGGGGACGGCGTGCCCCATGATGAAGTCGTCCCGCTATAAGTGGGGATGAAGTCAATGAATTGTTCCTCAACCCCCAACTGGTTGTCGACATCCCCGTCTTCTTTCTTCGACATACAGCATCCAAATGAGACTGCTGTCTGTGATATCGAGTCTCCTTTCTATCAACTCATCTATTCACGATGTTCTCGCTTCTGGGCCCCGAGTCAATCTAACCATCGGTGTATTCGAGGGTCTCGAGGCTAATGGTGGCATCGAAAGGTTTTTAGGGATCCCCTTCGCTCAACCACCCGTTGGTTCTCTTCGTTTCAAGGCCCCGGTTCCCATCAACCAAACGTTCACAGGAGTTCAGAATGCCACGATGTTCGGAAACGCATGTGTACAACCACCATCATCAAGTCTGGGGGCACCTACCGGTGAGGACTGTCTTTTCCTAAACGTGAGTCCTGCAAAATACACTCCTTGTCAGTTCACTGATGGGTGCGAATTGTAGGTATGGAGGCCCGAGAATGTCAGCACCGATTCGGCCTTGCCCGTTCTTGTATGGGTCTATGTGCGTGAAGAGAGATTCTCCGTTTGAATGATCGAATGATACAGAAGTTTTTGCTAGGGTGGCGCTTTCAATACAGGGTAAGCGATTTATTGGACAGATCAGCTCCAATGCATAATCAGCCTCTGCGTCCTCGTCTCGTAGTGCAGCCTCCGACCCAGAGTATAATGCGACAAGTAAGCAGATTCTTTCGTGCTTCACTGTCGCTTTGAACTGACAGATTTCCAGTTCTAGTACAGCGGAGTATGGAAATTGGCAAGCCCATCATATTCGTGTCTGCGTAAGTGTCGAACACCCTCGTGGATGAAAATAATACTCATCGTCCATTAGAAACTACCGGGTGAACACCTTTGGTTTCGTGAGTACACTTACTATAACATGTATCGTCATTGACTGCGTTTCGCTGACCGTAGCATAGCTTGCGAGCGCAGATATGGCCGTCGAAGACCTCAACAACGGTCTTCAGGACCAATCGGCCGCACTCAGGTTCGTTCAAGAAAATATTGTTACGTTCGGAGGTGATTCCTCGAAGGTATCAGAAGCTTATGCAATTCAGTCTTTTTTCCGTACTGACCGCTTCCACTAGGTTACGATTTGGGGGCAGGTGCGACACATTTAGCTGGACAATTGAGCGTCTCTTACTATTTCAAAATAGTCTGCTGGCGCAGGAAGTGTCGAAGCCCAGATTGTTTACAACGCTTCCGCTGGGTTGTTCAGAGGCGCCATCATGGATTCCATGACTGGTCCTTTGTAAGAACCTTCCCAACATGGTTTGCCTTGCCATCTCACTTATCTCCCCATAGCAAAAGCTCGCCTCCACCCAGTACTTATGACGCTCCCGGAAAGCCTTTTGCACTCATTTTGAACGCGACAGGATGCAGCGCTGGCCCCACAGCGTTTGCATGCTTGCAGGATGCACCCACTGAGGTAAGTACAAATTCCAGTCGCTTCCTGTTGATTTCCACTTTTGACCAAATCATCATCTACACTCTCTAGTCCTTGATCAATTTCAGCAACGCACTAATTACTACAACACTCAACAATCAGGTCTGGCAGCCTACTGTCGCCCCTGGCAGCTTTTCTCCTGCTCGGGCTTCTGAGACCATCGCGTCTGGAGAGTTCTTACATATTCCTATGATCGCAGGAACTAATGTGGGTAGTAGAACGAAAATGCAATGTCATATAAAACGCGCTGACGTCTTGATACTACCTAGCTGAACGAAGGAAATTCCTTCTCTGCCAGCCTTCTCGGCCTCAACCTGACGGGATATACCCAGGATTTAGCCTTCGACAACTTCGTCCGCGCCTCCGTGATCGACCAGACCCTCATTACCTCCGACGTCCTGGATCAATTCCATAAATTCTACCCAGCAAATGATCCAAGCGAAGGTGCACCGTTCAATACCGGTGACTCGTTGTTCGACAGAGCTGCGGCTTGGTATGGAGATTTCATGTTCCTCTCCGCCAGAAGACGCTTCTTGGATGTCGCGGCCTCCCTTCAGCCGACATTCGTGTATCATTTCCGGGAGTTTATTCCCGGAAATAATGTGACACTTGGCGGTGAATTTACTAGTTAAATTGAAGTGTGAGATCATAACTAATGACGAATTGTTATACCCTAGTTTCTCATGCTTCGGAATTGCCACTCATCTTTGGGCCAGTACCTGCGGTTGCAGCGGTGGAGGATGACTTTGCCATCACATGGAGGGACTTCTACATCAACTTCGTGAACGACCTCAACCCTGGTTGTAAGCTCTGGGTCCCTTCGAGTTATGCAGTGGCGTGCGCTAATTCGACCTCACAGCTGCTTGGCCACAGTTCACAAACGAGACAAGACAAGTTTTGCAGTTGAAAAGAGACAATATCACGACTATCCCTGATGGTGCGTGTGCGCAGTCCATATGGTCGTCACAGGCCTGACAGACTCGACAGATTTCCATTCCGTGATGACTGATTTTGACAACTTGCCCTTTGTATTAAATGAGTGGGAAAAATGAAGGAATGAGGTCGTCTGATCTTGTAAATAAACTCGTCAGACTCAATCCGTCCCTCGAGATCGTGTTCGATGCGAATACAAGTAAAATATATCATTGAACTGATCCTGAATTATTATTGTGTCGTCTCTGTCCGATTGCAATATAGTGACTAGTATGGTAAGTATGTGACCCATTGTTCCGACAACACTATCAAGTAAAACAGAATAAAACATCTACAGATTTATGTTATACTCCAACGCGGTCTGAGCCGTCACTCTGTAGTATCTCCTGTGTGCCCATTGCCCTCCGGAACCATCACCTCCCTCGCTAACTTCAGCGCCTCGACTGCAACAGCTGTAGTAACACCTACATTCCCCGCCATCTGCCCCACGCTCGGGAACTTATAATACCAGCTATCCGTCCAGCTCCCGTCCTTCTCCTGTGTCGACCTCAACCTCTCTAGATCAACACTGTCCACTAGTCCGACGCTCGCGGCGGCATAGATGCGCATCGCGATGCAGAGGGCATCGCCGTGGGCACCGAATTTGTTTAGGATACGAGTACGCAGGAGCGGAGCGAGACGTGTATAGAGCTGAGCAGCGGCAGTAGCACTTGGTCCCGAGCGGGACATGGGAGCTGAAGAGAGGGTGTTGAGGAGACGGGCGATAAAAAAGAAGAATTGCTCTTCGGTGGCGTAGTAGCGTGATCCGTGCGTGCAAGCCGAATGTATTAGACATTGTTCGACCCAGTTCACCGTTGGTGCTAGCTTTTGTTCGTGACCACGGCCATATCGGAAAAAGAGGGCGAGGACGTTCGCACAGACGACTGGGTCTGTTAGTGTAGAATGACATTGCATTTTAGTACTAAAATTCGTCTATGCCCAGCGAAAAGGAATATGGAAAACGAGATGTTCGAAGTCCAAGGTCCTGGAAAAGGGAAACGTGAAAAGATCGAAGTGGGGCTAAACCTACCTATACGAGGGCGTGTGTGATCGAAATAGGTCTGGATGATTCCATCTCGGTTACGGTAGGTGAGCATCTCGTCCATGACCCGATTCCGAAGCTCATCGGTGATATTGGGTACCACACTGAGACCGAGGGAGGTCGTGTCGAGGTCAAATCTACGCCCATGAGTGTGCCGTTAGGGTATGTATATAAAAGAGTGCTATGGGCCGGGTTTAGAGGAAGACGGATCGGTGTGGACTAGCACTCACGGAAAAGAGGCGGTCACAATTAATTTCATCTCGGCTGCTAAGAAGTTGTATTGAGCTTCCTACTAGCGTGATACTCTCGAACAAGACTAGACAAGACTCTCACCTCGAAAGAAGTGAAACTTCCCCTCCGAGTGCCTGATATCGTCCACCAGGCTCGCGTTGTGGGTAGCGTCCAGGATCAAGAGCTGAGAGAAATTCTGAGGATAGCTCTACATGAGCGACGCGAAATAAGGCCTCCATAGAACTCTGCAGAGAGTACGTACCTCGTCGACCACGACTCCCCTGTCTGAAATCGTCTTCAATCTCCTCGCATTCTCCGTCAAGAACCATTCTGCCCTGACGATTGTATCTCGATATCCATCGGCGCATCCGTTCGGCGATCGAACGACATGCTCCTTAAAGCCGACGCCGCTGTCGATGTCAGAAACCACGAGCACGTAGGCCTCATTCTTCGATATGTCACATTTTTCACGCTTGGACCTGGCATGAGAGCGGAGGGTGGAATGTGGCGCTACGGCTTTTGTGGGAACGGGAGGAGGCAAACCAGGCAGAGCAGATTTAGGAGAGACCGAAGGCGACGAGGACGAAGAGGGTAAGACTTCGCAGACATCGACAGTGAATGCTGTAGGGTCGAGTTTACTACTCAGCCCTATACGGCCATAAAAGTAAGACATGTTTTAGAAAGAGCATGGTGTAGAAGAGTGTAGAAAGGTCAGCGTACCTTTCATCTCAGGACGAGGTGACAGTGAGCAAAGAGAAGATGAAGAGAGCAGAGGATGAGGAGGTATCAAATAAGCCGAGGAAAATGTGAATGTATATAGGCCGGAATTATACATGCACAGGGGTGAACTCCCGATTTCATAAAGCGCATCTCATCAAACGATTCAAGGATCGGGTTCCTTCCTTCCTCGGGACCATTAATTCATTAAGTGAATCTCAAATTGGAGTACAGGGTGTGGCAGTCGGTTCTCGAATAGGTGTGGGCCATGGTGTACGACACTACAACAAGTTGTTTAACCATCATTCAGAGGGTATAAGCCATCCTCCGGAGCCCATCCGTGAATGATGAGATATGAGAGACATGGACCAGCTCAAGAGGAAGAAGCAAGTTCAGCCTCGGAGGATGTGAATTTTCGAAGCCGTTTCATTGAGTTGAAACGGCGACCTAATTGTGGTCTCGAGTAGAGTTCGGGGCCCTTGGTCGAAGAGGCTGGAATAGTGGGGCCGGTTGGGACGGGGCGAGCGTAGTGCTGACGTAGGATGAACATACAGTGTAAGCTAGAGCGGGCCCGAACCGAGGATTTGTGCCGAGGATTCCTTCTCTGAGAAAGGGAGTTTCTCACGATATGACCGAATATTTTGGGCATGTGTTAAACAAGGGCGTGAGGTGTGTGGGGTTGCAGAAAGACCCTACAGGAGCTTGCTATCATCTTCGAAAGAAAATCAGGAGGCTTGAATAGGAGAAGAAGAAGTGTTGGGGGCCTGCCAAGAACTTGAGTGTGGCCCAAGTAAATGACTGGAGACTGTTCTTCAAGGGTCGAAAGCGTGCCCCATAGCATCCGAAGTCAAAGGTATCCTCGCACATATGGGTATGTGTATGATAATGGTAGAATAAGCCACTTACGGGCTACTGCTCTTTCAAATCCCGAGTCGTAATGGCCCTTGCTGCGGGACCTTGATGTCGTCTCCTTCAAACTTTGTCATAGTCCTGAAGACTCAACATCCCCTGTCTTTCCATCCTCTTGACGACCTGCTCCAGCAGCACAGATACCACCGCGATCAGAGCCGCCACGATTCCCAATCCTGTCAATACCCATGCGGCAGCAGATGATGCGAGCTGGACAATAGGTTGCAGCGCAGTGACGACGGCGCTGAAGGCGACCAGAAATCCCAAGACCATACGGCCTTCGCGGAATTTTCGAAGGAGTGTCCGTGATTCGAGAACGACGGCTCTCGTACTCAACCTAACATCGCCAAACAAACAGACGTACATTCATCAGTGGACACATCTCCCGGAAGTAAAACCGTTCTTCGTAGAGCGTACCTTTGTGACGGAAGCATATCCAACGGCCACGGCGCCGGACTGAACAGCTCCTCGACGAACACGTCCCTCACCTGGAACATCCTACTTTCAATCTGGAGCACTGGACTTGGTGCATATGAGCTATTGGAAGGGTCTTCCATCATCACGAATTCGTCGTATATAGAGCCCATAGCTACGAGTCCGGCACCTTGTTTCGCGAAGGCGCGCCACACGGTCTTTACTTGCGTTCGGCCTCGTGCATTCAGGTTCACCGTTGCCTGTGTGAAGCTTGTTTGTATCTGCCAGTCTGAGCAGATCGACGCAACAAGATAGGACGCGTCAAAAACCCCGCAACATAGGAGTGGCTAGGTGGTTATGAGGCCGCGTGTGCGGGTACTCACCGAAGTAGATATCGGGGAAGTGCCACCTCCTGAAGCGGTTAACCACAGCTGGCCAAGTCATTGCTGTTGTTGTTCCGTGCAGAGCATCGTGGACAGATTGAGGGAGGCTGGGGTTGATAGCGAGACGCCACAGGGCTACCAACGGCAATACAAGGGTAAATATCGACATCTTCAGGGTAGGCCACCAGACAGCTGGGGGATCTACGATGTAAACGCATAAAGAACGCACTATCCGGAGAAGCGAACGCGCTCAAAAATGTGCAGGACATATCCTTGATGACCTCAATATCGGGTTCGGCGTAGTGTTCAGTCAACGGCACTATTATCAGCGTGGCCAGACACGACAAGGAGCGGGAACAGATGAGCATGAACTACAACTTATCGAAGCAAGACGGCTTACCGAGTGAGTCCCTCATCAAATCAGTCACACTCACCATATACGAAGCCACAGCCGGCTCAATATACAGATCGTCTCCATTTAATCTCGGTGCTGGTCTTCTCCGGGCCCTCTCGTCGAGCATGTCGAGCGTCACGTCCCAATTATGTCCATATACGGTGAACTCGGCGACTCTGTCGGGTTGGAGGTATACACCTGTCTGGGCGACTTGAGCACGGACACCACATGGTATGGCACATAGGATTCAAGAAGAGATACATACCTGTCTAGATGAAGTGATCGGTTTTCCAGTATGTTGTCTCTGTTTGACAACGTATTGATTATTGACCAAGCCGATAGCGAGTCGGGACAGATACGTACGCCAAAAAAGCTTGTTTTCGATCTTTCATTATGTGTCTGTGGGGATGTGTGGCGATCAGAAAGAGGATAAAGACACACAAATCCACTATAACATACCGGCTGAGCTGAAGGCTGGATAGTTTGCAAGCGAGTCAGGTACCGCCATTGGGTAAAACAACTACAATAGCTCTTACCGCTTGCAACTACAAATCACAGAATATCGTCAGCAAAGCGCAATCTCTCGTCTGACGAAGGAAACTCACATCTTCACGGTCTTTCCGACTTTGGCTTGTCATCGGCGGCATAAATGTCTCCGTGTACGCGCCTAAGTCCGAAGGAGTCTGTCTCCGTGGGCGAAATGAATCCTAATCACAAAGCAAGTATGAGACCACGGACGTTCGCTTATAATCAGTAAACTCGTACCATCGGTACCGGAGGAAAAGCCACGCCCGGCGGCGGGGGGATAGGTATCGGAGCCGGTGCATAACCAGGACTGGGAGGTGGCCAATATCGAGTTCCGGGCAAATAAGGAGGTTGAAAAACCCTACCCTCACCGTCCACATGGCTGTAAGCCATACCCTCACCGTCGCGTCGGCTATAAGGACCCGTTGACGGGGCGTAACCTGGCTGCGTCGTACCCCAAAGGCCAGGAGCGATATCCCGAGGAGGTATTATAGGTATATGGCCGTCATGACGGTCTGGGTCACGAATTTCTGAATCTGCTCTACGCCGACGAGAGGCAGAGTCGATGGGGTAGACAGTGTCGCCGTCGGTAGTAGGCTCTGCAGTGACACCGAAAGAACGACTTCGTGGGCGACGACGTGAGGATCCGTAACCACTTTGGCGAGGGATTGCAGGTGTTCGTGAGTCGTATGGGGCGCTACTATGGGGTGCACGACTCCATGCATCGGCCTCTATGTAATGCCAATGAACTTCAACCTGGGATGCTGAATGGAAGCCAAAAGAGTAGCTCACCGTCAAACGAGTTGCGTCTACGATCATCCGCATATCCCGAAGGTACGATAGATTCGCCCCCATACACCGTCCTCGGACCCCTCGAGCCCCGTCGGGTGGATCTCTGGCTTTGTTCATCACGACGTCGAACCGTGCTGGGAAACGGTTGCCCATGCGGGTCAAATATTGGGGCTCGCATAGGTGACCGTACGAATGCTCCAGTGCCAGGGCTGTCAGCCACATAAGACCCGCCCCAACCTTGTGGAAGGACTGAAACAGAATAACCCCGACCCTGAGTTTGGATCTCTGTGGCCGCCCTCTGATTCGCGACAGGTTCTCGCCGCTCATCAGTACTGGTCGAACCGTCCGGAGATTCGGAAACTTCTTCCACTCTGACAGACCGTCCTGTAAAGAAAAAGGTCGGGATACAAGAAATGGCAATAAACAGGAAAGCACGCACGATGTTCGCGCACTGGGATAATTGGCATGGACGGCATAGGCGGCGGCGTGGGTCGACTGACCTCCTCAGACCCAGAACCCGCATCGCTCAACCTAGGCGGGATAACTGGCACCATGTCGTCTTCCGGCCGTCTGCCCTCGTCCTCTCCTCGATTCCTTCTACCTCTGCGCGTACGCCTACGATCTCTACCGTTCTCCTCAGAGTCCCGGATACCACCATTTCCACTCGAAGCAGGAACGTGAACTTCTAACACGCTGTGCTCTGGACTTGGAGTCTGTTCGTGTTCGCGCTCGATGGTATTCACGTTGCTTTCTTCGTCGTCAGGAAGTGGGATCACGGGCGCGTCATCGTCACCGCCGTCCTCGTCGTGGGGATTGGCGTTGCCATTCGCGTTCGTGTTCGCGTCTTCGGGCGAGATCCAATCGAGAACTCGACGCGCACCAGAAATCATCGTAAACCTAGTGTGTTCGACGCGTTATAGGTGCGAGGAAGCAGAGGATGAAGCTAGCACGTCGTGGAGATGCTCGTCACGCTCTTGCGAGAGATTGAGAGAAAGAGAGTGGGCGCAAGAAAAAGCACGAGGGTCAACGCAGGCTCCCAAGGACGTCGGCACTAGCACAGTCCCTTGGAGGTTCGGTTGTGAACGTTCATGAATGCTTCAAGCCCATCAGATCAACAATCAGACAGAAAAAGAAAAAAGAGCTAAGATAAGCGCTCAGGGGGTTTGACTCTTCCATACCATGAGGCGTTGAAATCGACGACAGCCATCATCCACGCTCGACCTGGGTCCTGAATATATAGGAACGTTAACGTCGAGAGCCGTGGAAGCGCTCGCCGAGTCGCTCTTCTGGTGCAGGTAAATGGGCGTGCAGAAGTAAATATTGCTAGTCATGGTGGTGAAGGATTCCGTCCGTACTAGTTGACGAGCGAGGAGTACATACAATAAGATACAATATTTAAATGTGGTCCTCGCTGTGGCACAACTGGCGAGTGCTTGGCGCCCAACGCTCCGGACCCGGTCGTTGCCCCGCAACAGGGCGCTTAACGAACTTGTGTAGCGCGCCACCCAGGGCCACACATTCACTATTCAATCCTGCCTGGTCACCCTCCATCCAACCAACCGCGCAGAAAAGAATCGTCAAGACAGAATATACATTCGTACTTTCGCGTTCGCCAGTTGCCAATCGGCTGAGTTACGAGTTACGAGTTACGATTTGTTATGTAGATGAGTGGAAGGTAAAAGGAGGTCATAGAGATATTGTACGTATTGTATCGAGTATGTATGTATGAGAGTAAGTATGGAGGGTTGGTTGTATGTATGGAGGGTTGGTTGTATGGAGGGTTGTATGGAGGGCTGTATGGAGGGTTGTATGCGATTCGTTGGGTTCGGATTCGACAAAGACGAGGAAGAAAAACAAAAGAAAAAAAGAGTCAACGTCGTTTGGTTAGGCGTCGTATGCTTGGACGTCGATGGCTATGTGAATGGTTCAGGATGTGATTCGTCACGACGACGGTGACGGTACATATGACGAACAGACTAATCACTCGCGTTGACAGAACTTGAAATAGATAGAACGGTGAACGATAAAGAAAAGTGGAAAAACAAAACTAGGAAGCCATAAAAGACCAAAGACTACATCTCGGCAAAGCCTAAAACGATTCGACGATGACGGCGTCTTGGCCAGAAACAAAAGTCCATCACAAAGTCAAAAACGCCTCCCGTCCAAGCGTGCTCTATATCAAACAAACCAACAACCGTCAGCATCTACACCAAAATCTGGGCAGATCCGGAAGAATAAAACACACCTTAACCTGCTCAAAATTCGCCAACGCCTTATCCAATTCCCATCCATTCCCCGCCAAACACTCCACCGCGAACTGGACCGTCAAGCCCGTCCGCTGACACACCTGCAGCACCAGGGAACGTTGTGGCTCGGGCTTCATTTCACAATCACAAACACAATCACAAACACAATCACAACGCACACCGTCAGTCGTCTGTGCCACACAAAGAAAGGAGAAAGAAAGGAAGGAGGAGAAAGAGACGCACGATAGGATTCAACGCCTCCTGCACCACCGGCGGAATCTGCAACACCGAAAGCGGCGCCGCCGTCCCCGCCGCGCTCGTTGTAGGCACCGAAGACGAAGACGTGGAAGACGAAGAAGGATCCGGCGCCTGAACGAGTAAAGGACCGGGTTTCCACGCTTCGTGGCTCGAGTAGTTCCGCACGACGAGTTGGTCGGAAAGGATCTCGACGTCCCAGCCTGCGAGTTTCGCTCTTGAGCCTGCGGGAGCTAGTGCTAGGATGAACGATCGGTCGAAGGAGCGGACACCTTCGGTCGGCACTACACCACACATCCACACCCACCGTTAAGTATCCAATATGCTAACGCGTGAAAGTGAAGAGAAGAGAAACTCACATTCCACAAACTGCCCATGTATCGACAAAAACAAACACGCCATCTCCCCCTGCTGCACCGGCCACCCATCCACACAAAACCTCTCCCCGGCACCCTCTCCCTCCATCTCATGCCTCGTCCTCGGCAACGCCTCCAACGCGCCAATCACCGCCTCTCTTCCCACATGCATGCTCTTCACCATCTTCTCCACCGCGTTCGCGATCCGACTCAGATTGCGCGAGCCGCCGTGGCCCGCGCCGAGCCAGGTGGACCACTCGAGGTTGCGCTGGTGTGGCATTTCCTTCGAGTATTGGAAGCCTTGAATGCGCGCGCGGGCGGGGATGGAGGTGTTGGCTTGGAAGGAGAAGGTTGCGGAGTCGGAGTAGGCGTCGAGGAGTGCTGAACGCTGCGTGTCGAAGAGGGGAAAAAACCTGGAGAAGAAGGAGCTGACGAGGGCGCCGTCGACGCCGACTACGAAGGCGGGCATCATTTGGGACGGGAAGGTGGTGGCTATAGGCCGAGGACCGGTGTGTGGTGCTTTCGATGTGCTGGGCCCGTCGAACGCGATCTTCGTTACCGGTTCTTTGTCCAGCATCTCTAGCGTGGGGAACCGTCGAAGCATGTTGCTGAGCGTGAGAAGGTGAGCCACCGCTGGGTGAGAGTCAGACAAAAAAGTGATTTTGTGGCTTACTTCTTGTATGTGTCCATTCGCCCGTGCGATTCGTCGTTCGTTCGGAGGGGGTTTCCGAGCAGGATGAATTCGCGTAGGCACTTGAACTTATCCGTCTTGTCGGTATTCATGTTGATATGGTCGAGGTCGGTGAAGCGCTTGATATTATTGTTCTCTAGCGATAGATTGGCGAGGTCGGGGAGGTAGTGAGGAAGAGTCGAGAGCGCATGGCAGGTGTGCAAGTTGTTGTTCGCTAGAGACACCGTCTTGACCTACGCAGAGATTGAGCAATGACTTCATGCAAAACAAGCGCCCGACATACCGGTGGCTTCAATGAAGCGGCAAGCTTGAAGATGACGGCGGCTTCTCTCCCGTTCGCCCCGGGCACGCCAGGTGGCAGGACCCGAGCTTTTCCGAGTTCTTCGTCCTCAGACATTCGCTGCGGTGTGAGATGAGCGTCGATATTCAGAGACGAAAGGAAAGATGTATGAATGGACGGACCTCGAGGTTCAGAAACCTGGACTCTGGGTTGTATCTCCTGTTAACAAACTCTCTCCAAACCTCCAGTGGCCGCACGGCCGTCATCGGCCGTCCCTTTGGCTCGACCCGTGTACCATTGAGGGAGATGGCGTTCCTGCGAACACGACCTGCCGGGGTGGGACGTGCGGCGCCTCGGATGCTGAGGGGATCAGCCGAGGAACCCAGCCTTTGTGCAAGCTGGTGAAGCAAAGACCAACGGACGGACGGACGTGCAGTAAGAGGACAGTCGAGAGAGAGGGGTGGGTTGGGTGGAGGGAAGGGGGAAGAGAGGGGAAGGACGGGAAGATGAACATTGTAAGCTCTACGTGTTACATACAAGAGAATAGACGATGCCGACTGTCGAGTACAAGAGAGCGGTGAGAGAAGGAAAATAGCGACGGTGTATTTACCGTTGAGGAACGACTGGGACCGGGTCCGGGTCCGTGCGAGTCGCCTTTGATAGAGTCGATCAGACGTGGTTTGTGAGAGCGAATCTTGGAGGTCGTCTTTCGGGCAGCATGATGCTTGTCGGTGGCGTCGCGCATGCGCTCGTCTCTGTCGATGAGGCCTGCGCTGCGGAGGGCGTTGGAGGCGACGACGCGGCTGCCTGAGGGCGCCGCGATGGCGTCTGAGTACATTGTCTGTAGGGCGATCTGGAGACTGGGGCGTGCAGGCGGTCGAGGATGGTCGTGGTTGCTGTTCAAGCCAAAAGACGGAGCCGGGCCAGCACTTCACAGCCCGGAGCACGAGTCACACGGTGACGCCCGACGGTCACGGCATCTGCTGACTCAGCCGTGTCACTGTCCACCCACCCCGTTCAAAGCGAGATTTACCGACCATCAGGCAAAGCTCGCAGGTGTTTCTCGAATGCAGGGGCTGCGATGAATTCCTGTCTGAATGTATGTAGCATTTGCCGCTGCGATGCCGAAGAGCGGAGTGCGAATTGGGCGCGAAAAGCAGGATTGTTGATGGGTGCGATTTGTTCCCACGGACGGCTGAGAGGGTTGTTTTGGTCCTCGAAAGAGTACATTGACTATATTTTATCAGCTCCGATCCCCAAACGCGTTGGCATGGATAGCTCTCAGCACTATCAACCTCTTTCCCATGCACTCCATCCCCCGCAGTACTCGTCCTACACCCCGCCCGCCCTCGAATACCCCTCCAACGCCGGCACCGGCGACCAGCACCGCGAGGAAGAGGAGGAGGAGGAGGAGGACGTCGTCGAGGAGGAGCTCGACGGCCACAATCAGCAGCCGAGCCCGACCAACGGGCAGGGCTCTGCCCCAGCGTATGTCATCTATCTCCCGTCACGCACGCCTTTTGTCTTTTCCTTCGTCTAACATCCCCCTTTTGGCCCGAAGCCCGGCCGCGACCTCGACGGACGGTGCTGGCCAGCAGCAGCCCGAGCAGTCCCAAGCCACACTCGATGCGGAGAACAAACGCCGGCCGGGACGACCCAAGGGCTCGAGGAACAGGAAACCACGGGACAGCGTGAGCGTGTCGGCGAAGGCGCACCAGAGCACGTTCCACAGCAGCTATCCCGCCCCGACGACGGCGCCGCCCCCCGTTCCCGGCCTCACGCCCCAGAACCAGCAGTACTACGAGTTCCAGTGGCGCGTGCTCAACCTCTGCTCCGAGTTCTATGGCGCGGCCGAAGAGCTCGTCAAGGCGACGTCCCCCGTCGTCATCCATCAGTCGTACCAGATGGGTCCATCACACAAAGTCGACCCGCTTGCCATGCTCGGTGATGCAAAGCGGATCTGTGATTCACTCGTGAGTTCTTTCTATGTTCGATACAATGTCCCTCGGAAACACCTTCACGGGCCACACCGTTTGGCCACCCTCATCTCACTCCTCCGACCCCCTCTCCACAGTTCCAAAACCCCAGCCAACTAGTCGGCCAACCCCCTCCCGCCGCGACCTACCCTCTCCCCTACGCCCCACCGCCCCCCCTCGCCTCCACCTCCGCCTCCCCCACCGGCCTCCCCCCCTCGCAACAGCCCCCTCCCACCGTCATCAACAACCCCCAATCCTTCATCATGCCCCTCGGCTATCCGCCCGCCGTCTACACACCACCACGAGCCGGCTATCCCACCGCGCCTTATTATCAGTATACGCCCGCTGCGGGGTATTACTCGCAATCTCCGGCCCCTGTCCCTGCCCCGGCACCACCTGCTCAGCCCTCTGGATCCGCACCACCAGCGCCATCGAACGCGCAGACGTTCGCGAGCCCGCATCCCCACCCCCATACGGGCGGCGTGCAGTCGACCCTAAACATGAATCCGGTGAATGTGGGGGGCGCATCGGGGACGTGGTCAGCGGAGGAATCGGATAAGTTGAGGAGGTTGGCGGAGATGGGGAAGACGAGTGGGGCGACGAAGGATGGGGAGGTGGATTGGGATTGGGTGGTGGGACAGTGGGGGAGTACGAGGTCTAGGTGAGTTTTCGTTCTCGTTCTCCTTTGTTTCATTTCATTCCGCTTCGATTTCGGTTTGGGTTGAGCCCGAGGGGGTTGTGGTGTGGGACTTTGGATGAGGATGGCGAGACTGACGCGTGTTATGTGTCATGAAGGCATCAGATATTGCTACGAGCGACAACTATCGGGCTCAAAGAAAGTACGACCCGGGGAACCAAACGACGTCGCGGGAACACGGAAGGACCTTCCAACTCCAACTCCAACTCCAACTCCAACTCGAACAATTCGAACACGAACCATACCACGTCTGCGAACGCGTCGCCTGTACAGAACCATAGCACGCCGGGCTCGTCTTCCACGCAACCACAACCACCACAAACACAGGGACAAACGCAAACGCAGATACATCAGTCGCCCTCAACCCAAAACACACATCCACGCCCCCCTTCCTCTCAAGCCGCACATTCGACAACGCCTCTCATGACGCCGCTCATGCCTCCCACCACTTCCACCACTTCCACCTCCACCGCATCCACCAACAACCCCATCACCAACACTTCTACACCGCACACACCTCATACACCCCACATCTCGCACGCCAGCACAAACACGAACACGAACACGAACGCCACACAAGCACCGGCACCGGCCGTCTCGAGACCGAACCTCCCCTGGCCGATGCCGACTGTAGCGGCGCCCGATGGGCTTGGGGCTGTCTTGGGTGGTGGGGGTGCGACGGCGGGTGGTGTGGGTTTGAGTGGGGGGCAGCAGAGGGGTAATTATTATAGGCCGGGGGCGGGTGGGACGGCGGGTGGGAAGGCGGCGGGGACGTATATGTATGCGAATGGGGGGAGGGGGTGAGGTGGTATGAAGATGAAAGAGGAGAGAGGGAAGGCGAAGGTGGACTTTTCCTTTGACTGATTATTCATTTTTGATTTCGATTTCGATTTTGATTGAATTCTTCGTTTGGTTGGTTGATCTGTTTGAAGTGTCGATGTCTGTTAGTTCGATTTCTGGCCAATTCCTACTGATCATGATCATGAACATCGCTAGTCAGGTTTTGTCGTCGGGGGATGGGGCCCTGGGGTACTGCTCTTTGCTCGTTTTTTTTCTTCTCCTTTACTCCTTCACGAAAAGCGGCGAACGGTACAGTTACGGTCGCGGTTACAATAATGTTGCGAGCCTTTCCCTCTGTCAGTGCTCTTGGTTTGTCTTTGGATGAACACTTTTCTCGCTTCTCGCTTCTGCTTTTCTTTCCTTTCTCAGCCCGCTTTTCAATTCTTTCCTTCTCACTTCTCAGATTCTCCACGAATTCGTAGCTTACCCTTTATGTTATGTTATGTACTACGTTATCGATATCCCTCTCGTATCCGTGTTTGCATCTGCACTTACACTGGTCAGTTGCTGGTCCTTGTGGTGCTGGTACTGCTGTTGGTGGTGCTGTTGGTGGTGCTGGTTAAATTACTACGCGGTACACAATGACAATTGTTCAGTGCAAGTGCAAGTGGCCAAAATGCAGCAGTACGAGCACAGCGCCGGATCCTATATAGGCCTGTTTTCTGCACCGTCACGGACAGAAATGAATGAAAACAATTTCGTTCTGCACGATCCAAACTCGCCCGAACAAAGAACAAAGGTACTTAATCACCTTGCTTGCAAGGTCTCTGGACACCCACAAATCGTGGGAAGAACAACGCAGCATCAACCGGCGTTCCCCGGTACTCCCGGCGTATGCCATCCACTGAGAATAAACCAATCCCGTCGTGCACCGTTGGGCGTTCTCGCTTCGAACCTCAACGACGTTGGTATTCCGGTACTTACTGCTATTGCAATGTCGCCAAACTCCAGCTAGACCTGGGCAACGCACTTCCACAATTTCTGGGCAATACAACGTGCCCAGCCTGCCATCCTCCGCCATCTACTCTGCGCAGTGTCCCTTCAACAAGAGTTTGTTTTCGAAAGCCCGAAGCAGTCGAATAGTCGATCTCCCTGAACTTCGCGACAATATCACATTAAGATCGAACAGGTTCAACTCTCTTCTCGGAGGCGAGGCAATGTCACTCAGTGCAGCCGGGAGTCCTTGTGCCCGGAAATCTGTGAAGCCGTACGCAGCTGTCATGGAGGATTGATGTTGCTTGACGGTGCAATCTACTGTGGCCTCTCGCTGTGTTTGGACTCTCATCTTCGGTCTTTGCTTCTATGACATTGCGTGACAAACCTTCTAGCTGTGTGGCGTGTGTGCGGTCTAGTTCGACAAGGATGCATGCTGGCATGTAATGAAGCACGACCGTTGACTCGTCTCCATCATGATATTGTTGTTTGCCCTCATCCAGAATAATGCTGGAGGTCGTGCCTCGAGCCCCACTCGTGATATCAATGTCTATCTCCACATTTGTTGTCACCGTAACTCTCATATCCATAGCGAACTCGGCAACGACTTGAAGACCTGTGCGTTTGAGTCGTCTCTGGCGCGGGGTGCTGTCCTGATGCACGGCCAGAGTGTATATCTTGCGTGGAGTGACCCATTTGACTGTTTGGTACTTTCCCAAATACATACTGACAATGGATTTCGTCTGGTTCAATCCGTGTTCAACATAGTACTACCTTATAGCTTAGCTTTTCATTTCCCGAACGTCAATTGCATCCAATACACCGCTTCACTCTTCTGATAAGAGGTTGTATATATTACGAAATTTTTATCTCAAGCAAGGTGTCCGGCGACGAAGTCGACACTTCCCCCAGTATGTATGTGTTCTGTGTCGGCAGAGTTCAATATTAATGGTAAGTATCCATTTCTGCGCTGGCAGAAATTTAAAAGAGAATCCTGTGCTGTGGAGTATGTAGCGGCCAAGGGGGGCTGACAAAAATAATTCTACACCGGGACTCGATTTTTGTCTTAACGGCCATCCGAGTCGGAGTTGAACTAACTAACTACGTAATCAGGCACATACCCATCTATGAAATACACGTGTCGGGCTTGCGTGTCTTCAACCGCCACAAGATCTCTCGGTCGCCCAAGTAGCGGCCGTGCGAACGGTTTCGTCAGCTCCGAGTCGTTCAGAATCAGGGCAGCAGCTCTCTTGCCAACGTTCAACGTTCGACGTCTACGGTGAACTTTCATGTTGAATTTTCAGTTTGCAAGCGTCTTTCACCATACTGTACTTTTCCGACCTACTGTTCGATTTCAAATTCCCGGAGTTTGCCGGCCTGGCGCCACACATCTGTCCCCCTGTTCGTCGAGCCCGGGGGACAGGGGACACTGTTCAATGTCTTAACCACAAAAATATTACTACAGGGCACTGGATGAAGATTTTTCACTCATATATGAGTGCTCAGGGATTTTAGTAAGCCAGAGCATACAATCATCAACAAATTTCGGCCAAAACAGTGCAAAAACATCAATCGGAATATGTTCGTTGATTTTCATTATAATTATGAATTTTGCTGAATTACGAGCATGTCCCCCCTAGCTGTTCGTTGGGGCGGTGAGAGGGGGGGACAGTCCCCCTAAAAGTGTTCGGTTCGGTGGGGTGGGGGGACAGGGGACGAACAGTAGGTCGGAAAAGTACAGTACATTGACATTATCTGCACTATTGACTTGCACATCTGCACATCTGCGCATTATCTTGCGTACTACGTACCGCGCTACCTCGGAGTCCCTGACTAGACTCCGAGTCGCCATCTTGTCCGAGTCGAACGTCACGGTGCAGAACAGTAGTAACTCGATCGCCCCATTCTGACTGAGGACTGAGAATGGACGAGTTTCTAAACCAGTACACCAGGTGAGCTTCAGGCAAGGTTTAGTGCCCCGAAGATCCACCAGTAGTAGATGGGTACCGAGCGCGACTATAGTACTAGTACTTGTGTAGCCAGCTCACGGGGCTAGCGCTGATCGTTCCATCCACAGTTTTCCTGGTCCCGACGAAGCGTCGAACAGTCTCGCTATCAGAGATATTCTGGACGCACGCATAGAAAAACTTCAACAGGCCATCCAGAAACTTCGGGATCATCGCCAATCAATGTCTTCCCTCCTCCGTCTTCCAACCGAAATCCTAGCCAAGATCATGCTCGACTACCAAGCTCTCTTCCCACCCGTTTCCCCTGGGCCCAGTTTTCATCTTGCAGCTGGGCAGAGGACCGTCGCTTCATGCAGGTGGATCGTCATCACGTTTGTTTGCCGACGTCTGCGCCAGGTCGCGCTGGATGATTGTCCCTATCTGTGGACAGACATCCTCATGGAACCTCGATGGGTACCCAAATTTCTAGCACGATCGAAGACACTCCCCATACGCCTTCGAGTGCATGATATGACTCACCTGGACGATTATGGAAGGGAGCTGATGTTCTATGGGTCGATTCTGGACGACCAGTCTTATCGCACGAAAGAGCTCATCATAAAGACTAACTCCCGAAAGTTCCTCACAATGCTACTAGCAAGGCTTCCAGCCTCTGCACCTTCTCTGCGATATCTTTCAATTGAGTGTACAGAGACGAACTATTCTGGACCCGCCCCGATCAGCTTTTTGAGCATCTCAGTCCCCGGCCTTCGTCGTCTCGAGCTGAACGGCTACTTTCTCCCATGGTCCGCATCCGTTTTCCACGCCGGCCTTACTTCCCTCAAGATTCACGACAGTCGTTCCGACCCCTCTTCACGTATACCTTCGCTGGTATCGTTACTCGACGCACTCTCGGGCATGAGCAGCCTTCGATCGCTCATCCTCGACAACTTACCCCCTTCGCCTGAATCTCCTAGCGAGAGTCACCGTGACGCTGTCGCAACCGCAACCGTCCAATTGCCCGCACTCAGGTCTATCCAGCTCGAAGGCCCTGCGAACGATTGCGCACGTCTACTGCGCCATTTGACGTTCAGCTCGGAGCTGAAGTCGTTCAAAGCGACCTGTGGGTATGGAGCTGCCTACAAGCCGCTTTTCGAGTGGATAGCGCACTCGTTTCCGGGAGGAAGGCATCAGGCATACGGATATGATTCAGAGGGTGATGTGAGGTCTGGGAACGGCCAAATGCGCCGTTTGAGAGTCCAGCGATCTTTGGAGAGTCAGGAGCTTGTACATATGTTGCATGTCTTTGAGGGCTGGACGGTAGCATCGCCGATGCGAAAGTCGTCGTCTCCGGTTTTCGACCACGACAACTACTGCGACAACGACAGCGTTGATAACGACCCTGATGATCCCCAGCTGGCGATCTCGTTCATCAAGCGTCGAGGCGACGACAACGATGCGCTCAGTCCCATCTCGGGATTCATGCAGTCCCTACGCCTCGGGGATGTCGTATCGCTGGATATAGCTGGAAACGCAAACAGAGCAGACGAGTGCTTGACACGATACCTCCCAGAGATGACACGACTGGAGCATGTCCGTATTGCGAATGCCGACCGGGCGCTCGCGACCTTCCTCACCATCTGGATCACCGAACGGCATATCACGCCAGATGTGCGATATCACGATACGTTCCACCAGATGAAGAGCCTTACGATCGCGAATGTACATTGGGGCTTTACATTCAGGGATGAGAGCAGAGGGGATGAGTCAGAGGGTAGAGGGTTACGCAGTTTGTTCTTGAACGCCCTTGTGCAGCGGAAGAGGATCCATGACAGAAAATTGGGGGAGCTGCGGGTTGAGAGGGGGGATGTGGGGCTGATGCTGGAGACAATTGAGCGCTTTGTTGAGACTGTTGTGGAGGAAGAAAGGAACTAATAGGCTCGAGGTTGGACGGTGCTCAAATGTTAGTTCTCGGTCAGGTATGGCTGTTTTGCTTGTATTGCATCGTAAAGGGTCCGAGAGAGTCAGAGGGAAGATTGGCACCAGGCGACACCATTTTCACTTTTCCGTACAAATCCAGCGACCTGCGGATGTTCATTAGCTGGACATCCAAGTACTGTAGAATAAAAGGAACAGTATTACTCCATTGGCGGCGAGATCGGAATATTAACGCGGTCATTGATAACCGCTTTCAACCAACAGGTAGTACCTGATCGCAAGCATGTCTCCAGTAGCTTTTGATAGCAATCAGAGGAGAAACCCAGAAAGGGGCCACGGTGAAGAGGTGAGAAATAGCCAGGATTAAGATGATTTGTCGGTGTCAGTGCGGACTTGATCTGCACAGAATCGAAGATACTTACACCAGCAACAGTCTATAGTGAAGAAGAACAATTGTCTTCCTCGATCTTTGAGTCTGGATTTCGAGACTACAGCAACAGTACCATTGCAGTGAGCAGGTGAAATGCTTTGAGGATTCTAGACGGTGCCAGATCATGTTCAGTAGATAGCCTCCAGGAAGGAAGCTTGATTTGACAGCAACGTGACGGGAGAGATAAAGCACAATACAAGCCCGTTGTTTGAGTATCTCCGGGGCGATTGAGCGATTACAGGGATTGTACATACAACAAACGACAATGAAGAAAACTTCGAGTGCCCTGAGGTACTACCTAGGTATACAAAGTCAGAGTCGCAACCCGGACATCCCATGTCTCACTCCGCGAAAAGCTTCTTCAAATACTCCCCGGCCGCGCTCCTCACACTCCCCTCCACCGCTCCATTACTCAGAATCTCCGTCGCAATTTCGCTCTTCTGCCTAACCCTCTCGCCCCTCATCTTCGCCTCATGCTCTCTCTCCTCTCTCTCCTCTCTCCGCCTCTCCATCTCCATCCTAATCCTACTCTCAGTCTCCTCCCTCTCCTCCCTTCTCCTCAAATACTCGAGCCGGACCTTCGAGTCCTCTTGCTGCGCCTGCAAGAGCCGCATACACGTCGTAAGCAGCGTTTGAGCAACGGAAGTAAAAGCAGCTATAGGCTGCTGCTGATTCTGCGGCTGCGAAGTCTGTCCCGTGTTCAAATGTGACGCCTGCTGCATCGACGCCGACGACTGCTGAAACTGCGCCTGCTGAAGCTGTCCCTGCCCCTGTCCCACCCCCGGCTGTGACTGCTGCTGCTGTTGCTGCTGCTGCAACTCGTTCTGCTGAGCCTGGAGCGCCGCAGGCCGCAAGGGAAACATCGCCGGCTCGAACCCCATTCCGATCCCAGTAGTTCCTCCCATCCCACCAGCACCCACGCCCCCATTCCCATTCGTCACTACCGGCGATCTACTCCCATTCACACCCTGAGGTTGGCTTTGGGGCGCCGGGACTCCCTGTACCGATATGGCTGATAGTCGATACGGATTATGAGGTGGTTGAACCGTCGCGGTCATACCTCCCGAACTCGCCGTGGATCCGGAGCTCGTCTCATACATCTGACCGGAATTAAGCGGCGCCATTCCGCTCGGCGTTGTTGGCGGTGAGGGGATAGAGTCGCCTGCGTCGAAGGGAGGTAAGTGATCTTGTAGGGTGCCGTAGTCGCGGTCGCGAGGGAGGGACTGATGGTGAGCGTGGTTTTGTGGATGATGTGGGTGGTGATGAGAGGGACCGGAGAGGGGGTCTACTGATTCTTCGGAAGTGGGTGTAAGGGAGTGCATGGGTGGCGCTGGGGGTCCCATGGTTCGACGATTTCCGCCGCTGCCTTGGGCTGGACGGTGGATGTTGGGGTCGCCATGGAATCTGAAGATTGCAGAAGACATGATTAGCGTGAAGGTGGAGAGAGAGAGAAAGAGAATAAGTGAAGAGGATATCACGACGGGGCTTAACGAGGATCCTCTAGAGTTGAATTGAACAAAGGACCCTTTCGCCACCGCTAAGCCTCGATTGCACAGACCTCAGGCTGGATAGCCCGATTACGGGTTTTTACCCATAGAAATGTGTGAACAGTTCAACTTACCTGTGATAGAAAAGTGCATACCAACCCATCCTATGCCAATGATCCAATATTCTCGAGCTCAAATTCCCCACATGAAAACCCGCCTTCCTCGCCGCATAAATTTTCCTCTCATACTCCCTCAGTCTCTCCGTCTCATTCTCAGATCTCAATCGCTGGTTGCTCGCTTCCTGATCTACCGAGGTACCGCCTTCGCTTTGGGTGGGATTTTGGTGGTGCATGTTAGCGGTGAAGGTCTCGAAGGCGTAGATCTGCTTGAAGACGACGAAGTTGCGTTCGTAGCAGCCTTTGACGGCGAGGAAAGTTTTGCGGCCACCGAAGGCATCCATTGCGCACTGTTGTGGAAGTGTGCCACATAAGTATTTGATGAGAATATGAATAAAATCGGGTCTGGGTAGCGAAGATGTGGCCCGCTGGTGTCATCCATAAGGATGGAGTGCAAACGGTCATTCAAAAACAACTCCCAATTGTGCATTATATAAACAGGCACTTCAAGCTCCCTCAGGAGTGCGGTTAAGGTTATTTCTGCATATCTGCAAACTCACTGTCCCCCCGAGCCGTTTTATCCCTAGCCAAAGCACACACCAAGAACAAAAGCAACAGTGACCGAATGAACTCACCTCCCTAAAACACGTATTCTTCTTCGTCTTCAACGCGTCGAAATGCTCGTCCATTTCCTGGCCCAACAACCACACAAACAACTTTGTCTTTTCGTCATCTGACCAATGCCGCGCAGCCGTATTCCCACCTCCTTCACCCTCAACACCATCCACTTCGTCGTCGTCGTCTCCTCCATCTGCTCCAGCATCGCCAGACCCCAGTGCATGTCTTCGTTTCTTGCTTCCACCTACGCCACTCGATTGGCCATACGTGGCGTCGGTATATTTCCGCTTCGGAGGAGCGACGTGGACAGGTTCTTGTTGACGTTCAAGCGGCGGCGTAGGCTGGAGGTCTTGCTGTGACTGCTGTTGCTGAGGTTGTGGCGGAGGTGGCTGATGTGGCGAATAAAACGCCAAGTGATCTGTCGGGTGTGTAGAGTTCGTTTGCGTGATAATATGGGCCGGTGGCGGATAATGGTAATGTTGTTGCGATAAATGTGGATCGAGCGCTTGGTTGAGTGACTGTGTGAGAGAGACAAGGTGCTAAGTTTTGAGGCCCAGACCAAATCCATGGGGGTTGGGTTCCCCCGACGAGAGCACTGCGGTAAGGACTGACCTGAGCTGTGGGATCGACGTGAGCCGTGTGGTCGACATTGACCCCGTTTGGATCCTGAAGAGGATTATGGCTGATCATATCGAGAGAGCAACATGGTCGCCAATCAGGTTCGGTTTATGTTAGACCATGAATAAAAGGAACCATTGACAAGTAAAAGGACCATGAGCAGGCACAAGAATCAAGGTGAGCTGGTGAGCATAGTCGATGACAATGACGGCGACAACAACGTCGACGCCGGGAATGCAATGGGCAACGACGGCGATGGTGGTGGCGAAGAGGAAGGATGAGACGGCTTACCTCGCCATCTGGCAACGGACTGCTTGACTGAACTGGGTTGGCGGTCGAGCGTCGCGGTTCGTCTCAAGCCCGATCTTTCCCAACAGACCCGTTCGCAGAAATCAGTTCCTCTTTCCTTTTTGGGGACGCAGACTGGCTCGCGGCGTATCGCAAGCGACGTAAAGCATTGCGGTTTCTTCTTACCACAACGCCGTCGCATCTCAGCCATCCCTTGCAATGTCTATACTTTGTCTTCCGACCGAGCTCTTGCAAAGTATAGTAGTGCATATTCCCTCGTCTCTGTCGTTCTCGCCACTCATCGCCGACACGCCAAAAGCACCTTGTGGTCCCCTTGTTGAGCTTGAACCCACCCTCCGAAGTCTTTGCGTAACGAATCGCGTTTTAAGAGCGATTTTTCTGCCATATCTCTATGACACCATTGGGATTAATATCTGTCACCCCGACGTGAACACAAAATGTGCACGTGCTGAAGCATTCTTCCTCCATACACACATGGATATCCTGCGGTTGATTCGGTTGGTCGTTCAGCGTTCCTGGGGCATACCAGTGTCTCTTTTGCATAGCTGACGCGCTGGAAATCTTCAGACATGTCTTTCTTTCTTGTCGTCAGCATTATCAGCAATCGCGAAGGTCCACAAAACCTACTGCAGCGCACTATTCTCGCACACAAAACATCCACAATCTTACCATCCCTCCTCTCCCTGCATCTCAAATTCGACGATCTCTTAGTCGGCGAGGACTTCATCAAGACTATCAACTCACATCCCTCCCTCCAACGGGTCCATATCCGTAGCATCTCTCCATTGACGACACATTCCATCGCCATCGCGAACATCAAGTACCCCTTATCCGTGTCTTTATCTCGGATTCATTGTACAGACGCACGTCTGGACGGGATGCGACGTGCCTACAAGAAGTTTCGAAACATGTACGATCGGGGACCAGAGAGCGTTCGCGTGAAGCGCTTGACCGTGTACGCCAAATCAGTGCCAGTATTCCCTGGAGACTGGACCCAGATAACGTTCAATGGGCTTCGGGCATTAGTGCTCAAGGCAGGCAGCCTGGACTTCTCCACAGAGTGTAGCGAGTTCATTGCTCGGCATGAGCTTCTCACGTATATCATTCTACGGGATGCAGATCATCCGAGAGAACTTGCTGGGTTCCCACGCATGTCGTCTTTTCACAACGCAGTCGTAGCACAAGATTTGGGCGAATATTTTCGTGTCGACTGCGTATGGTTGGTCCGAGGAGAAGACGCTCTCCAGATTGGTGATGGTGCGAATGAAGAACTGCGCGTGAAGAAGGTGAAGGTGTGCATTACGACTGCGTCCACTGCCAGGATAGAGGACGTCATCTCTTGCGTTTTGGGAAACCTGCCCCCTTGCGCTGAGTTGTCTCTGATGTGGGCTAGTGACTATGATGCGGAACGGATCATTGTGGTGCGTAATATCTCCTGACTTCCTCTACTTCGCATGCTCTACCCACTATCATGGTAGCCACATCAGTCCTCCGAATCACGCAATGCTTGATCAATAATTGCTAACGTTACTCTGACATGGAATATTACAGACGCATCTCTGGGACATCATTCTAGACAACACGCCGAACCTACAATCCCTCGTCACTCTACAATTGGTGTCCTTCTTCGACGATGGAGAGGATGGTGATGTTCTTCTGTCGCGCGATATGGTTGCTGTAACCGCGCTCGGAGAACGACTTAAACCTACCGTCCGCGAGCTCGTCAAACGATGTCCTCGTCTATCGACTGTTATCGTCTCTCAGATGGCTGGATTTAGGTTTATGAGGTTCGTCGTCCCGGACAGAATTCATTCTGAAACAGAGCGGAGGACGAGGACTGGGGCCGCAGAAGGGAAAGGGACGGAGTCTGTGGACAGAGGAGAGGTAGTAGGTAAAGAGGATGAAGATAACGTAGTTATTGAATGGGAGTGTCATAAGTCGAGTCAATGGTGGGATCTACGTATATAGGCCAAGATATCATGTAGGCAGTTGCTTGCCGCCCGCTCAATTGTGGTTCATTCTAGTGCGTGTTGCGGCCAATTGAAGGCACATATGTGCACCGATGATGGCTGACTCAAATCGCCTCGGAAATTATTGAGACTGGTAAGGATCGAGCCTGTTGACTTATCACTTCTGACACATCGTCGTTTCGCGTTGCTCAATTCTCGTCGTATTTTCCTTATTTGACACAAACCTAATAAGTTAGTTCGATGGATCCATCACATCAAGCGGAGGATGCGGAGTGTTGGACGTTTTGAGATGGGGGTTGATGGGCAGTGGTCACCCTGCAAACTTCAGGTCCTGAAATCGGCCGTTCATAGGCAAAGCTCTGTGATAGCAACAATTCATACAAGTGACAAGATACTACTCGACGTTGACTACATCTTCGTGCCCCTCACATCCGCCGCTAACGAAGCCATAGGTCTTACGCTCGGCAACGGTCCCCAATCGAAACTCGCCGGCGGAGTCGGTGAGCGCCTGCTTCCACTTCCACCACTCCTGTTCAACGGCACAGACTGTCCATGTGTCCGAGTCCTGGATCCCGAGCTCCTTCTTCCACCGTGAGGAGGGGAATACCCGGCTCCCATAGGAGGAGACGACGGCGTGAGTTGAACGTGCAGGCCCTCGAGGTTCATGCCAGAACCGGACCTCTGAATGGATTCGAATGCTTTGGGGGCGGCAGGAGCCGCGGATGCTGAGGTATTCAAAAATGGCTCCCGCCTCACCTTCAGCAAGGCGTCTTTCAATTTATGAGCGAATCTCTCAGCATTGAGCGCTGCCGCTGTGGTGACCGCCACATTCGGCGTCACATCTCTCGCTCGTCGCGAGGCAACATCGTGGTCTGGTAGACGCTTATCTCGGAGTGGCGAGGATGTGGCCCTTACATAGGGAGGAGAGGAGGTCGACGCTGAGGGATCGTCGAGTTCGAGTTTGGACATCCGAGCAGTGAGTTTCTTGATCTCGACCATCTGTTGATCGATGGCGATATCGATATTGCGGAAGGTCCGGTTGACGGTGTCGAGGGAGGGAGGCCTGTTTCCACCAGACGTGAGAACTAATCTCAAGAAAATATATGTAGGTATACGTACTTCAGGCCAGGCTTGCCCGTCTTACTATGTGCGAGCTTCCTCTTCGAAGCTTGCAAATGACCCTCGAGTTTTTCCACAAGTTCGCGCATTGCCTTTAGATAGAAACATCAGGGTAAAGGCCTTCGTAACTGGGAAATAGTTGATACGCACCCGAATCTCCCTCCTCAGTAGCGTCTGCGTCTCCATATGCTCAGGATTCAAGCTCCTCGTCTTCAACATCCTCGTAAACTCCGCATCTGATTTAGCTATGTCCAGACGCACAATCTCTTCCTTCCTCGTCTTCGCTGTATCGACAGAATCAGTATTATTGTCGTCGTCAACGCAGAATGGATGATGTGACAGGACAAACCTTTGAGCAAATCGCTCTCTGCCTCTTGGACTGAAAGTCGGTATCCGTCACACAGCTTCTCCAGTGCCTCGACCTCCTTCCTAGCATCCTTGACCTTCTTTCCGAACATTTGGATGTCGTTCATTGTTGGTACACCTTGCTGTTGTGCAGCGGGGGATGGACGGATCAACTCTTCCCGCTTCTTGTTCGCCTCCTGGGCCAATGTCTTCAACTGTAACAGAAAATCAGCGAATGAAAAGGGGCAGACAGTGAAAGTTGTGCTTACGTCTTCCAACTCCTTGCCCAAATCGACAAACAGCTTCGCACACTCCCTCTGCATTCCCTCCTCCAAAGCTTCCAACGGCGTCTGCGTCGGCACTTGTTTCTGCGGCTGAGCACCTTGCCCGGGAGCTGGAGCCGGAGCGGGTGAGAACACAGACCCGAAAGCCGTCTTCTGTTGAGGTTGGACAGACGGTGGGGCCGGCTTCGTACCCGACGGAGGCGTCGTAGAGCCCGCACCCGAACTGGGAGTCTTGTTGAAAAGACTCCCACCAGATGGCGCTCCCCCGCCAAACGCACTACCCAGCGTCGTCGGAGCTTTTGTCCCGGGTGCGGTCTGACCCGCCGATGAGGTGGCACTTGGTCTTCCAAACCCAAATGACGAAAGGAGTGGCGGTGTTTTCGGTCGTGGTGATTTCTTCTCGGTGCCCGGTGGCGAAAGGACGGTAGGCATGATGATAGGCTCTGGTTTGAGTATAGGGGGCGGTGTTCCACGCGTCGCGCTACCAGCACCGAACAGAGTTGAAGTTGGAGGCTTGACTTCGGACGGGGATGTTCCTGCGGTGGAGGGGGCGACAGGAGGGGAACCCCATGAGCCGAAAGCAGGTTTGGGTGAAGCAGGTTTGGGTTTGGGTGCAGCCAGCGATGGTGTGCCAGTAGCTTTCTTCTCCGTTTCCTCGTCACCGGCCACTGCCTCTCCGGCCAAGGGCGAACTGCGAAGCGGTCGTGTGCTGGGACGACCGAGACCGATCGCTGCGCCCAAGGCAGGAGATCCTGACGGCGACGGTGCTTGTGGCGTAGGCTGGAACACCTCCGCGGCTTGCAGCTTCGGAGACCCAGGAGGAGTGGTGCTCTGAGCTCGAGAGCCAGTCTTGGGCATCTCGGGTGTGGTAGGCTCGATCTTGATACTGGGCTTGGGCGTGAGGGTGGCAGAGCGTGAAGGAGGGACCGGAATCATGGAAGGCCTGACGGTAGTTTTCTTTTCTTCTTCAGCCGCCTTGATTTCAGCTTCGGTAGGAAGGGGCTTGGTCTCCGTGGCGTCGGTATCTGGCTCATCCTCCTCTGGAATCTGCTCCAATTCGGTCGGACCAATGATCTCCTCTTCGAACTCATCGTCATCCTCGTCCTCGTCTTCTTCGGGTGGCTCCTCTGGCTCGTATCCATCTGACAAAAAGTCCACCGTATCATCGATATACTCTTCTCCCTCTGCGTCTTCCGAAGTAGGCGAAGGCGGAACTTGCTGTTCGGCCCCTTCATCCTCTGCTTCTTTGCCTTTCTCTTCCCTCGAGACGTCCACGAACGACGACGCAGCAGAGTCTGTACTCTGCGACAGTTCCTCTGTAGCAGCCGCTTTCGGAGGCGTAGGGGCTCTCGACGATCCCTTGACCTCCTCAGGTTTCCCTTTTGGCGTCGTAGATGCCTCAGGCTGAACAGGCGGAGGCTTCTGCGGAGTTGTCGTAGGCGTCGTCGACGGTTCTTCCTTCTTCACCTCCTCTGTCGCCTTAGACTTCAACACATCATTATCACCCTGACCCCCTGCCTTCAACAATTCAAGGAAGGAGGGCTTGGGCTTGTCTGACTGCCCGGCCAGCTTCCCAAACGCACTCTGCCCCCCGCTGAACGCACTGAACGCCCCAAACCCAGAAGGAACCGCAGGGGTGCCCAACGGAGTCGTCGAAGCTGGCGTTGTAGATTGAGGCGGAGAAGGCGTAGCCGGCTCCGATCCGAACGAGGACGACTGACCAAACGAAGAGGATTGCCCGAATGCAGATTTCCCGAATGCAGACTGTCCAAAAGCAGACTGCCCGAACGCAGACTGCCCGAAAGCGGGTTGACCAAACACCGACTTTTGAGCCCCTAGAGCGGACGGTTGTCCGAACGCAGACACCGGTGGTTTCCCGGCTGGAGTAGTCGTAGTCAGGTCGGAACTCGAGAAAGCTCCTCCACTGAAAGCACTGCGGCTGTCACTGTCCTGCGACTGTTTCGCCGCCTTCACGAACGGAGATTCCTCGTTCAAGCTTACCCCAAAGCCAGTCCCGGAGAGTTTGCTTGCAGTGAAAGGCGACGCCGTCGTCTTGAAGCCCGAGAACGCGTTCCCCGTAACCTGTGGTTTTGCCGGTGCTGGTGCCGGTACTGGAGCTGGTGCAGGTTTTGGAGAATTGTCCGGAGACGAAAGTGGGGATTCCAGCCCGTGGGCTTTAGGTGGCCGCATAACAGGCGTGGTGGGTTCGGACGGGGGAGAAGCGGGTGTAGCGAACGCAGGAGGCGCTGCGGGTGGTGGTGAATCGGAGGACATGGATGGGTCAATGTTGGTTTGGGGAGGCGGTGGCATCTGTGCCGGTGTAGACGGTGTGACGGAAGGAGAAGGTGTAGACGGTTGACCACCGAAAGCTGGAGCGCCGAAAACCGTCTGAGGACCTCCACCGAAGGATTTGATACCTTCACTATTACCAGCAGTCTTCCAGGCGGGAGTGCTCGAATCGCCCTGTTTTGCGGCGGCACCGAAAGAAGACAACCCAGATGTGGCGTAACTGCCAAACCCTCCACCGCCACCGAAAGCAGACCCGGACGAAGCTGGCGCGGTAGGTGTGGCGCTCGGTGAAGGACTTCCAAAGCTAGATTGACCGAAGGCGGGCGCACCGAAGGCAGAAGCAGGTTTTGCTCCGAAACTGCTCTGTCCGAAAGCAGGCTGGGAGCCAAAAGAGCTCTGTCCAAAAGCGGGAGCGGTATTAGCGGTGCTCATACCGAAGCTAGGCTGCCCGAATCCAGACGAAGGTGCTGGCGCGGGAGGAGTCGGTGAAGCGGCTGGTTGTGCAGGTTGTGTAATTTGCGCCCCGAAAGATCCGAACATGTTATTGCCAGTCGCGCCTGAGTTTGACTGAGAGGGGGCATCACCGCCGAGAGACATACCACCAAAGCCGAAATTGGGAGCAGCTGCCTCTGTCGGAGTATCGTCCATCGATTCTGACAACTGTTCTTGTATAGGGGGTGCGGGTGCTGGAGTAGGGGCTGGGGGAGTAGCTGACCCGAAAGCTCCAAAGCCTGTCTGGCCGAACTTCGACGGGCCTGCCGTAGCGAAAGCAGAAAATGCGCCTCCGGCCGACGACGAACTGGGTGCATTTTGTCCAAACGCTGAGCCCGACGAAGCTTGTCCGAACGCTGGTTGTCCAAAGGAGGGCTGTCCAAACGCTGAAGTGGGCTGTCCGAAACCCGATGGTTGCCCAAACGAAGAAGGTGTGGGGGTGGGGAAGGAGGTGGTTTGGGCGGGCTGTTGGGCGGGCTGTTGGGCGGGAGTCGCGAGTGCTGGTGGACTGCTGAAGGCGGCGGGAGCGGATGATTCGCCGGTCAGCATACCAGGATAGGGCGTACCATTTCTGTTGATGATAAACCAAGCGCAAATTGTTCCGTCGCTACAATACGCATACGCGATTGGCGGAGGAGGGAGATCGACCGTCTCTCCGGACGCTTTAGTATCAGCGTACGATATTGTGTTGTGGAGATCCAGCTCGAACCCTAACATCGTCGTCTCCTGTGAGTCATCATCCAACGGCATGCTGGGGGTTGCGATGTCCTCGAGCGTGATGCGTTGCCATCTGTCTTCTGTGGGTGAGATGGCGACATGTCCAATGATGCCAATGTCGGCCGTAGTGCCATCGCCCATGAGCATCAAGATTTTGGCAGGATCCCAATTTCGCATGACGAGAGGGAAAGCGCCTGGCGGACGAACTGCCGTAGGAAAGAAGTTCAAAGGGATTCGAGTGTCTAGTGCCGTGTTACGCTTAGAATCATGGGAGATAACTACGTGCGTTTGCTCGGCATTGACGTCGAAAGGGTCGGTTGGGGCATACATGGTGTAGAACAGAGGATTTGATAGCCATGTGGCGTGCACGAGACTTTGGCCGTTGCTCGCGGCTGGGTGAGGAATGAACGACTTTGGGTGTGCAGGTTCCGTGGGACTGAAGGTGATGATGTCGCCACTTTTGAGACCGATCGCCAGTTGTTTCCCCTTCGGTGACCAGGCCACTGCGGAAAGGAATCAGCCAATCGTATCAAAAGGGTATATCGAAGGTGCGTACAGCTGGTTGGATATGTCTTTGGCGACCCTCCACTCCTCCACCCCGTAATTGTCTGGAATTTTGCCACGTCCAGAACTTCAAGCAGCTGGCTATCTGTGCGTCCATCTGGTTCGCGAAGCACGGCAACCAATTCAGGTAGGTCTCCTGGGTTCGGCATAATAAAGCGAGCCGGGCCACCAGTGGGCGAGGAGAATGTATGAAGTGGCTGAATCTCGTTCGTTCCAGGTGTACATAGTGATTCAGAGTCAAATACTGCGATCTCTCCACTCTTCAGGCCCATGATAAGCCTAGAGTCGTTCAAAGCGAATGCGAGATAATGGGGAATGACCGAGCCAAGCTGCATCGTTCGTTGTGGCGTGTATAGCTCCTTGTAGGTGTCCGTGACCTCCAGCAATCGCGAGCGCATATGCGATACCTGCGAGCCAGCCAAGGCTACAGGTGCTCTTTGCTGAGAATTTCATACAGAAGGCCAATATTGGAAGACTCACCTACTCCTCCTGGCCCTCCATAGGTTATAGCAAAAAACCAGCCCCGTGTATTCGAACTTGTGAAGAGCTGTGCGCGTGATGGAAGAGTGTCGAGTTGAATGATAGATGGTGATATTCTGATTCGAGCCTTGTTATTGACGAGTTTTACCGATATAAACTGTAGGACAAAACAACAATTAGCGCAACGCGGGCAACGTGCGCTTATACGACATACCTCTGGAGTCGTTTCATCAGCTTCGGCCTCCGTCCGCGAGACCTGAACCTGGGGAAAATTGGGCAGCTGGCACACATTCATATCTGAATGTGCAGATGTCCTGAGGAAAGTGACAATGTGATGATGGTGGAAGAGAGGAAGCCGTGTTGGCTTGAGTCAATTGTAGACACTTTCGCACAACTTTCGCAGGCGCGAACGCGACGCGTCGTCACGTGCATTGGTCTCGGCCAGAGTCTCGGAGCTTTCCGACGAGTTCGCTCAGTGTTTGCCACACGTTAGTTCTGTCCTTTCTTCCAACTTCCCCCATCTCTTGTATCTTTCCCTCTCTATCTCTTGTCTATCGCGTCTTGCGGCTTACGATTTGTTGTTAGGTCATGTGTATATGACCACTAGTACTCCCTGGTCACCCATCCCTCCAGTTGTCTTTCGACTGCCGCTAGGCTTCATATGCATGCTTCTGACGTCGTCGAATTGATCATCACACCTACAACATAAATAACGTTCCGAACAGTCACCGACAATTATTGAGGTCTAAAATTATGTTCAATGAGTCTTTACCGTGTATACCATGCATACTCGCCAACAGTTTCCTCAATACTTGCTCTCTGGGCTGCTTGTGCTCGATCGAGCCTGCCCTGCACTCATCACGTTTTCTCAGATATCGTAGAGCTCAAGCAACAAACAGTCAGACTGGACTCAAGAACCTTCCGCCAAGAGCTTTCCGTCGCCGGCACCGAAGTGGTAAACTTCGGTACCAGACTATTAGATGTGACTTGTCATGAGGACCTGCCTCTGTAGAGGGTGATTATCGGCATACCAGAGGGGTACAATAGAGGCTGGCAGCTCGAGAACAGAGTTATGCGCGTGGAACAAGGTGTGTAGTTAAATGGCAGGCCCGAGACACTCCAGTCGCTGATCTCTTGATCAGAGTGCACATGGTTTTTCCGAAACTTCGACTCGTATTCTTTCTTCCGTGTACCCAATTAGTCGTACGTTGTCGTAGCATTGCGACCCACCGACATTGGAGCCCATGGTGACCCAGGGCGATGTTCATTAAGCCGGAACTTTCTCGCTTCAAAACAGCACAAGATGATATCCATATCGGAATCAATTCGGGGTTGCGTTGTCAACAAAAAGGAGAGCGACAGAGAGATATAGCCATCAGCTTGATCTCGTCCTCAGGCCAGTTTTCCTAACCTCTCCACCAACTTCTCGTCATGTTTTCTTTCACTAGTCTTCTCACCGCTTGCGCCGTCATCACCGGTACCCTCGCATTTCCCTGGACTGCTGACCAGTTTAACACCACCCTCACCCCACGCGCCGGTACTCCAAGTGAGACCGGGACCAACAACGGTTTTTACTACTCTTTCTGGACCGACGGTGGAGGGGATGTGACCTACACCAACGGTGATGCCGGCTCTTACAGTGTCCAGTGGACAAACTGCGACAACTTCGTTGCCGGTAAGGGCTGAACCCTTCTCACCGAACTCCTGTCCCACGCGCCCGTATTGACATGAACACTAGGAAAGGGCTGGAATCCCGGTGCCTCCAGGTACACACGAACCCTTCTCATCTCATCGAACTCCTGCTCCACGCGCCCGTATTGACATGAGCACGTCGTTACCAGATCCATCTCTTACACCAGTACCTTCGCGCCAAGTGGCAACGAGTATCTTTCCGTCTACGGCTGGTTTGAGAATCCGCTCGTCGAATACTACATCGTCGAGAGTTTTGGCAGCTATGACCCTAGCACCGGCGCTACACAGCTCGGTTCAGTCACCTCTGATGGCTCCGTCTACAATATCTACCGTACTCAGCGCGTCAACGAGCCCTCCATCGAAGGTACCGCGACGTTCTACCAGTACTGGTCCGTTCGTCAGACCCACCGTACAAGCGGGACCGTTACCGTCGCCAATCACTGGAGCGCGTGGGAGGGGGCCGGCTTGACACTTGGCTCGCCCAACTACCAGATCCTTGCGACGGAGGGATACCAGAGCAGTGGTTCTAATTCAGTTACGGTTAGTGACGGTACGACGAGCCCATCTAGCGCTCCAGCACCGACTAGCACGTCTGCGGGTTCTGCTCCGACCTCGTCCTCCCCTCCATCAGGATCTTGCTCCGGTATGTTTGTTTTCTTATCGTAAGGAAGGCCTTGCTCTGACTCCTTACTCGACATTCAGCCCTCTATGGTCAATGTGGTGGAATAGGATTTGCGGGACCCACTTGCTGCTCCTCTGGAACTTGTCAGTGCTTTTAAGATGTTTTCTCGACTCTGGGGTACTGACTTCTCGCACAGGCAAGACTTCCAACTCCTACTACTCTCAATGCCTCTAGATAGGAGTGCACGCACTCGTAGCTGGTGAGTTTTGCCGTGTTATGAATGATCGAACCTCTGTCGATTGCTGATGATCGTTTTAGTAGGTCGTGGTTCGTGCTTTTGTATGCAGACGTTTGCGACCACTCTATCGTGGTTGTGTTTGAAAATCTTGGAATGTGTTGTACAAGGGTTTCGTACGAGAAGCGCTCGTGTAGTTTGTTAATAGCGCTGCTGGCATGGATTGGAAATTCAGAGGCTGTCATCCTGCGATTCGCTCTCTCTCACGACGTGTCAAAGATCTACACAGAAAACTAATACGCCTGACGGTAACGTTCGAATGAGTTCCTGTTCGGTAGGTGTAAGAGCAGCCGGAAGCAATACAAGGTGCCAAGCTAACAAGATCTTATGAGTGTCCAAAATTGTGAAACGAGAATACATAAAGAGTTCGAGAATTCAAGTGTTTCCCATCGCAAAATGCTCTCGACCATCACGGCGCCAGAACCAACCACCTTGCCCGCATGAGCACAGCATGGCACGAGCTCTACTCATCAGCCTTGAAACCAACAGGCACATACATCGGCGCCCCCCTCACCCTCCGACCCGTCGACGCTCTCTTCCTCGCGCACATAACCAGCGCCAACACGCAAAGGACGGCCCCAACCAAAACGTTTCCGCCAAGCAGTCCAACGACGACAGGACCGAACCAACCCATTTGATCAGCTGAGTCGCCACCATCCGTCGAGCCCGGTCCATCCGCCTCCACACGATCCGGGGATGACGGTCCATCAGTCGAGGATGCAGCCGAACCAAGCGTCTGTCGAATTTGCTCAAACGTAGCCTCCGGTGCACTTCGCGCGAGTGCTTTCTTGCGACTGTCGTTGAAGTCTACGAGTGAGTCTTTGGGTTTTTCGAGAGGTAAGAGTTGGATATAGGCGTTCTTGACGTCGTTTTTTTCTGGGTCTTCGAAGTCTCCGTAGTCAAAGAGGGAGTAAACGTTACGAAGGAATGCATCGCCGAGGGATGCATCGAATCCTTGGCCTATGAAGTTGTTGGTGATGTATGGAATGGAGGTGCAGACGACGGTCTTCTTGTTGTCGGAGGTAAGGAAAGTCGTGATCTTGGTAAGATCGAGAGGATGGATGGGAATTTCCTGACCGCTGCCCAGCATAACATGAACATCGCTATCAGAAATACCCCTGAAACCCAATCGATCAAACATACCCGAATGTAAAGCGAACGTCTGCGGTCGAATTGCATGGTAAAATCCAATACCCATGCAGCTTGTCGAAGGTCGCATTCGGCATGCCACCGTAAATCGCATCAACGACGGTCTGAGGCAGACGAGCTTGCGTAGCGCCCGTGTCGAGGAGGGTGACATATTTTCTTTTAGGCACACCCTTCAAGCTCGAGCTCAACGGAATATTCATCCCATTTACCGATACACCATCCAACAAGACGGTCCATCGTGCCTGTGAGCCAGTATTGTATTGTTCCAACTTCGGCATGTTCCCAATGTTTTCGAACCCGTGGACGTATTCTGATATCGTGAACATCCCGTCGGAGGTTTCGTCGAGATCGCCAGAGCGTCCAAGCATGATGGAAATGAAGTTGGGAAGTGACTTGTCCTGGTAGAAGATGTTCCCGAGGGGACTTTGGCCTTGCGTAGAGTTGTGGTATGCATCGACCACGGCGGACAATATCGGAGAAGCACCATCGTCGGTATTGAATCCTAGACCAAGAATACCGAAGACTCCCTGAGAGAACAGGATGTCTTGAAACTCCGTGAACTGTGGTGGCGGGACGGAAAAAAACACCCGAGTAGTAGCCTTTTAAAGGATGATCGTACATTTGACTAGGGAAATTGAACATACCTGTGTCGCGTTCACAAAAGCTAGTAAACGATTATATTATCACCGTGACACCAGTGTGATATATAGTAGGAAAATCGTACCTTGTGACTCGACTGAGTATTCACCGATTGAGAAGGGCGCAAACGCGACGGGCCCTGCAGCTATGGGTAATATTGGGGTAATATATCCTCAAGTCGTGTTCCGAACGATATGTAGTCGTCGCAAAGACGAACCTGATCCTGCGCCGTAAGTTAAGTTTAGAGACTTGACGTCCTCAGAAAACGTAATATCTTTCAGAGTCTCTTGTGGAAACACCCAGAGGTCGGTTGAGCCTGTATCTATCTGGACAGTGACAGCTACAGCACACCGTGTCAAATTAGTTGTGAAACGAGATTATGTAAGACTGACCTTGCCCCCCAATGTCGATATCAGTACGATACTATAAGGATGTCAGCAATGTGTTATTGTTCGACGGCGGTGAAGGGGCATAAAACTCACTAAGTTGTTTCTTACGTTCGCAATATCTGGCTGGGCCGATCCGGAGGAAGAGGCACTGGAAGTTGAGCCGTACTTGAATAGGATCCCAGAAGGAGACGAGAACGAGGCTGCGCGCTTCTCTACGGTCACAGGTAAGGTAGCCTGGCACATGCCCGTCTGAAAGTGAAATAGTAGAATAAATAACAACTTCAACATCGCAGTCAAATTGGAGGAGATCTGGCAAGCGTGGAGACATGGTCGAGATCATAGGTATTTAAACCCCAAATTTGCTATGACCGGGCACAGCACCTGATGCACATCACACAGCTCTAAGTATCAGGAGGGAGAATTCCTCTAACGAGGCGGATTGTGAGGACGGCGGGTTTTACGGAGGTTCCCAAGTGGTTTCAAGTACATCTCTGCATCAGTTGCAACGATGGGCACCTAAGGCTTAGCGTTAACCTTTCGCGGAAGGTCCCTACACAGCTCTGAACTCGAGGCCATGCCCTGACTCGATACTTAGTGGAAGTTTGGTGGAAGTTGATCACGGATCGGCTGGCCCGGGAGTTTGAGTGGCGCGGCGGCGGAGTGTAAAGCTGAGGTTCAATTTGACGTAAACGATTTGCAACTTACGAACTCGAACACTCCCTCCCTGCAAGATATGTACAGCGACAAGTGGTGTCAGAAGCCTTCTGAGGCCGCCTAGAAGACTGTCAAGTGCGACTGACCTCATGCCACATATCGTACTAAGTATCCCACAATTTCTTTGATCAGATTTTTCCAGATTGTCTTCGCTAGGTCTGATTGCGTGGACGGCGTAGTATCTGGGAGCACCTCTTCCCCGTTCAGTCTCTGGTATTTCGAGACCTGGAGGCCCACTTCGACGCTGCACGCAGGAATTGACGATGAGAAGCGGGGAGTACAAATTCAATTGCCGAACCGAACCAACTAAACAATACGGAGCATTCCACATGAATCCAGCCCCTCCCCCTTTAGCAAAGAAACCTTCATATAAAACATTCACCGTTCTCCTTGTTCGCGTTCTTGACGCTGCTCTTCGGGTTCCAACACTTCGATTCTCCGTTCTGATAGCAGAAGTAAGCCTTGCCTCCTTTGTTGAAGCAATTGTGGGACGACAAAAAGCCATTGGAGCGGTCAGGGTCACAGCTGTATAGATGGTAGGCATATCAGTCATGTGAAACGATGAGTGTCCACGAACCGCCGGTGGATAGGCAGAGGGTATTGTGATGGTCGAATAACTCACCCCTGTGCGGCCCACGCCCTCTGGTGGAGCTTGTCTGCGCTTTGACATGAGCCCCCTGGGCCTTGATTGGCCTATAAAGTAACATGAAATATAGCTACGATCACAGCGAAAGGATTACGAACCACAACTTCATCGGTTACATTGTATAAAACAGTTTGATCTGAGGATATTTTGGGGTGAGTGAGACCTAGCTGGTTGTCGAAGGGATCCGAAGAGGAAGCAGCGACATAGGAGAAAAAGAGGAGGGCAAAGACCGAGGAAGGCCTAGGAAATACCATGATTAGTGGGTAAGACGGAAGTCACTCGGTCGGCGGAGGAATACGCCCCAGTCCTTGCTTTATATATCACGAGCTGACGATTGTAAATGAGGGCATATAACGACTTCGGAAGTCTCCTCCTGAGGCAGTAAGCGTCCGAAAGATATCCCGGAATAGGTGCTGTAGGCAGCATGCATTTTCGGCATGTTACTGTAAGTGGTTTCCGGCGCCATGAATCTCTCTACCTGACGAGATCATGAAGTGGCGTCAAGGTTTCCTTTCGGCAATAACATCAGCACAACTTTCCGCAAAGTTTCCGAGTCAGATGGTGAGGAGAAGGGCTGAGAGTCTGCTGGACAGCTTCCATAGATCCCGTTTACACGAGGAAAGCATAAGAAAAGAGATCGTGGGTGAGGCGTCGTTGTTCCATGACTCGGTAGACGATGTTCCTCCAAGGCTGTCCTGCACGGCTACTTGCACAGTTCTAACTATAGACGCAAGCAGCGAAAGCATGCTGATTCAAGAGGTCAGCAGCCATCTTTCGTGCCAGTCTATCAGTCTCCTCGACCCAACGGTCAAGGCACAAAGTCGGCGTATTGCCGCCCATCAAAGCGGATACCCCAGGCTAGCCGAATCTGGAAGGCATTCGTGAAGAATGAACAAAGGTTCAAGACACACTTGTGCCACTTCCACCACTTCCATCGTTCGTCTCAACAAGCAGGGTCTTTATCAAAGGCCGCGTAAGACTAGCAAGAGTGGAAGAAGAAGAAGTGACTCGCACCGAGTCATGAAGACAGACTTGTGATACTTAGCAAGTCTCTTCATTGCGGACGAGCAACCGTTTCGAGTAATATCGCGGCTCTGTAGGGCTGCCGCTGAAGAATGATTTCTCATTCCCGGTCCGGGCAGCGTGGAATGACATACAAAGGACGGCGCAATGAAGGCTGAGGAGTAGCTTACCCGAGTACTCTTCGTCCCCACCTTGTCCCACCCTACACTCATCATCCTGTACGCAAGGATTACCCAAACTCTTGAAAAAGCATCGTCCAAGCTGTGAGTTTACCTGCACATTATCCAGAAGACTGGCAGCCGCAGCTGATGTCCCTTACTACAGGCAATGTCTTCAGAACGAGTCCAACCCCCCTTCAGCCTTGCCCGCTCTACAGGCGGAGAAAGCCAATCGCTCCTCTCTGCGCTTCTCACAGCCGGAACACTCGACGAGATATCCAACGCAGAAGATTACGCAGCCGTCGAGCGTTACGTGAAAAGCGCAGGTAAAGCAGATGAAGCTGGAAAGACGACAGCGGGGGTGGCATTCTGGTTATATCCAACAGGCTTGCATGGCCCTTATCATGTTGAAGACGATGGAGAAGTTCAACAGCACGGAGGTTTGATCACAGCGGAACCCGGAGTGGTGGTCGGGGATGTGGTGCAGAAGGCGAGGGCGGTGCCGTTGGCGGAAAATAAGCTGGTACATGAGCATATCGCGGCAGCTTGAATGAACAGAGATATTCTCACGTTCCGAGGATTGAGCAACAATTTTGATGCGGATGGACAGGTATGAAGGCGTGTTCGATACCACACGTCTTGTAGCTCAGGTCCTCAGCAAGTACGAGCAAAGTACGAGCGACAGATATTACGTACTATATGGCGATTCATGAGTGCGATGGCTACACAAATGTATCACTTGAAGCCTGAATCAATATGGCATTAATTGCCAGGAATCAGCACATAAAACGCGACATAGAAAAAACAAGTACGGCAAGAACTGACGGCGACGAGCAAAGCACGGCGTCCAAAAGAGAGCGTGCTCGGCAGACGCCGGAGAAGATCTTTGCCATTCCGCTGATTTCTTTGAGCACTCTACTCATTCTTACAACCGCCTCCGCGTTCTCTAGTAGGATCTCTACGTGTCTCGGTTACATCCGATATTCCTGCATTATATCGTGAACCTGCGTCACAGCATAAACTGAACGACATGTCTGACTGGGGTACCGTACATCTATTTCTCTACAATTGGCCAGGGGATGAGCTGAAATGTAACGGTGTACAGAGGAATCTGAAAACGAGGCTACGCGCTCTCCGCCACCACCACCACCAGCGGTGAAAAAGCCAACGAAGAGCAAGTGGGAGGGTGAGGATGAAGAGGACGATGGTCCGGTCGTACGTCCGACTTTCGCACTGTCGAGCTCACATCTGATGTTCATGTTTCCCATCCGATCTCCGTCGATCTCTGCTGTTTTTTTTCGTCACTTGTAGAGTGACTGGGAAGCTTCATCCGACGAAGACGCAAAGAAACCAGCCCCTACTCCCACAACGACCGCGGCTCCTCCAAAGAAGAAGGGCACCTTGAAGCAAAAGCTCGCAGAGAAGGAGGCTCAGAAGGCGGCTGCGCGCGCTGCAGGAGAGGGTTCGGATGACTATGATGAAGACGCAGTGCTGGATCCGAGAGAGAAGGCTAGAAGAGATAGGGAGAGGGAGCTGAATGCCGACTTGAACAACGCGGCCGATTTGTTCGGTGCGGCTGCGCTTGGTGGTACGTCCATATTCTACCCTTCTCAAGAGACATAAATAATATGTGCACATGAGTCTGACGTTTTATCGCCCTTGTTCTATACAGGAACTTCAAACAAGGACCTCGATAGTCTACTTTCCTTCAACCCACGCACAAAAGACGACTTCGTCTCCCTCTCGAACCAGATCATCGAATTGATCATCAAGCGACACCAAGACAAACCACTTTACGCCTCATTCGTCGAACATCATGCCCGCGCGCTCGCTACGCCGTTGAAGGACGTCGAGGTAAGGAAGGCTGCTAGCGGACTCACAACTCTTGCGAACGAGAAGCAGAAGGAGCAGAGGGACAAGGCGAGCGGGAAGAAGAAGCCAAGGACCGCGGCTAAACCTGGGCTGGGTGCTGCGAAGGTTGGGGGAAAGTGAGTGTATTCTCACGTATCCTGTTCTCCGTAGCTGACGCGACGTTGTCTCCAGGTTGGACACTAACGCGTATGACGAGGCGTTGGACGACTTTGGCACCAATGCAGACGATTTCATGTAGAACAACGGCGCTTGATGTACGCATGGAAGGGACGAAGTATAGCCCATATTGTGCACTAGTTGTTGTGATTCTATAGAACGTACTATCATCTGTATCCCTCTTCGCTGTCACTTCTATTGACCCTCGGGGATGCTCACCATCATACCTCGGAGACTTGTCCCTCTATCACACATGTAGCCGCAATACTGTCGCACACTATCCTCATCTATCTAGAGTAGACGACTGACGTGAAAATCTATTAATTCTTGAAGCGTCATGTCCAACAACTGAAGAGATGACTTGACGCGATCGGTCTTGGTTTTCAGAAGAATCTTGAGTACGCCACAGTTCTTTGCTAGACAGGCCTACGCCACTCGACTGCAACTCTAGCCTAGCGTTTCCCACGGTCACTACAAATTTTGAGTCGAGTTCAATCCAACTAGGGTCATTTTCTACTCTTCCACCACCTTTCTCACCTTTTCTGCTTTTCCCATACGCCGCTGAGGGTTTCCCTCAAAAATGAGCAGCCTCATCTCATGTGCATCATGGTATATCATATCCTCATTTCTGTCGTTTATCGAGAAGGCTCACCGTAAACTTTGGTGTAGGGTGAGGAGAGGAGCCTCTGCACGGCATCCAGCAAAATATGTCCTCGATGACCAGGAGCTAGAACGGGTCAGTGCCCTCGCCCGCATTGAACTCGAAGACGCTCGTGTAGAACTCGAACGCGCACACAAAGCTGCCAATCAAATGGGCAAGGGTGCTGAAGGAGAGGAGGCGGATGATATTGCGGAAGGAGAGGATGATGAGGAAGGATGGGTCGAGTGAGTCTATATTCTTTCCCATTTCATTCCCTGTTTTGGTTTTCTTTGTGCGGTGGTTTATTGGACGAGTCTGTGAAGTGAAGAAGATGAACCGATGGACGAGGATGGGCAGGCTGCGCCACAATCCACGAAGAAGAAGCCCGAGGGCGATTTGTCTGAGTATAATTTGGATGACTACGATGAGGACGAGGAGCATGAGACTGGTGCGTCTGTGCGTGTCACTACTGCTCGATTCAAGAGCTCATATACATCCAGGCCCATTTAGCACCATCAAGGGTCTCACTTATTATCGCGACAACAACGACGACCCATATATCACACTAAAAGAGGTAAAGGCCCTTTATAGCCTTCTCGTCATTAGCGATTCTTATAGTTGTACAGGACGATGAAGATGATGAGCGCGAAGAGCTCGAAGTTCTACCCACCGACAATCTCCTCGTTACCGCAAAAACTGAAGACGAAGTTTCACAACTTGAAATTTACGTCTACGATGAATCCTCCGAAAACCTCTACGTCCACCACGACCTCATGCTCCCCAACTTCCCTCTATGCCTCGAATGGCTTGACTTCCCTCCCGGTTCTGCTCCACCTTCTGCAACCGTCCATAACGACGAAATGGAGACAGATGAGAATATCCCTCCTCCACGATTCGGAAACTATATCGCTGTTGGCACTCTCGATCCCGAAATCGAGATCTGGTCGCTCGATGTTGTGGAGGGTATGTATCCCGACATGGTCCTCGGCCGTCCAGACAAGACTGCAGCACACGTTCCTACGCCACTTGGCACGGGAAAGAAAAAGCGAAAGAAGACCAAACACCGCACCATCACCTCTGCTCATCACGTCGACGCCGTTCTCGCACTATCGTGGAATCGAACACATCGCAATCTCCTTGCCAGTGCATCGGCGGATCGGACGGTGAAGTTGTGGGATCTTTCGCGAGGTACTCCTGGAGGCGATGACAACAGTGGTGGTGAGGCGATTAGGAGTTTCGATAAGATTCATAAGGATAAGGTGCAGGCGGTTCAATGGAATGAGAAGGAGCCGACAGTGTTGTTGACAGGGAGCTACGACCGGACGGTCAGGGTGTTTGATTCGAGGGCGCCGGATGCGGGTGTGGGTGCAGCGGTTGGTGGTGCAGATGTCGAGGCGGTGAGGTGGGACCCATGGGATGCTCACGGATTCTATGTATGTTTCAACTTCCTGTCTTTCACGCCTTGCTCTTCTGGTGGCACTGCGAGGGTGGCCCACCCCCTGTCGAGCCTGAGTTGACAATTTCTATCACTTTGTTTAATCTAGGTTACATTGGAGAACGGTCTTGTACTCAACTTCGACGCACGGACACTACCGACATCGCTCGATTCGCCAGCACCGGCACGATTCACTCTACAAGCCCATGACGGTGCCGCTTCATCTATCGACGTGAATCCTCATTTCCGTGGGTGCATCGTTACGGGAGGAACAGACAAGATGGTCAAGGTGTGGAACATCACTGACGAAGAGTTGGAGGGGTCGAAGAGGAACGTTAGTATGGTTACCAGTCGGGATTTGGGCGTTGTACGTATTTTTCCGTCTATCGCATCCTCCTTTGCCTCTCATCCTCTGATCTATCTCCCTCACCTTCACATCCGATTGTGTATATAGGGCAAGGTCTTCTCGACCGCCTGGTCCCCCGATGACCCTCTCACCCTCGCCGCCGCAGGCTCAAAAGCCAAACTCCAGATCTGGGATGTCGCTGCAAACTTTGGTGCGCGGAAGGCGTTCGGAGCCAAGTTGGCTCAAGCTGGCCGAGAACTCAGAGAGAAGACGAACGGTGGCGTGGTTGGTATTGTCGACGACGACGAGGGAGACAATAGTGGGGGAGAGGGGGAGTGATGTGTTCGCGATTTACTCAAGGATGATTGATTGATGGGCTTGCTATCTGCCTCTAATTAATCTTCTGAATCATTGCGATTAGCCTCGGTGTGTTTTTGGCGCAGCTTCAGCCTTGGACACCAATAATTTTGGGGCAAAACATCTCGTTTGACCGATCTATCCTCACGGGCTTCTGCTGGCCCTTCCGGCATTCTCGGGCGGTCATACATGGAGAGGCACCATCCCCAGGCGACCTCCGTTCATCTTGATTGGCCTATGAGCTAGCCTTCGCTCATTGTAGCTATGCTACCGCTACCGTTCTCCTGTCTGTCCGTGACCAGTTGATCCTTCTAGGTTACACTGAACTGGCGTTTATACTAGATAAATACACCATCGCCGGGACCTGATGCTCATCAGTGGGATAGGTCGACATTTCTTCGCGGCCTTAGGCCTATCGCCACCGTGTTCTGATGAGGCTGAAGCCTCGTTTGCTCGGCAGTGAGTTCAGCAGCCTTTCTCAGCACAATTCCCGGTCTATCTCGGACCTTCTCGACAAACGTTCTCTATACGGCGACCATTCCGACACCTCTGACCCTCGCTATCTCTCGGTAATGTGGCTCCTGTAACATTATGGCAACGGGATCATCTTACTGATCTTCGTGGTGATGCAGAATGTACGCCACCGAGAAGCGTCAGAGGACCGAGAGAACATAGTTCCTCAATATGGACATTTCGCGCTGGTCATGATGGTCATCGTCTCCAATAATGTCGAAGACCCGTGATTATTTTCTATTCTGGTCTACGAGGTTATATTTGAGTGTTTCGACACCTCTATGACTGACAAAACTCGGTACTCGCTCCACCAACTCTTACTCGGTCGCTGATGCTCTCATGCATTTATGACACAACAACCCTGCTTCAATATCGTTCGGTCGGGATATTTGGCCAGGAAAGACGGCATTTTCATGAGCGTTCGTTGCTCGCTGATAGCACGGGTTTCGATCGAGCGAACGTAAGTGCAGTATCGGTCATACACGGTCGGGATGTGATGCGATAGGACGCGAATGGTAAAATAGCAAGATGTTTACTCTACGCGACGGTCTCAGGCTCTCAGGAGAGGGATCATTATGTCCGCCCTACGCTGTTCTGTAGGCGACCTTGGAGGATATAAAACCAGTTGCGTCTCCTTCCCCAGTCTCTCAGAGCTTGAACGCGGTTCTCCTCTTTCCTTACATCCCTCACAAGGTCCCCTCACTCTAAATCATCCGCGATGCTTTTATCCAAGGCCCTTGCCGTCGTTGCTGCGCTCTTGACTACTACTGTCAATGGTATGTCGCCATCTTTCTCTGACCAGCTCATGCATGAGTGGCTCACAAGCTCGGATGTAGCGTACAACTTCACTCGCATCAACAAAAATGACACCGTGCTGCTCATTGTGGATCATCAAGAGGGCTTGTTCCAACTCGTTCGGGACTTTCAGCCAGACCAGTACCGCCGAGCAGTGCTCGCGCATGCGAGCATTGGTAAAATATTCAACCTTCCGGTCATCATGACGAGCAGCTCCGACACTGGTGCGCTTTTCTTTCACAGATACCGTATATCTGTGGGTTCACTCGATCGTTGACGTTTCTGCCATAGGTCCAAACGGGCCCCTCATGAAGGAGATTACCGACATGTACCCGGATGCTCCTTTCATCAGACGTTTAGGCGAGGTCGACGCCTGGGACAACCCTGACTTCCAGGCAGCCGTTCGGGCCACAGGCAAGTCGCAAGTCATCATGGCAGGAATTACCACCGATGTGCGTTGTGTTCCTTGCTATTTCTTTCGGGCGGTTACTGATACTTTGGCGTAGGTTTGTACCACGTTCCTCGCTCTCTCGCTTGTCCAGGATGGGTTCACCGTTTTCGCCAACGCCGATGCCAGTGGTACCTTTGACCTACGGACTGCCCAGGACGCCAATGACCGCATGCGCGACGCTGGTGTCAACGTTTTGTCGATGTTCGCAATTAACACGGACTTGATGAGAGACTGGAGGGATACTCCTGGTGCGCTCGAGGAGCTGCCCTACTATGACCAGTAAGTACTTCACCTTCTGAACAAGGGGCCCAGGTGTCTGACCACTACGCTTGTCAGATACCTCACGTCATACGGAATGTTGACTCGTACCCATCGCGCGGCCATCCTCAATGGCACTATTCTCCCTGGTGAGGACATATAGGGTGACGGCAGAATTGTCTATCGTGCCTCACCAGGACCATTTGATACTGCTTCCTTCTTAGGTGAAGACGCTGGGGCGCCTGACGTCGATGTGGTGCACGATGTTCAAGTTCGGGACCAACAGGCCTTTATATACCCTGCTTTATGACGCTCTCAGGATTTCTAAATCGATTCATATAATGACGGCGATGCATTGGTGCAATATTCATCAGAGTGCGTACCTTGCGGACCGAATGTTTCGATCGACAGTCGTGTCAGAGCTAGGAAATATCATCTAGTCTGACTAGTGATGTTAACCTATCTCTGTGCGCTAAAATAGTACAATCGACAAGTACCTGCGTTGGTCAGCGATGACGGTGATCCTCGTGCCAGCCCGTTGAGACTCCCAGCTTCTCTGCTTATAGAAGAGACGCCGTTCGTCGTCGCCCATTGCACCAATGGCAGAAACGACTTTGCGCTCTCCCAGCACAGTCCCTTCTTTGCTGACTACTCTTTGTAATGCCCATCCTCTTCACACGGCAGACTTCCTCTCAACCCGCAACACGCGTACCACCGCTAGCTACTTTGCTTAATAGAACAAGCGCGTTGGCCGTCCATTACGCTGATGGCAGCATTGACATTGCACTCTCCTAACAATGTCACGCATTTATCTTCTGCCCACACTGTATAGTGCTCCTCCTCTTCGCACAGGGAACTTCTTCTTGACCCACAGACCTGTCGCGGGACCACCTAACTCACACACACCCTTTTGCGGCGATGAGGTGCTTGGTAGTAGACTAACCCGTGTGGTTACAAAACGCAACGGGTCTTCCGAATGATAATCTTACGCTCAGTCTATAAAGAAGAGTGACTTCGTCTCACTTCTCGTCGTCTTCCTTCAATCTCTCTCCTGCAGTCTACTTTCGACTGTATTATTATAACAACAATTCATCATGACAAGCTCGTTGAGCGTCCTCATCAAATACACGGGTTCCCTTCTGCCTTTGCTATTGGGGCCTCCTTCCGTTATCTATGCGCTTACCCAAATATCCTCCGTCAACCTTCCCTGGTATGCGACCGTATCCCTCTATTTCGGGTCTCTGCCTCTTGCGCTTGCTTGTTGGATCCGATGGGTAATTTGGCAGGATGAACGGAACGCAACGCGTCTTGGTGCAGTCTTACCTCCGAAAGTATGCGACAAGAGTATAGGTGGCGGAAACATTCTGAAGAATATGGTCGATAACTTTCGTCATGGCTATTTGGGTAAGCTCTTTAGTATTATGTGCAGCGTGAACATCATCGGAGCTAACACTTGCAATCTTTCACCATGATCAGGGGAGAACGTACGTGAGTGGTCCGTAGAGTACGGAAACACTTTCAATTTACGAATCGCATTCGAGAATCGAGTACGCTAAATACTTCATCTCACTGTCGTTGTTGTTCGAGTTGACATAACGACCTTAGTTCTTCACGACGGAACCCGAGTATATCAAGGTCCGTAATTTTCTGTACCCCGCACACCCCACTTCATCTGAGTGCAGACGCATGCTCTAGGCAATCCTTGCTACTAAGTTTAATGGCTTTGAGAAAGGTACTATTTATTCATCAACTTGGACTATCAGATTGCTCATTTCATTTTTGAGGCCCAATGAGCATTGACGAAAACATGGATCTGCTCGGAATCGGCATCTTCAACTCCGATGGTAAGCTACTATCCTCTATCTACACATGTCCTGATCTCTGACAATTGGCTCGTATGCAGGCGATATGTGGAAGTAAGTCGCACAAGTATCTTCCCTGATATTTTTGCTCTATAGAGCTCACTTTCATCAGATTCCATCGTAGTATGACTCGCCCTTTCTTCTCCAAGGAGCGCATCTCAGACTTCCATCTTTTCGACAAGCATGTCCAGCCTACCCTTGAACTTCTTCGTTCTCGGCTGCAAGAGGGATATGCTGTTGACTTTCAGGTGAGTTGTGTCCACCGTAGGTCCGTATAAACCCGATTTCGAGCACACCATGCTGTCTGTGAACAATTTCTACTCGTCTGGGTGGTCCCACCTCTGGTTTCACAGTCGTCAGAACTCCGTAACGCTTGTGCAGATCCAGCTGCGCGAATGCGCCGCGGTCTCTATATATATGTCTTCCTTTCCTTCACTCGTACGGTGTACCAGACGTCATGGTATCAGTGTAATGTCGGTGGCCCAAGCATCTGGTTCGAAAACTGATATATGCCCTCGTCCCAGGATCTTGTATCCCGATTTACTCTTGACGCTGCCACATCCTATCTCTTCGGCACAAACGTTCGCTCCCTCGAAGCTGGACTGCCCTACCCAGCTCATTCCTCGTCATCCTCTCCCACTCCGTACAAATACAACTCGACTCCCAAAACATCCACCCAGTTCCAAGAGAAGAACCCTGCCAACGTCTTCGCCCACGCCTTCCTAGACGCTCAAATCGCCACGGCTTTGAGGTCTCGGTATGGGATCGCATGGCCTTTGTTCGAGCTGCTGCACGAGTTGAGAGGAAGTGGAAGGATGAAGAACAACATCAAGGTCCTTGAGGATTTTGTGGAGCCGATTGTGAGAAGGGCTATCGAAAGAGCCGATGAAGAGGGAAAGCCTCTGCCTGTGTCCGCAGGTGAACCTAAGTTGGAAGCGGGTATTTCTTCAGGTGTGGAAGAGGACCAATCTCTTCTCGATTATTTGATCCAATACACGAGAGGCAAGTCTAGTATAATATTTCACATGGAAACACGTCGAATAACAGCAGTTCTTAGATCCCGCCGTTCTACGCAACGAGACTCTGGTAGGCGACACGTCCGTCCTGGCGCTGCCAAAATGCTGACTCGTTTCGCAGAACTTACTCCTGGCCGGAAGAGACACGGTAGGCTTCATGCCCTGCGGGTTAACTATCGATATTCTTTACGACAGACTCTTCTCACAGACGGCATGCCTGTTGACCTTCACCACTTACGCGTTGACTCAATACCCACACGTTTTCTCGCGCCTCCGAAACGAAATACTTGAGCAGGTCGGTCCCGATCGTGCGCCTACCTACGAAGATCTCCGCGCTTGCAAATATCTTCGTGCTGTGTTGAATGAGGTCTTGAGATTGTGGCCTCCTGTGTGCGTCCGCGCTTGTAACTATGACCGTGTTCTTTGCTGACCTCGTTCTTCGTTACAGGCCGCTCAATATGCGTCGATCTACTGAGGGAATGGTGTGGCCCTCGAAGGTCCCTGGTGGTAAACCGATATACGTCCCTCCTAGCACGAAGTGAGCACAGCCTCTCATCAAACAATCTGCTTTTCTGACGGAGACTTACTTCAGATGTCCATACTCGGTCTTTCTCATGCATCGCCGAACTGATCTATGGGGCCCTGATGGCAAGTCTTCAGCATGGTTTTGATAATTTGTGGATGGCGTGGTTTCTAAATTATGGATGCTACCTCTCGTTCCCAGCTCTTTTATTCGACCCGGATCGTTTCCTCGACTCGCGCGTGCAGAAATACTTGACGCCAAACCCGTTTATCTTCCTACCTTTCAATGCCGGGCCTAGGATTTGCCTTGGTCAACAGGTAAGCTTCGCTGCTTATCTACTTATTGCTACTTGAGTTTCGATTAAACGTATTGTTCCGTATAGTTCGCCTATAACGAAGCATCCTTCTTCCTCGTCCGCTTCCTGCAGGCCTTCTCTAGTGTATCCTTCGCTGAAGATGCGCAACCGCCAGAGTCGAGGCCGCCACCAGGTCCTGGGGGAGAGAAGATATGGATGAAGTCGCATCTGACGTTGTATTCCGAGGTCTGCGCTCCTTTTATCTTTCTGAGCTGTTTTCACAAAATTGTTGACATGAACCAAACTGGCGGTTAGGGAGGGATGTGGATCAGGGCAGAGGAAGCTGTCCCACTGGCAACCGAAGCCGCTACTTCGACTTGATGTGTGTGTCTACACGAGTGGGCCATTTAAGTGAAATCCGTCGAGCTTGGGCCTAGTATGCGTCGCGCCTTTCGCACTTGCATATCTTTCAAAGTTACAATACATTGAATACAACCCACTTATGATCCACTCAGCCCTGTTTTAGCAGTCAGCGTATAGACTCGCTACTACCCGAAATCGGATTCATCCGACTCATTATGAATAAATCTAACCATCTAGGAGTCGGCGCAGTATGAGCGACTCGGAAGGAAGAAGTCGAAGTGGTCTTAATATTTTTTGCAACTTCGAAAACGTTTCCCTCCGAAAAGAAATTCTCAGTTACATACAGTCGTAGGTTCCCTCACCTCGACTAAAACTACCTGCAACCTACTGCTCAAGCTAATTTTCCAGGCTTTTTGAAGGTACTTATTCTTGGAGAGCTTTAGCCTCGCGGCAGCCTGCTGCCTGAGGCGAATTTCGGCAGAAACAATTCAACAAATAACGTGGCTAGAGAGATGGCTTCCTATCTAAGAGTTTGAATATTTTTTGAAGTCACAATCTGCCACGCTAATGCTATCTATGATTTGTGTAATGAGTTTCTTTTTGAGGGAGACCTCAGGCCTCGGACGTGGTCCTGGGCGTCTAAGTCACCTGACGACGATGGTTCTGAGCCGTATCCAGCGTCGAGGTTGCGCTCTCCCAGCACTTTCCCGCAGTTTTCTACTGCCCACACTGTATAGTGCCCATCATGTTCACACGGGAGACGTCTTCTTTACCATTATTGCCTGTCGCGGGACCACTTGACACACGCACGGCCGTACGATGGAGAGCGTGCTCGGTAATCAACTCACCCGTCTGCTTGTGGTAAAACATACCGGGTCTTCCACATGATACGCTCACACTCAGCCGATTTGCACTTCTATAAGGACGAATGACTTCATCTCTCGTCGTCTGTCTTCACCCTCCGTCCTTCCGTCCGCCTTTGGCTGCTCCATTCCAACAACAAATCGGCATGGCAGGCTCCTTAGGTGTTCTCGTCAAATACACAGGTTCTCTTCTGCCTTTGCTGCTGGGCCCTCCAGCGATTATCTATGTGCTTGTCCAAATATCCTCCGTCAACCTTCCCTGGTACGCGACCGTAGCCCTCTGTTTGGGGTCTCTGCCTTTTGCGTTTGCTTGTTGGATTCAGTGGGAAATTTGGCGTGATGAACGGAATGCAAAGCGTCTCGGTGCAGTCTTACCTCCAAGAGTATTCGACCCGAGCATAGGTGGTGGAAATATTCTGAAGAGGATGGTCGACAACTTTCGTCGTGGCTATTTGGGTACGCTTTTGAGTATTATGTGCAGTGTGAAGAACACCAGAACTAACACTTCCACCATCTTCGCCATGAGCAGGGGAGCACATACGTGAATGGTCCGCAGAATATGGCAATACATTCAATTTCCGAATCTCTTTCGAGAATCGAGTGAGTGTGATGAATACCTTAATCTTACCGTCGTTGTTCAAACTGGCGATGTCACCTTAGTTCCTTACGACAGAACCCGAGTACATCAAGGTTCGTTTTTTTTTATTCCAGTCAGTATTCGCTACCAACAGCTTTACGCTGACTCGGACTCGAAACGCATACTATAGGCGATTCTTGCCACCAATTTCAACGGCTTTGAGAAGGGTTCGATCTTGTCGTCGACCTGAATCATCAGATCACTCACCTCATCTTTTAGGCCCAAGGAGCATTGATCAGAACATGGACCTACTCGGAATCGGCATCTTCAACTCTGATGGTGAGTTGACACCTCTCATTTTCGGAACATTATATCTAACCATCGCCATTTCCTGTCAGGCGATATGTGGAAGTAAGATACCCAAGAATTATCCCTGGTTTTGCGCCTTTTTGAGCATGACCTCCATCAGATTCCACCGTAGTATGACCCGCCCTTTCTTCTCCAAGGAGCGTATTTCAGACTTTCAACTCTTCGACGAACATGTTAAAGCTACCCTCAAACTTCTTCGTACTCGTTTGCAAGAGGGACACGCCGTCGACTTTCAGGTGAGTAGAGTCCATCATATCAATTCTACACTATATCATATTTTCCATAAATAATCCCTACTCGTCCGAACACCGGCATATCTGGTTCTATGTTCATTCCTTATCTTTGCTCGTACCAAACGTATCATGCATGGAACGTCGGCCTGTTTCTGGGGCCGACGCGCATCTCGATCGAAGACTGATATATGTCTCCATCTTAGGATCTTGTATCCCGATTTACTCTTGACGCTGCCACATCCTATCTCTTCGGCACAAATGTTCGCTCCCTCGAAGCTGGACTGCCCTACCCAGCTCACTCGTCATCCTCTCCCACTCCATACAAATACAACACGACACCCAAGATGTCCACGCAGTTCCAAGAGAAGAACCCGGCCAACGTCTTTGCTCATGCCTTTCTCGACGCTCAAATAGCCACAGCTTTGAGGTCTCGGTATGGCATTGCATGGCCCTTGTTCGAGCTGGTACAGGAGTTAAGAGGAAATGGAAGAATGAAGAACAACATCAAGGTCCTTGAGGATTTTGTGGAGCCGATTGTGAGAAGGGCTATTGAAAGAGCTGATGAAGAGGGAAAGCTTTCGCCTGTAGCGGCGGGTGAACATAAGTTGGAAGCGGGTATTTCTTCAGGTGTCGAAGAGGGTCAATCCCTGCTAGATCATTTGATTCAGTACACAAGAGGTGAGTCTTGTGTAAACTGTTGCGAGGAAATACGTATTAAATACGTGGAATATCCAGATCCCGCCGTTCTCCGTAACGAAACTCTGGTAAGTGATGTCCATGCTGGCGCTGTCTGTATGCTGACACGTCTCGCAGAACTTACTTCTGGCTGGAAGAGACACGGTATGCTTTATATACACAGATATCGTTCTTGGTTCATAACAAACTGTCTCTTCACAGACAGCATGCTTGTTAACCTTCACCACTTACGCGTTGACTCAATATCCACACGTACTTTCACGCCTTCGAAACGAAATTCTCGAACAAGTCGGTCCCGATCGTGCGCCTACCTACGATGATCTCCGCGCTTGTAAATATCTTCGTGCTGTGTTGAATGAGGTCATGAGGTTGTGGCCCCCTGTGTGCGCTCACATTTACAACCTCGTGCATGTTCTTCGCTGACATGATATCTGCTTCAGGCCGTTCAATATGCGTCGATCTACTGAGGCAACACTATGGCCCTCGAAGGTCCCTGGCGGTAAACCAATCTATATCCCTCCTGGCACGAAGTGAGCATAGATTTCCATTGGAGCAATCAGCTTTCCTGACAGAGACATGCTAGATGCCCATACTCAGTATTTCTCATGCATCGCCGAACTGACCTATGGGGACCTGATGGCAAGTCTTCCGCGTCCTTCTAATATTCTGTGTACATAATCCGGTTTTTGATTGCTACCTCTCATTGCGCAGCTCTTGTATTCGACCCCGACCGTTTCCTAGACTCTCGCGTTCAAAAATACTTGACACCAAACCCGTTCATCTTCCTACCTTTCAATGCCGGACCTAGGATCTGCCTTGGTCAACAGGTACGCAGATCAGCGCCACTGTTTTCGGTTAACTTAGTGCACATGATATTGAATAGAGTGCATCATCGCATATAGTTTGCCTATAACGAAGCCTCTTTCTTCCTCGTCCGCTTCCTGCAGGCCTTCTCTAGCGTCTCTTTCGCCGAGGATGCGCAACCGCCTGAGTCGAGGCCGCCACCAGGTCCTGGGGGAGAGAAGATATGGATGAAGTCGCATCTGACGTTGTATTCCGAGGTCTGTTCTCCTTTTCTTTGTCTTTCCCGGTCTTCACGAAATGGTTGACACTGACCAACACAACTTCGTGGTGGCGATGATCGGACATAGGGAGGGATGTGGGTCAGGGCAGAGGAAGCTGCACCAACCGAAGCCGCCACTTTCGCTTGATTCGTTTTGTACACACGGGCAGGAGACTCTTTTGGCCTATATCTAGGCGTTGCGCTTTCCGGAGGCCGCACTTGTACACCTTTCTAGTTCCAATACGACTCAACGAGTCGCAGCCCTGTTTGAGCCGCGTAGCAAGTTCCTTTGAGTCCTTCACCCGAGTCATAACTGCTTCGAAGGCTCTCGTACTGAGTGGGTCACTTACGGTGCAGGTTACTTTTGGCTCATTTTGATTCGACGTGGATGGACGGTGAACGGAGTTTCCTCAGTCATGCTTGGCCGGTCAAAACGCGCATGCAGGTTCGGGAAGAGTCGGAAGATATCCAAGCCGAAGGAGATCAACTGAATTCATCTCCGACTCCGATAAGATTGCCCGGCAGGTTGCCCTCTGATGACGTCTTGCTTGACGCCGTTCCCAAGCTCGACTCGGAGCAAGCTATAAAACTCGGGAACTCTCTGGCAACATCATACTGCGCAACACTTTCCCATTCTCTCAACCATGTCTCAACTTCATGCTCTTGTCTCTCGCATCCCGCCTCCCCTCACCAAGAAAGATAATCTTGTTGTAATCGTTCCTGCAACTCTCGCCTCTGTCTACCTTTCTACTCGTCTCTACCAGAACTACCAACTTTATCTCGGTCTAGGTCGAGGTGGCTTACCGTATAACCCAATAGGATGGTTAGCATCGACTATATTCACTGCTTTTGCGGTACGCGACACCACGAAAACGGACCTGTACGACTCCGACCCCAATCAGGAGTCATTCATCAACTCGGAAGCGGCCATCAAGAAAGATGGCTTGCTTCCGAAGAGGAAGGGTGGTTCAAGGCCGAGGACTGGTTGGCATGCTGTCCCTCACCGACAAATTGACCAGTTTGCACCCAAGCCTCTACTGCCCGTGCGTGGTCCACTAGACTTCAGCCATTCCATGTTCTGATCGCCGTTCATGTACAGATCTTGACCTCCGCTATATCAGGCATTGCCGCTGCGAACCCCAAGTGTCTTGTTACAGGCCAATCGGTTCTTGAAAGGAGGGGTACCGCCCTTTTCGTGCATCCTTCCGTAGCTCCTTCCTCAAAGACTGAGAAAGTCTGGAAGAAGACACAACGGGAGATTGCTCATGTACACACAAGTCTCGATGGGTCCTTACATCTCGCTCTTTCGCCTGCGGACTGTAAACTTGGTACGCAGATGCTAAAGCTTCTAATCACTACCGTCACTGATATGAGCATCTTTTTTCTTCTCTTTCCGAAAAGTGATCGAGCAGGGCTGGGGAGAACGCCACTCTCTGGCTGGTAGTCATGTGGCACCTCTTGTACCGGGGAACTTCGTGCTCGTCTATGCACCGAGGGATGAAGGGGAGGCTCAAGTCATCCTTCGTCTCATCAGAGCAGCGGCAGAGTACATGACAGGTAACAGACACCTTGAGTGAAGTGGTAGTAGCGTATGTATTTCTGCTCTAAAGCCTTTCTCAATCAGGAATTGACCCTGTAATTCATAATTCAGCTGGTGCACGTCGATTTGACGAATAATCTGAACTTTGAACTCTGGACTAGTCCACAGTGCTGCTGATTGTCCTTGTACATCTGTGTTAACCTCGCTTCCTTGTTGGTAGAGGTTTGGGCTTATCGAACGCTGCCCACCAAGTATTGGCAGTCTCAACGACAACTATGACTTGCCTGAGAATGAGTCTCACATACTCTATCGAGAATAGACGAGCCGTTATACACAAGACATTCAGATATTCGGGAAACAATTGAGATTGTGGTGCACCCGGAAGTATGTTATCGTGAGCATCGGAGTTCGAACATTTTGGGGAGTGGCCGAGGTGTGGGACCGCGATAATGCTTGCCGCGTTCCTTCAAATTGTTCATCCCTTTCTCGCAAGTTTCTTTCGTCTCGCTCGCGTCCCTATCGTAGTCCACCTTTTGAAATTTTGTCTTTTCTCAAACATCTTGATACTAGATCCCGCGAGGCCCATCGTGTGTCGTTCGAGCTGTCCACTTCGGCAGCGGCGCCTGTGCATGCGGGTTGCTCGTGGATCACAGTCGGGCTACCTCACCTATACCACCTGCAGTCTACAAGCTCCTGGGCTGGTATGTTTTATCCTCGTTGTGCTCTCCCCATTTGAAGCGGGGCATAGGGCCCTACATATCTATGCCTTCCGGCGATGCAGATCACCATGTTGTCATTACCGGAGGCTCTATGCGGTGATAACAAGTCCTTTCACCGTACGTAGTCCGCGGCCATACCTTAGATCTTATTGGACTTTTTTCTGGGCAGGGATTGCTGGCCTGAACGGGCTGTACATCATATACACTGGCATATGAGGTATAAAATCCGTTATACTACAGGGATATGTCCTCGACATCAGGGTGACTCGATGTACCTCCTCTTATTAAATCTGGGTCAAATGCCGTTATGGCTGAGCGAGACGTTGACGGTACCCCTGGTGTCATCGAGCGGGAGCGTGTTTCCAGATGAGACATACAGGCGCTCAGTCACTCTGCTCTCATCGCGTCCCTTGACGGCGGTAGAAAACCTGCCATCCTGCACAGCTGTTGGAGGAAAGTCTCGGACATGAATGGCTGCTGACTTTCCACCTGTTCTCCGACCACCGCGAGGCAAACATGCATAGCGGGTCGTCGAGTCGACTTCCCGCGATGGCTCCGCGAGTCATAACGCTACTGATGAGATTCTTCGGAACAAGCTTTGCAGGAGGATATCGTGAGGTGCCGGCGAGGCATACATCTGTGGGGTCGATGACGACAAGATATCTACGGAATGTTCATAAAACTGTCTAAGTCCGGTACTATGTTCCGCGTCACTCATCGTCGCTCTCCTGCATCCCCACCCCTCCGATCTCGAGAATCACAAAGCACAATGGTTCGTACGTCGCGTCGCCTCCTTTGTCAATCTTGCTTCTGACCATGTGCATGACTTCGAAAATTGCAGATGTCAGTCGAGGCCTCAGACGTTGTCGCCGTTACCAAAGATGTGGTGAACGCAATCCACGCTTTGGCGCATGCTATTCCAGAACACTTCGGTCCCGAGATGCAGCGGAAGAGAGCACGAAAACTGCGAATAGAGACCGAGGAAAAGCTTCACGAGCTTATAGCCAAGGGCCTACCTCGAGAGCAAGTGTACTCAGTTGAAGAATCCCTCAGAGTGTACGTTTTCTTTGATGCCTTCATTTCCTTCATTTATCCATCATCGTAGACTGACTGATTGCTTGTACGATAGACACGAGCAAGCTAGTCCTTTATGCCAAGAGCTTGAGGAGAAACATTTCGGAACGATTAGGGCCATCCGTAAAGGAAGAAGGACTTGGAAAGCCGCCAAAAATGCTGAGACTGCACTCATTGTAAGTGTCGCTTCCTTGCCATCTTTGTCTGTGTCCTTGCTGTGCCCCGAAGGAGCACCGAGCACCGTCACTAATTGCGTCACTACGATGATCGACAGCACGCAGAGAGAGAACATCGAGCCAAGCAGCGCGCGCAGGCTGCATCGAGGCCTGGGTTGCAGAATGCGCCAACGCAAATTCAGGATATGTCGGCAGGAAGACGAGCAACGAATAATGGATCACAAGCACAGCTCGGGGTATCAGACAACGGACCGGAGAGAATAGCACCGTTCCCGACTCCGCTATACTCTATCGACGATCGGTCAACTCGTGCCGCTGAGGTGTCGGAATATGCTGCAGATTGCCCCTGCTCTTGCACGAGGCATTCGGACTGCGATGGATTTGGGCACCGTAGCCTGGCCGCCCTCCAGCAGTTCCTAGTCAGGGGGTTTGCTCACGATCATCCTGCGATGCCTGTTCCCTCATTTGTTCCCAGAGAAATATTACATTGACTTATGCTTTATGGTTTGGTGGTGCTGTCGTAGTACATGGAGGTCCTAGAGATATTTTTCTTTCTTCGCCGACGTTCTTCTATTTCCTTATATTTCGATCTATTTCAAGACAAGCTCATGTATTCCAATTTAGAAATCGTCCGTGGTTTGCAGCATGTCGATTCCTTTAGCATATACATACCCATGCCTATGATACCCACCTCGTGCTTTACTCGTATAACGTAGATATGTCTCTTACTAATACTTTCGCAAATAAACATCTGCATCGAAGAAGCGGTTCAAGTTGAAATTTGCACGGATGCCAGACCTTCCAGCCCGCTTAGACCAAACAATGGCTATAGAGGTGGCCCAGGGCTGCTCTACTCTGCGCCCAAGCTTCCCACTTATAAGTTTCGCTCCCTAGCGCAAGTCGAAGAACTTATGGCCAAAATGTATCAATTGAAGCACCCTGATCGTATATTGTATATAATAAATATTGCTCATGAAGATGCGGCGTAGTAGAATGTGAGATTGAAAAGTCCTAGGATGCGACCGAAGCAATGATGAGTAATCGTAACGAGTGTAAGTACGATGATCTGAATAAGTTAGACAATACAAGGCTATACCCAAAAAAAAATAGACATGTCCGTTCAAAGTCTTCCTTTTGAGTTGACATACTGACCGTCCTCAATCGTTGTACGTCGAGGTATACGGCTCGTCTTCCGCTTTACGACCCTCGTCCTTGAACCTCACGGGCGCATACGTCGGCGCCCCCCTCATCTTTGTACCCGATGACGCTCCTTTCCTGATACACATCATAACGCCGAGAGCGCAAAGGACGATACCGACGAGTAGGTTCGCGGCTAGGAGGCCGACGATGGCTGGGCCAAAAGAGTCTACACGGTTGAGCAGGGCACCATATCCAGAGGAAGAGTCCGAGCCGGAGGACGAATCATCGGTGGCGAGGGTGTTCTTCGTCGAGTCTGAGTCGGTAGACGACGACGAATCGGATGATGATGATGACGATCCTGCGAGCTGCCGGACCTGCGCGAGCGTCGCTTCAGGTGGGAGCTGCGAAAGAGCGTTTTGGCGACTCTGCGTGAAGTCACTGAGAGCGTCGTCGGCGTCCTCGAGGGCGAGCAGTTGGATGAAGGCGTCCTTGGTCTCGTTTTTGGAGGGGTCTACGAAGTCACCATAGTCGAACAATGCGTACGCGTTGCGGAGGAAGGCGTCGCCGAGGAGCATGTCGAAGCCTTCGAAGCCTGCTCCTAGATTGAGAGGGGCATACGACGAGGTGCAAATGGTGACATTATCGCCGTCTGCGGTTGTGATAGTTGAAGTATCGGTCAGGTCCAAGGGGTGGATAGGAATCTCCTGGCCGCTGCCATCCATGAGAGTATTGGGTTTAGAACGATATCCCAGGGGCTATAAGGAAGGACACGTACCCAAAGGTAAAGCGCACGTCGGCAGACGCATTGCAGGGCACAGCCCACAGGTCACTTTCCTCACTGAAAACGGCGTCCGGGAAGCTGCTGTAAATAGCATTCACGATGAACCTTGGAACTTGGGCTTGTGTGGCGCCTGTGTCGAGCACTGTGATCGATTTGCCCTTCGGAACTCCGTCGGTGCTCGAGTTCAACGCTACCTTCTCCCCATTAACCGTAATGCTATCTAACAGTATGGACCACCTCGACGATCCTCCGCCATCATATCTTGCCAGCTTCGGCGTTTGTTCGATGGTCTCATACCCATCAATGTACTCAGAAATGGTGAACATTCCATCGGTAGTATCGTCGAGATCGCCGGAACGTCCGAGCATGATGGTGATGAAGTTTGGTAGCGACTTATTCTGGTGAAAGATGTTGCCGAGAGGACTTTCGCCTAGAATGGAGTCATCGTAGGCATCGTTGACAGCGGAAAGGATTTTGGAAGCGCCGTCGTCAGTGTTCAATCCGAGACCAAGGATACCGAAGACCCCTCGGGGGAATAGGATGTCCCCAAATTCGGTGAACTGTGAGGGATGGAAAGGAAAGAGATAATCAGACGATGCAGTGCAGGTCAAAGAGTGAAGGTCCGCTAGCACACCTTCGTTGCATTGACGAACGCTGAAAATGAGATCCAATGAGACGAGGATTCCAGCGCGCAAAACTGAGGTCTGGCGTACCTTGCGAGTCCACAGCAAACTCTCCAATGGAGAATTGACCAAACATGATGGGACCTACAGCTGTACCCACGATCCTGATCAACTCGAGGGCCCTAGGCTAACGATCATTGGCAGAAACATACCTGATCCGGCTCCGTAGGTCAAATTTTGTGGCTGAGCTTTAGATGACGTGACGCTCTCTAACTTCTCTTGCGGATAGACCCAAAGGTCGGTAGAGCCCGTATCAATCTGGACGGTAATATCTGTGTAATGGAGATCAGGTCGGACCGTACACACGATGAAAACGATCGAAAACCAACCTCGCCCTCCGAGAGTGATGTTGGTACGATACTAGAGGTGTCGGTAAGAAGCTGCATCAAATGGTACGGTGCTGAGAAGAGACTGACCAAGACGTTTCCCACATTCGCAATAGTTGGCTGGGTAGAATCAAATGACGACGAACTGGATGCTGAACTATAGGTAAAGGAGATTCCTGAGGCCGAGGAAAATGAAGTTACGCGTCTCTCCACGGTCTGAGGTAGACTGAGAGCTGAGGCCAACCCAGCGAGAGAGAGGGCATTCGACACCAACGAGGCTTTCATGATGAAGAGAAAGGGGGACGCGACTAGGGTCTTGAGCGCTTGAGACCTGGCTTGTGGGGACCGCTATATAAACGCCACGGATGCCAGGGCCGTGGCTTTGGTGCGACACGGCCTACATTAATGCAGACACCTTGTTGCACTGCATACGCGATGAGCGCTGATGCGTTGATGTTGGGCGAAATGTGATGGCAGCCAATATCTTCATTTGACTCCGAATTCGCCATTGTCTCTTGTCAATGATCTCGAGGCAGTGCGAATGAATCCAAACAATGGCCCCAACTATGGGTCTCATCTTGTGTGTTCATGTCTATTTAAGGAAAGGAATTAAAGGTGTATCAGTATCAGGTTACTTTTCATTGCTTCAGACACGGCCGTGTACGTCAGTCTCATTCCAGTCTTGCTCGAGGCAAATCCAAATGGACTCATCAAACGGAACGATCCAAGCGCCGAACTTCGTTGATGGCGTTGCATGTCAACGATGGCAGATCACTCTAAATATAGAACAGCTTTAGCCGCTTGCGATGCTGTGTCTCCGAACTATGCAAACCGTGCAGCATACATTATCACGTCGCAGAGAACCGAAAGACCGCATCAGGATAGAGTTACTCTCCTTCGCAGCAGGGGGTCGAGAGGTTTTTGAATGGTACTCTCTTTCAGTTAACCATTCCTAGTGTGTTCATAGTACACGCCAAGGACCCACAGATGCGAGGGTAAGCGATGCATGGCCGACCGAATACAGGGACATCAAGTGCTACATACTGACGTTGTATACAAGGCGGCGGTTCATGTTACGCACAGCCAATCGACCACCACGTTTTGTCCGGTAACATACGCGACACGGGATTTTCAGCTTTGACTTTTTGGTATTTCAAAGCCCGAATCCGTATCAATTACTGTTATTACCGCCATAGCAACTTCAAGAGGGCCGAAACGTCAACAATTGAAGTTGATTCAGAGTCACTGTAACAAGGGGTCGCTTTGGGTTTTATCACCAAGTAGAAGCTGGACAAAGGACAGAAAAAGCACAGATATTTTACTTACAGCATTTTTGTCCTTGACTGCGAATCGTAGGGGAATGTCTGGTAGCAGGTAAAAGGAGGACCAAGGAGGGCCATCGGTATTGTTCGCGGAATCGCCACAGCAGTGACAGCACACAGCAACTGCAGAATTGAATCTCCGCGGCCCGCTTTCCCGTCATTGAGCGTGCGGTGTGCGACAAGCGCTCGTGTTCGAAACTTGACCACAATTCCCGTCTGCATTACTGCTTACTGTATCCCTGACCCTTTCGTTCATCAATACGCTGGCACGGAAACTGTACGACTCAATTACAGAGACCTTTTATTTTGAAGTTGAGGCAGGGTACCATGCTCTCTTCCTTGCTCGTGACCATTCTTTGCAATTGGGACCTCAGGCTAGTAAAGTTCGAAGCCAGCGTCGTCTGATGTGCCAACCGTGACACTTGGTCGACATGTCCAGATTATCGCATGGTTTTCAGCTCATACTGCTATCAAGCATTTATCTCGTCAAGAGGAAGAAACAACGCTCGGCTTCTGCCCTAGATCGGGAACTCAGTCGTGAGAGGTCGTGAGACATCTCTGTCTCTCACCAATTTTGTCTTTCTGTTCCACGGTGATATCTGGTACCGATTTCATTCACTGCCATATATCGCAGCCTCATCAAGATCCTCGTAAACGAACGTCAAGAGACTTATTTGCAATGCGATTCCGTCGCCGGGGAAGTGTCATTCGGAGTGCAGTACTGTACTTCAAGAAATCTACAATTGAGGTCGTCCTCACCCATTGTTGAACTCTACGCTCCTTTCCTAGACTTATGAGCCAGCCGAATCCTCCTGACTAGGTCCTCATTAGTCCATCATTCTCGAGGAAGATTGAGCATTGTCGAACTCGCCATTCACGTATCCCTTATGTTCACGTCATCCCATTGCAGACGATTCATGTCGGATCGTCCTCTTTGTTTCAGTTCGTTCCAAACTTCCTTCATCACTCGTGAACGACGCTGGGTATAGGCGTAAAGCACGGGCAACCTTCCACGCTCATCATTGTACGCATATCCAAAGGAACGATTGATCCCAACGGACCTGGTCAAATCCACCCACTACTATCTTCGGTGGCACAAGCACTTATAGGACAGAATCGAGGTCTACAACCATATGCGGCCACTGTGAAGGCAGATATTGAGTGAGGAAGATCCCGAAAACGCGACGGTGGTGCAGGATTTGGATAGTATTACTATGGACTTTCGGGCATTGGCAGCCACCAGCTTACAATATTGATCGCGATGAGGTGTGCGTGACTTCGCACTTTGACCACTATTTGACTTGCGCATTCTCGAGCAAATATATAAATATACACAACAGTATTGCATTTCAGAGCAGCAAGTATCCATATCCGGGACTTCGTCAGCATGGTAGCACACGTAACAGGATCGTACGGGATGATGAGCGAGCAAGTAAGTAACGGTGATCTTCAGAAGAGTTGCGACAAGTATGTGAGAGGAAGCATGGCAATGGTGAAGTTGGAGAAAGAGTCGATATGGGAACTGGCTTCAGAAGTGAGGGTATTCATTGTGGCAGATACGTAGAAACGAGAGGCATAAATTGGAAAAGACAGTTCGTGAGAGACAAAATTTGTGGATCAAAGGCAGCGAGTCATAGTACATGTCGTTCAGAGGCATTGAGTGACGGTGTGAGAGGATAGCGCCAATCCTGTATCAGCGGCGACAGTAGCACAGCACAGAAGGTCATGGCCGACTTTAACAGAAGTACATTACCCTCCCCTGACTCGCATGCAACGGCTTGAAAGCCGCGCGGAATCGCTCAAGGATGGCGGTCTGATCAGTGTTCGTCGCCGTGTCCGACTCTCCAGTCAGATCAAGACCGCCCTCGGGGTCGTAGTGGTGCTTTGCGCGAGAACACACGATGTCGGCGTCTGTTATGATAGCGATAGGAAACAACATCGGGTGGAGATGAGTTCAGAGTGGAACAAGAGAAGGGAAGAGGAAAGCGTGAGTGCTTACAGTAGACCGGCGCTGGGATGGACACGGAGCGAGTGGCTCGCGCGTATACATGACAGAGCGCGAATGACAAGGACTGGATCCCATCGGCACTGGAAATTGTGAGAAATCGAGTCAGAGGGCAAGCCTTTGTGTAAAGTAAACGGAATATCACATACGTGAACTTGTTCTCGTCGTGGAGAACATTATAATGTGCAGACCTGCTTGTACCCAGGATACCGCCGTGTGACTGACAAAACCAAATCAACAACGAAGCACTTGTAAGACTTTGGTCGTAAGAGAAAGAGTAAAGTTAAAGACTAATACATACTTGGAGGTAGAAGTCAAACTCGACGGGGTTGACGATCGCGCGGTCAATGACGAGCCCAGCAGGGCAGTTCTTACTCTTCCTGTCGCCCTCGTTCTCGCTCCTCGGGAAGAACCTGACATGATGTCTCTTTCCGACAACAATGATCGTGATCTTGGGGTTGATTTTCAGCTCTGCACAAGCGGCTAGATTTTGTTGCAGTGTCAGCATGGTTCAAGGGTGAATCCTGATCATACAACCACGGACCTTGGAGAAGTGGCAGTTCTATGCGGACATGGAACGTGAAGTGAGCAGGGTAAGAAAGGAATCGCAGCTGACAGGAATAACGTACCTCGCTCAATGACATGACGGAATTGTCCCTCGGAAACACCATCTAGAAAGGCGATGTTAGTTGAAGTACTAAAGACAATCGAGACATGTAATTAGAGTCTTACCTCGATAGAAAATGATGCGCTTCGGAGCTGGATTCGCCTTCTTTTCGACCATCCTGCGATATGTCATGTACATTTCCAAGACGTGCTGGGAGGCGAATCAGGGTTTAGTTGAACAGTTATCAAGGTTAGATGCCAACGATATACGACAAATGCTTACCTTGGCCATCTTCTGCAAAGAAGTGATCATCTCCTCGCGTGAAGCCTGCACTTCAATCGTAGCAATGTACTTGGCAGCTTCGGTGTCAACATTGCCGACAACCGCTGTGAAGGATGGACGATCCAGAGAGCCCGGGGCGGGATGAATGGCATCGGCACCTGTGCAACATTTAGTCAACCACCGCACGCCTAGAAAATGACGGAAGATGAGACCAGAACGCACCCATCACAAGCGTCGGCATCTGTGGAAGAAAAATATTCGGAATATCAGAGATAGGAAATAACATTGAAGACGAAGAGGGTATACGTTAGGGTCCGACAGATCGACGGCAGAGCGTGCGTCTGGGATGGCGTTCACTCCTCCAAGCTTGACATTGAGCCTAAAAGATATAATCAACGGGTGAAACATGTTTAAAGGTCAGGTAGAAGCCTACTTCAGGATGACGTTGGCATAGTACTGGGCCTGAAGTACAAGTAAATGTTAGTATTTGATATTGTCGATAATGAAGGACGCAACACATACTTTTGCTCGGGAGCACTTGGCACTCTTCATGCATTGCGTAGTGACACCAGCCACGCAGTCACCAAAGCTGTGCAACCCGCAAATGAATAATGGGTCCCGGCGAAATGACACAGAAACTCACTGCTTGACGGCACGGTAAATCTCTGCATTCCCTGCCTCGGGAAGGATGATAACCATAAGCTGAAGATAGTATTATATTGAGATTAAAACAGCATTGAAGGGGTAAAAGGAGGCTCGACGGACCTGGGGATGGGCCTTGGCCTTCTGGGCACAAGCCTGTCCTGCTGCCTTGAGAGACTGAAACAAATGGTTAAACAACCAACAGACAGGCAGAAACATCGGGCATGTATACCTGCGAAACAACTGCTTGGGGATTGCCGTATTGAATATGAACAGGGCGGTCAGCGATTGTCAGCCCTATCATAAGAAAACGCGATATTAATCCTGAGTTAGACGAACACAGACAGTAGACGCGAAAACAGGGAACGGCACCCACCTACGGCACGGCACGCACTGACAAAGCCACTGATCATTTCCTCCGCAATTTGCTGTCCGAACCTCCTCTCCTGTTCGAAGATTACGACGACCCAACGAGCTACCTCGGTTCCAGGCTTATAGACCTTCTTATCGATCCTATTGTAACATGGTCAGCAGGTTGTCTCACGGAACACAATATTCCTGCACTCGCATATTCCATGCACCATCTCTTGGTTGCTGCAGAGAGCTCGAAGTGTCAGAGATCCCTCGGAGAAAAGGACAGCACGCAAGAGACTTACGATCGTAGGTTGCCTGCTACTCGCGTGATATCTAAGAGTCGGAGCATTGAGGACACGACCCTGGATTGTCTCATTACTCGTCTTCACGGTGATACCAAACTGGCGAACGTAGTCCGACTGTCCATAGGCAAGCACCTACAAAGCGTGATGCGAACGATGTAAGTACCAATATAAGACAAGATCACCGCAACTACAGATAACAACTCACGGAGAGGCCGTGACGGATACTGTCAAGCCGTTGTTGCGGGAACTGCGTGGCAAAGCTGACGACCTCGGAAGTTTTCGCGTCAGGTATCTTCTTCATGTTCATTAGCTGGCCGGCATGAACAACACAGAGCTCGAGAGGCATTAGAGCACTTGTACCCAGCTGCAAAATCACCATCTATTCAACAACCGCGCAAGGCGACCCTTAAGTAAAAGAGGGAGGTCAATGCCTTACCTCAACGCAAACGACATCCGGGAATTGCAGAGGCCGATTGAGGACAGTCTGAAAGTATCGAGCGACCGTTATCGGCCTGCCATCAGCTCCAGTAAACCTCAAGTCGTTCGCTCCGGCTATCGACACTCCACGGATTCCTCGAGGTGCCGCATCCGGCCTGTGCGGAGTGGTGATCCTGACACCCAAAAGGAACCGCTTTAACTCTCTGGCCATCCGATCTGTGAAGCCTCTCCTTGGGGAAAAAACGTTCGGATCTCGTCCGGCGTTCATAAAGTCGAGGCACACAGTCAGAAGCGGCCCCGACTTGAAGAACGCACCCGTGCTGCGAAGGTATTAATTAGGATTGGTCGGAGAGAGCAAAGTAAAGACGGAGAGGTTCATACGTGATATCAAGGTTGATGAGCATACGGCCGATAGATGGCCGGACGGATTGGAAGTATCCTCTCCAAAGCTGAGTGGTTGATGCAATGTTAACGTCGGAGATACTCGTGTTGAGTATGCGATAAGATGCGACGTACCTCAATGCCTCCACCGATGTCCCTCTTCCCTTCCGGAGTGAAGAACGAGCGAACATTGAAGGGATATCTGAGATTTGGCTGGAGTAGAATTAGCAACAGGAAGATACCTGCACATAGACTAGGAGTAGGTGAATTACCTCCATTCGAACAGCCACGTTCAGGGACTAAAGGGCGAGTGAAAGAAACTCTTAAGCTGAGTAAAAGAAATCAAAAAGAGTGAACGAACCGTGATAGCAGTCAGAACCTCGTTGTCATGCGTCTGTTGGCCATCTAGGAAACGAGACAACACCCTAGGGAGACGCAGGGAATCATCAGTAGACGGATAGGGAAATACATTCGAAAGTATCCTCACTCTGGATTGATCTCGGCTACATGGGTTAACTTGACCTGCAGGAAGTATCAGCAATGCGCTCAAGACCGAGGTCAGGGAAGATATACACCTTGTAGACCTTTGGACCTCTGCTCCCTTCCCTGGGTGGGGGAGCCTGAGACGATTGTGTGGCAAGACATACAGAGAACTGACGCAGCACAACTGAATAAGGATAAAGGAGTGCTTGAAGAGATTAAAGAAACTACCTCTGCGGAGTTACCGAAAGAATATTTGGTGGACGAGAACAAATTTTTGCGACCGTCATATGCTCCGCGAGGAGTAAACACATTGGGCGCAACTGCGGTCTGCATGATCTTGATGATTTCGAAGTTTACACGGGCTGGTAAAGTTTTCTCGGAAGGAGAGATGACTGTAGAGACGATCAGTATCGATACAAATTAAGAGCAAGAAGGACAACTGCACTGACCCACTGATCACAATACGCATAGGAGCAAGATGTAAGGACGATGTGAATGGATAGCATAGCACAATACAAAAAACAGACCGTCATAATGATGTATTATTCCCTCAGGAGTGGAACACTCGAAATGATTCGTGTGGACCTCCAATGGTCGGCCCTGTAGACCGAACCCTGGTCTCTTGATGCCGACAGCCTCGACATGCGAAGCGATACTGATGGTTGAGCCAGCGACTGTAGATCCACCTCGACCGGGCGCGCCACCCCGCGGACCACCACGACCACGACCTCCTCCACCAGCACCACCACGACCTTGTCCTCCTCCTCCTCCTCCTCCAGGACCACCAGCACCAGGACCACCTCGTCCCCGCCCACGGGGATTACCTCGGCCAGCCATATGGATATGATACGCAGAGAATGTGAATGTGTCGAAGAGGTGGAAGTAAAGAAAGCAAAGGACGAAGGGACGGTGAAGGTCGAACTTTATAGTGATCGCCGCCACAACAACTCGTTCAATTATGCAAAATTCACACGCCACAGCATATCAGCCGTGCCTTTGTTTAACTTTGTTCCCACTCTCCGCATAATAATCGAGGCCTCGAGTCTGATGCAGCTTAGTGTGACTACGGTCCGGTGAACTTTCTTCAGTGAAAGGAAGGCGCACAGGTGACAAGGATAAAGAGTTCGTGTGGCTTAGCACGAGAAATATGTTCAAAGGCCAAAGAGAAAAGAGACATGAAAGAAAGAAAGCCGTATCATACCTGAGTTGAAGAGGTTGAAGCAAAGCGGAATCTTCCGAGGCACAGACGATCCTTGCGCTTGACCACGACCAGCGTGCTTCAGCGTTTCTACAACATTTATCGTTTCCTTTTTTTGAAAGCCCGGACACTTTGACCAGGCGGACTCGCAAGAGGAAAGAAGAATCGAGGCTAAAGAAAGCTAGATTCCGTTACCCTCATGACCACCCCGGTAGCCCCAGCGGCCGTGGATGCAGCCAAAGTCCGCCCCTTTCTATCCTTTACGCGGTTAACTATACATGAACTAACGCATCGTTTGTAAATTTCTCCTTCCCTGCTTTTTCCATTGTAGGGAAAAACCAAAGCGAAACAACGCTACCTAAAAGCCAAGCGTGACCGTCGCAAGAAACGAAAGTCTACCACAGTCCCGGGAGGCCGAACGAAGGCAGGAGAAGCCGAAGGGGACAGTGAAGATGAGGAGGCGGAATATGGGAACCTCAATGAAGGAGACGTGGTTGGGAAGGGTCAGGCTATAAATTTGGCTGAGGATGAAGAGCTCGGAGGGAATGTGGAAGAATTAGTTGTGGACGAGAAGGCGAAGCGCAAGAGGGAGAAGACGGAGAAAAAAGAGCAGAAGCGAAAGGCCAGGGCTGAGGCTTCCATCACCATCGACGAAATCCCCGTCAAATTGAATGAAGATCTGCCTCGTCCTCGCAAACGTCGAAAACTCAGTCTTTCTCCCGGTCCCGTATCATCACAAGCAGCGCCGACATCCACACATCCTCGTCACTCGCCCTCAAAATCTCCTTCGCGTTCACCGCCGCCATCTCATATTCAATCTTCTCCTTCACTAAAAGTGCAACGGATACGCACACCATCACCGCCACCTCCCAGCTCAATTCCATCCTTCCCGCTCCCTACTCAACCAAACGCACCGTTAAAATCAGAGCTTGCGTCCCAGGGTCTCGACAGAGCACTCGCGCGTGCACAACTTGTTGAACCCTCAATTTCGACCCCCCTTTCGTTCGAGGAGGACGAAGGGGATAAAGATGCGCAGACAGGGCTGGCTTTGAAGACGAGGAGCAGACTGAAGGAGCTGGGGATCGAAGAGCTGTTTGCTGGTGCGTTTTCTCTCACTATACCGGACTTCTCTTCGTGTGGCCGTGGCTAAACGCTGGATATACGATGCTTCTTCTGCTTGACGTTTCAGTGCAGACGACGCTCCTTCCACTCCTACTTCCTTCCGGTCCTTTCAAACGTTCATTATATCTTCCGTACGATCCTCCGCAGGACATATGCGTTTCCGCACCCACTGGGAGCGGTAAAACTCTTGCATACGTTCTTCCTATCATCGAGGTATACATATTCAGTTACATCTCTACCCACACGCCACACCCGCATCATATCCTTATACTTGCTAATTCTCACTAACATTACTAGATTCTGTCTGCACGAATTGTAACTCGACTCCGAGCACTCATCGTTCTCCCTACAAGAGACTTGGTGACCCAGGTCAGAGAGACCTTCGAAGCTATAGGCAAAGGAAGAGGCTTAAAAGTACTACCACCATCTCTCGCGTTCACTACATTCGCTAATGAATGCTGAACAGATCGGCACGGCGACAGGTCAGCATTCCTTCGCGCATGAGCAGAATCAACTCGTCGCGGATAAGTCAGCACAGTGCGTATTCGTTCTTCCCCTGTCCGAGCGAGGACGGTTGGTATATGTTGACGAATTTTGCGATGGGAAATCAAATGTAGTCTGCAAGGTGGCTCGAGTAAAGTCGATGTTCTGATTTGTACGCCCGGGAGACTAATCGACCACCTGAACGGGACGCCAAATTTCTCGTTGCAACATTTACGATTCTTGGTACGTTATGCTCTACCGAATTCTTTCTCCTACATTGATGGGCTGAATTTTTGGCGTCTGACTGTGGATCCATCCGTACAGGTAATTGATGAAGCTGACCGGCTCCTAGCCCAGTCATTCCAAGATTGGCTCGCCCAAGTCCTTGCAGCAACCCGACCTCCACCTGTACCCACTCATGACCCCTCTGCCCCTGCCTCAACATCAGGATCGTTCACCGTACCTCAAGACAACGGCATCGACATTCCCTACCCCGACGCACTCTCACCCTCATTTCTTCATCTCCTCCGCCCGCCTAGCTTTGCCAGTGTTACCTCTTCCTCTCACTCTACCTCTGTGGAATTAGACGCACACCGCGGACCAGTGATAACCGACATCGACACCCCTCGCGAATCATCATGCCAAAAACTCCTATTTTCAGCTACATTGATGAGCGATCCGGGAAAGATCAAAGCTTTGGAGTTGAGGGATGCGAAATATATCGTCGTACAAGGACAAGCGAATGTTGGTGTCGGTGAAGCTGGAGGTGAACGTCAGTCCGAGGCGATTGAGGGTGACGGTGAGCGCCGTGTCGAAGGAGAGGGAGAAGGCGTGTTGGGCGTGGTGATGGAGAGGTTTAGTATGCCTGCGACGTTGACGGTATGTCTGTTCGGCTTGCCTGCCCTCTCTGATATCTCGTGCATATCGTAAGTATCGTCAATGCTGACTGGTATTTGACGGCTCAATAGGAACACATGCTCGTCGTCCCCTCCTCACAAAAACCGCTCATGCTCTTCCACCTCGTACACGCTCATAACGTCAAAAATGCACTCGTGTTCACGAAGTCGGCAGAGTCGACTGGCAGGCTCGTGAGGCTTTTCCAGTTCTTTGAGCGCGCGCGGATTCAGGCGCAATCGCAATCGTCTATGGACGTGGATCGTTCGGGGCAAGATGCGAGGGAAGTCGTGGTCAAGGCTTATTCGAGCGATTTGGGAGCCGCTGAGCGGAGAGGGCTGTTGGAGAAGTTGAGGGACGGGACAGTTGATATGTACGTCCCACATATCCTATCCTTTGTCTTTGCACAGCGGTTCATTCACCCGTATCTAACGGTTCAATGTCCCTACACAAAAAATAGCCTTGTTTGCTCCGACCTTGTATCGCGAGGTATCGACATCAGCATCGTGCAACATGTCGTAAGTTACGACGCGCCGGTGGATATTAGGAAATACGTGCATCGGGTGGGGAGAACGGCGCGTGCGGGAAGGGACGGCGACGCATGGACTTTGGTCGAGGAGCAAGAGGTGCGTTCCGTTTTCTTTTTCTTTCTGTCTTTTCTTTCCCTCGGTCTCCATGGTTAGTTCTGCCTGGGTCATACTGAGCTCGGAGCGCTGGTACTGACTCGAGGTTACCCATTGAGATCTTTCCTAACGCTCGTGTCGCACTCACGGGGCATCACGCTGACTGAGCCTGGGATGTCGATGCCGTCCAGCAGTCGTCATCATTTCTCAATCGAGTCTTCACCCGTGCTTTGTGATGGTGGTCCATCGAGTCAAAATCATTCGCGAAAATGGGCCCGCTGTGCTCATTCTCAGGAGCGCGTGTGGCCCAAGACCCATCAGACCCATCCTGCCCATCTTTGTACACCCGACTCGATGCGGGAACTATTGTCGATATTTTCGTCACACGCTCGATGAGTCATTTTGACTCTGTTTTGTTCTCTCGTTGTACATCGAATGATCGTGCTGACTGGATTATCTCCTTCTTGCTTTCTCTTTTCATTCATTCATGATGCTTATGTGCACGACTGCGACCACGACTGCAATTGCGACTCCCACCTTCCTTTCATTCTAACGCCACAAAAACGAACATCATATGGACGCCACTATCGCTCCCACCCCATGGACCTTTTCCATATCGATACGCCTACCGGTCTCGACATCTCTCTAATGGACTACAAACGGAACATGCACGCGTGGGGCCGATATGCATGATCTTGACATCATGCCATCGTGGGTATGGCTTCGGATACTGATGTGGCGTGGCGTGTAACCTACGATGGGATGACCTTGTCTGGCATCCTCCACCAAACATCGACTTCCAACACGAACGCCACATGATGTCGTGGACCGGGTGCACTAATCGATCGACTGTCGGGCATGATGTGGATGGTGTGGCGTGGCGTGGTATGGTGGAACGACAATTGTGCGATCTATGATGCCGACCAAAACGTTGGGCATACTTTTGGATTGGATACGAATGCTACCGACAATACGACACGATAGGCGCGGTATTTCAAGGAGATGATGAAAACTGCCGGACATCTGGAGAAAGTGAAGAGGATGAGGGTCAGCGACAAGCTCCTCGAAGGCATCGTACCATTCTACGAGGTTCGTTTGATCTTCTTCTCTCATGTCTCCATCACGTCGGTTCACTGACATGTTTACGCTGGCATAGACGGCATTGAAGCAGTTGAAGGAGGTCTACGCGAGGAACAGGTCCTAGGGCATCTTTCCATCGATATAACGGGAGTCGGGAGTGATCCGTGAAGAAGGAAGGGCATTATGCGGCCTTTTCGCGAGCTGGAGAGATAAGTGGAGGCGCGAGTAGAGATAGAGGCGGGATGAAGGGGCGGGAGCGCGTGGAGGGTGCGTGACGGTGAAGATGGTTTGTCGTTTTGTAGGGTTCTTGAAAAGTTTGGAGTGTCTAGGCTCTTCTGTGGACAGAACAGGAACGCAAACACATCTGCTGATAGGATACAAGGACGGCATATGCGGCTATCTCGGAGTGAACGAAAAAATTACAAATCATGAGAGCGAACACCGCAAGAAACGAAACGACAAGCAGTGGTGTCTCCAAGGGAGTGTCGGGCGTAAAAGACACGAACGCTGCCACGCGAGGCTCGAGCACATAAACCTGCCTCGAAAGGGCATCGTCTTGTCCATTGTCCAACGTGCCTGGGAAAGATAAATTTAGACTCATCGCCAAGAGCCGAGATCTGACTCTGGGAATTTGAAATGGTGCAAAATGCTGTGCAGCAGTTTACCACGCGATGTTGAAGGGAGCAATTCGATTGGCCAATCGTGGGCACGGATCGAGGATGCCTGTGCCGCTCCGCTGACGAAGTCTGGATGACGTTGAGCGGTGCGTCCTAGCAGCGAGCTCGCTGTGGACTCCTTGCATGCGGCGCAGAGCAAGTGGTAAATGGCACTGCGCGCTACAAGTTCGGTGGGTAAAATCCCTGCGCGTCTGTACATTCTGAGCCCTAAATAAGACATAAAAACAGGATGAGTCAGAGACATACGTAGGCACGGAACGAACAGCGCAAATTCGCGCGCCGACAAATGAGAGGAGATTGTGGCAAATTGGCAAGTCTGTAAAAGTGGATGCAGCAAGGGACGGACCATCGTCGCACGGTCGATACGTCCTCCTCCAGCCCCGGCTTGTTCTGCTCCGTAAGTCGACCCACGCCTCCTTTCACCGTCGTCCACAGCTTATTAGAGCAAGCGCCCTTTGCTCTCCGTAAGGTCGTCTTCTTTGCTGTTGCATCTCCCGTCTCCTCGTCCTACATTCTGCTCGCAGCCCTCGGTCGTGAAACTAGCACCGGAGCTCTACTACGAGAACAGCACTTCAACGCCAGATGAGCAAGGCTGGACTCACTGAGAAAGAAGATGGGGATAATAGACAGGGATTGAGCGTTTCCCCTTCGCTCGAGAAGGACGCGGCGACTGTGGGGTCTCAGGACGTTGAGGATGGGACTGCGCGCGGAAAGGGGAAGCTGTCGGTGACGGGAAGAATTGGAAGGTGAGCTCGACTTTTGGTTTGTTGAACCTCTGGTTGGTTTTCTGTGCGTCATGGCTGCAGGCTTGGCTTGGCTGCCGACGGTTCATACCTACCTCGATGTCGTCTTCCCGTGAGCAGCTGTGGCGTCATCGTCGGTGTCGACCTTGACCACTGTGGCGTAAGTTAATTCAGACACGAACTTCCATGCCATGCCGGTTCGTGCATCCATCATCATTGATTCATGATATTTTACAACCATGGCTTGATGGATGTCGTCTGGGTTGTGTTCTCGTACATATTTTCTGGTATTTCTGCAAAGCAGAAGCCAATCATCGTGATCACATTGATCATACTCACAAGGCGCTTCCTGTGAATCGAGATGACGCATCTAAGCGTTCTGACACAACGTCATGACACGGTGGGCTTTCTCATCGTGTTTGGCAAGAAAAGGCAGTTCCATTCCCGATCAGAGAACCCATCATCGGGGCGCTGATCCAGTCACAGTGTTACCTTTTTCAGCTCGCCGTCGGTGCCACATATTCCCTGATCCCCTATGAGTATGACCACCTTTGAGCTTGAGAACTACATTGCACGATGTCGCGACCGTCGATGTTTTCCCTCTATATCTTGATTATATACGCGGTGCTCACAAGCCGAAAACCTGATGCTAATCACACTCTGACTATCACCTTTTAGGTCCATCAAAGGCTTGCTCGTTCCCCTCGACCCACCACCACCAAAAGACTCCATCGACGATGCCGAATACATCCCCGAAATGACCGCCAACTTCTTCTCCCTCATGACCTTCTCCTGGCTGAATCCGTTGATGTCCCTTGGATATGCTCGACCTCTTGAAGCCCCCGACCTCTGGAAACTCCAAGACCATCGTTCCTCCGCCGTCATCTCTGATAAAATTCTAGCTTCGTTTGAGAAGCGGAAGGACAAGGCGGATGCATTCAATGAGCGATTGGACAAGGGCGACGTGAAACCAGGGTGGAGGAAGACGGCATGGTGGGGGCTGAGGGGCGATAAGGAGAAGAGGGAGATGGAGTGGAAGAAGAGTATGAGGAAGAGGGCGAGTCTGACACTTGCGATGAATGACGCTGTCTTCGTTTGGTTCTGGTCATCTGGGGTGTTGAAGGTACTCGGTGATACGGCTCAAGTCACCAGTCCTCTACTCGTCAAAGTGTGCACCGTCATTCTCAGCCCGATCTATACCACAAACTGAATTATTTTGCACTGTTGTGTAGGCTCTGATCAACTTCGCTACCACGTCATATAACGCGCACCAGCAAGGTTTAACCGCTCCACCCATCGGCAAGGGCATAGGTTACGCTTTCGGTCTCCTCGCTCTTCAAGTCGTCGGTTCCCTAGGCCAACACCACTTCTTCTACCGTTCCGCCTCTACCGGCGTCCTTCTCCGCGGTGGCCTCATCACGGCAATCTACTCCCGCTCCCTCCGTCTAACCACCCGCGCCCGCTCCTCCCTCCCCAACGGTCGTCTCGTCAACCATATCTCCACCGACGTCTCCCGCATCGACTTCTGCTGTGGTTTCTTCCACATGTTCTGGGCTGCACCGATTCAAATGGCCATTTGCCTCGTGCAGTTGATTATCAATTTAGGACCGAGCGCGTTGGCTGGTTTCGCGGTTTTCGTGATCATTACGCCGCTTCAGGGTTGGATTATGCAGAATTTGATCAAGATTAGGGTTAAGGCGATGAGGTGGACGGATAAAAGGGCGAAGATGCTGCAGGAGTTGCTCGGAGGGATGAAGGTCATCAAGTATTTTGCGTGGGAGGTTCCGATGTTGAAGAGGATCGGGGAGTATAGGATGCACGAGATGGGGTGGGTAGCTAGTGTTTACTTTTCGAGCTTAACTTGACTGACGAGTTATATTGGTTTGTTTCAAGGTATATCCGGTCGTTGCTTCTTATCCGTGCGGCAAACACTGCTCTGGCAATGTCGACGCCTGCGCTCGCTGCTGTCCTCGCTTTCGTCGTGTACGCGGCGGCGGGTCACACCCTAGAGGCAGCAACGGTCTTCACATCACTTACTCTCTTCAACTTACTTCGTCTCCCGCTCCTCATGTTGCGTAAGTCTCCTTTCAACCCCCATCCTCCTCATTTTCTTTCTCCGTTTTTAAAGACGAGTTCAAAAAGCGTACTCACACATTTCTCCATGCAGCCATGTCCTTCAGCTCCATCGCCGACGCCCGCAACGCCATCGGACGTCTCCAAGAAGTCTTTGAAGCCGAACTCGTCACCGAAAGCCTCATCACGGACTCTACCATCCCCAACGCCGTCGAAGTCTCCTCCGCATCCTTCACATGGGACATAACCCCCCAAGACGCCGCCGAGATTGCCAAAATCCCCAAAGCCACCGGCGGCAAATTCGGCGGTCGTGGCAAACCCGCCGCCGTCGTCGGTCCACCCCCTCCCGCCCCGAAATCCGACGCCGAAAAGGCAGCGGAGCAGAAAGAGAAGGAGGATAATCTGTTCAAGATCAAGGACGTGGATCTCGTCATTCCGCGTGGTCAACTCGTTGCCGTCGTGGGCACGGTAGGGTCGGGGAAGACGAGTCTGCTGCAGGGGCTGATTGGGGAGATGAGGAGGACGGAGGGGAAGGTGACATTTGGGGGGAGCGTGGCATATTGTGGGCAGAGTGCTTGGATACAGAATGCGACGATTAGGGAGAATGTGTGTTTTGGGAGGCCGTTCGATCAGGAGAGGTATTGGAGTGCTGTTGGGGATGCGTGTTTGGATCAGGATTTGGATATGTTGCCGAATGGTGATATGACCGAGGTGGGAGAAAAGGGAATCTCGCTTTCTGGTGGCCAGAAGCAGAGAATCAACATCTGTCGTGCCGTCTACGCCGATTGCGACATTCTCATCTTCGACGATCCTCTCTCCGCTCTCGATGCTCATGTTGGTGCCTCCGTCTTCAAGAACGTCCTTCTCAATGCGCCCGCTGGCAAGACCCGGATCCTGGTCACACACGCTCTGCATTTCTTACCTCAGGTCGACTACATCTACACTATCGCGGATGGGAAGATCGCCGAGCGTGGGACCTACAGCGAGCTCATGGAGACACACGGCGGAGCCTTCGCTCGCTTCATTAACGAGTTCGTGTCGCAAGAGGAGTCACAGACCAAGAAGGGAGAAGGCGCAGGGGACGTAGACATCGAAGAAGCAGAGGAAGAGGATGCAGAGGCTGCCGACGCCCAGAAGAAGAGGAGGGCCAAGGTCAAAGGGGCGCAGTTGATGCAGGTGGAAGAAAGGAGCACGGGTAGTGTGGATTGGGGCGTTTATAAGGCGTATTCCAAAGCCGGGAACGGCGCAGTGTATCTGCCCTTATTGATGATTGCGTTGGTGATTCAGCAGGGGACGCAGGTGATGTCGTCGTATTGGTGAGTTTTGAGGTTCGGTTGCGTTATCGTGCGTTTTCGGGATGCTGATTGAGCGTGGGTTTGGGTCTGAAATATAGGCTTGTGTATTGGCAGGAAAAGTGAGTGGTTGATTGGATTGCGTGATCGTATGTTGGCGCTTATCTTGTCTTTCATAGGAAATGGGCAGAACCTCAAGGATTCTATGTGAGTCTTTCGATGATTGTTCGGTCTTCGTATATTTTGTTGACTTTCATGGTTCTGTTCAGATGGGGATCTATGCCGCCCTTGGTGTCGGTCAAGCTCTCACGGCGTTCTTCATGGGCATCATGTTCTCCTTGATCGTCTACTCCGCTTCTCAACGGTTACATAACGTAGGTCCTCTCTCGATTTGTGGTTTATCTGGATACATTCACTAAGATGTTTACTGCTGATGTTGCACAGAACGCGATTACCCGGGTCATGCATGCTCCTATGTCCTTTTTCGAGACAACGCCCATCGGTCGTATCATGAATCGATTCTCGAAGGATGTGGACACGATGGACAACATTCTAGCTGGTAAGCTGAATCTAAATTAGCTTACGGAATAAGGGTACACTTCAGCTGCTGATGTTTGCTCTGATTTTCTGTATGTCAGACTCATTCCGCATGTTCCTGAACACTTTTTCGAGTATCATCGGTGCCATCCTCCTGATCGCCATCATCCTGCCTTGGTTCCTCATCGCGGTTGCCGTCTGTGGTGTCATGTATATCATGGCCGCCGCTTTCTACAGGGCTAGTGCTCGTGAGATTAAGGTATGCCATTCACTACAGCACTGCGCACGCGAGTACCCCCACTGACAAACTTACCTTGCAGCGTCTGGGTATATACTTTGAAGACTTTTCCTCTGCGTTGTGGTGCTAATATGCATCTTCTATAGATGCTATCCTTCGTTCGTCATTGTACTCGCACTTCTCAGAGTCCTTATCAGGCCTGGCGACTATCCGTGCTTATGGCGAGTCCGAGCGATTCTACAAGGAGAACAGAGATCGTGTGGACGTCGAGAACAGGTAAGGACGGTTGCCTTGGGCCATCCCTCCGTATTAATGCTCATTTTGTCTTTCAGGGCATACTGGATGACCGTCACGAATCAGGTCAGCACCACAATCGTGCAGTAGAGTTGCATGTCCACTGACCGATTCATTTTGGTATACACAGAGATGGCTCGGCATCCGACTGGATTTCTTCGGGACTGTCCTCACTTTCGTAGTTGCTATCCTGACAGTTGGCACGCGGTTCACGATCTCTCCATCGCAAACTGGTGTTGTCCTCTCGTATATCCTCTCAGTGCAACAAGTCAGTTATTGCTTTTTTCTCAAATTCTATCATCGCTTAGCTTACTGACTGTGTCGTATCAACGATTGTTCCAGGCATTCGGTTGGATGGTTCGCCAACTTGCAGAGGTCGAGAACGACATGAACTCCGTCGAACGTGTAGTCTATTACGCAGGCCACGTTGAGCAAGAGGCGCCACATTTCATCGAGGGGACGACCCCGCCTGCTCCTTGGCCCTCCGTCGGTAAACTCGAGATAAAGGATATGCAACTGAAGTATAGGCCTGAACTGCCGCCTGTGCTGGATGGGCTAACGATGACGGTGAAAGGTGGAGAGAAGATTGGTATCGTCGGACGGTGAGTTTCCTTGTTTTACATTGCGAGAGAGTTGGTTCATAGAGGACGGTGACTGATATCTTTTGTCTTGTTTTCTCCTAGAACGGGTGCGGGCAAATCGTCGATCATGACGGCGCTGTTCCGGCTGGTAGAGATCTCGTCTGGGTCGATTCTCATCGACGGCGTGGATATCTCCAAATTGGGACTCACGGATGTCCGCAGTGGACTTGCCATCATTCCCCAGGATGCTACCCTCTGTAAGTGTTTGCCTTCTCTTGAAATCCTAGTTTCCATACTTAACGTTGCTCCCAGTCTCCGGTACACTCCGAAGTAACCTCGATCCATTCGGCCTCCACGACGACGCTCGCCTCTGGGACGCCCTCAAACGGTCCTACCTCGTCGAACAAGACAAGGGCAAACGCATCTCCACCCCCATTGACCCCTCTGATGACGAGAAGCTCCCGACGGGAGCCAGTACGCCCATCGGACCGCGGTTCACATTGGACAGTCCGATCGACGACGAGGGTTCGAACTTGTCCATCGGCCAGAAGTCGCTGGTTTCGCTTGCGCGAGCATTGGTCAAGGACAGTAAGGTGTTGATCTTGGACGAGGCGACGGCATCAGTGGATTATGAGACGGATAAGAATATTCAGGATACGATCGCCAATGAGTTCAGGGATCGGACTATCTTATGTATTGCTCGTACGTACCTTCCTCCTTCCTTCCTGCTTCACTGGAATGAGAAATTGACATGTACTGACCGCAATGCTGCGTTGAACAGACCGTTTGCGCACCATCATCTCCTACGACCGGATATGCGTCCTCGATGCAGGGCACATCGCAGAGCTCGACACGCCGGAGAACTTGTACCACGTCAAGGATGGTATCTTCCGTAGCATGTGTGAGCGGTCTGGTATCACGCTGGAGGATCTGCGCAAGGCGGCGAAGGAGCGCGAGGTGAGGGATGAGGAGGATGGAATCGATAGGTTTGCGGAGTCATGATAGTGTATCCGCAGCCTTTTTCTGTTTCGCTTTTGCTTTCCGTTTTGCTTTGGAGGCTATGATGCGAGTTTATGACCTTGCATGTTCTTATATACGTGGGATCTTACTTTGTGAAGGGGATATCCTTACGGTTTTCTTTAACGACCTTTTCATTTGATAATGCTTTTTTTGGCTTTTTGGCGTGGTTTATCTCATGCCATGGACTTGATGCATAGACTAACGATTTGTACACGGGGGAATGACGTTTCACGGAGTTGCGACGAAGTGACCGGATGTAGACGTTACTACTTGGATATATACTTTGCTGTAGATCGAAATTTTGAAAATATCAGACATCATATATACTACTTATGTGGAAGTGAACGAGTTGGGATTGCGCACACTGACAGCGTGTCTTGCTCAAAACACTATGTGAAATCCAGGACTAGGAACCGAGGTTTCAAAATGTGACGTCTCGGCACTGGCCAGAAGGAGGGGAAATCGCACAATATTAAACAACCCTCGAAGCCTCTTCCTACATCATGAACTGTATATTTTGTGCACTGAACTGCGTCAACAGCTGCAGATGTAAATGCAGCTCTCAAAGTGATCAACCTGAGAGATCAGTGGGAGCAGCCGGGCAGATATCTGGCCTACGCCTACTGGGTACAGTAAATCACCCCATCGAGGGCCAGGGTCTCGTAGCAGGTTGGCCCGCGACGGAGTAATTGCCTGCAGGTGAGGCATTGTGAACGCACAAAACTACAATTGCAGGGAAGACTTTGAGGGGGAGATTTGAGCCATGGAAGAGTTAATGGACATAGATGGGGAGCGCAATGACGAGGTTGAACGTCATACTTTGTAACGCCCCTCAGGCATCCGTGTGAGAAGACTATCCCATTCCAAGCACCATTCCAAGAATTCAATGCGATATAGAAGCTAGAAGTATCTTCGCAAAGCGCACTAATCGAACACAAAAACAAAAACAGATCCCACGGCCAACATGGATCATACCAGGGACATCAGAATCGTGGCCCTGTAGGCTCTGTCGTGTCGTAATGTTGACCAGTGACCTTCTCTATAAGGTCATGATAGCAGCTCGGAAATACGACAGAAAAGTCCGAAAGCTAGTTAGGAACACGAGGTTTGCTAGCACGCTGCAAGCAGGTGCCGATACGGAACGCGAATCAATGAAGATAGAAATCGGGTGGTATAACGACGTACACGCGGTTTAAGCATTGTGCACGCCTGGTGGTTAAATGACCGGGAACGCCACAAAGGAGAAACGGCTTCTGTCTGAAAAATCGGAGCAGCGGGGAGTGGTAGATGACTCGGAAGCCAGAGATGTGAATGCAGCGGAAAACAGAGGATTTCTGCAGCCACCTCTGCTCATATATATGATATACACCACAGCACACCCTGCGAATGAGAACAGGGTCGACAAAGTAGGTATCAAAGCCTGAGATGTGGGGGAGTCCATATCCGCTGCCGAGGCAAAGCCTCTCGGGACAAAATTGGGAAAGGAAGATGGTTGAGATATGGCGAAGCTCCGAGGAGGGGCATGACCCTGCGCATGCTGGAATTCGGACAAAATTCTAGCGATCAGAGAGCTGAAGCGAGCAAGCTAAAGGCGAAACGGGCAGGTGAAAAAAAAGGCGTAGCGGGAGAATTCGGGGCGCGTAAGGACAGTGCGTCTTCCCACGTGGCTGAGGACACAAAAGGCAGGCGGACGTATTGTGCCCGACCTGGCGGAGAGCATTGTGTATATCTGGCCTATTTTCTCGTTTTCCCGGCAATATTACACGAGGCCTTCTAGTATTTTGCGGACTAAAGAAACGCGTTTTTGACGAGCGCCGGAGCAGAGTGCCGTATTGTCTGCAGCATGTTTGTCCTCGTGCAGGCCGCCCCATTCAGCAGTCGGCATAAAAGTCTTCTCACACCCGCGTTAAACTCACCTTTTTCCCTTCCTGGAATCCCCCGCACTTGTCACTTTTTTTTCTTCTTTGCCAACCCTCACCTCTTCAAAACCACCACTAATTCCGACGACGACAATCTTTCACGACCTGTATACTAATATGCCATCTGCCGCACTCCCGAGTCCGCTCATACCTCAGGCTCATACCACAACCGACGATCATTTACTCGAAGCAGCAGTTCGTGGAGATGCAGAAGGCGTACACAGAGCTCTTATATTGGGGGCCGATGTCAATGCGACCAACACAGCTGGACGATGTGCCGTCTCGCTCGCTATTGCAGGTGAAAAGTGCGTCTTCTTTTTTTCTTCTTCGCTGACATCGGAACAATGTAACTCATACCTCGGATGCTCGACCAAAGTTGTAGAACAGCGGACGCGTCTGACGCGTCTTTCATGACGCAGAGCCGACTGAACACAATTCGAATACTCGTCGAGAACCCCCACGTATCGTTGCACGCGTTGAACGCACCCGAAGACGCTATGGACGGCGTTACACCGCTCGGAGTCGCTTCTTGGCTGAACGCGCCCGACGTTGTTCGGATCCTGCTCGAGGTCGGCGCTGGCGCCGTCTCCGTTAATGGGTTGGATACTCACCGAGCTACTCCTCTGATGTGTGAGTCTTACTTTCTTGGTTGGTTCTTGCGACGCGGTTTTACTGCGTCTGTCCGGAAAGCCCCTATTCCACAAATAAGTGCGAGTGGCCTTTTTCTCTCTTTTCGACGTCACCATGGTCATCAACGAACATGAAGTTGTACATGGAACTACCTTCTTCTGTTCCATTATGGCATGCGTGGACAGAAAATTTACAGTTCGGCCTACCTGACGCGAATTGCTTGACATGCCCTTTTAATATCTGTAATCACCGCTCAATTTCGCTCTGCTTGTTTCTAGACGCCGCAAGGGACGGGAGGCTCGAGGTTGTCAAACAATTGGTATGTTCACACGTCTTGAGACCCTGTCGCATGTCTGACGTATTTATGCAGCTCGCGTATGGTGCACGACCGGATTACAGAGATAACAACAGTCATACATCCATCTGGTTTGCGCTCCAGCATCCGCAAGTTCTCTGGCTGTGCGAGAATGCTGTACGCAGGCACCGTACACTCGAATGCCAGGTACGTCTTCCATTTCTGCGAGGCGAAAATAGGGTACTGACGTGAGTACATAGGCCGGAAATAAGCATAATCTCTCTTCGCCCGCAAGGCTCGCCATAGACTCTCTACTCTCCGACGACGTGGCATGCCCCATCCCGAAAACTATATTCGCTCAGTCCGATGCCAATGCGCCCCTCATAAACGCCATCGTCTCCGCGGATCTCCACCTACTACGCACGCTTCTCTTTCCATCCATCACCTCCACATCTCCACCCATCCTCGTCAATGCACCCGACTCCAATGGCTGGTCCCCGATCCACTACTGCGCATCGTCCACCCTTCCCTCGACGGAAGTCCTAGACACGCTGTACCGCGCAGGCGCGGACGTCGGCCTCTTCTCGAAGTCTGGTAACTCAACTCCGTTGCATTGTCTGGCACGGAAGAAGAGGGGGACAAATGTGTTGAGAGGTCCGGCTGTGGCGAGGGAGCTTTATGAGTTTGTGTTGCATTTGTGCAGGGATTTGAATGCGCCAATGCGGGCTTGTGCTGCGGGTGGAGAAACGTGCCTTCATGTGGCGGCAGAAGTGGGCGATAGCGTGGAAGTGTTGAGAGCACTGCTCGAGTGTGACGTGGATGGGGTTGTTAGGGAAATGAGAAATGAGAGAGGGTATGTATACCGTCTTCCTGCCATCATCGCTCTTGCTTCTAGATTTTTACTCACCCTCTCTTTTCTCGATGTCGCATAGGTTGACGCCACTCGAAGTCGCCAAACCCGAATTCAGATATGTTTTCGGGAACCAAGCCGAGACCACTCGATCCAGCTCCCCCGCCTCATTCCGCACCGTTCGCCCATCCCACTTCCAGTTCCAGTCACCTTCTCCAACCACACCGACGGCCCACAGTCTCGCCCTCCCTTCGCCATGCCCTACTGCCGCTTCGTTACCCAGAATGTCCACACCGACACCCAGTCCAGCACAGTTCAACTCACATACCTCGTCTGAAACGTCCTCATCTTCTTCTGCGGAAGATACAGCCGCATCCGCCACCCATCTTATCGATTCCCTCCGTCTCATCTCGAACGAGCTCTCTTCGCCACAACATCCGCTCATATCCGATCTGGATCGTCTCTCGGCGCTGTTGAGGACGACTTCAGTCAGGAGTGGCGATCTGTTGCGACAGTTGAGGACAAGGATCGACGAGGCGTCAGATGAGCTAAGGCTGGAGCAGGAGGAGTGGAGAGTCGTGGATGGGCTCTTGGACGGCGTTTCACAGGCGTACGAGGATAAAGTCAAGGAGGAAAAGAGAGTCACTGATGAAGAAAGTGAAGAATACCATGGTATCGAGCTCGACGATTTTCCTCCCGTGCCCGGAACTGGGCAAACTTGGGTAGGGAGAGCGAGGAGCGGAACGACCGTTTCTGCAGAGTCACAGATGACGGCGGTGAACAGTATCGATTCGTACTCGACCGGACCTCCGTTGACGCCTACTTCACCGCATACCCCGAGTCATCCGGACGACGAGGACCAGCGGTCGTTCTTCCACTTCGATGGCGATGACCGTGATCACTCGCCGGGACGCTCTCGACGTTCATCACCAGGCGAAGACGATGGTGACGACCTCACCGCGCCGTTGAAAGTCCCCTGGCCCGCATGGATCGATAGGTCCGAATCAAGGAGGCCGAACGCGTCTTATGGCTATAATACACATTTCGTACCTTCGAAGACGTCCCCCAATAAATCACCGAGCACTACCAGGTCGAACACGCCCAATTCTTCGCATCATAATCCTCATGGCTTCGCAGGAACGCTCGCGGCGGCTTTGACAGGTTCGCACCACGGATCGAAAGGGAGCGAACCGCAGTTGAAGACTTACAAGTCGATGGGCGAGCTTCGTAATCGGCCGAAACATCTTTCGCTGACCAGGAATGGCGACAGTCCCACTCCTAGCTCACACCGTGGCAGTCCGATTCCTCATACCCCAGCGAGCGCAAGACCTTCACAGGAGCCGGTGATGAGCAGGCCGAATGCGACGAGGCCGAGGGCGGAGACCAGTGCGAGTGTTAGGAGCGTGAAGTTTCCGGTGACGTTGGAGGTGCCGACTGTGAAATCGAGATCGAGGGCCGGGTCTTTATTCTCTGTGGCGACGGGGAGCGCTGTTAGTGGTGTGGCGGCGGCGGGGGTAAAGGGGTCTGAGACTGCAGCGGCGACAGCGACGGACGGTAGCAGTGTAGCTCAGGCGGGCAAGGGTAGGGCGAGGTCGAAGTCGGAGGGAGAGAAGAGCAAGGCTTTTAGGCATCTTCATCATTCGCATTCGCCCCAGGAGGGCGAGAAGACGGCGGGGCAGAAGGGGACGGGGAAGTTCAAGGCTTGGTTCCGCAAGACGTTGAACTTGAAGCCTTTGACGTTGACGCCTGTTGCGGAGGACCAACAGCATCAGTACTGTGGGCAGGAACCACAACAGCGGCAGCAGTACCAACAGCACTACCGCCACCGCCACCACGGAGAGGTCGTGCCCGTGCAGGAGGGGTGTATGAGTGAAGGCGAGGGCGAGGTGGAGGGGAGGTCGAGTTTGACTACGCTTTGTGAGCGAGAGGACGCGAGTGCGAGTGGGAAGAGGAGGAGCTTGTCGGGGAGGTTTCCGTATAGGGCGTTTGCGGCTGCGTCGAAGGATCTGGCCAGGATGGACGAGAGGATGTCGAACGTGAGTCTTCGCTTCTCATCAGAAGTACATTTAAGTTTTGTTCTGTGCGGCTCGTATACTAACCTTGACACTACATTCCTATGATATAGGCCGAAAAGATCCTAGCTTCGGCGTATCGTCGTGTCGCACAAGCCGAACGCATCATCCAGAACGCACTTCAGACGCGCGAACGCACCATCCAAGAATTCCAGGCTGCTAACTCCGTCGACGCAGGCCTCGAAGCCTTCCTCTCTCATCGCGACTCGCGGAGTCACAGCCCTTCCCTATTGGATTCCACTCCCTACGAGTTCGTCGACTTCCCTACAATTCCATCGCCAGCTTCTCCGTCGTTTTCGGGCAATGACTTGTCTGCGCACTCTTCGGTTTCGTCCTTGGCGCTTGGATCCGTTCTGGGTGCTGGTGCAGTCAGTGGTAGGGGTAGTGAGGATAGCGATTGCGAGGGGGTGGAGAGAAGAGCGGATGGAAACGAGGACGATACGAAGGGGTTGTATGCTTTGTTGACGAGGAAGGTGGATGTGAGGATAGACGGCGCTATGGAGGAGGTGGAGAAAGTGAGGGTGTGGTTAGGAGTGGTGAAAGGTGTAGTGAAAGGCGTGCAGAAGAGAGTTGGGTTGGAGGTGCCGAAGGGGTTGGCGTTGTAAGGTGTAAAAAAAGAACCCTCATTGGGGGAAGCTTCCTCTTGGACTCTTTCTTGGGACTTGCCATGGTTGGTCTTTTCTTGTAAGTGCTCTGTTCGTCTCGTCTGTTCTGTTTTCATTGTACAAACTTGCTCTTGATATCGTTGAAAACTGTTGTTGCTGTATTCTGTACATAATGCCCCTTTCCTGTTCTGCTCTGTTTCTTGCTCACCTGTTGTGTTAATGTCCCCCTAATCCTTTACCCACTCACGCACGAACCTTCTTGGCACATTCCATCCACTCATCCATCCATAGCATGCATTTCTTGATACACATCATACGGCTCGGACCCTCCTTCATAGAACTTCAATTTCCTTCCTCCATCCGTCACCTCACACATCTTCCAATTCTTGCACATACACAGACACAACATTTTCATCTTGCCCAATTTCTCCTCGTACATACATACGTTCATATTCGCCCTAGTTAATCCGGACTCGCATTGCCATGTACACTGGCAGGGTGTGCTCCAAGCAGTTGCTCGCTGTAGATTATACTTGTATCTATACCCCAGCTACAATAGCTTTGTCTCCTAGACATCTTAAATATAAAGAGCTGACCACCATGTTTTAATTCCTTTTCGCCGATGTGTAAGGCTCGTGTGGGATGCGAATGTCGTGAAGGGGGATGGGCCACAACTCAACGAGAGTGGCACCCGACTTACGTCACAGAAACCCCTGGCTCTCGGAACGTGGTGGCCCAAGTCGTGCATTAGAACTTGACGTGCTACACCCTCATGGCCCCGTTCGAAAGAGCAGAGAGCGTGCTCAGCGGATTCAAAGACAGGGTAGACTCTGTTGCCGTTCAAGGTGCGCTTATAACACAAATACTACCTGGAATCGATGTGTATTGACGCGTTACTGCTGAATACTTAGGGGACAGACTGTACCTCGGAACGTCAATAGGGAACCTGCATGTTTATTCGTTCAAGGACGATGCAGGTATCTTATACCAGTTACATTGAATTCGGATATCTGATCGCTAAGTGTGGCTTTATGCAGGTCCCGCAGAAGAGGTCGTAGTCAAGAAGGGCCTTGCAAGAAGGTCCATCGAACAACTAGGCTACGTGAAGGACATCAACTCTCTAGTCGTCCTTGCCGGTGCGCCACGCTTAGTTTATTCCTCTAATCGTGATGAACATCCGTTCTGACATACCGACGAAGAGAAGCAGGTCACACTCTACCCACTCCCTGACCTCTCGCCACCCACCGTCCTCTCTAAAGCCAAAGCCGCGTTCTCCTTCGCAGTCCATACCTCCGTACAACATCTTCTTCCTGACGGACAGCCCGTCCAGACTTCATCGGTTGGGTTTGACAAGACGACGGCTGTTCCGACTGTTATTACTTATTTGTTGGTGGGATGTCAGAGGAAATTAGTGATTTATTCGTGGAAGGATGGTGAGGCGCAGGATGTCAAAGTGAGTAATGTGCTTCCGCCCATCCTGTGTTTGAACCGTTGTGAAGGGCAAAAAGTGCTAATGTATGGTGTGAGTAGGAAGCTGTTCTTCCCCATTCGCCACGGACTATGGCGTTTTTGAACAACGACATCGTATGTCTGGCGTACCAGCCCGAATTCGTCCTTTTCTCACTACGAACACATTCAATCACTGAAGTCACGACTCCGGTCCCACCCACACTGTCTGCCCAAGGCATCAGCAGCATGGGGAAGGGCGCTCTATCTGGGTTGGGAGGGTATATGACTCTTGGTTTGGGAGCAAAGGCAAAGCCGTGTGCAGTGAATGTTGGTGACTCGGAAGCGCTTATAGCGAAAGAAAGTGGGTGACTGCTCTCGTAGCCTCAGATTCAGCTTACAATGCTGACACGACGTTGGGTGTAGACTTTGGAGTGTTCATCGGTCCGGACGGTAAACAATCGCGTACTCCACAGGTCGAGTGGCCCGCAACTCCAGAGGACCTAGGTGAGTTCAATGCGCCCATGACCAGTGAGCGACATCTAACTCGCTATGAACTAGCTTTCGTCAAGCCATATATTTTCACATTATTACCCGCCGGCACGGTCCCCACCGCCTCTATCACTAACTCCATATCCTCCGCCTCCACAATTCCCTTCTCTCCATCCCCTGTTCTTCAAATCCGCTCCTCAATTTCCCTCCAACCCTCGCAGACGCTTTCATTCCCTTTCGATCCTTCGACGTCTTCTTCTTCCGAGGCCACCACACCTTCTGCCACCACACACACCTTGCGACTGCTTACTCCTTCCCCAAACGCCAAGTCGCCGTTGTTTGTGATTAGTACACCGGTGGACAGGGCTATGGCGGCAAGTGAGGGCAGCTCGATGTGGAAGTTTAAGATGAAGGGTTGGGGAGAACAGGTGGATGAGTTGGTTGCTGACGGGTCGTACGATGAAGCCATAAAGCTGCTGGATACGATCGACGAGGCGGTTTTACCCGATAAGGTCAGTCATATTCCCGCTGCGAAAATGTCTTGTTTCTAATATGTTGCGATGTGGCACTAATGTGGCGTTTGCGTTAATCCGGCACCAGGATCGTCGAAAGAGTCTCTGTCAAGCCCTCCACGCAGTCTCCCAGTTCTCGTCCGCCCACTTTGACGAAGCACTAGACACGTTCGTCACTCTAAATATCAACCCAGCAAAGGTCATTGCGCTCTATCCTTCTTCCGTCTCTGGACGCCTGTCCGTTCCTCAGCAAGAATGGATCCCGCTTTTTGGCGGCCCAAAGTCTAAACCTAAACGTAAATCAGGATCATTATCGGTGTCGGCGTCTTCTGACCATCAGACTGATGAGGCGAAGAGGTCTTCGATATTTGAAGAGGGGCAGGGACAGGAAGATGAGGATGGGGCTTCGACGGAAGAGAGTGGGCCGTCAAGAGGACGGTCACCGCCACCAGGGGGGACCGCACCGGCGAGTAGAAGTAGATGGAAGCCGGCTTTGGATGTGTTCAGGCCCGGCGGTGGAAGAGATTCCGAGACGGCGTCGATTAGTAGCGTGAAGCAGAGAAGGCCTAATGGTACCACTCTTTGCTCTCACATTCGAGGCCCTAATTCCTTGCTAACTATCAATTCATGACGGACTAGACACATTCACCCGCTCCGTCGAGTCCCTCCTTCGTTACCTCCCCGACCGCCGCATCAAACTCGCAACCTCTCTTGAAGCCTTCCACATCACCTCCCTCCAAGCTCACGAACACAAGACCCTCCTCTCCTCCACTCCGCTTGTCGAACTCTTCACCATTCCTTCCTATGCACCACTCTCGAACCTTACACCGCAGCAATTGGTGCAATGTGCACAGGTGGTGGATACGGCCCTGTTCAAGGCGTACATGGTCATTAGGCCTGGGTTGATTGGGAGTCTTTGTAGGCAGCCCAATTGGTGTGAGGTGGAAGAGGTGGAAGAGATTCTGATGTCGAAGGAGGTGAGTGGCTTCAATATTTTCGGATGCGCAGTTTTCTGCTTTACGGTGCAGCTACTTCTGGTACTGACGAGAACGAATGTGATGATGCATCATACTTTATGTAGAAATATACAGAGCTTATTGCGCTGTATAACGGAAAGAAGATGCATTCGAAAGCTTTAGATCTCTTGCATACGTACGTTCCGTCCTCCCCTACTTTTCATTTCCATCAAACTCTGACTTTGTGATGCTGCCTGCAACAGGTTGAGCGAGAAGGAGACGGACATGCGGGATAAATTGGAGCCTTCGATCATATACCTCCAGCGACTAGGACCTGAACACCTCGATCAGATCTTCAAGTCGTCGCGATGGCTGTTCGACCAGGACGCTGATATGGCTTTCGAGGTTCGCCCTCTTATTATCTCATAACATCTCTCCCACAACATTGGCTTATTGTATGCCACCGGTGGACAGATATTCACATCTGAAGAAGTTGAGCTCCCTCGAGATCCAGTTATTGCTTACCTCGAAGGGATCGACTCGAGACTCGGTGCGCGATATTTGGAGTATTTGATGCAGGAGAGGAAGGAGGAGTCGACGCATAATGGCGACAGGCTTGCGGAGCTATACCTGAAGATGACGAAGGATGCGAAGAGGAAGCGGGACGAAGGTGCGTCGTGTCGCTTTGCCCGTCTCGGGTCCTTTCGCCATCGAGGTCGAAGTCTGTTTTTGGCTGACGGGGTGTCGCCCACGTATTATAGAGACCAGGAAGCAAGTGTACGACAAATTCTTGGAATTTATCGACAAGTCGCAACATTACCAAGTCGACAGATTGTTCGGACATCTACCGGCCGAAGGTTTGCTTCACTACCCTCACTAGCATTGTGAATTGCCAAGGAGCCCATCTGATTCTACTGTTCATAGATTTCTTCGAAGCAAAGGCTATCCTTCTGGGGAGGTTGAGCAGACATGACAGTGCTCTCGAGATCTATGTATACCGGCTGCACGACTACGTCAAGGCAGAAGAGTAAGCGTGTCTTCATCACGCTTTATTTTTGCGGCGAATACTGCACATAACACTCATTTGATACTCTTCTCTAGGTACTGCAAACGAGTCTACGTTCCCACCTCCGCCACCTCCTCCATCTTCCTGACTCTCCTCCGGATTTACCTCCGCCCCTCACCGTCCTATCAACCCTATCAACCTTCCCACACATCCCAAGACAAAGACAACACCCTCCTACGTCCCGCACTGGATCTCATATCTCGCCACAGTCGTCGCATCGATGCCGAAGAAGCACTTCAACTCCTTCCTCCTCTTGTATCTGCTCACGATCTACGAGCATTCTTGATCGAAGCACTGAGAGAGCCGGTGTTCGATACAATGGTGGTGAGGGATATCAGTAAGGCTCGGAGCGAACAGGTGGCGAGGAGGTTGATGTGGTTGCAGAGTAATAGGGTTAAGGTTACTGATAGTCGAATGTGCGTTATTTTCTTCTTTGTGGGATCAAAGATCCTTCTGCTGTGAAGGTTGAGAAACTGATTTGCTGTTGAACACATAGATGCCCGCAGTGTCACAAGAGAATCGGACATAGTTCTATCGCTGTTCATACGCCTGGGTAAGCACCGTATCGCCTCCGTCCCTCCCGATCTAGATAACTAATCCTATTGGGTTTTGTTCATAGCGGCGAGGTAACACATTATCATTGTCGGGAGGCATTCTCCCACAAACTGAAGGAGATGAGGCACACGTAGTGGTCCCCGTTTTATCCACCGTACAGGACAGTTTACTCAGTCTCTATCTCTCTGGCTTTCGCATGGACTGTTGTCTTCCTTAGTCGTGTCTGTTTTCCCATGATGTATACCCCTCAGTACCCAATACAGAGATGGAAAGGTGAAGACATCTGTGATGTTCGAGATCCCGGAAAGCCAGCTGTCCGTGACGACGACACACCGCGTAGATCAGACAGAATGCAAGACGAGAGACTGGCGCATTCCAGCCAAAACGTATCGCCCACTAAGCAGTCTTTAGATCCTTTTCCCTGCATATATATTGATTGGAGACATCACATCGTTAAATTACAAGGAGCCGGGTGGTAAGTTACAAAAGAAAGGGTAGGAGTAAAAATATGCTGTCTATCAGGTAGCGTTGAACAAAAACCCAGAACCCGCACTTTCTGTCTCCCCGTTGTTGATCAAACTTCCATCACTACCCAACGTAATCCATAGGCCATTCGACGTCGCCTTGATCGTATAAACCCCAGTCGCAGCTCCCGTCTTCTGGCGAATGAGGAACGTCTCCCAGGTCGAGGCAGTGGCCCTGATAGCTGCGAGTGTAAAGTTTCCTGAAGAATCTGCCGTCACGTATTGAGAAGTTGACTCGAGCTGGATAGTACCAGCGTTAGGGGTGAATGCAAAGTTGAAGACGGCAGCATCCGATGAAGACGAGGAGTTGGCGACGAGATTGGTGTTGGCGGCGGAGGCGCCGACGTAATTGTTGGTGTCGGCTGACTGGATCGTGAAATTTCCGAGGGGGTTTGCAGAGCCATCGGTACAGAGAGCCTGACCAGACGTGTTTGGACGGGTGGCAATGAAATAGACCTGAAGAGGATCCGTGAATGTGGCCGGTCAGTATCGCAGAAGGTGCAGAGCAAGATCGATGGCTATCACCTGGTTAGTGAACGTATTTCCAGTACCCCAGTCAGTTAACTCGGTTGACATGGACATAGCGGTGACCTGTGAGGGTAGATGAGCAAGTATATGTGAAAAGCTCATAGGCATAAAAGCTTACTGGATCGAAGTTGCTGTATGCACAGTATATCACGCATCTATAAATGCGAAGATGAGAATTCCACCAATTCCGTCAGGGAGCGTCGCATGTTGGCACTCACTTCCATTCATCAGCGAAGGTTGCATTGTTGATCTCGTCTGAAGCATATGACCAAATGTTCTGTACCCACTGCGTGTCGTACAGATACTCGTTCACAGGCTACTTGTACCAGATCAGCGAAAAGGACGGCGGCGGTCACTTCAAACGAGTAGATGCTTACCGTAACGGGAAGTATCTGGATAGCAGCGATCTCGACCTTCTGGTCTCCCCAGAACCTACGAGTGTATAGATGTCAACTGAGCTTTTTACGCATCAAAGAGTGCATAAATAAAGCTTACAGCCAAGCACCGGACTGCCAGTCTTCAACGTTGCCTGCCCATCGGCACATCAGCTTCACCTGACATGTTACGACCCGGCGATATTGAACGCACCTATGGTAACCAGATCCCTGATCGCATCCTCTGGGTATGGCTGATCCCTGTCGGTACCACTCGTCTGCGGGTACATATGCCAGTACGTCTGCGCCGCATGCTGCTCGGTCGCAAGTAAGAGAGCGGCATAGTTCTTCATGTCTGTATTTCCAGTGACTTCAGCCCAGAGCATGGCTCCGTAGTAGCCATTGATGGCTTCTCCGGTGGATTCTTGATCGCGGGAGCCCGCGCCATTGGCGATTCCGGAAGCTTCATAATGAAAGGTATGAGTGAATGGAAGGAGACTCCCAAGTTGATCGAGAAATTGGATGAAAGACTGACCCCAGGAATGGCCAGCAAAAAAGTCGCGGCAGCGAGCGATGGGGAAGTATGGATCCGCCGTCGAAGGGTTGGCCTAATCAGAGATCAGTTCGAACTTCGAGCAAGTCAAGACCATGAACTCATATACAATATCACGAAGGAACCAGTTAATTTCAGTCTCGTGTGCACTCAGCCAAGCGCTATCGTACCTGAAGAGTGGAATACTATCTCAGAATACAGTACTTAGCGCATAATACGGAGTATAACCACTTACTTTGCAACAACGGCAGCAGATGCAAGGAAATAGCCGTAGTGGAAATGGTGGTCATTGTAGTACCTGAAGGAACGTTAATCCTCTCGCCCCACATATGGAGTCGACGCAACATTCCACAACTTACCCATTTCCAAAATCTACGTTTACATCAGTTGCTCCCTCGTTGTTCACGATCCCTCCCCAGTTCGTCTCGTAAGCCGGAAGGATGGTTGAGCTTGAGTCGAACTGGTTGAAACGATAGTGTATCAGCCTTTAAGTGCCCCTTTTCGCTCGTAGTACATATCAGGTCGAAAATCACCCAATAGGCAAAGCTAGCCTCCATGTAATCGATAACCTGTGGGATGAGGTCGCTTCTTCCCATTGCATCGGCGATCAACCTTCAACAGGCAAAGCCGTGATCATTGAGGAAGACTATACGAGCGCGTATCACGAAGTTGAAGCTCACGCTAATCTGGACTGCGCAGCCATACTCCCGCCCCAATAATAGAAGTCGCCCGGGACGCTTGGCTCTGAAGCATTCAACTGCCCGATCTCGTATTCGAGGCCTTGGATAATAGTGGACGAGCAGGAACTATCGGGTGCGCGAGGGGCATTCCAATCGATTGTGGGTAGATCGTATTGCATGTTCCAGACATTTCCTGTGATACAGTCATGGAAGATGGGCATGGCGGAAACGACAAACGAAGATGGAATGCAGCAGAAGATATGGGGACGAACCGATGGCAGGATACATGTAGCCTTTGGTGGTCAGGTAGTTGAGCGCTGTTGTCGCGGGAAAGTTTGGTGACACCATCTTCATCCTGATTACTCCATGAAAGACCTTTGATCAGTAACAGGGGCTCTAACTAGGAAAACATCTCACTAATCACAACAAATACACACCTATGGTGAGGCCACGTCAGCATCAACAAACTATCCTCGTCTCCCGTCACATTCCATGTAAAGCTCAACACGGCCGTGTTTGCATCGGTATCGAAAGTATAGTCTGTGTCCACGCCAACAGGGTAGTTCTCGTAATACTGGTCCAACAATGCTTCGTGAGAGGAGTCGTTGAGTTTTACCAAGCGAAGGATACCAGTGAAAGGTGCCGAGGCGGTGACAGTCCCGGATGTGGTATTGGATGCAGCGGTGAGCGTCAGATCACCGGATAAAGAGTATATCAGGTAGGTGCCGATGCTGTTTGTGACACTGAACTTAGAAGCGGTTTGGGTAGCTAGTGGAGATGATTAAAATATTAGTTGGAAGGGAAGTGTTTCAAACGATGGCACGTACACGAAGCTCCGGTCGCTAGAGTCTCGTTGTTGAACGAGGTGATGGACTCTTGACCACTCGTGAACAACGGTGTGGCGCTGGAATATTCGAACGTTAGATATGGAGATCCAGGTACGAGGTAGCTCGTCATTGTGCTTGAGCCTGTGAAATATTGCACCGTGACCGATTGTGTGTCCTGTGCGTCGCATCAGTAGCCACCCCATTGTACAGAGGATAGGTATAGTGGGAATCATCAACAAAAAGGCGAGGAGTCGATTAATGTAGGCATACTGACCCAACCTGTCGCTTTATGATCACTCGCTGCTCCAGAATGCTCAACAAAGCCGGCCAACCAATCCGTCTGGGTGGGTTGATGGATAGACGTCCCATCAAAATCACGACTGGTCGATACTCCGAACTGAATTGCACTCGAAGTCAAACTCGTCTCATAAGGGAACGGTCCCGCACAGACACTGTGGGGTGACACGCATCGAAAGTGTCAGTATACGTCAATGCGCATCTTCGGTGTTCGAATTTCCATCGGAAAGGAGAAGAAAAGAAGGAAAAGAATAGAACGACGTACGCATTCCCAGGAGAAGCAGCATAACCCGCCCACCAACTGTTCGTAGGATACGGTGATGACAGATCCGCGAAGAAAGAGGTTAGAGGAGAATCCGTTGCTACGTCGCCACCAGCAGGAGCAGGTTTGTCCGTCGCTATAGGTCCTATGGATTGAGCAGGAACATTAACGATGGTTTGGGAGATCATAGAGAAAAGCGATAAAGTGCGGAAGAACGGCATGATTCTGAGATCGGGAGTTAGAGAGAACAGACAGCCGTCCAACGCGACGAAATAAGAACGAGTAGTGCCAGGGCCTATAGGAACAGCTAGAGAGAGCAAGGAGGTGGGGGTGAATGTGCGGAGGCAGATCGCGGTTCACTACCGTGAACGGTCGAGTCTTAAATGTGTTCGTCTGGCTTCGAACGGCGTATAGATGCGAATGGGTCGCGATATGAGCACTTGACAACAGCGCGGAAGAACACGCATACCATCGCTTGTCATCTGTTGCTGCTTGCTTCAAGCTTAAGGTCCCGATACGGAAGCATACGTCCACCCAACACTGACCAGCCCAAACAGAGCAAATGTAGACGAGACCCTCACCTCCCCAGTTCTTTGCACTCACGATGATAATCCCCAAAGATGACGCATATGGTACGAGTAGCACGAGGAAGTCACGAAGAACGTCTATTACGGATAAACTCTGTGTCAAAGGAGCTGCAAATGATCGCCGTTCTCACCTGCAGTAATCCCATGCCAAATGAGCTGGAAGACGTCGAAGAGAAGAGGCCGAGAAGAGACACCGCAAGGACAGTGACTGCGATAGAGGCGAATGGTCCAGTCAGCAGTAGAAGTAAATGACATCAGTCACAAAGTCGAACTTAAAGCCCTACGCTTCTTAGATATTTAAAGCGGAAAGGTATAAAGGGCCAGTGTATACAGGCGATAAAACGGGAGCTAGATAGGCCGTGTAGGGAGACACACGAGAAATGGGCGTTGATATCGATTAATGAGGACTTCTCGTAACATGATCCAAGGATCGCCACACGAAAGATGAGACGTCTCAACTCTCGAAAAAACCCCGATAATATATGACCGGATCAATGGTCATAAGAACGCGAGGAAAGAACAGCGTGGCTCCTGGAACTGCCAGCACATCCGTCCCACAAGCTAAAAAGAGCGAGGGAGGAGAAGAATAACGAAGATGCCTCAATAAGGGCAGGACAGGCCATTCACACGGACCAGCCAGGTGAGCACCCAACAACGCAACCGGAGGCGGAGATATACACTTATGTTGTGACGTTTGCGCTAGTAACTTGTAGACGCCAATCTACACCGACTCTTTGAGTATTGCAACAAGTAGAAGACTACATAGGTGACGCACCGAGGAAATTCGTCTCGCACATGAACGTCACAGAAGTCTCCTTGCATGTGTTTTCTTGGATTGTGTACATAGATGCGTGAGCGAACAAGGCAGAGGGAAGCAAAGAAGGGTAAGTACTCACTGCAATAATTCCACACTAGAATGTGATCGCATGGGTCACCTGAGTAGGGGGGACGCCGGTCATTGTGCTTGTGTGGGTAAAGGATTCCTTTCGTCGACTCCAGCGAGAGGAGCCCTAGATTGAAGCGCCCAAAATATACCAGTGCACCTGCGATGGTGTACCATTGCTAGAAAGTGTGATATGCAGTTCCTGAGACCCATTACGATCGAGAAGGCGGCCCTTGTCGTGTCTGCCCTATGTGAGTAAAAACCTAAGGTTCCGACTGCTCCAGCTGGGTACTGCGGGCGAGTTGTGTGAGAAGTTCCAAGAAACTTAGCAGCAGCGGCATGGAAAATACTCATACACCACCAATTATAATGAACAGCCGCGAAAGACGATACGATAGTCCAGATCAAAACCAAACAATCCTGAAATACAAATCAAAGCCTCTCAGATCCAAATTAAAACTTGACATCCACTCAGATATCAGAGAACCTACAACATAGCCCACATATAGATATTTCGATAAGATTGCGCAGACACGAAGGATCAGGAAGAGGGAGACCAACTCACCGATCAGGCATCAACACTGGTGCAATAAGGCTCCAGATGTACAATAGCATGCAGACCCACGAACTGACGATGCGCATCCACATCGCGGTCTCGGAGCGACCGATGTAGACGTCTTCGCCTTCGGAGGTGGTACCGCCTGTCTTCATCACGTTCCTATTTGACGTCGCCACACGTTCGTCAGTTTCTTGAAGTTGGAGATGGAGATGGATGAAAGAATAATAGGGGACATACCAGTCGGTGAGTAGCATGGCAACATACATGGCGCCGATGGCGAAGATAATGTGGAACCAGGAGTACTGTGAAGGATGGTGTAAGGCGGTAAGTATCAAAAAAAAATACGGGACAAAATAGATGCAACGTACATTGTATCGTGTCCCAGAACGCTCATCATCTCGCATCTCACCGACAGCCTCGTCGTCCTCTTCATCCTCCTCCTCGTTCAGCGCCGACGCAGGGATAGCGCTATCCAACAATTTTCAGCCCGGATGACGCAACACTGAAGTTTGAAAAGAAACGCACCCAGCTTCAACAGCGGCCAATAACGCCTGATATCTCGGCGTCTCAGTCTTTCCTGGCTGTGTACTCACCACACTAACCTCATGCCCCTCATCCGCATCGCCACCTAACGCCACAGCCCCATACTTCCTCTTCCCCACCAACGCCCTACTCTGTGTCGCCGCTCTCGAGGTGGAATACGCAATGGCCAAGAACGTAAACACGGCTCCTAGTACGACTGCAGTCGTTCTCGTTCCACTTGCCGTACCTGACCGAAGAGGATTACAGGTCTCGTGCGAGTGGTTGCCGATGGCGGACATGATGAGGTAGGTGCAGTATGCCGCCACCATTGCGCTTTGAGCGAGGCCGGAGCGGGGATTATGTTCTTGGACGGTAGGATTGACACATATGATGGTGATGAGGATGCAGAGTGCGAGGTTGAACGAGATGAAGAACCGATTCAACGTGCATCCCGACCCGGCGAAAAACGCGAACATCACACCCGTCAAAGCGATCGTGGCAGCGTACATTCCTGCGGTGGAACCGATGAGAATCCACTGCCACATATTTGACGAGCTCGAGGCTTCCCAGTTCTCCAGGCACGTTTCGGACCAAGAGTGTGCGAAGTCGACGAGGAGGACGAGACCGAGGAGTATGAATATTGTGGCGCCGATGAGGGATATGTAATTTCCCCAGAAGATGAAAAAGCCGTTGGGTATGAAGAATGAGACCACGACTAGTACCAGCCAGAGAAGGACCTTTGGACCCCACCAGCTGTGTGATACATGAGTTTTAGTTCAACGTTGAATAAGGCTATGAGGAAACGTACCCATTTTGGATAGCAGCCCGTTTATCTCGAGTGTCTCTTACTCCAACCAAAGCGAGACTGAGGATGAGATGCAGTAGAGACAATGCGAAACAGATACGATGGACCTACGACATGTTCAGACTTCGCGAGAATCACCAGAGAAGAGAATACGCACCGCTAAAACACCGTAGCACTTATCATCTGCACAGTCCATCTTGATATAATCATAGCTCCATTTCGCGATGTTGTCTACCATGAACGGCGTCTTCATAAGCCATGCAAGCATCGAGTTCAACGCAAATATCATCTGTCGCCACAGAACATAGGGTTAGCAATATCAACGGTCGTAAGGCCAACCAAACGTACAGCAAATCCGACACGAGTTGCAATAGACGAGTTGCAATTGCATGATTTACAGAACATAGATGCTTTAAAAGGTTGTCAGCATGAGACAATATTATGGATCACACAACTGTAAACATACCTGCATGCGACGTGAAGCAGAAGGCTAACCCAGCCAAAGCAGAGGTAGCGATTCCGCCTAAGGAGCCCAGAATGGGTAAGGAAAGCAAGATACCCATCGTTGCCTTTCCACTCTTGATTATAAGTCAAGGTGTTATAGACTAGGAAGATAGCAGAGTGATGGTTGAAAGAGAGATGACTGGAGAACGCTCCCCCAAGGCTCCAACTCTGGGCGCTGCGGACGTTGCCGACATCGGCGCCACCGCCACACCGCATTTCTTCATTTTTTGCCACATTTACTTGTCATCCAACAGATGCATCCAGGCAACGCTCGTCAATCACCCTTGTTGTAACAGTATTTCAGCGAAACGTTATCCACCTTCGAGGCGTCACCCGTCTATGTCAGAAAATGGATCTCAGACCAGCTGTTAAGACAACAATATACAATCGCCCTGCAGCCTTCTGCAAGTGAAAGAGACCACATGAGCTTTATCGATGCTCCCGCATTCTCTTAGCATATTTGTCTTCCGGAGTCCCGTCGTGCCGACATACATCTGGGCGGTTTTGGGAGATTGTATCTGACGCTAATATACCCATAGAGATTGTCTTCATCCAACTCTAAACAACTTCCCGACGACGCTCACAATGTCTCCTTCGACGCCGCCTCCACCCGGTTTCTACGTCCCAGCAGTCCTCTTCTTCACAGAAGATGAAGAATTAGACATCCCCGCGATCAAAGCCCACGTCCTTCGTCTGGCTCAAGTACGTATCTTCATCATTCATCTAAGTCAAAGACGATTAGCCCTGACCGTGCGATGTCTTGTAACATCCAAACAGGGTCACGTAACCGGAATCCTCGTTCAAGGGTCCAATGGCGAAGCTCAGCATATATCTCACGAGGAACGCAAAATAACTATCCAAACCACCCGCCAGACTCTCGACGAGAATGGGTTCCAAAATGTGCTCGTCATCGCTGGAACGGGTGGTCAGTCGACCAGGGAGACGAAAAAGTTGAACGTGGACGCGAAGGAGGCAGGCGCCAGTCACGCACTCATCCTCACTCCGTCTACGTGGAAGCCCCTATTGACGAAGGAATCGATCACGAAGTTTTATCGGGAGGTGCGTCTGCTTCTCTTGTCACTTTTCTTCATCAGTCCCATAGTTGGTTTCGCTGCGTTTAGGTGGCGGATGCTAGTTCAATCCCAATCATGGTCTACAACTTCGCCGTTGTCACCGCCGGTCTGGACCTCGACTCCGACACGATCGCTACCCTCGGCGAACATCCCAACATCGTCGGCACTAAACTTTCCTGCGGCCATCTTGGCAAACTCACCCGTCTCTGCACAACGCCTTCCCTCCCCCCATCTCAATTCGCCACCTTCATCGGTCGTTCCGATTCCTTCCTCCCTGCCGTAGCGCTCAAATCCGCTGGCGGGATCATGGCTCTCGTTAATGTGGCTCCCAAGGCGCATAGGCGGCTGTTGGACCTGTGGGAGGTGGGTAGGTACGATGAGGCTAGGGACGTGCAGAGGTTGCTCAGTCATGGGGATTCGATTGCGGCGAAGTGTGGGGGGATTGGGTTCATCAAGGCCTTAGTGTCGAAGGAGTTTGGGTATGGGAACGGGACGGTGAGAGGGCCACTGGTTGCTTCTTCCGTGGATAAACTACAAGGGAGGGATAAGGAGCTCATGGACGAGCTGATTGCACTTGAGAAATCTTTGCCGTAGAGGAGAGGTTCTATGCCCAAATGCAGAACGCTTCTTAATTGATACGAGGAGAAGTAATGGAATTAAAAGCTTAACATATTATTGTGCCCGCATATCAACAGGACACCGCACTGAAAACAAATATAGCCAAACGCGACGGTTTAAGTCTGGTCCCGATCTGTCCACTTCTTTGTTAGTCGCCGCTCGCGTGAGGTGACCGCATCATCGCTCCAAATACTCTGTGACAGAAATATGTGTGTTCAGGTTGGTGAGTCCCCATATTGCGTTCTGTGTTTGGACTACTCTACTGCGACCGAAACTTATCTTTCGCTGCACTGTTCTCAGGATGGTATCACGCATTTTCAGCGCCGTCCGGAGGGCTTCTGTGCACATATGTGCAGGCCGGCCCGTCGAATAGGACAAGGCAAATCACGATAATCCACTGCAAACGCAAGGCGTTTCACTGCTGGGCGAAACCATACAGCATGCCCAACTCATGCCTATAACCTAGCATCCTTTCTCGACACTTGGAGGTATTATGGTTACGGCGTGGTCTTCTGGAATTATTGCATACGTAGTCTGCGGTAAATGGGTCCGGTTCGGGCCATGGCGCTAAGTAACGATTGAGTTCGACCACTGTAAAAAGCAAACAGAGCCAAACACGATGGCGGCTTACGTTTTGCTTACGTTGGCTTCGTCCTAATTTGTGCACTTCATTGTCGTCCACAGCGCTAAAATGCTATCATCTCTGTACACTACTTCCCGGACAGGTCAGTCTCATATGCATCATTCAAAACAAGTACTTCATACTTACAAGTAAAACTCATCTACAATAAAGGGCACGGTCATCTTGGCGCTAACTTGACGCAACAACCTACAGTATTCCGAACGCCGCACCACGGTGGCGCGAGCTTAAGCGCAGTATTTGGATCTCCAGCTAGCACTTATGCCCCGTATTGCTGGTGTCTTTCTGAGTAGACGTCACCGTTAGTATTGTGGCTAGGCAGGTGACCGGATGGCCAGTGGTACATCGAGGGCCTGACTGCTAATACAGTAAACCTGGTAACGCATCAAAGCAATCCTAGTGGTCAGTTGGCAAAGTCTGTCCCCCGGACAGTTACTGAAACATCTTTGATAGGCATTGCGCCGCTTCTTCAAATGTCTTGTCACGGTCATGGTGTCCGTCATTCAGCGGCTGGAAGTACTATGGAACAGTCAGTTGGCTTCAAATTCTGCATCGTCACCCTGATACTGAACATCCGATGAGGTCGGCTTCCCCGGTGTAACGGCTTTTGAAGAGCCTCTTTCCCAACTCTTTCCAAGACTTTGTCGGTGTGCCAGCACCGTTGGACTCAGGGGTCTGGCCTACGGCCAGTACATATCCCCGACCATCAAAATAATGTACATCTTTACCTCGGGCCAGTGTCGGGGACAGTTGAGAACGGAAACATCCTCGGGCACGGCCCTCATCCTTCCCAGCACACGTGCTGACTGTCGTAACACACTAGGCGGCGAATTTCTGAGACCAGAACATTTCTTGATCCAGATTGGACAGCTCAAGATGTGGAATATGCCACTGCAAGGTGAGCGAACAAGTATTCTGACTTCCTGGAAATGATCTTGGCCGGGATTGGAATGCATTTCGAACAAGTAGAGACGCAGTGCTCGCTTGTTCGCATGGTCAATTCTTCTAATGCTACCCCATTTTAGGCGATGCTTTAGTTGCCATTCACGCTGTCGGCTGAGTCGACTCTCTACTAAGATTTGCACCTCAGACCGGGGTTCTGGAACAGAACTATCTGGGAAACAGCCGAGCTATACGTTGTCTCTTGCCGTCACCTGTGATGCACTACATCTTATCAGTGCGATGGCATGCCGAGGATGCCCGGGTCACTAATGGCACAGCGTCGCCTCTGGAGGGTTTACGTTACGGGCAGCACATCTTATCGCCGTACTAGGCCGTCTCTGTGAATCTTTGCAGTCTCGGAGTGATCCGACATGATCCTTGCTGGTTACAATGTTCAGCTCTCACGGCACTCGTTCAAACAGGTAGGAGGATACGCGACGTATCCCGAGGATCACAGCGGTCAATAACGCGTAGTGCAGGCACATTCCAAGGTCGAGCTAATGACGATTCTTCGCAGACGATGTGCTGTTCTGCGCCTTTTATATTGAAATTGGGAAAGTTCAGGGGGAACCTTCTAGGACTACTATAGAGAAGGTCTTCAGTGCCACCGTGGTCTGATGTTACTGCACAATGACTTTGGGCACCGCTACGGATTGACCAAGGGGAACGAACACACCTTCGTGGCAAAGCTTTGGTGCAGGGATTTGAAGAGTTTTAGAAGCTTGAGGCCGCGAGGAAGAAACAAGCCTGTCCTGAAGGCTATTGCCTGTGGGATTGACCTGGTTGAAGGTCCATGCTTCAGCGACCCTTCCGAGAGATGCTCACTTTTCTCCGGATCTGCCGGTGGTTTACAAACACACAACTGACCATCCCAAGGTGAACCCGATTTTCATCTGGTCATAAGAGCACCAGCGCACCGCAGTACCGTGAAGATGATTTGGGACCGCAAGGGTAACGTACAGCGGACACCGAATAGTGAACACAGATGGCGAAACGGTACTTACTTTTCGCCGGGATCATGCTTGCCATGACTTTCTGCTGGGTTTAGGAGACGTCTGCTACTCCCACAGTTGGTATCGCCTCTTTAAATACTGGTCTCAAGATACAGGCCTTGGTCTCTCCATCGACTCTCCTCCCACCTCTATTCACTCTTCCACGGCTCTATCGCATTTTTATGGATTATTCCCGCAGCCCAAAGGCAACCGCACTTCCCACCCTCGACGGGTCTACGAGAGGGTTCCGTTTTCCAGATGATAACGAAGGGGTGTCTCCCAATGGACAGCATGTTCTAATTATAGGGGGCGGCGTTACAGGTCTCACGTTGGTCCCTCCCTTATCCTAACCCTGTAATCTATTTTACCATGTCACTATTTATCTTAGCACCGCTTGGGTCCTGCTCGACGCTGGATACTCCGTGACTATCATATCTCAATGTTGGGCACCTGCAACTCCGCCTATTACATCTCAGATCGGTTCGTTCCCTCTTGGTTTTACACAACTACACACTACTAAACTCATGATCGTTTTCGAAGCTGGTGCATTGTGTGTAGATCTTCGGCTTGCTTGACGAAGTATCAAGAATTGACAACCATACTTTTAGGTGGGAGTATCCTCCTGCCGTATGTGGTGGGCTTTCATGTCAAATTCATACAGAGCTCACATCACTTACGCCGCTTGAGACAGGAAGTCCTACCGACCGGATATCCCTGGCTCACTCGAAGCAATGGGCTCTTCGTTCGTATCGTGTCTTCGATGAACTAAGCAAGACAGAACCAAGCATCAAGATGCGTCCTGCAAACTTCTTCTTTGGTAAACCCGTCGAAGACATTCCTGGAGAGCTACCAAAGATGCTGGAAATACAGACGAGTGGGGTAGTCAAAGGATTCATCCGAGATACGAACCTAATTTCCTCCCACTCTGTAAATCAAGAGGCCGGGGTGGTGGACTCGTATGCCCACCTCGCCCCTCACATCGATACTGATGCGTATATGGTAAGAATCCCATTGACCTAATTTAATCACTGCAATAGCCGATAGTCGACGCTCCTCCATAGGTCTGGCTTCTGAAACATGTCGTGTCCAAAGGAGCCTCCCTTGTCACGAAGGGCATATCTGGCGACCTCCTAGACATCGAAGACCGGCTTGCCTCGGAATATGGAGCCGTCGCAATTGTCAATGCATCGGGCTTAAATGCCTTTGAATTAGCGCAAGATACGACTTGCTATCCGCTCCGAGGCGCTCTCATCCGTGTCGTTAATGATGGGCAACAGTTTACCAGAGTCACAGAGTCTCTCGCGGTCACGCACAATGGTTCCGTGGGTAACGTGGATGATATCGTTTTCATAGTTCCGAGGAATGACAATGTAAGTGTTTATCCGTCAGTAATGTTGTAGATCTAACGTGTTATGACGTACAGATACTCATTCTTGGCGGAATCGCTCAAGCAAATCGCTGGGAGACAGACCTCACACTTTCATCTCCTGAGATACAGCGTATGCGTGCCCGTTGCAACAACTTGTGAGACCGCCCTTACATACTACCTTCTCCTTCCCGAACTAATTTCCGAGCGCTCCCTGTCTGACAAATGCCACTTCTTATTTTTACAGTGTTCCAGGACTAGAAAATGCGGCCTATGACCCACTAATGCCCTTGGTACAAGGCCTACGTCCGTTCAGAGGTACAAATGTTCGCGTTGAACGCGAGCTGCGTCCGAACAAAGCCTCAGGAAACTTCAGTCGCATCGTCCACTCGTACGGTCACGGAGGAGCTGGGTTTTCTCTCTCGTTTGGGTGCGCGTTTGATGTGTTGAAGTTGGTGAGGGAAGTGGAAAGGAAGTCGGTGCCGAAGAAGATGTATATGCCTTTTGAGGGCTGCTCGGCAAAGTTGTAGCGCTACGAATACCGAAATATGTTTGCAGCACAGGTCTGGCTTAATGTTTCGCATTCTGAGGCTGCAGTGTGGCCCCTACAAAGTGGCAAAAGTAGGAAGCGTGGGAACACAAGTTTCCATGGCTGTGGTGTGGCGAACTCAGCACGTGGCAAAGGAACGAATGCCGTCGCCGGCGCCGAGGCTTGACGCGTTCCCGTCTTCTTTGCTCCCAACACCCATGGGTGTTTCGACCGCGATCCTGCCGACTTTGCTCTGATTATTTGCTGGCAGTGATAAGGCTAGGGAGGCCTCTGATTTAACCCTAGAAACTCTTAGAAATCCCGTTGATACATCCTCGACGAACAGTACTGTCTCTTCCTACACGAACTACACCAACGATGTCTTCGACCTTTCTGCGCTCTCTCTCAGCACAAAAGGCGGTTACATATGGATTGGGGGCCTCCAGAAGACTGGGATCACTGGACTCTGCACGCGTAGCACACCGTCACTTTACCACCATCCTCAATACTGCACATCCAGCACGCCAACTCCGGTCTCGTTATGCGTCTTCCGCCGCTTCTCTGCGTCATGCCGTAGGGGCGAGCAGAGGAATATCGTATGGAGCTATACCGAGGTTCGTGCTGAGAGCATTCAGGGTCCCCATAGCAGGAGCTACGATCGGTGCGGGAGGTTTGACTTATGCGAACTACAGGTTCGAAGGTATGTTTTTCTTTCGTGGTTACGCCACAGCTTCTTCTCTGCCGTTTGGATACTTTGCTTATGAAACATACGTAATCTATGGTCACGGTGCTTAGAGTTCAGAAAACAATCTGAAGGATGGATAAATAGCGTCAAGGATACCGCGACTGACATCTTCGACACTGCTTCCGATGGCCTTAAATCCGTGCAGGGCTCTGTTGCCGGCGTGCAGATCCCCAAATTCGAAACTCCCCAATTTCTGAAGGATCTCTTCTCTGGAAGTGGCAAGGAAGAAGGGTCTTCGTCCCATGGCGAATCCTCTGGCGGCCACGACAATGGAAATGGCAAGAAACCCGACCCCGATCCCTCGGCCATCGCAGCTCTTGTCGCCGCCACTCTCGCCTCTCCATCAGACTCGCAAATTACCATCGAAGATATCGATGATCCATCTTCGTTTGGATCTAGCGGGGGAGATAGCGGACTGATGCATCTGACGAGGAAACTGATCGAGATTCGGACAATGCTGTTAAGCATCGACCAGAGCGACGCGCTAAAGCTGCCCAGTATCGTTGTGATCGGGAGTCAGAGCTCTGGTAAGAGTTCAGTGCTGGAAGCCATCGTTGGACATGAGTTTTTGCCAAAGTGCGTTCGCATTCTCCCTTCTTTTAAGCAGTTCTTTGACTGACTCCAGGCTCCAGAGGCAACAACATGGTCACCCGCCGGCCCATCGAACTCACTCTCATCCACACACCCTCCACTCCCGGCTTCGTCGAATACGGTGAATTCCCCGCTCTAGGCCTCGGCCGTATAACCGACTTCACGCAGATCCAAAAAACCCTCACCGACCTCAACCTTGCCGTCCCCTCCTCCGAAGCCGTCTCCAACGAGCCCATCGACCTCCGAATCTACTCCCCCTACGTCCCCGACCTCACTCTCATCGACCTCCCTGGCTACGTCCAGATCTCATCCTTGGACCAGCCCGAATCCCTCAAGGAGAAGATCGCGGCGCTGTGCGACAGGTATATCCGGGAGCCGAATATCATTTTGGCGGTGTGTGCAGCGGATGTGGATTTGGCGAATTCGCCGGCGCTGAGGGCGAGTAGGAAGGTCGACCCGCTAGGATTGAGGACGATCGGAGTGATCACGAAGATGGATCTCGTTCCGCCTAGGGATGGAGCGATGATCCTCTCTGGTAACCGGTACCCGCTTCACTTGGGATACGTGGGCGTCGTGTGCAAGCCGTCAGGGAAGAAGGGAAAGAAGGAGTCGATGGAGCTGGTTGCGAAGAGGGGGGACGACTATTTCAGGGCGAACCGGGAGGTCTTCTTCGCTGGCCCGACTTCGCATTCGAGCTCACCGTTGATGGTCGGGACGGATACGTTGCGGAAGCGGTTAATGGAGGTTCTGGAGAGCAGCATGGCATCATCGTTGCATGGGATCACGAACGCGGTTCAACTCGAACTCGAAGAGGCGCAGTACCAGTTCAAGGTCCAATACAACGACAGACGCATCTCGCCTGAGTCGTACGTCGCCGAGACCATAGACTTGCTCAAGGCGCGCTTCAAAGAATTCACGGCGCAGTTCAAGAAACCGGCGGTCAGGGAGAAACTGAAGATGATGCTGGACGAGAAGGTGATGGGTGTCCTGGAGCAGATATATTGGAACGATAAGCGGGTGACGGAGTTTTCGACGATGGGGACGGATAGTAAGGTCAAGCCGGAGGAGGTGGAGCCGTATTGGAGGTATAAGCTCGAGGCGGCGAGTTCGTTGTTAACGAAGTCGGGAGTCGGGAGGGATTCGACGCTGTTGGTCGCAGATGGATTGAGGGCGCTGATCGATAACATTGCGGCTGGCGAACCCTTCACGCATCATCCGAAGGCGTCGGAACGATTGGTCGAATTTGCGCATATGATTCTTAGGGATCGGATTCCACTTACCGCGGACCAGGTCGAGAATTGCATTAAGCCGTATAAGTACGAGGTCGAGGTTGAGGAAAGGGAGTGGGAGAATGGGAGGAAGAACGCGATGGAGTTATTCCAGAGGGAGATGGAGATGTGTGAGGGGAAGTTGAAGGATATTAGGAAGAGAGTGGGAGGGAGTAGGAGGTTGAACAATCTGATGGGGTACGTGAGGGAGTTGGAGGAGAGGGAGAGGGAAAGGAAGAAGAAGAGGTTTGAGAGCCTGGGGAAGGGTATTGAAGAGCTGCCCTTGGGGCCGACCGCGGAGGAATCGTACAAGTATCCTCCGGGCCAGATTCTTGACGGTTCGTCTTTCTGCTCCTGTCACGTTGTACAAAACAACTAATTTTCGCCGTGTAGCTCGCCACGCAGCTCTATACACCGATCGCCTTGGGATTCTCAAGCTTCGGCTTACAGCACTCAAGTCCAAACGATGCAAAGCTGGCCCAGAGAACGACCTCCTCTGCCCCGAAGCCTTCCTCAACGTCGTGGCCGACAAGCTCGCCTACACCTCCGCCATGTTCATCAGCATCGAGCTCCTCGACCAGTTCTTCTACCAATTCCCGAGGGAGATCGATTCGAGACTGCTTTATGACCTGGACAGGAACGATATCGTAGAGTTTGCGAAGCAGAATCCTGAGGTGAAGAAGCACCTGGACCTGCAGGAGAGGAAAGATAAGCTTGAGGAGGTGAGTTCTTTCGTCGTGTCGGGGCAGGAGATTTGTGATACTGATTTCGATGATTTTCGTAGGTTATGAAGCAGCTGAATAGCTTGTCGACGCTTCGGGCTGATGTACAGCCCGCACCCCGTCGGCCTCGAGGCCTCTTCGGTGGGATCTTCTGATCTCAATGGTCCTTTACTTCTTTATCTCTCTTGCTTTTCTTTCTCTACTTCGCTCTCTTCTGGTATTCTTCTCTGCTGCTCCTATCACTGTATACGGTTAGATTTCGTCACTACGCTATATGGCACCGTACGTTCGATATCCTGCAATCTCGTTCTTCTCTTAACTTGGATGGCTCTCTTGTTTATGGTTATAATTTCGAGGCAGAGTGACTGCTTACTGTCTTATACCACCGCTCAAATTTATGGAGTATTGTTTCGACACCGATCTTTCCGGAAAGGATACCCCAAAGGCAAGGTTAAGAATAAGAGAGAGAATTAAATAATATACAAAAAATTAAAGGAACAACGACGTTGATCATGGGTACAGGTCAAAGCTTCGCCTTGGACTTAGCCGCCTGCAGTAGCGGTCATACTCGTCAGCAACTCAAGACGCACGAAACACGGGAATCATGTTAACAATGCACATACCTTAAGAACCCCGTCAAGCTTCGTAGCCAACATCATGTTTCCCTTCGTCTTCAGCTTTCCCGTCATGAATGCCTTCTGCCCGTCAAGCTTTCCTTCTGCCAGCTGTGTGAAGGTATCGTCGGAGAGGATGATGGTGACGTCGGCTTTAGGCTTCGCGGCACCTTTGTAGACTGTACCAGTCTTCTTCATGTCTATTGTCCAAGTCTCCTCAGTTCCCGCAGAATTCTTGACCTTGAGCTCGAAGATGCCGTTGGACTGGAATTCGTGAACGTAGATGGAAAGTAAGACGATTGCGACACAGGACCATGGTTGGAAATACGTACCTTCTTGATCTGTGCCTTTTTCTCTGCCTCGCCGTAGGAGTCGAAGACCTGGGCTAGTGTGGCCAGGATCTCAGACGACTATTCAGGAAGAAATGACCAGTCATACGAGCGGCGTTGAACCATGATATTAGTCCTCGTCCTATCTAGTATCTACCTCCCCCTTCGTGACTTACCTTGAACCCATCAACCTTAATATCAGACATAATGACAACAAAATAGGCAAGGTTGGTGTTGGTGGTTCAAGTGAGAGGTACAAAGGAGAACAGAAGTGTGGGGAAGCTTCAGATATCGCCAGGGAGCGAATTTATGGACTGGAACCGGAATCAGGAGAGTGTGAACGCGTCCGCATGTGATTTGTTCCCCACAGTTGCATCCGTCGGAGGCCAGCCACGTGCGGGACTCGTGTCCCATCTCCGATCGTCCGAGTGTGGCTCCAGGAATTTCCTGTACAACCAACACCACCACCACCACAACGATCAGGCGCATCGTTACTGGTCTCCTTTGGTTCTGCTCTCGACGGTCATCTAATTGAAGTATCATCATGGCTGAGCCACCCCAAACCGACGTCCCTAGGCGTTCTGCAATGCCCACCGCCAACATCGGTGTCAATTCTAGTCAAGTCCAAGCACTTCTCGAACAACCTTCGGACGAATATCTCGATGCTATCGAGGAGGACTGGAACAGAAAGGTGGATATTGAGATCGAGACGCTGGCGGATGGAATGACTGATCTTGTCAACCTTGCGTCGGTGAGTGTCATGCGTACTCTGGGGCCGAGTAGGATTCCTTCTGAGTAGTGCATGGGGTCGTGCTAGATTGGGGATAAAGACAAGTTTAAGATCGCCCAGGAAGCATTTCAAGCCCAATTTCGTGCCGAATCCATGGTGAGCAAAGGAGCTTGGCGTCATGTTGACGTTGTCCCCCCGAGCTTCCCGTTGACAATCCAATCTCGAATTTCTGTATACAGGTCCGAGCGGCAAACTCCCTCTTGTCCATCATTCACTCCATGAAACTCCTTCTGCTCATCTCCGACGAATCGCAGATCGTTACTCGAAGAGATGCAGAGTTCAAGGTCACTCAGGAGGAGAAGGAGGCTACGAAGCAAAAAGTTGCCAGTTTGCTCACGGAACTGCTTCAGCCTCGACAGGACAGAGCATCCGGCTCGGAAGGCCCGTAGTGAGAGTGGGCGTGAAAGTTCACATATTCAACACTCCGGCATTCGGCGAAGTCTTTGAAGTATAAGTACGTCCAGTCAGTTGCCAGATTAACCTGTCTCAAAATTTCCCATACGCCCCTTCTTCCCCTTGACATTTGCTGATCATAGTCAAACCCCTGCAGCAACACCTTTCCAGAAGCCCATCCATCTCCGGCCAGGATTGGATCAAGTACCATGCCGCTTTGAGTGGAACCATGGACAAGGACGACGTCGAGTCCGATAGTCGACTTGGAAAGGATCTCTCGCATGCCTCGAACTCCGAGGTGCTCGGCTTCCATCGTCCCATGTGCTAGCACTTCGCACATCCGATGCCTTAGAGCTATCAAAACCAGTGTAGTCCCGCAGCCCTGCCTCATCCAATCGTTCTTCGACATCGTAGATTCTGTCCTCTTTGCCTTCACAAATTTTACTTCTGACCCATAAGCACTACATCAGTTTTGCACACATGCAATCCCCAACCCACGAAGTCAATGTAGGAGTTATTTTCTTACGTCACCGATAAACTTCAACGGAAATTATTTCACCAAGAGATAATATTTGGCGCCTTAGGCAGCAAGAATGACACCATCTTTTATCCTAAAAGTGCACCAGGTCTTAGACGGCTGTTGGAGATCGTGAAGTATAGCGTCAGTAGTCGCACCAACATCAGACTACAATCAAATGAAAGCACAAACCGATACGTGCGACCTGAACACCTCCGCCACCCTAAGCTCTCCAAGATCTCTGTTGTCCCCCTCATTTACATTTGTGTCTAGTGGTGTCTGAGAGGTCGTATTTTGAGTGCCTTTCTCGTCGGAGGCGAGTTCCGGGGGAAGGTTCGAGAGCCAAAGTGTGGCGTCTGTCATGAAGACGAAAGAAGGCCCGAGTGCGGGCTTTTTGGTAGTTGAGGAAAAGGAGGACGATGGGTTGGGACCGTGGGCGGAAGTTGCTGAGTTGAGAACCTGACATCGGCATCCGAGAACCCAGACAGCATCGTTCATTGATAATAAACCAAAGAGTGAAACAACGATGAACCTACCAAGATACACAGTCCGTACGACTGTGCAAGTGAGCGTAGGAACCGCATGAAATCCGTCATGGCCGCGTGACCTTGTCAAAGAAAATCCGAGTGAATGAGCGGATGGACGCTGCTGGCGAAAATAAAGAGAATTCACCTTGGGAAGAAACAGCACTAAGTTGAGGACCGAGCAAGGAGGTGATAGTGTCAATGATTACTATTCGACATCGTGGCGTCGCACTTGGGTCAGCCTGTCATAGGGAAAGGGTTTAGAGTGGTAGATGCACAATCATAGTAGAAATAGCGTACAGTTGTCACTGCACGCAGATTCTCAAGTACATTGTACGCGGCATCGAGGTCAAATGCGATAGTGATCTGCAATCTTTCAAGTACCGTTTTAGTGCCCTGTGAAAACGACGTTTCAGATAGTTATGAATACATCAAAACAAAAGGGGTAGAACTACTTACGGGTTCCATGCAATCTGCTTGACCAGCAAGAGATACGACTCGTTCAGGAGAGAGATCTCCAACTGTGTCGATGAAGAGTGCTGATGTCCGCTCATGCTGAGTCAAGTGACGGAAGACAAGATGTAACGCAAGTGTCTGGTAAAAGTCGATGCAGGGCGAAGGCGAAGGCAAACACAATCAGTCCACGTCAGACACAAATCTAGCTGATGGGATCATAAACGCACTGTCTTTCCAGCCCCGCCGTCACCCGATATCTCAATGACTCTCCCTCCACCTGCTACGCCTGCGAGCGAACTTGAGTCTCCCTCCGCACTTCCGTACCCTCCAAACCCTCCCCCAAGTAACGCATCAAGAGCTTCCACTCCACTCCTCACCTCCATGTCATCTCGATGGCCATCCTCCAACATGATAGCCTCGTGGATATCCTGAGCATTGACACTTCCCACCGCAAACTGCTCCGTGACACGCTCAATGCATAGCCGAAGGTCCAGAAGTGATATGGTTCCAGGTGGGAGACGACTGATGATTTCTGCAGGAGACGAGAAGATTAGGTCCGTTGCGGTCCTGACATTTATGTTCCGCAAGTTTTGCACAAGTGGAACAGACAGAAGATGCGGGGAGAGCGTGGAGAGACGGAGAGTCATGTGTGATAAAGGCTAGTCCTCGCAGGGTCGTCGAATATCGCAGAAGAAACGTAACAAAAGCAGTGATGTCTCTGGAACTTCTCTGCCTACAGCCTGAGTGTATTGACCAAGAGGAGAAAGTGTGTGTTATCCAGAACACACCTCAGTGTCAAAGGATAGAGTCAAGGTATAGCAACTGCTCTTAAGAAGCGATGGTGTCCGAAGTGACTCGTAGCAGCACGTGCGTCCACTTATTCGACGAAAATATGTTAAACACACTAGCGACTTAGCTCGCTCAAGAGGCTGGAAAAGGTTCTTGAACGTTCAACGTTCAACTTTGACGGGAAAATACAGATGGATGCGGAGGTTCAAGCGGAGTTCGAAATCAGAACCTGAGCAGTGAGCCCGCTCAGCTACCTGCCAGTGTACAAGATATACGTCGTCCGAACATGTAGATAGCGATTCATCAAGTTACTCAAAACTCAAATGTGCCCATTTCTCATGGACTTTCAGTATCGAAAAAGGACGTTTCACTGTCCGACAGTGTCACAGTGTCCCTAGCCGGAGTCGAGCCGGCGGCTTCACGGAGAAGTGTAAGGCGCAAGACGGCCACAACGTGATGATTTAACCACTAATCGATAGGGACCGAGGTAAAGTGAATTTTACGGCAATGTATCTTGTTCAGAGCAATTGCCGTGCTTGATGGGCCACACGCCACCGGCACCTTTGCGTGGAAGGGCGGCACGCGAGCCGCTGTTGATTGTGAGACGCGACCTGCTTCGGCTACGCTTTCACCAATACTATCACGTCCTATATAAGGCCTGCTGTCGTCGTTCTCTACCAACACAACCCAACTAGAACCAATATCTACCAGCCGCACGTCTACTTCATTTCGACCTCATTATGGCACTCGGGAGACTCGTCCATTACACTATCGATGCTGCTCTACTCTCCACTCTTCTGGCAGGTGTCAGACGGTCCAGCGGCTTTACGTGCGTCGATCGCTTGTATTGAATCGTGTCTTGAACTGACCTTTTTGTAAACTGCGATATTGGGAGGACAGGCCACGGACCGACAACATCACAGAACCTAGCATTCGGTCAGCCGTGGAGAAGTACCTCGGTTTTGGAGAGTCGGTGTTCGACATGGTGCAGGGGACGGCTGTGAACAGCAGTTATTTCAAGCGTGATAGCTAGACGAATGCTGCTGGTGGGTGGACCGTCCAGAAGGCATGCAGAGAAGCCGAGTAGAGGGTGTTCGTCTGACGGGTTGGACCGGATTGAGGACTTGCCAGCACTAGGCGTGTGCGGGTTCAAGACGGTTGATTCAGCGATATACATTCATTTTGAATGTGGTACTTTATCTGGCATCTGGAATGGTTTATTTTTATTGCGTTTTTCCTCCTCAATTTACGGCCCACTGAATTGGCAGTCTTCAGGTCTCTGATCCCCTTGACAGGACGCTTGATACTGGGTTGATGCTCTCGGACCTTGGCTTTTTCGGTCGATCAAACCCGCTCATGTTGTTCAGAAACTCAGAGGGCTGTAGCCTTCCACGATTTCCCAACTCCCCATATTGCTGTGTGCTCTCGATTCCCAGGAATCATGAGCGGCTAAACCCGTGTGCAAGAACCACCGTCGTCGATGTCTTGAGCGCTAATCCCACACATCTTGTCTTTCACCTTTATCTTGATCAGCAGTCTAAGCACACGTCCATGGACATACATGCTATTTATGCTCAGGAGCTTCTTCACTACCGCTTTGGCACCGCCCTTTGGCTACCAGAACCGTCGCCAGAGTGGGGTCCCATCAGACTCGCTGATGTCGGCTACATACAAGACGGAAAGTTCAATCGTCTCTTCAATGCCTCCCTTCCAGCAGATGACCCATCCCACAAACGTCTTGGTGTTCCTGATGGGTTTGAGCCGTTAAATTCACTCGAGCTATGGAGTGATGCGAAGTTCCTCGACGCAGGGTCACTTCACAGCACATCTGTTCAGTATGCAAGTGCAGGTGCATCTCTATCAGGGTGAGTGTGTTGCGAATCAACTGTGAGGAGGGATAATATACTGATATGCCACGATTGACGTCTTGGCCACAGTACAACTTTACCGGCAGGCGGGTCTTTCCAGTTTACGCGCAACTGTTCGGGTGGCGCAATCCTTGTCCTCAACACTCCCTTGGCCAAGGAGATGATTGACCATCATCGCAGCGACCTGATAACAGATTACGTTCGCAAGCACAGCAAATCGTGGTACATCTTCGCGAATCGGAGGCTGCGTCGCGCCGTTAAGTTTGAGCAGCTTCTATTGGTCACCCACTGCTATAAGACCTCCTCGTGGTCGTCGGCCGTCCTTCCCTCGACTGTATCCAGAGGGTTCGAACTTTCTCTTTCTGGTGGCATACTCGGTGCCGCGAGCGCGGGAGTTTCCACCTCTTTTGGTAGGAAACTTCGTCGGGAAGCCCCTCTTTGTCGCACGGGTCCTCCTCTACCGGAGAAAGGTGCCCCGCTATCGAATGACCAAAGTGTCTTTGTGCAGGGATGGATGGCATCCAGGCGACTAAAGGTCTTGCCCATCATACGCATAGCCGACTACCTCCCGCCTTTGCGTAAAGCAAGACTATCGATCATACCTACACGGGTAAGCGTAAAACCTGTCTCTTTATTTTCGTACTCGTGGCATTGACGGTTCTACGTCTGCGCTCAGCCCCAGAGAGTACCCGCACCTTACCTTCCTGGTGTCACAAGATACACAGGGCCGCGCCCACCATTAACATCGCCTCCGTCACATGTGGTTAGCCTCGTCGATACTTGTTCGGTTTCGGCCATTGACATCAACTCTCGTGTTCTCAACAGGATACATCGCCCGTAGTGACACTCAAACACGACGAGGTGTCAAATGAGGAGGTAATCGATACTTTTCGAAACTCCCTATTGCAGAGCAAAAGGCCTCCACATATCTCCGGAAGACCATCGCAAAGTTCTCAACACCGATCCCGATCACCCTTTCCAGATGACCGGGAGACCACCGACATTCGACCCTCCATATTGGGCGAAAGACCTTTCGTCGACCGAAGACCATCACAGGGTCCTGCACCCAGACGCCAATCGTTCCTTCGAGATGACCGAGAAGAAAGAGAAGAAAGAGGTCGTCCAATGCACCGGGAACGCTCACGTTCACCCCGAAGGGCGGTAGATGCAAAGTACTCAACCTCGTATACCTCTTATGCCGAATGGCATACGGGGCGTTCGCACTCGCCGGATTGGTATCGCTCCAGAAGCCTACGCCGGACAAGTCGCCATACGTTGTCGTTGGAGCGTTCTCGAAGGTCCACATCCCCTCATCAATACACCAATCGTAACAGGAGCGATCGGACGCCACCCACACCTCCATCTCCACTCCCGCAACCATTCACACTCTCACGTGCTCCCTCCCCTCATTCTTACAGCCCCTCCGTCGCTTCCTACCACACCGCTAACGAACATAGTCCAAGTCCTGTGAAATCAGTCAGAGCCTCATATCCGGCCCGCCTTCCATCATGCGTTCCTCAATCCAGCCTTTCGCACAGGGCAACGAACCCTTCTCAACTTGATTCTGACTCGGAAGATATGTGGGATGAAGTGATACCACCGCATTCGTACCATGCCGGTAAGGACAGAGAGGAGCAGCGCACAGCAGCCTCCAGATCTCGTAGTCCTGTAGAGCCCCCTCACGACATCATCCCGCCCCCCGTGCCAGACGGTCGGGGTGTGTTCAGTAGTATCCCACCCGACATTTGGGAAGCTAGGATCGGGTATTCAGTGCGACCTGAGGAGCCGACAGCTTTCGTTTCGAAACCTCCTTCACCCGAGAGTCCTATACCGCATCCTCTACCTTCATCCACGGATGACCTCACTCGTTACCGTGATCTTTACTATCGGCCAGGTGCATCCCCCACGGAAGAGATCAATGGCGACGAAGGTCGTTCTCGGTCGCCTGCACAAGACTTTCCTGGTCGCAGAAAATCCACCGATGACGATGTTCTAGACGATTTGCTCTCCCGTTTGCGCCAAGACCCAAATCAACCATTTAGGCGACGCTCAAGATATCGTCACCAGAACGATAAACAAGACATCCCTTCTGCGCATTCTCGCCCCCTCGGTCCTCGTGATATACCGGGAGGACAAACAACGAATCTTTCTTTGCCTCGCTCTCCTGTTGTCTCTCCGGCAATTCCTTCCCGGACAGCTTCGAGACCAAGCTCGCCTACAGCGCTGGAACACGAGACGTCTCATAGTGCTCTCGTCGATTCTCCCAATTCTCAAAGTCAGCGTTACAGGGAGTGGTCTCGTTCTCCCGGATGGTACCGTACCCGTTATCACGGCGGTGAGCGGTTACCGTCTGCAGGGTATGACCGCCAGCGGGATCGAGACAGGTCTCCATCGCCGTTATACTATCGTCGGTATCGCGACAGGGAAGATCGTTCGCCGACATACTCATCGAGACTCCCAATACGAAGCCCATCTCCTAGACCTTCTGAACCATTCTCTTTGGAATACGAACACGAACGAGCGATTTCTCCGAAGCATGTACCTTTACCACACCCGTACAGATCGGCCGGTAGTCGTGCCGCGAGTGAGCGTTCTCGGCCACAGTCTCCTGATTACACTAGAGTAACTCACGGGCAAGAGTCGACTTCCCCCCTACCGTACCGTGCGAGTGATCGAGGAGTACGAACACCATCCAGTCCTATAAGAGAAGGATCATACATCAATGCCTTTCCTCCTTCTGTTGATGTGTCTGCTCCTCGTAAGCTCCTGTCAATGCCTCTCCTAGTAGCATTATTAACTTCGATCAATATACAGCACATATAGAAACCGAAGAATACGAAAATAGCCCTTCTGTAAGGGGCATTACGCCGCCAACGATGTCGTCTGACTGGGATCCAAGATTCATAAGTCGGCGGCCAATGTCCCCATCCAATCGCGGTTCTCCCATGTTCGAATCGACCCGCTTGTCACATAGGTCTACCCCATCACCCGAGAGAAAACCATGGGTAAAGAAGACCGCTATGGAGCGAGCATGCATCGCAGGCGACGTCCTCGCTGTGCTGAAGTGCATACAAACCGACCACACCACGATCCACGAGAAGGGCCATTTCGGAAGTGTCCTTGTCGCAGCAGCCGCAGGAAGGGACGAAGCCATCGTGCTTATTCTACTCGACGAGGGAGTGGACCCAGATGCCCAGAATGAACGATACGGGACAGCTCTGCATGTTGCGATTCAAGGAGGTGACCGAGAGATGGTAAACCTGTTACTAGACCACGGGGCGAGCATCGACGTTCAAGGACTCAGACCAAGACAAGGAACGCCGTTACGGTGGGCGTGCACTTTGGGCCACACCTCGATGGTCCGACTGTTGTTGGAGCGTGGAGCCAGTTTTGCCGCCACTTACCTTGAGGAAGAACCTAGTTTGCTGCATCTTGCGACGGCCAGGGCAGACGAGGATATGATTCAATTGCTTCTTGACCATGGTGTCGATGTGCATGACCCGAATGAAGATGCCTTAGTCGTCGCAGCAGAGATGAACCACATTGAAATTACACAGATATTACTCGACCACGGGATGTCCCCCGACCATTCTGGGAATGGCTGGGGGAGTCCCTTGGAGGCCGCTTGCGCGCATAACTCCATCGAGGTCGCTCGTTTACTCATCGACAGAGGAGCAGATGCCAATGCGCATGGCCACGGGAACGGAGGTGGCCCACTCATTGCTGCAGTCGCTAGTGGTTATAAAGACATTGTCGCTCTGTTACTTAGCAGCGGTGCCAATGTCAATATAGAGGGTCCAAATCGTGGTGCCGCTTTACACGCTGCAGCAGCCTACAACCTTGCACCCATCGTCAAACTTCTTCTCGACCACGGTGCGGACTTGGATGCCACCAGCGGAGGGCGCAGTTCGGCCTTCGAGGCAGCAGTGGCCCATGGACAATACGGTGTGGTCCAGACCATACTGGAGCATGACCCGTCTCTTCTTTCCAGACAAAAAGACCGCCTTCACTTGATCCGTGCAGCATTTTGGGGCTACCCATCAATCGTACGCCTCTTCCTCGCCCAAGGTGCAAATGTCAACGAAGCAGGAGGGCGCCTTGTGGGCGCTCTATATGCCGCATCGACATCGGGTGAAGGAATCATTGTTGGAATCCTTCTGCAACATGGTGCGGACCCCAATTGCGAGGGAGGTCTGTACGGAACCCCCTTGCAAGCCGCAGCGTCATTCGGCTACTCCGTGGAAGCTCTTTTATCCAGTGGTGCGAACATCAATTTCCGCGGTGGGCTGTTTGGAACAGCTCTTCAAGCGGCTTCTGGAGCTGGATGGCATTTAGAAACTGTGTGGAAACTGGTGGCTGGAGGAGCAGATTTAGAAGTTATCGCAGGGCCGGATCGAACAGCACTTCAAGCAGCCTCGCAGAATGGACGCATCGACATCGTGCACGCATTGCTGAACTATGGTGCAGATCCGAACTCCAGCGGTGAACCCCTCCCGGCACGAACACACTCCATGCAACTTGACGAGGATGCAGTCCTAGCCCCCGAATACAGTGTCATTGCAGATGCGGATTCGAGGAATATCCAACGTGCCAACAAATCTATACGCGAACGACACGCTAACGCGTTGCAGGCAGCTGCAGCATCAGGTCATGAAGACGTCGTCCTGGCATTGTTGGACTCTGGTGCGAGCCCTAATACCGTTGGAGGTTATTACGGAAGCGCTCTTCAAGCAGCTGCGGCAATGGGGCATGTCATTGTGGTCCGTATGCTGCTTGATCGTGGCGCATCTATCAACCTTCCGGGAGGCTGCCTTGGAGGCGCCTTCCCAGCAGCAGCGGCTCGAGGGCAATATGGTGTCGTTCAGGAGCTACTCGAAGCTTGCGGTGGGTTTAGGTTCAGCAAGGAGATTCTGGAGTTGTCGTTAGAGCACGTCAGGAAGCGGATGTCCGTTATGGAGTCTGCGCTAGAGGTGGATAGGGACGAGGCGATCTTTCCAGAAGGTGAAGTGAAAGAGTGGCTCAGATCAGACTCGCGCTATCAGGCCTGCGAAAAAATCGTCAATGTGCTGCAGCCACGTCTTGGCTGATACAATAGCGCGAAATTCAAACTTACCGCAGTGCACACGGGACTCTTGTAGCGGTGCTCTTGTAGTTTATGTTGTCGCCGATCCATACTTGATAAATTTAGTCGCTGAAGAAGCCCAATCCAGAATATCGTTTGTTTGGGTCCGGTATGAGGACAGATACATGCGAAAGGTCAGTATACCGCTACAGTATTCGATCGGGCACCGGCCCCTCGTGCAATGGGATGGAAAACCATGTCATTTCAGTGACTCATATACGTGACGAATAGATCACAAGGGCCAAAAGCGACAACCTTCAAAATCTATCCTCTAGGCAGCTGGACGCAAAACAACCACCAGTCCATCCGAGTGCGGCGAAAAAATAGCGTCCACAAGTAGTTCCTCATTGTCTTGGTCCGTATTGATCTGAGACCGGCCATCGTAAATGAATCGGGTCGATGTGTTGATGCCTCTACGTGGTCGCAGCCGTCGTGGTGGTCGAAGACCCGGTAAACCCGTGCTGTATTTCAGCAGACAAGAGTATTCGAGTTGTGAGATTTCGTGGCTCGATCGGATTGACGTGGAAGTTGGAACGATACATACCTCAAGCCCCGTCTCGTGAGGCACAAATGAAATCTCCCAAACCCGAACCCTCCATCACTAGGCTGCCCAAGCTCATTGACACCCCATCCTTTGACCGTCATTATCAGACTGCGAACGAACTCTTCATCCCTGGCTGCGACAAAGTCGAAGAAGCTGAGCCCGGCGAGAGTACCGATTCGTAAGAAGGGATTATTGAAGCAGTAGAGGATGTGACAGTCGAGGGAGAAGCGGTCTAGGATCAAGGCCATTCGGGTGGATTGGGCAGGTGAGGGTAAAATAGGGGCAACGAGAGTACCGAGCGATATTTGAGGAGACGATGGGGTTGGATGCGAATCTTCAATGACGTTCGAAGGTCTAAATGACGGGGCATCTCCTTCGCTTCCATATTGCTGGCGTGGCAGGAAATCATTCGCTGAGATATGTGAAGCCGCTTGTAGGATGAGGCTGCTGTGTGTGATCCATCTCTGGAATGGATACAATTATGAATAAGAGATTTACGGCAAAGCGATACAACCACTCAGCATTGACTTACATGAATATTGAAGCGCCAGGCAGCAGGGGTGACGATCTTCACTTCTTGTGCCGTCGACGCATAATGCATGGCTTTCGGTCCCATCATCGCGATCGACACGCTACCAACCAGCACATCATGTGCCACTGTCCGAGTCTGAAACTATGATCAAAGGCCTCTTCGATATGTTCATACGGGCAACTCACAGTAACACACATGACGTATCCTTTCGACGCGTCTTTATGGCGAAGCCTTATGTATGCAATAGCGGCAGCCTTGTCTTTTCGTACTGTATCACTGTTCAAACACCAAATCGGACCGAGCATCATAAGTGGTAATACGGGAACTCACGAATACAAAGACATACCAGTGAAGTGCTACTACCTGAAGGTTCTCCTCTGGATGGTTGAGATTCACTGAGGGTGTGCCAAGCAACTCATGTGGTTCATAACCTGGATGACGAAACTAGTGATCTCGAAGTGACGGCTTGTCAAACAGAAGACATTTACCTAGAATATCGCATATTGACTCTGATATATAGAGGAATCGTGCCTAACATCGCGGTCAACGAGATGTGTAGGACAAGTATGCAAATTTCATACCTCCTCTGAGAGGTCTACGGCCGCGACTGCATAGAGAACTCTCGTCAATGGTCTGCACTCATACATGATATAAACGTCAGACTTACTGAAAGACAGGTGTGGTATAGAAGCCTCCATCCGCGTATGTTTTGAGCTGCACAAACTCTAACACGATGACAGCGGTGGGGATGCCAATGGAAGGGAGGAAAGGGGAAGGAAAGTTCGAAGCGGCGGCGGTCTCTCCAAAAGGTCCTCGTCGACGTCACGATTCTGGTTAAGAGACCGTGGGATGATGCAGAAGAAATGGCATCACGTAGTGCCATCAACAACGGAGATCTTTCAGACGCTAGTAAAAAAAATCAACTCAATTGAATGATGCCATGGCGCGCAAGTGAGTAATTGACACCCACAACTGTCAATATCACGCTGAGACGATACTCCAGCGCAGCTCAGCGGACGAAAATGAGGGAATTTTCGTGACGTAGCTCAGTGTGAACCAACGCTGATTTACAGAGGAGAGGGGAGGAGGGAGGGAACGACATCTCGGAGGTAACATGAATGCCACTCGAAATTTGCCGTTTACGTATTGAACTTTTTGCAGCGGCACGGTTGCCTTCAATGTCCCTCAGTTCCTGAGGTCAAAATTTCGCATCACAACACATCCTGGCGTTTCACTAGCGTCGTGAGGGAGTCGTATGCAGATGGATCGCTGAGATTAAGAGCGTATGATTCTGCTCAACGATCAGTAGCCCCCAGGGGCCGTACTGGCAACTTCTCACGTGGCTGCATACTAACTACCCACTCACCAACGGTTTGAACGCGAATTCATGATCATAAACCTTGTCGCCAAAAAGACCAGGGAGAAGTAGTGGACGGTGGACAAAACATGAGCTCAGTGACGGCAGAAAACAAGGGCTGATAATAATATGCATGTGGCGAGCAGGAGATGCGGAGCCACCGAACGCGTACAAAGAGTTTCACGTGTGGCGCGCGACGCGTCTTCGCGGGGTAAATTCGAATTCACATGCTCCGGCCACCTCAAACTACTTACAGCGGTCACGGCGCTGCAACGATCCCCCCAACTTGTCCTCTCCCTCCACATCTTCACTTGTATCATCGTCGAGCATGTCACTATCATTTCAAGGACACACCGTAGTCGTTACCGGTGCCGGCGGTGGATTGGGTAAAGCGTGAGTTCCATTGCCAACTCGAGCTGCGATAATTTGCTTACAAGTACTGGTGTAGGTACTCCCTTTTATTTGCATCGAGAGGGGCCAACATTGTAGTGAACGACTTCAACCAGCAAGCAGCCCAGAAAGTCGTTGATGAGATTAAGGCTGGTGCGTCATGCTGTCCAAGCCTTATACGACTTGCCTAGTTCTAACGCTATGACCTCATGTTTTCGGAACAGCTGGTGGGAAGGCAGTTACGAATATCGGTTCTGCTACGGATGGTGTAGCCGTTATCAAGACAGCACTCGATGCATTTGGGACCGTCACCATATTGATTAACAACGCCGGTATTCTGCGAGACAAGGGGTACGTGCGCTCGTTACATTAATCCCATTCTCCACAGCATCCTTCCAATTTCTTCATAAAATATATGAAACTTATGTCCATGCTTGTGTGATGATAACTCAGCTTCAAGAACATGACGGACCAAGAATGGGACCAGGTTCAAGAAGTTCACCTCAAGGGAGCCTTCGCGTGTACGAAGGCTGCGTGGCCCATCTTCCGGAAGCAAAAGTTCGGACGCATCATCAACACCGCAAGTGCTGCAGGTCTCTTTGGTATGTTCCTATTTTTTTGCTCTATCAATCGCAGACAGTGGGGAAAGAGGGGAATCTTGATACATCTTTACTTGCAGGTAACTTTGGACAGGCGAATTACAGTGCTGCTAAGATGGGTTTGGTCGCGTTCACAAAGACTCTGGCAAGGGAAGGAGAGAAATATAACATCAAAGCCACCGCTATTGCACCTGTAAACACTCTTCCCTACCATTGCTTGAGAGAACTGAACTCACTTATCGTTGTTTGTACACACTAGATAGCTGCCTCAGCAATGACTGAAACCGTAATGCCACCAGAAATGCTCGCTAACCTGAAGGTGAGTCCAATTCTTCCTTTCCATCCACTTCGTGCAGAACACTCATAAATCATTTTACTGACTTGGCTCTGATCTTCACATGCCCACTCTCGAATGCTGTCACAAAAGCCCGATTTCGTAGCCCCTTTCGTCGCTGCAGTCACACATCCTGACAGCCCCGACGCAAGCGGAAAAGTCTTCGTCGTTGGCGCAGGCTATGTGTCTGAGATTCGCTGGGAACGAACGAAGGGCGCCATCTTCAAGACGGATGCTTCGTTCACGCCTTCTGCGGTACGTCCTTATATATTGCAAAAGCTGATAGAACTTGCTCTAGCGAGTACTCATTAGCTGCGGTCTGCGTTTTGGTACAATAGGTCAAGGAAAGATGGGAGCAAATCACGGACTTCACCAACCCTGATCAGTAGGATTGGTCACTTCTAGATTTCTACAGTAGAGCGGAAACTAACGTCGGATGATCACAGCCCACAAAGTATGGCCGACGGAAATATCACCGTACGTTTCCTTTCCGCTACGTTCCCTTGCCTTCCTGTCATCCTCTACCACAATCTATTTCGCTGTACCCACCCTCTTCAAGACTCTTGTCATTTCATCCACCTAATTCGACCCTCTGATCTATAGGAGAAGCTCAAAGCAGCACGCAACCAACCTTCGAACAAACAGTCAAGTCCCGAAGTTCGCTTCGACGGCAAAACCGCCATCATCACTGGTGCTGGTGCCGGGCTCGGAAGGGCCTATGCGCTCATGTACGCTAGGTTGGGTGCAAATGTCGTCGTGAACGACGTCAGCGAGAAGGGCGCGGGGGCTGTCGTTGACGAAATTCGGAAGGGTAAGTCTTTTGTTTTCCTCTACTGTGTCCTAGTATTCGAAATTCATCGGCGTACTGTGTTACTGTACTGACTCTGCGTGTGTGGTTATACAATAGCGGGCGGGAAAGCCATGGCAGCAGTTTGTTCCGCCGAAGACGGCGACGCTATCGTCAAAGCCGCGCTTGACGCCTTTGGAGGCGTACATATCCTCGTTGCTAATGCTGGGATCTTGCGTGATAAGTCTTTCACGGCTATGTCGGAAGCAGAATGGGATGCGGTTATTGCTGTACATTTGAGGGGGACGTTCAAGGTTCGTGTCTCGCGGTCTTTGTTCCTTTGAGTTTTCCTTTCTTAAACTTGGACGTTGTGCAGTGTGCGAAAGCGGTGTGGCCCATCTTCCAGAAGCAGAAGTATGGAAGGATCATGACTACGGCGTCGGGTGTCGGTATCTGTAAGCATCATAATGACCTATTGACTACCGCTCCATGCTTAATCCATGTATCTTTCCCTTCGTGTTCGCAGATGGCAATTTCGGTCAGGCGAATTACTCGACGGCTAAGGCTGCTATTCTCGGGTTCACAAGGACGTTGGCGATCGAGGGCAAGAAGTATAATATCCTTGCCAACACTCTTGCGCCGTCGGCAGGGACTGCGATGACTATGACTATCTGGTGCGCTTTTTGTTGTGTGCAGTAGCGTCGATGATCATCGTAGTGATGCTCAACCTGGATAGGCCGCAAGAGATGGTGGATGCGTTCAAGGTCCGTCGTTTCCCTATATGATGCTATGGAGCAGGAGATCTAATCACTTTCCATGTAACAGCCTGACTACGTGGCTCCTATCGTCGGTTACCTCACCAGCGCAGGTAAAACCCATCTCTCCAGCGAGATGATGCAGAATCTGGTCAATTTACCCGTCTTTTCTCTCATTATACAGACAACGAGGACACAACGGGCTCTTTATTTGAAGTCTCTGGAGGCTGGGCCGCTCAGACTCGTTGGCAGCAAGCTGGCGGACACGGTTTCCCGGTAAAGAAACCGTTGACGCCAGAGGCTATTTTATCGAAGTGGGATGTTATCACCAACTTCGGTTTGTCGTTCCGGCTATTATTACTAGGAAAAAGAGCTGACTGGTGGTGCAACAGATGATGGGCGAGCGACCAACCCTTCATCTACTCAGGAGGGAATGGAAATGGTACGCCACCACATCTCTCTCAGTGACATAGTCGATCTCGTACTCATGCACTACCTTGTTACTCTCAGATGATGGCCAACTTCGGCAACGAAGGCTACTCTGATGATTCCTACGCCGACCCCGAAGACTCAGACCTCGTCAAAGAAGCCAAAGCATCTGTCGCGGAACCGACCGAATACAACTACACAGAGCGTGACGTCATCCTCTACAACCTCGGGATCGGCGCGACAGAGAAAGAGCTCCAGTGGACGTACGAGGGCCATGACAGTTTTGGAGCGCTGCCTACGTTCGGTGTGATCCCACAGTTTTTGGCGAGCGCAGGGTTGTCGTTGGATTGGCTGCCGGATTTCAACCCAGCGAAGTTGTTGCACGGGGAGCAGTACCTCGCGATTAAGGCACCGATACCGACGAGTGGAGATTTGGTGAATGACTCTAGGTGATTGGCCTTGTCCACCCTTTGCTTGCGCTCCTGCCCTCTTTCCTTCTCTTTAGTCTGTGTCAGTGGTTGACTGAGGTTCGCGTACGTCGTCCAGGTTGATGGAGGTGCTGGACAAGGGCAAGGCCGCGGCTGTCACTTCCATAGTCCAGACCAAGGATAAGCATAGCGGTCAGGTTATCTTCGAGAACCAGTCGACGGTCTTCATCCGTGGTTCCGGCGGGTTTGGAGGCAAGCGCACTGGTAAAGGTACGCACCTCACTTTTTCTGTCGGCCTATCTCTTCCTGAGTACGCGCGGTGAACGAGTCGCTGATTGTCTTGGTGTGGTTTGGTTGCAATGTAACTAACAGACCGCGGACCGGCTTCCGCTGCGAATACACCACCTAAGCGTCAGCCTGATGCGGTTATTGAAGAGAAGACTACGACGTCGCAAGCTGCCCTATACCGGTACGTTTCTTTCATCCTTCTCGCCAGTCCATTTTCGCGACCCAAGTACACCAACTGATGTACTTTATGCCCTTTTGTTGCTCTTATCATCGCCATGCGCAGATTGAGTGGCGATTACAACCCGTTACACGTTCGTCAACCTCCTTCGTTTTGTCAATATGCTGTACTCATCTTCGTTCATGACCTATTTTTTTTTTTACCCGTACACAGATACTTCCCGAGTTCGCGGCAGTAGGCGGATTCGACAAACCAATCCTGCACGGTGAGCGTCTATTGCCGGTTTATCCCCCGTGGGCCGTCTTCTATCTTCCATGCATGCATCATCACATCACATATGGTCTCCTCGCTATTTAACCTTTCGAGCCTTCTTGTGATGTCAACTAACCTACCAAAACCGAACCATTGAGCGACTCTGCTAACGTCATTGTCGTGTTGGGTTTGGCACTATCTAGGGCTCTGCTCGATGGGTATTTCTGGTAAGCATGTAGTCAAGACGTTCGGCGCCTTCAAGGATATCAAAGTCCGGTAAGCACGATTCATCTCGGTGGAAATGTCGCCCTTGAGGTTCCGATCCTGAACTTGGACTGATCTATTTTTGGCTGGCCGCAGATTTGCGGGCGTCGTGTATCCCGGCGAGACGCTCGTTACTGAGATGTGGAAGGAGGGCGATAAGGTCATTTTCCGTACGTCCTTTTTTTATGTCTTATACCCAGTATCCTACATCTTCCGCATCCCCTTCACTTGTCCGTCCGAGAGCTGTGCTGAGTACAACGATTGGTATGGATTTATATAGAAACGAAGGTCAAGGAGCGCGGGACCACGGTGTTGGCGGCGGCGGCGGCTACGCTGGCAGAGTCGGCGGTGAAGGCTAAGTTGTAAGGACTCTGAATCAGGACACTGCCCTACATATAGCTATTGATCGACAGCCTGTGGACGGTCCACAGGCTATTTACTCGGGGTCCTCAATGGTTTCCAGTGCTCACACTCCTGAATTTATTTTCTGTATACCTTGTAACTCTGGAGTCTATCACGCTGTACATGTACTTTTATCCATACTTGACTTCATAGTATGAACTCTTGTTTCGTCCCTTCTCTCCAAATCACTAAGTTGCCATCACAGGGCTTCTGAGCCAGACTACGAATTCGTCCTGCCTCCTATTGCACGAGTATCGTAGAGTTCACTCTGTGGTTTCTCTAGAGCAAAAACAATCCATATCCAGAAAACCCTTGAGAAGACAGGTCCCAGAGAAAAAGTATCGGGAAATTTGTTGTAGATGAACCAGTGCCACACTTCTTCGGAATCTGCCGGAGGCTTGATTTTGGTGTCGAATTTAGCTGTTCCTTTTTTGTCTTTCACTCCGACGCTGTCAGCATGTGTCCACCGTTGCCTTCTGATAGTTCTGTCACATTTGTCTGTGCTTAGTAGAAGACTTAAGGTTTCAGTACACTCGCTCGCATCTCTGGTCCCCTCTTCGTTCAACACGTAATAAAATATATCGGGACCAGCGCCTGGACTAAAAAATGTTTGTCGCTATTGTGCCCTCAGTGGTCAGGATTCGACTTCCAGGATCACTTGCATTCCAGGACACCGTTTGCCAGCTACCTGTGTAGCGCCATTCGACGCCTAGCGGTATAACTAAAGCTTCTCCGACTCGGACTTGGATCGCTTGCTCATCCAACTTGCTGACAAAGTCGCCGGAAGGAAGGAAGGCTTGAGAAACTGGCTCGGACAACTCACTCTCAAACCACTCATGGATAAACATCTCTTCTCAGAAGAATGCTTTTTGGCTGGGTATAAAAGACGGCCGGCCATCCTGTATCGACTGCAGCGGCCACTTTCGAAGTGAACGTCCCAAGGAGTATTCACTCACCATCTCATACACTTGCTATGTCCTCCGCATCTCAAAACACCGCTTTCATCTTCTCCAAATCCTCTTCTGGAAACCTCCAGAATGGTATCTCGAGACGTACTGGCCCGGTACCAGCTCCTCGAGCCCATGAGGTCCTCGTCCGCATCCATGCCGTATCTCTCAATTACCGAGATTTCGCCATCGTCAATGGCCTCTATCCTTTGTCGATCAAAGATGACGTCGTCCTCGGGAGTGACTTAGCTGGTGAAGTTGTGGCTCTTGGAGAGGAAGTGCACGAGTGGAAGGTTGGTGACAAGGTGATCGCTGCCGTTGATCAGAGGCATCTCTACGGGGTACCAGAGTCTAGTACGTCCAATCCCAAGTCCATACCCCAGTACGCTCTGCAGTGCATATTTTGGCTAATACGACTCTTAGACGAGGTTTTGGGTGGTCATGTCGACGGCGTTCTCCAGGAATATCGAGTTTTCAAGACTACGACACTCATTCCAATTCCGGCACATCTGAGCTATGAAGAAGGTGCAACCTTACCTGCCACAGGATGCACGGCGTGGAATGCTCTATTCGGTGGCAAGCCACTGATGCCGGGCGAAACTGTGCTCCTGCAAGGAACAGGTGGTGTCTCGATGACGGGCTTGATGATTGCTAGTGCTGCGGGTGCTAAGGTAGGTTATCCCAATGTTGTCGAACTACCTTCATACGCTGTCGTTGACGAAAGTCTCATTCTATCGTAGACAATCATCACGTCGAGCTCCGACGAGAAGCTTGAGGTGAGCATCCCCTTTTCACGTCCTATATCTGACTAGACGCCTCATGCCCGGCCTCACACTCAGCTAGCGAAAAGGCTCGGTGCCACGCATACTATCAATTACAAGACGCATCCGGACTGGGACAAAGTCGTCCTCGAGGTGCGTTTGGCACTCTCATCTGTCTCCATCCTTTCTGACCATGCCACCAACCAACTGATGAACATCAGTTAACCGGCGGGCGCGGAGCTCACCACATATTCGACAATGTCGGCATCAACGAGATCGAGAAATGCTTCAATAGCGTATCGTACGGCGGCACCATCCACTGCATCGGTTTCCTCGGCGGCGAGCCCAAAGTCCGTCCAGACGTGCCGATGCTCACGCTCATCAAGGGTGCTACTTTACGGTCAGTCCTCTTCCTCGGCTTGTCATCTACATATAATCAATCAACTCTGCGTCTTTCTGCGTCTGACTGCTCTCATTTATATCACAGAGGGATTTACCCGGGCTCGAAACAGATCCTAGAAGAATTCGTTCGATTCGTAGAGACGAAGGGCTTGAGACCTCACGTGGATAGAGTGTTTCCGTTCGAGGAGACGCCGGAAGCGATCAAATTTCTCGGGAAGGGGCAGCATTCGGGGAAGATCGTTGTGAAAATCGTCTAGGAGTAGCTCTCAGGCAGGGTCACATGCTATAGTCCAGGAGTACAACTGTGGAATGATAAGAACTGTATTATATTGTGTGTATGAACTGGACGTAGCGATCGTGGGGATCAGGCCCGCAGCTGGGACAGACAGCTTACAGTACAACGACTTACAACGACTGGGACCAGCAAGGTCAATAGCCGGATTGTGTATGGAAAGATAGGTTGTGGGTTTCTTTTGTCTTTTCGATGTCGACCGACTCCGACTTGCGCCATGTCCATACCATGCAGTGTAATGTTCCTCCTTGAATATTGATTGTGATACTAAAGAACGACTCGGGTGGGATACATACTTATATATCTGTCTGTCTGTACTCAATCCGCTGCGTAAGTAAGTGATCACGGACTGAACGGACGTATGTGTATGCGAGTAATAAACAAGAAAAAGAAGTACGTGATTAAAATAACACGGCGCAGTACTACTACTAGTTATTCCCCTCCCCGTCACCAGCCATGGCACGGGCGAACATGAATGGAGATGGGCAGGAGCCTCAGGAGAGGGGGGTATAAGTTTGTAAAGATTGTTCGTCCGCGTCCGCAATGTCGAGAGAAGGAGGGCCGACAAGTAAAAAGGTCGCAAAAAAAGAGAGGTGAGGTAGAGATCTGTGTGTGTGTGTGTGTGTGTAGATGAGGGGAGGCGAGGGGAGGCGAGGGGAGGAGGGCAGAAAAACAGATATCATGGGAGACGGGCTACAGTACTTCTTTCTCTTCCGATTGTGAATACCAAATACCGCGACACCCTCCTGATACGTTAAGAGGCAAGAAAAAATGGTGGGATTCTGTCTGGAGAACCGAGGAGAAGCATATAAATCAACAACACCGACCGATCGATTTGTCTGATTAGGCTCGTCGACCGACCGGGAAGCGCACCGAAGGGAGAGAGTGAACCGAAAAGAGGTTGGCCGTGTATACTCCTCTTGAGACGAAATTGAGCGAGACGTCTCTGATGGAGTATGTTGCGAGTACGGCGCGGGAATGAAAAGACTGGAGACGGAACTGGAGACTGCTGCAGACGAAGAAAAAGCGTAGGAACGGAGAAGAAAACTAGAGAAGAGCTCATGTGGTGCACGACGCAAGAACACCGGCCGGATCCGATCCTGGGTAGAACCAGAACACGACGGCGATGATCACATAGAGACCTGTAGCACAACAGTAATTAGCACTGATGTCCTGATTTCAAGGAACAAGGAGGTGAGGCTTACACATAAGAATCATTCCCTCTAGCCAATTTGACTTTCCGTCCTGTACGACGTAGTTCACGGTAAGAACTGCAAGGAAGAGCACGATCGACTCGAACGGGTCGAAGAGGAGCGTGAGCGGCTTGCCCATCATCCATCCGAGGGTGACGATGAACGGGATCACGAAGAGTGCAATTTGCTGTCATCACCAAAAATCGTTAGCCGACACCAAAGGAGAGATTATGCGAGAGGAGACTCACGATACTCGACCCAACAGCAACCCCAAGCGAAAGCGTCAGCTTATCCTTCACCGAGACCGTAACAGCCGTAACATGCTCCGCCGCATTCCCCACAATCGGCAACAAAATCAATCCCACAAACTCCCTGCTAATCCCACCCTGATCCACAAGCCCATTAATCGAATCCACCAGCCACTCCGCCGTGACCGCGACGAGCACAGTCACAACAGCAAGCAGCGCAATCGTCATCGGCACACTCATCATCGGCTTCTCCTCCTCCTCGTCCTCCTCCTCACCAACCATCATCGCGCTCTCCACATCGCCCACCGGCACCGACCCTCCGATTCCATTCGCATGTCCGTTCACGCTCCCCGGGACTCCGAGACTCTGTCTCCCCAAAGACTGTCTGTCCGTTTCCTTCATGTCAGCAGACGGGCCCGCGAGAGCCGTGGTCGTTCCGTTGGGCGTGCTTGGGACGGAGCCGTGAGTGGGGTGGGTAGGAGAGGGAGAAGGAGCGCCTTCGCGATCTCCGGGGACGGGCGTCGCGGCGCGCGATGAAGCCGATTTCTTGTGTTTCTTCATGCGGTCTACGTGGTTCGGGTAGGGGATCGTGGCGAGGACATTGGGGTGATCGTCTTCGTAGAGGGCCCTGTGCGAGAAGAGTTGGAAGTAGATGTAGCAGCCGTAGACTGGAAACAATAGATTAGGACTAATCCCCAGCTGCTGAGGGCAGTTGTGGAATACACACTGAAAAGCAAGATAATCGCAACTCCATGACTGATCGAAAGAATATCCTTGCCCTCCTGAGCATCCGTAAGCGGGTCCGTCTCCGAGCTACCAAAAACCACAAACTATCAGTCCCTTTCCTTGCCAATCCTCTTTCTGTGACAAGACACAAGGGAGAGAGAGAAAACGTACCTATTAAGCGGCGTCACCGCAGAATGGAACGCAGCGGGCAACAGCACCGCGATCACGCTGAGCGTGAGCAACGACGAATTGAGCTGCGTCGCGCTCAGACCGAAACCTTGCTCGGAGAACCGCGTCCCGCCGGCGAAGAAACACATGCCGAGCACGAGGACTGTTGTGTGACGTGACGTATGAATGAACGAAGGAATGAATGAGCGGTGAGGTGGGAAGGAATAAGAGGGTGGGACTTACGCAAGTTACTGAGGATGGAGCCGACGACTGCATAATGGACGAAAAAAAGACGAAAATTTCAGTAAAAAATCCTCACGAACAGCAGTAGCCTAGTAAAAATCGTATCACAACAACAACAACAACCAAAAATCCCGCAAATTCCCAGCCTCGTGCATGCACTATCGTACTTACTGCGGCCCAGCACGAGAACCCATTTTCCCTGGAGGTGCGCCGTGCACGGCGAACTGCACGCACGCAGGCTGTCAATAAGGCTGTGCAGAGTGGGCACATCGGACCACCACCCTCGTAATTTATTTCGAGGGTCCCCATGTCCCATGAACGCAGCGACACCTCACGGTGCCCGGTGCCCAACCCAACCCTCCCTCAACCTTCGACACTGAGTGGCATTGGAGTTGCTGGAAAGCTGTACTTGGATGTGAGGAGCGAGGGCAAGTGAGGCAAGCAAACCAGGTCGAACCAGACCCCAAAGCGAACGACGCCACATCACGCCCAACCGATAACCACAACAGATGACGGCGCCAAGCCTAATACCCGAATCGAGACATAACTTGGCATACAACCTCGTTCGAACTCAAAAACCGGATATCCACATCGGGAACGACGGGCAGAAAGGTGCAGTGTTTAAGATTTAGCATTTGACACTCAACCCAGTTGTAGTCACCGAGCTTGAAGTTGGAGCACAGCCCAGCGGCGTTCGGGACGAACTGAGACTCAGAACAAGTGTCCTGCCAACGAGACCCGACGTCGTATGATATGATATGATATGATGGGTCACGCAATGGTGCCGTTCTCTGTGTCCGGTCGTCCATGGTATAGCCACGAGGGCGACACGAACACCGACCGACCGTCTCAGCCGCTATGCTTGATCGTCTCGTCTCACAGCTGAGGTTATAAATCACCCGACCGATTGTCACACGATACGAGTGTGAAACCGAGTGTACGACGCAAGCCCCAGTGGAACCGCTCAAACACCAAGAGAAGAACAAGAGAAAGAAAGCTGAAAAGAACGACTCACGTGAAGACTGTACGATCGTAAGCTCGCATTTGATGAGTGCCAGGATCTGTATACATATATATCAAGCACTGGGGTCAGATATCACAAACACAAAAATCCCGCGGGAGGAGTTGTGGGATGATAGGCGGGATGGGTGGATGGGATGGATGGAGAGACGTACAGCTACGATCAATTCGACGCTAGACGCACGAACATCCAATATTGTTAGCACAGAGACGGATAGACAGGTCGAGAGAAGTGAGAGATGGGATATGAGACGCAGAAACAGCGGGAAGAGAGAAGGGGGAGTTGTATATCGGGGCGGAATGGAATTCGACGGGATCAGAGGAGAGATGAAAGGGATGGATGAATGGAACCACGGCATGAAACAGAAAACAAAGAACAGAGGAGAAACTCACGCATTCCCGAGCGTAGCATTCAACAACCCAGCCAACGTCTGACCTACCCGCATCGAAAGCTCATCTGTCGCGAATGCCAGGAGCTATCCATTCCATGACACAATCAATCACAAACACAACCATGACACAATCACAACCATGACACAATCACAACAAAAGAAAAGAAAAGTCAGACATATCAATTCGAGGGGCAGCAAAGATGGATATGGAGATGCAAGATGCGGATGGAGATGAAAGGACAGGTGATGACGGATGCTCACCTTGGCAAGCGGAATTATCGCAAGGAACGAGACTGAAAGGGGCAAAAGCGGTCAGAGTCTCAGAAAACAGAACGCGTCATAGTGGAAGTGGAGCCCGATCGGGAGACTCACAGACGAAAACAAGAGTGTACGAATCGGGCATGGCGAAGTTGAACGCCCACTATAGTATTCCATCGACACGACGTCAGTTCCGCGTCACGGGAGCGGAGATGGGAGGAGTGAAAGGAACGAGGGAAAGGCACGGAATACACGCACGGATAGCGGAATGAACACGAGGAGAAGGTTTAGCCCTACAGAAACGTTAATGGACGGATTCTCGGTCAGTCGAGGGTGCTAGTCGACTCTGCGAGAGACGGGACAGGAGGAGGGTGAGGGCGACGAGGACGTACATGATGTTTTCAGGATTGCTAACAGACTATCTCGTATACCCGGCGCTGCACCTATCGGTTTCTCTCGTCTATGTCGTCTCATGAGGTCACCGCACCACGACCCACAGCCCCTCTTCTTCTCTGACTTTGGTGTTGACGGACGGAGGTCTTGTTCTGACTTCTCTCCGTCTCGTGCTTCAAGTCGTGAAAGGAAAATGAAAGGAAGGAAGGGAAAGTGAGCGAGGTTGAAGGGAGGCATGGTCGGTTGGTAGGGAGTGTGCTGTCGTTCGAACATACCTGATCTCCGGAACATACTCTTCATGCCGCGTTTGGACTGGTCTTCAACAAGGGGTTTATGTGTGTCTGACGTCGCGGGATAGCCGTCGACGGGCGACGGGGGCGAAAAGGACTGGTGAACGGGGGATGGAGGAGAGACGTTGAGGGTTGGGGCAGGAAGTGAAGCTGCGGTTCCAAGCAGTCGGTAGCGTTTTGTGGATGTCAGTTCTCGATCTCTTGGCGTGGGTAGGCACGGAGACTCACCCATAATGGACGTCCCACACAGTTGTTGGATACGGAAGATCTGTGAGGGAAGAGCGGAAGGGGAAACGAGCGGAATGGGGAAAATAGGATGAACGAACTGAAGAGCTTTTTGTAGACCGGCGCCTGTCTCACAAGTCGCTTGTCTACCTTGATTTGAATCTTGACATAATAGCCTCGTGTCTTCCTGTGTCCGCACTGCGGGTGGCGGCATTGCGCGGCACCTGTTTTCCCAATCTCTTCTTCCTCAACACAGCTGCAAGAAAATCGGGCCATGTAGATCCCCCTGTTCAGACATAGCTATACATAGCCCCTCTAACGCCCTGTTGGCAACTCACGCTTCGCGCGAATCCCGGGTATCGCGCTCTTGGGCCACAGTCTTCTTGTTCTCTGTATTCGACTCTAATAAAGAACAATGCGTCCTTATCTCAGCTTTGTATAGGCTTTCTCTCAACAACGCCCGTTGCTAGCCAACCCATACAGCGCCTGTGCCCAGAATAAGGCCCTTATAGTCGATATGGAACACGCACAGCCACTGCTATCCCACTCACACTACACGGTATCCCATGGTCTTTCAGCTTCCTTCGTATAGTTCGAGTTGCTGTGTTTTGGCGCACAAGGAATAACACGCCACCCCTCCGATGCTTCGCCTTTCGCATTTCTGTTTTTGTTTTCGTGTCCGAAGAAGCTACAACAAGCCCCTGGTCTTTCGGATTCTTCTTGGATGGACACAGCACTACTTCGCCACCCGTCTGCTTTTGTTTTCGTGTCCGAAGGGGGCACCTGGTCTTCTGGCTCTCAGGCTCTTATGCCGTTCTTGGACACAGCATTACTTCGCCACCCGTACACTCTACTGTGCCGCCTATTCTGAGTCCAGACGCGCGCCAACAAACACTTCATCCCGACTGTATGTAGACACTATAAACACTATATACAGCCATCCACGTATAATGTGCTGAGCCCCGAGTGCCGCGTTACTTAGTACGTGACCGAAACCGGGAGTTGACTCTGAGTCGATGTTGGGCTCAGGCTGTGAAACTGAAGTGGGCACCTCGATTGACTGGGATGGGGGTCTAGCCTGATGACTGGGGTGAGGAATAGGACGGGTTTCAAAGCGAGGCGAGGTGATGGCGGGGGACTGATGTGTGTTGACGCCAGAGGGCGAGTATCTGATCATGATTATGCTATGCGTAATCCATCAGATCCGTTTACACAACCACTGGCACAGAAGTACGTTGATCCTGGATCCTGGGCTGTCTGATACAGACATCCAGCCCTAGAATAGTGCTCGAAAAACTCCAGTGTCTGTTCAGCGGTTTACGGTCACTCTGCGCCCAGAGTCACTCCCCTCCAACTCCCTCTCTCCCCTGGTAATATCTGCTGCGTGCTATCAAATACTGTTCCGTCACCGACAGTTTGCATGCATGTGGCGGCCCCGAGGGAGTCGAGCATTCGTCAACATTAATGATCAGCATGCCCGCCATCCTTTTCCCGTCACGAATCCACTAGAACTCCAAGCACGCACATCATCCCGGACATTCGTTCGTTGATCTCCCGATTCACACTGCTCATCTATACAGGACGGACCAGAACAGACAATGATCCTTCACCACGCCACCCTTCTGAACATCTCGTACTACACAATGTCGATCCTTCCATTCCCCATTGAACAACGACGATACGACAACCTGGCCTCCCTCGTCAACGCTTTGATCCTCCCCGTCCACACGCCCTTCCTAAACACCCACCGCCTTCCTTCCACACAGTCAACATGCTTTGCAAGTGACGAGTCCCCAATGAGTCGAGATTTTGTCACCCTCCACCCTTCTCTCTTCATGAAACCTAATCCTATACGTTATCTCGGACCTTCAGTCGTTGATCATCCTATATATCGTCAAGTATACAGATAACGGTCCTCTTCCACGCCACCCTCTTGTATACTCGACCCCTCCATTCCTCGTCAAACAACGACAATAAGTAACCCTCCCTCCCTTGTCAACGCTTTGATCCTCCCAGTCCACACACCACCCACCCTCAGGCTCGCCTCATCCAAGTCACCGCCTCCAAGAAGTGAACAGCACGTCACATCCAGATGATTCCCTCTCACACAACCGCAGAAGTACGATTGGTCCTGGACCGTGGACTGTCTTAGGCTGACACAGACGTCAACATAGTTAGTGTCACCATACTCGAAAACCTCCGCTGTCTGTCTGATGGTCCATAGTCACTCTGCGCACAGAGTCCCTCTTCGTCCCCCTACACATACTTACCTTCCATAGTATAATATTATACTAAGGACCGCTCCCTCATTTTGCATGTGGCTCAGCATGCCCGCCACCCTTCTCCCGTGATGAATCCACTAGAACTCGAAGCACGCACATCATCCCCGATATTCGTTCGTTGATCTCCCGATTCATGCTTAACTGTACCGAACAGGCCAGAACAGACAACGATCCTTCACCGCGCCACCCTCCAGCTCTGGTACTCATGACTTACCGATCCTTTCATTCCCCATCAAACAACAACCTAGCCTACTTCGCTTTGATCCTCCCCGTCCACACGCACTTCCTAAACCCTCGCCGCCACCACCACCACCACCACCACCACCGCCTCTACACGCTCCACATGCTCTGCAGCTGGTGAGCCTCAAACGAGTCGAGATTCAGTCAATTAAATAATTAGCTCGTTCGGTATCCTCCACCCTTCTCTCGACATGAAACCGAATCCCGTACTCTACGAACTTACCAGAACTGGAGGCGCCCATATCATTTTGAACGTTCACTCGCTGATCGTCCGATTCATTTCACTGCCTGTATACAAACGATAGTAGAGTCCTACGCCACGAATGTACAATAAACTTGTAGCGCCACCCTCCTGAGTACCCGATCCTTTGCATTCCTCGTCAAACAACGACGGTAGAACAAGTAGGCCTTCCTTGTCAATGCTTCGATCCTCTCCGTCCACACGCCACCCTCAGGCTCCTTATCCGAGTCACCGCCCTCGAGAAGTGAATAATACGCCACCGTGACGACAGAGCATCAGGGCCTCTTTTCGAGTATCCTCAAAGACGCAAGGTTCACCTCGAAGCCCGAGCCGGAAGAACCCCTCGCTCGACCACGGCATAGGACAGGAAGGACCCCTCCCTTGACCACGTCGTGTTGATGTTTGATGGTTGCGTGTAAGTATACTTACTGGACACTGCCTTGGTGGGATGTGGTGCGAAAACGGATGAGGTGAGCGAGGGTGAGCGCAGTTCTTTCTCGAGAGTGCATGGAATAGTATTGCCATACTGATTCTTTGCAGACACAATGGCTAGACATCAAAACAACGATTGAGGATCCTCGCATCCGCACCCACCATCGTTCCGTATCGTATCGTCAGTGCCGACCCAAAAACACGCACCCCACGCCCCGCATCCTGACAAAAACGGCTCGTCAGGAGACGTAAACGGATCGTAGAATGGAGATACAATATATACCTCATTTTCGTCGCATTAAGTACAAGGTTTGTGCGGTCTGCCAGTCAGTCAGCCAAATAACGAACAGTAAACACATGGTACACGCATGTCTCCGTAACAGGGGACTCGGACTCGTGCAACAAGCTTTTAAACTTAACTTAGGTAGCTTCGTTTGACTGCCTGTGAACGTTCGACGTGAACTGTGGTGGCGTCAGCGAAGAGGTTATAAGCTGGTGCGAAGAACTCCTTTGTGATTTCCTTTTCGTTCGGTGACCCGAGAGACTCAACCGTCAACGGAAAACGGACGCTCGTTACTCATGCACGAGCCTGATGGCACAGAATTCAGGTGAATGATCCTGTCATGAAGCTCTCCGACTGCCCGTGTAAGAAATTCCATCCCGCCAACACGGCTCACTGCCAATCTCCGTCCCGCATGCATGGAACCCACAATACTTCAGCACTTCAGAATCTAGGTACCTCGCTGATCAGGTTCAACAGCGGCGCTGGTCCGTGTTCGATGAATCACGACTCGCACTCGGACGTTCTTTCTTGTTATAACTTGTTCAACACAGAGTCTGGCAAGTGGTCTCAGAGAACGAACGGCATTGACGTGGAATGGGTCCCGCGCCGATAAATCACTACATACACTAAGTATACACCGCCTCTTGAGACCGCGTCAATCCCGATGTAGTAGGTCAGAACAGACGCTGACGGTCCAGACAGCGATAATTTGTAGATGAAGTGGGAGACTTATGTGTGCATCAGTTCGAGGATACTCGGGTTTCGTCCGAGTCCAGCAAGCTAGTCTGAGTCTGATCATCGACGTCAAAGATCAAGGCCATCTGCACAGCATGCCTCGATGCCGGCGTCGAGACCGACAGATGCCCACCAACATCACCACTCGGACTCGGGTCTAAATACGCTGCCCACGGTGTAAGACAGACGCAACATACTCGTGTCGGTGTTCCGGATGGATCGGAGGCACAGTTGGACCTGATCGCGGATTGTAGGTGGTAGTGTAGTGCAGATGAGGCGATTACAGCGCCGTACAGCCGTACATCGATACAGTTGCATCTACCAGCTCTGGGGATGTATTCTAGTTGACGGTGTTAGGCCCAAAATAGGATCTGTGCGAGATATAACAAGCTGATGAGTACGCCTCCAGAGCGCTACCGTAATGACTCAGACCTCGTCGAAATGTCGGCATCGGCCACAGGATTCCCTCCTCGCAAATCCTAGGACATCCCTACCTTCTGACAAAGTAGCGGCGATAGTCGACCAATAGCAAGGACAAGGACGATACGGGCGCTCGAGCGATGCTAGCTCAATCGACTACGCAACACGAGCGAGGTCGTAGGCAGTGCTATAAGCTTCACGATATCGATGATGTCGATCTCGATACGAAAGTATTTGTAAAGTGTCCACACGCAAATCGCGGTAGATGACTTGGATGACTGGGACCCTTTGGTTCTACACTTCTGCGAAGTGACGAAGGCAGTGTCTACTGTGCATGAACGAGAACGAGTCCCAGGTTCCTAAATTGAAGGCGCAAGTCAATGTTCTGTCAGAAGAGCATACTTGTTGCCCCTTCTGCGCAATGAGAACATGGCTACCACATACCACTGGCCGAAGAAAACCGAATGTCAACATAGCTTTGCGCGCGTCGGTGGTTCTTCCTGAGATTAAGGAAGAGCCCCTGCCTTTTTGCCGAGGAGAGATTGTACTGGGGGTAGAGACGCGCTGCTACAGCGCATACATCACAGCCAAACTGTAGCTAGGCTTAGGCCACGCCGCTCATGCCAGCGCATACACATCACCTATAAACCAAACAGATCCGCCGAAACGACGCGTAAGTTGCTAATCGGTCGGCGATCGGCATGCACTCACTCTCCGTAACGAAATGCGAACTCCCAGAGCAATCAAGCGATACGATTGCCAACGCAGCGAGCATAGCCCTAAACTTGTTTATCAGTAAGACTGACCATGTTCCCGCGACTGTCCTGACCGGGTTTCTAGATCGCGAGCGTGCGATTGGAGAAGGTCAAGTGTCTGTCATTTAATGCTGTGCGCGCGAGAAAAAAATGGGCACATAGCCGGTGCTCGAGAGGTAGAAGTGTCTGGCCTGGAAGTTACGCAGCAGATGACTTTCGGAGTTCAATCCACTCCACAAGCGAGCAAGAAACCCCGCAATTATCGGCGAGTGTTGCCTAGTGGAGAGGACGAAAGACGAGAGAAGACTTGAGGAGGCCTCCTGCGTCAAGGTGGCTATTGCGATCCAAACATGAATCATCTTCAGTGAGTCCGGATGACGGCGAGCACTCTCTCTCCGCGAACAGGATATGCAGGCATTGAAAGACACGGTGTGTTTGTTACTACTAAGCCATGATCTGACTCGGAATACTACATGCCACCAGCGTGCCTTTCTGGACACCGAAGATGGAGAATACTCCGTTTGAGGCAGACCTTGCTGCAACCCCGACCAACCCTTTAGGCACCACGTCTGACGATGTTCTGTGCGATAGTTCACAGAAAGCGTGGCAAAAACGACTGCGGCTACGCCCACGGAGGACTCGAGGAAAGCCTGTCTGCCAAAAGCTATGCAACTCCATCACGGATTCCCGCCGACGTTTGCAATTGATTGTACCGAATAAATGGTGGCGCAAGGTGGCCGTGGGTTAACTGCAGTTATATTGCACTTGAAAACACTTATTTACGCTGAAACAGGTTGTTAAAGCTTAGAAAGCTGTGAAATGTTGGATTGGCTTGGGATCAGCCCCATATCTAGACCGGCCGAGCTCGGCCGGAATCGATGCGTCACCAAAGAAGGTGCAGTTTGGGACTCAGCGTGGGACTTGCCAGCGCACTCATTATTTTCTTGTGCGGGCTGAATCCCTTTCGAGTTGTACCACCATCATCCTCTCTTCCCCCACGTCTGAAGCCTTCGCTGGTCACTCTATCTTCAGCTCCAGCCTTTACTCTACGATGGCCAAAGCCTTTTCTTTCACATGGCGCTATACGGCTCGGATGCCCTTGGACTAGGTTCGCGAGGCGAGCGCGTGTTGACGCGACGGTGGCAGGTGGAGTCCGTTAGCGTTGTTGCGTTCGTTTCGTTCCGTCCCTGTTTGTTTCCCTGTTCGCGCTCGCTTTCGTCCCTTTCCACATCCCCTCCGCACAAGACGAAGCAGACACTGTGCTTCGTCTTTGGACCAGGGGATGACATCATCAATTTACAGCGTGAACGTCGTACGCGACGCGCTGTCGTATGCGGGCAACTACCTACATTCGTACCTCATCTTGAGCACCTTTACGCACACTCGCATCTCATGTCCGATGCCAGGAACTACTATATGTTTCTTACTTTCTTTGGTCTCGTCTCGTCTCTTGCTGCTGTTGCCCGATCTGTATAACGCCCCGCCTGTAATTGCTACCGCGGCCCTCTATGCTTATGTACCACTGTGTACTGTAGCGCTACCCAATCCACAACGCGATTGTCCGCGAACGGTTCATTGCTCGATTACGCTGTCAAAATGGACACTCGAAAGTACAACCTGGGCTGAAGAGATGTGACCCTCGACAGATTTTGGGGGCCTATAGTAACTTGGGCACCTTTGCTATAGACCTTGCAATATGTGAATGAGCACGATAACCCAATTCACTTGTTGTAGGAGTATTTCAGCGATTGGATCACATATATGACCTTGCGAGCGAAATATATGACCTTGCAGGACTCGGCAGATTTCCGTGATGTCGGGGAAGACACGCTCACCGCATTCAAACATTTCTTCAGGACTTTGGACGAGGGGAACCGAGGACTTTACAGTTTTCGCGAAGTGCAGAGAGAAGCTCGATAACCCGAAGAGAAATATAGGAGCCTCCAGCCTGATGAAGAAACACCAGCCAAAAGCTAGTTGTCAGTGATCATGAACAAGTTCAACGTTCTTGTGCAGAGATCAATGCGCTGGAAGTGCTGCGCCCTGCCACGTGGACTCCGCGTGAGCGCGCTGCCGATAAGCCGGCGAGACGTTGTGTTTGCTTCGAGCCGCCATCACGTCGCAGGAAGAAGGTGTGTCGATAATATTCATGTACCATTCACACCGACTTGCAGCAATAAGCTCAGATTCCATGTGCAAGTAACTTCAGACTAGTAAGTATATTTTCACAAATCAAAGACACAGACAGAAAGATTCTCTCATACAGACATGAAATCAAAAACAAAATCAGACAAGCTATAGAAATCAACCAGGTGATGTCACGGCTATAATTCTAAGTAGATTTGGGAGTATAACACTCAGTCCAGGCTGTACCATATTTGAAACGACTGAAATCGATTGTATAGTTGTTTGGTCGGTTGAGAATAGCTTGACACCCTGGCCAGCATATGCTGTCGCGCAGATAATGAGGAAGCCAGAACAGAAGCTTCCCATCTTGATCCACAACCCATGCTGATGCCGTAGTAAGTGGCTTAGAGATATCACTGTGGAGCCATGATAAAAAGGGAGAGGCAGGAGGCATATCTGTAGTATCCTTCAAAGCAGGAGTGCTGGTCCCTGATGATGGACCTGTCACCACATCATTGTCACATTTAACATCCCAGATTCTGATAGTGCCATCTTCTGAGCCTGATGCAACCCTCTGACTATCAGGAGAAAAGGCAACAGCATGGACATATCCTCTGTGCCAAGGGAATACATTACGGATCGTGCCACTAGTAGCATCCCAGACACGTACTGTCTTGTCTCGAGAGCAGGACACAATCGTCCTTCCATCTGGAGAGAACTTAAAAAGTGTGATTATATCTGTGTGACCCGCTAGAGATGGCATTATCTCCTCACCACCCCCATCAATGTCCCATCGCCGGATAACATGCTCTCCAAATCCAGCACTGGAAATGGCTGTTTTCCCATCAGGAGAAAATTCTAGGCAAGAAGCCCCCCTTGAATCCTCTGCTAAAGATATGTAAGATGTTCCATCATCATATACATCCAATGTACAGCGAATGGGATCTTCCAAAAAGCTGGTGAGAACAGTCCGCCCATTGGGTGAAAGTGCTAAAGCAGTGGGCGAGTGGCGTGAGGAAAGGATATCATGGAAATCTCCAGTTTCAATATCCCAGATATGTATATCAACCTGTTGATTTCTGAAGCCAAATCGCACATAAGTGCAATATAAAACCTTTGATCCATCTGAAGAGAAAACAATGGGATATCCAGGGGTTAAAAGTGGTTTGGACTCAGGAGGCTGTATGAAATTGACTTGATGTTGGAGGTTCCAGATGCCAGCAGTGACACATCGATCAGTGTCTCCAACCATGGCCACCCTTCCATCCGACATATAGGTGACAGCATTAATAGTGCCCACATTCCCTAAAAAGGGTAGGAGCACTTCACTTCTGCTTTCACAGTTCAAAATATGGATAGAACTATCATTGATACTGCTAAAAGCAATATTTAATCCATCAGGAGAGAAAGCAAGTGAGGTGATACTGCCACTATATCCTGATGTCAATGACAATGAGTCCTTATCACTTCCTACATCCCAAATGCGAATTGTGTCATCATAAGAAGCAGATACAACTCTTGTTTCATCAGGTGCAAAAGAGATGGAATAAATTGGTTTTGTATGCCCTATGTACAAATCTAGTACATTCCTACCCTTCTGATCTGTCCATATCCGCCGCATGATGTGAGAGTCACCAAAGGCTAATGTTGTATAGATGAACTGGCACCCGTCAGATGTGATGGCTAAGTCATTATGCTGTAGCTCGGTATGATTACTTATGCATTTTTGCTCGGCACGAGCACGTATGGAATATATACTAGAAGTAGTTACTGTCACTCCACTTTTCAAATCACAGATTTTATAGCAGTCTGCTTTGAAAACATCACTGATGACTTTCTGTCCATCAGGGGAGTATGCGAAGAATGAGGAGTAGGTCGAAGTCTCAATCTCTCTCTCTAGCTCTATATCCCATACTGTCCATACAGAACCACCTGGGCGTAAAGTCCTCTCATGGCAAGTTGCAAGACTTCTTCCATCAGGTGACAACTTCAAAAATTGTTCATTGATATAGACATCGCTCTTGAACTTGACTTTTTTTGTCACTTCATCAGAATAAAGATCCCATATGCAAATATCACTGCCTTTGTCATGGCCCCAGGATATATAGATCACACTTTCATTGGACAGGAAAGTAGCTGAGCTAACATAACGCCTGTGGTGCTTGCATGGCTGTATAGTCTCAGTCCCATCCAAGACACTCCACACCCGCACAGTACAATCCCTGGAGCTTGAGACAAGCATAGTTCCATTAGGTGAGAATCTCAAAGATTTGACAGTCATACTGTGGCCGGTAGATGTCCACTTGATCTCACCACTCTGAATATCCCATAAGTGTATATTGCCATTGCTAAAAGTGGCGGCAAGGAACTTTCCATCAGGAGAAATTTGCATCATTTCTGCTACACCATGACATGGTATAATCATAGAACAAGGATCTGGGGTTGAAGAGATTGGAGGATCACATGTCAGAAGATTTTGAAACTGGAGCCTGGAATGCTTTGAGCACTGAGATGTCATAGGTGTGAATGCAAGGGCAGAGATGTAGACATGTGCAACACTTTCACTGATTGGCTCTCTGAAAGCAGTCAAGAAGGTATGTATATCTTGAAGCAATGCTGCAAGATCTGGGCTGTGTTTCATAAGCTAAAATAAGTAGGATGTGTCAGTTTGTTATACAAGTTAGAAAAAAAAGAACATGCTACATACATCAGAGTAAGCAATGACCTTCCTGAGCTTTCTGGCTGCAAAATCGACCATGGAAAATACACTGAGAACTTCAACCCAGTACAGGAACGTGGCTTGTAGACACTTTCTAAGTGTGAGGAATATCCTGGAGCATTGAGTGGAGGCAGTGATATGATCCTGCCAATAGAAGCATGCATATGCAACCTCCATGGGTATATCAGCTAGCTGCTGATCTTGGTTACGCACTGATGAAGACAAAGCCCCAGCAATATTGAAACATAGTCTCGAAGACATTACTGTGAGGCACCCTTCTGCCAGGTCAAGATGTGCACTTCTTGCATCAGTGAACCACACTTGGTCATGACACCCATCATCACGCAGGTAATCTGAAAAAGATGCATGGAAGGTTGAGATGAAATTTGACTCATCATCTGGAATATCAATGAGGGAATGCAGAGCACAAAGAGCTGTGCGGATCTGGCGAGAAGAAAGCCGAAGAAGACATCCTAGTTCCAGCACCGTCATATTATTTCTTTCAGATACAATGGCAGCAAGGCATCGTCGAGTAGCTTGAGCCTCATCTGTCTCAAGGTTTTGGAATGCATCGTTCAGGACAAGAGCATAGACTGAGTAAATTGGCTGCATAGCCTTCGTAGATAGCATAGGTCGAGTGAGCAACCGATCCAGACGAGTTTCCGGGTCCGGGCCTCCTGCGATATACTTGACAGCTGTGGATGCATAGACAAAGAATCTCTCCGCATTCTGGGAGAGCATGGAAATCTGTGATTCGGTCGGCCAAGTTGACGTTTCAGAGCTCGAGAGGATATTGTGCAAGTGCCCTATGTCTGATAATTTCTTTTTCAGATAAAGCAGTATGTCACCTTGAACTACCGCTTCATCAACATCATGAAGACGAAGCACAAGTGGGTATGGTGAAGATAATATCTGGCTGATGTGAGACTCTGGTCTGCTCGTGATGAGGAATTTGATTGGTAGACTTGGAACATTGGTCATTAGAATCTGCACCAATCTTTGCGTATCCTCGTGGTCCTCACATTCATCGAGTGCATCTATAATAAAGACCATCATAGGTGCAGTAGGAGCACCAAACGCAGACGAGATCGATGTGCCGAGCAGTGATTCAAATTGATCATCGAGAGTCAAATTCACGGGCTGTGACAATGCAAGGTGCTGTGTGCGTGCAGCTCTGAAGTCAGGATAGAGACTGGCGAGAAAGTCGCTCAGAGATGGTATTATGCTCCTGACATCCCGTTCTTCGGGAGATCCATCTCGCGAGCATAGGAAATAGCCACCCAAGAGCCTCAGCTCGAGAAGTCTGCGCACAAGGGAGAGCGCAATGGTACCTTTTCCCGTACCAGCCATGCCGTTGAGCCAGAAGATATGAGAAGCGTCAGGATCCATTGCCCACGCTTGGAGATCCTCAAGAATAGTGACGCGGGTCCCAGGAAGGCACTCATTCTTCTTGGGTATTCTGCGAAGCTTTTCCAGGATCTCTGAGGTTGCCGTGATTGTCAATTCACCAAATTATCATGTGATGAGTGTTCTTACCAGTCTCGACGATCTTGTCCACGGTCTGATAGCAGAGATAGAGTTGATTTAATAGAGCGCAAGAGACAGGTGAATTGCGGCATTGGAGAACGTGCTCACCTCTTGAATGGATTTGACATCCTATCAGACGGTCAGAAATCTGCAAGGCAAGATACGAGTTGAATGTGTGTGTGTGTGTATGTGAACATACCTTCTGCGTCTCTTCTGAGAGAACGCTCGTGCGTGTTGTGACGTCGAGCTGGGACAGAGAAATAAGACATTGCTGACTTGGAGAATGAAGCTGACGTACGGTGTAAAGGTCTGCAAGATTCTTGATGTTCCGAAACGCCTCCATTACAGCTTTCTCGTCGGCAGGTGCTGTAAGTGCCCGTTTCAACATACCGTTACCAAGGAGTGAACGGAGTGCATTGGTTTGGGCATCTATAACTCTGAAGGAAGCGACTTCGATAAGTCTTCTTTCAGTATAAGTCACCCACGTTCACTCACTCGCAGACGTGTCCAATCCGTTCATCTAGCCAAGTCGACTCCGTTGACCCGGTCTTGTGAGATTGAAGGATCGAGACGATCAAGTTAAAGGTCTGAATAGCGCCCTCCAGGTCCTGATGAGCACCCCGGACCGTCTAACGTGTATCAAATGTTATGAGCAGTCAATCTCGAACATGAGAAGTGAGTGGGGCGTACACGGATTCGCTTCAAAACCTCGAGTAAACCCGCTGAAGCAGACTTGAGTGGAGGAAATACATCGGAACACTCCTTCACCCTCTCAATGACATCTATCAGCATATTGATGCCCATGTCGACCGGCGAGTCATCATCGTCCGTTGGTACAAGATTCTGATACGGATTGGCGGGCATCAGGGAGGCAGGGACAGGTGTGACGATGGCCGGGTTAGAAATCGTCGATGGAGCGGCTGTCGGAGCAGGACTACCCAGAGCCTGATACGTGCTAGGTTCGGGCGTGCGCTCTCGAGAGATGGACTTGACGGCGTCCCATAAACGGCGGAGTCTCTTCCTTAGTAGTAAAGCCATCGCAAGAATGAGAAAGGGGTGGGACGTTTGAAATACGAGAGTAAGCAGTCAGTGCAGCGAGTCGATGAAAGAGCAAGTAGCGGTCGAGTAAGACAGCGTTTTGCGAGAAAGCTAGCGGCGGTCCACCAAGGCGACACGGGCGATGATTATCGTGAGACGACTTCGCCAGTGCAGCGTGGCCTGTGGGAGCCATAAGGTTACAGGAAGGAAGGAAGGGCCCAGGTGAGGTGGTTTACCGTTTACGACCCAGGTTTCGCTTTAGAGCAATGTACGCTGAGTCCTGAAGGGCTCGTCCAGAGTTGTTCACTGGTATCTAAAGATGCGAATTTCCCTTGTTGACGCCACATCGCCACATCAAAGGCCACGCGGCCCTGTTGACTAGTGTCTGAAGGCGGGATGCATACTGGTTAGGAGGTTCGATCCCAATGCGTACAAATTTTGGGCGAAAAGCCCTCCATGTCCGATCGCAAAAGTACAAAGACTGGGCCTTTTTTCAGCAGTGGTCCGATCCCAAATGCTGACACAAGCTAATCTTTGTATCTTAGGTTCGATCCACGTACGCACAAAAGCGAGTGAAAGTCATTCTTCCCCAGCTTCACAGTGGGCGAATCTCGACATTTTTTGTCCGCGACACACATTTGCGCAAAGGCAATCTCGAGCGCGCTGTCCTCGTCAATGAAGTTGCACTGAAAAACAGTGTTTTTACTCGCTATCGGGTCCCAAGTACACTTTTACACCGCGAATAATAGCGATGCCTACATTGCATGCAGGGCCCTCTTCGCAAACGATGGTTCGATCCGTTGTGCGTACGAAAGTCTTTGAAAAGCAGGGAGACCCGATCCGAACGCGTACATATGAGGCGCCAACTTTTGTGACAAATTTCGCCCAAATGCTACATTTAGGATCGAACCTCCGTACCAATATGCATCCCGCCTGTGTCTGAACTGTCTGAACCTGTCGGAACTCGTTCAAACGTGAAATATGTATGTGGTAGCACCACCACTGCCGTGTCATATTCACCAGTAGCAAACTTCAGCGTCGAGTGGACCTAGTTTTGTGAGCCCAATTTCTTTACGTGTTTTGCGACCCTTTGTGACATTCATACACATCAGCAGACTCAATTTGCCCGTCGTCGCAAGAGTCACTTCGAGTCAATGCTAGCAGCAACTTGTAGTCGTGGGCGGACGTCGCCAGTCCTCGCAACGACCGCTTAGCCCAACTTTTGAGTAGATCTTCCTCCATCCCATGTCTACGAGAATAACGGAAGTCTGAAAAGTTCATCTCGTACTCATCAAGCCTCAGGACTAAGCTCATAACTTGACTTTGCGACACCGAATTAGGACAAAGTTCGACGGATCACCAGTAACCCCTCGAAGTATGGATATTTGAGTAACGAAGATGGGCCACGCCCTAGCGCCGATCTGGTCGAAGTTGTAAGGCAGCCCAAGATGCGTCAGAAAGATAGAAGGAAGGACAAAAAAGCACAGAGACGTACGTGAATCTCCGAACAGAATAGGACTTCTCAACAAGGCAACGAGAGGTATACAATCCCGCATGTGAGCATCGAACACTGAGAGCTGCTGGACGCTGCAACAAACGTTGGAAGGACGCCGACCACTGTCATCCGGCAAAAACCATGCCAGAAATGGGCGCAAATCACAACCAGAGGCCGTCGAGAACACAGTAAGCCAAGATGAAGTAGCAGCGACCACAAATCCCACAGACAAACCTCTGCGTGAACATCAATGCACAACTCACCTGCGGTCGCAGAAGGCAGGATCACTGAAAGAAGCTCTCACGCATGCTTTGTACGGGACATCTGGTGGATGGCGACAGTGGACAATCAATATACACAGTCGAATCGAAAACAAAACCAAAAAAAGAAAAGAAAAGAAAAGGGCAATGCTCAACGCTTGACGGCTGATGGTCGACGAGAACGAATACGGAATACGGGGTCAAGGCGACCGGAAGTGAAAGAGAAAGAGAAAACGATGGGAGGCGCGGAAATTTGCCGTGGCCTTGACAGAAAAATGCAGAATGATGCTGAGGAAATGAAAGATGAGATGTAGGCGTGTGAGCGGATGTCAGATGTAAACAACAGTCAGGTCAGAGGGAGAGAAGGACAAGGGACGAGTGATGATCAATGAGTCGATGGAGAGAGGAAGAAGGGAAGAAGGGACGCCACGGCAGGGTATAAATGAGACAAGATATCTGCTTAGACAATAAACTAGATTCACAGACAAAACACAGAAGGAGAAATCAGAAGAAAAACGAAATGAATAAAACCCACGCCAACAAAACCGAACGTCCAAAAAATGCCATACCTGCCCCACCGCCTTTCTAATCCCCACCCGCCCCACCCCTCCTCGGCGTCTGGTTCTCCGCCGCCTTAACACCCTCCGTGATGCCCTTCATCCTAGTCCTCTCCGCCTCCATATGCCTCAACAACATCCCATCCAACCTAATCAACGACTCCCTCTTCGACGTCCCACTCCTCGCACTCTCCATCGACGACCTCCTCGGCGGCCCCAACCTCGTCCCCACACCCACACCCGTCCCCGCCCCCGTCCTCATCACACTTCCCGGCAACCACCCCCCACTTCCCCCAATAGTCCCAATAGACGAACTAGCCCCCACCGTCCCCATCGACGTCGACACCTCCATCCCGCGCTCCCCCAACAACTCGTCCTCCGGCGTCGCCGGCCTCTGCAAAAAGTCCAAATTCGAAACCCCCTCTCCCTTCCTTTTATTAAAATACTGAGCCTTCTGCGGCACATTCCCCACCGGCTTCCTCTTCTCCGCCGCCACCAAGCTCGCGATATTTGGCGCACGGGACGACGACGATTCGCTCGCTCTTGGTGCACCGCCTCCTCCAAACCCACCGCTGAGAGACGGAGAGGAGACGTTCGGCGAGGAGTGGTTTCGGGTTTGGAGTTGGAGGAGGGAGGACATGGATAGAGGGGGACGCATGGCGGTGGTCGAAGAGGGACCTGCGATAGGCCCAGGACTGGGCGGAGGAGGGTATGTAGAATATGCATAAGCAGATGGAGGTTGAGGCCCTGTGATCGTCGTGGCTCTCGTCCTCGTATAATCATCCCTTCTCTCATCCACATCACTACCCATCCACGAAGTGCTCTCCTCCTCCGACTCGCTACTCTCATCTAGACTCTCCAGATCGTCCATAACATCCGGATGCGTCTGTATATAATCGAAGAACTCGAGCGGCGAGTTCATAGGTGGCGGCGCGCTCCGAATAGCGGGGTGATTGAGTGAAGGAGAGGTGATCTGCAACGAAGATAACGGAGAAGCGCGGGTCCGACGGCCAGACATTCCTCTCGGCATGACTGGCGCCAACGACGCAAAGTCGTCGACATCAGGGAAGGGAGGTGTAGTAGGATCCGGAGCAAGAATATCGATATGCATATCCACGGTGGCGCTCTCCGTGACATCCATAGCGGACTGGTAATTCGAGTGTCCCTGCTCGGATGAAGCTCTGGAGGTCAGAGAAGGCTGGGAGCTCGAGGCCGTGGATACCGAGCGAAGAGCGGAATGACGAGGAGGGGGTGGTCTGAGCGTATTATTGAGCCCGAAGGAAGAAGACGAACGAGGCGGAGCCTCGTCCAGCGCTGTTCTAAAGGACCTCGAAACGGAAGAGACACTGGCGTTCAAGTTCGCATTGGCAAACGAAAGCCTCGATGTTGGCTCATGCATACTGTCGGAGCTCGCGTTCGCGCTCCGCGTGATATGTACAGAAACAGAGACCTGTTCAGGGTCGAAAAGCGCGTCCTGGAAGGCGGACGCGGTGGGCGACGGCTGAGAAGAATCGGACTCTGTATGGCTGGGCAAGGAAGCTGCAAAGGAAGGACGAGGATTGTATTCTGACGGTCGAGGGAAGGGTCGGTCTTCCGAGGACGCGCGAGATAGACTTGAGCTGCTAGTGCGGCCCGAGGATGGTAGTCTATCGTGGTTGAGAGTGTTGTCGGGACGGCCTAATGGCGTTAGGCGACCCATGGGAAGAGGTGGTGGCGAGAATCCTTTACGTCCCCGTGGAGAGTCGCTATAGGACCCATGCAGGACAGGAGAAGACATCGCTTTGCGGAGTGCGTGTGGCGAGGCAACCCCTATGTCGTCATCTGATGATGGCCGCAGTTCGACCTGGGAGGATGGACTGCCAAGCGCCTTACTTCGAGGAGCGGGTGCGAGAGGAATAGCAGGTATGACGGGTGATTCAGCGCGCTGGGGAAGAGCGGGAGAAACTGCTTGACGTTCTGCGAGGAACTTTCGTGGCGGGGTCCATCGACGAGGGCTCTTAGACGTCCTACGTTGTTGTGGAGACCGAGTACTCTCTCTTGCATAGTTCTCGGGAGTGAGAATGGGTTGACCAACGACGTTCCTCGCCTCGGGAGCAGAGACCGTCGAGCTACGGGGCGGAGACGGATCGACGGGAGTTCTTGCCAACGGGCTTGATGGTGTGGGGGACTTGAGGGGCGGAGACATAAGTGATTCCGTGGCCTCTGAGGGTGTAAGCGAGTGTCCAACAGCATCCTGTAGCAGTTTCTTCCGCCACGACTCCTCGGCAGAATCAAGAGACCACAAGCCACCTGAAGAATCGGAATGTTTCGGAGGTAGACGGTCAGCGAGGACCGCAGCTCCAACAGACTCCTCGATTCCGAGCCCATGCATTGCCGAGGTCTGAACCGCAAACAGAGAATCGGGTGAGAGTACAGGAACGTCGACGGCATCCGTAGGATCTATGACTTCGTCGAAAGTAGCGACCGTATCCATCTGAGCGTCTTGGGTAGCCCTCTTCATATCCTCCTCCGCCTGCTGAACGGCAAGTTCGAGATTGTCTACCTTCTCACGCACGACCGCAACGCGACCCGCGCGATCTTGCGGAGTTGACAACGGTGACCGAGGTATAGGTTGGGAACGGACGGGCTGGCCGCTTTGTGGCGCTATCCACCCAGAAGCAGTGGTCGAGTCAGAGGTGGTCCTGAGCACAGGTCGGTGTTCTATAGGTGGCGAAGGTTCAGGAGTTGTAGCTTTCGATTTCGACTTGCCACGGAAGAGATCGAAGAAGCCCGTCTGTTTTGATGGTTTCTTCTGCAATTGCGGGCGGGGCGAGGCGAGATCGAGAGGGGAGGGTTTGGAATGGGCGGGTGGAAGGAAGTAGTTATTGTTGACCATGAGTCGGAGGCGATAAGCCACATCGTCCGTTTTGAACGCAAGGAGGTCCTCCTGCTCTGCCGAGTCCATCGACATCACGTGATTTGACTGGAAGTGGTGGTCGAAATCGGAAGGTGGCGAAGGTGGCCAATCGGTTCCGGAGGCCGCGGAGGCGGTGGACGAGGAAGGAGGGTAAATCGAAGAAGAATTGCCAGACTGCTCGGTCAATATGGAGTCGCGGGCACGGTCGCGGGGAAGAAAGATGGAGTTGTAGGGAGGCATAGGATGCATGCCACTGTGGTTTGGAAAGAGCGGACTGGTTGGATCTGATAAATTAGAGGACTGTATGGAGAACCTGTACTCGCGCGGCACACTCGAGCAACGCTTTCGAGCCTTGGACTAAGCGGTAACGGCTATCAGACGGCGGCCACCGCACACAGAACATGGTAGGCCATACCTCTCTATCGTCACGCCCAGCTCTTCCAATGCGCGGGTCGTCCAGCTCCTCCGATGCCCTCTGCTTCTGCGTCTCCTGCGCCGCTATCTGCTGAGCCTGACTCTGCGTCTGTGGAAATTCGGCATGGGAAGGCATTGTGGCCACTCTCATTGGAGACCGCGGTGGCCGATTCGGCTGATACATTGGCTGGGGCGAGGAGGGCATTGGCGGCGCATACGCATCCGCTGTGGCCGGTCTTGAGCTGGTGGGTTGCTGGACGCGAGGGGCAGAGGTGAGTGTCCTTGAGCGAGTCCTTGTCGCGGGTCGGCGAGTGAGCGAAACGGTGCTTCGGCCGCTTGCGCGCGAGTCGGAACGGGCCACAGGCGCTTGCATCGCGAGCTCACCGTCAGAGACAGCGACGGGAGAGGCGGCGGGATGGAGAACCAAGGTCGGCTCGAAGGCCATGGCTGCCAGTGTTGCCGTCGTCGTCGACGGTCGCGGTCGACATTCAACTCGTCCGACAGTCCGCTATCAAATATTCGTAACTTCCTCCCGCTTAGCCTTCTTTTCCACCGAATTCTACCCAAACAGCGCCCGGCCCGCCTCGCACTCCTTCCCATAAAAGGCCCCCCCTGGCTCGACGTTCCTTCGTTCCTGGTTGCACACACGGCTCAGTTCGACATCTCCATCTTCTCATCGCATAATTTCACCATGGCTTCGCTGTTGGACTGTACGTCGCTGCTGCACATGTCATCTCCAGTGTCTGATCCTCCTGGTGCCAGACATCCCCTCAGGCCCAGGGTACCTGCCCAAATGGCAGCTCTTTGTCGCTGCCACTGCCCTTTTCAACACAGTGCAGAACTTCATGACCATTAAACTGACATCTAAAATCTACAACACCGTTCCTCCTAATGCTCCAGGCAAGTTCCATCAGTTGTTTTCGCTAAATCGGCGTTGCTGATGCACAACCGTCGTCTCCCCCAGTAACTGCGCTTCAAGCACGTACGTTTGCGGTATGGACACTGCTCTCGACCATCGTACGTGGATACTCAGCGTACCATATCGACGAAAAACCGTACGTCTTTCTCGCATCGCAACAACGTGCCGAACATTGATCCTGTCATCGTTATATGGCCGTTGACATATCGGTGATTGACATATTTGCGCTCGTGTTTTAGCATCTATGACATGGCCATGATCACCTACCTCGTCGCCTTCGCCCACTTTAGCTCGGAAATCTTCATCTTCCGGACTGCAAAACTTACCGGACCCGTCATGAGCACCATCCTCGTGTCCAGTCAGTCTCGCCCTTCCTCTTCCTGCCATACCTACGGTTTCATCGCTAGATGCTCATCCTCGTTTCCGTGCCTCCTACAGCCGTGTCCATGACATGGATGATAACCCAGTACGACTTCTACGTGAAGCAGTCATGATCTGACTCCACCCCGGCTTCGTCTCCTTGGTCTTACTTGGGGTTTCTTGTGAACGCTTCAAGATACTGCTACTCGTACAACTCTGGAGCTGTCTCCTCCGTTCTTGGATGGACTCGTATCTACTTGAATATCCATAATTGCTAATTTATCGGCTACCTTTGATACTCGCATCGATCCTATCTGGACCTTAGAGTTCCTCGGGATAGACGAAGGGTAGGAACTTTTACTGCATCTGTTCTAGCTATACCGTGTTGTCAAAAGGGAAACAGTTGTCCCTCAATGATCGATGCCATAGGGTGACCGCCGTCTGCAATCCCTGGTTGCGGCCATCTCGTACAGCCGTTCGCAGCATCGCAGCATCGCACTGGCAAAGCCCACGTGTGGTTCAAGATCAATATGAACTGCTCTTTTTACACCAGCATCCAACATTCTCTTTACTGTCCGAGCGCGACCGCAACTAAACACAGCTTGAACAGTACTTTGTGACGAGTGCGTGTACTCTGTGATTTTTACTGGACCGAAAAACTTTGCCCATACGCGTATGCACGTACAAAAAGGGGAAATTTAAGAAAACCACCTGCATTAAGAGGGAATCGAACCCCCGGCGGGTCGATGGCAACGACCCAGGTTACCACTACCCCATTAATGCCTGTCTTTGTCCTCCAATATGGTATCTATAATATGTATCATGCAGCATTTCTTCCTGGATGCTCATAACTCCAAACACTTGACCTCGGGGAGCGGCTTGCACCCGCCAGGGAATAACCACACTTTCGCGTTCAAGTTGTTCGCTAAAAAAACACGCATTCTATTATACACGAACGAAATTCGAACACGGAGTCCTAGCGATGTAGTACTGAAACACATTTGCGCACCAACTTTTGTACTTGTAAATATAGATATAACAGAGAACAGATTGATAGCGGGAACAGAGGGAGGAGAACAGAGACGAAGTCCTTCCGAATCCAAGGGAGTTCGGGGGAAATTTGGGAGATCAACAAAGAAAAGAAGAAGGAGAAGGAGGAGAAGAAGGGGTAACTGGGGGCGCAACCACCGACTCAAATGAGGGAAGGCGCAACACAAAGCAACGAATAACGCGTCGAAGACATGGTTAAAAACAAAATAAGACAAGGAGAACGAAGGTCGAAAGTTGCAGAAAAGAGGGAAAAGGATACAAAGAGGTGGAGAGATTTACAAAAGTCGAAAGTCGAAAAGTTAGAGGGATCGCGATGAAGGTCGAAAGAGGAGCAAAAGGCAGGAATGCCTGAGAGTGGCGAAGACGAAGAAGTAAGATATTAGTGTAGATGTGAATTCGAAGAGAGTTGTTTCCAGTCTGAGCCTGAGGGATATAGAGTCGTCAAAGAGTCGTGAGTGAGTCATGAAGCCGCCACAAATACCGTAGTATGCCATACACCCCGCCGCCTCCCCCCTACGAGGCCATAAAAATAAACACCTGATACCACATCACACCTCCCATTACCCACACGGGCTCCCTTCTAAAGCACCCTCAACACAACCTTCTGCCCACACACCGCCACCGCGCTCTCCCACTCTTCCTGCGTCTCAAGCGGCACCAACCTCGAATTATCCGCCGACGCCACACTGCTCACAGTCGACATCGTGCTCCCCCTCCTCTTCCTCCCCTTCGCATTATTGTCCGCATCGCCGAGCGCCGAAGGAGCGCCAGGAACGACAGGAGGTAAGAACGCCACCTTGAATGTCTCTGGGAGCGGCAACCCTTCCTGCTTCGCGAACTTTTCGTAGAGACGTTGATGGATTTCTGTGAACGGTGTGGAGCGCGAGGTACGGAATGAGACGATCGCATCGTCGAGGGCCGCTTTGACGATCAAGAGGCCACCGTCTTCAGGCCATTGAGATAGGTTGGTAAACGTTGGAGAGGCCGGATCGAGTCCACCGTTCCCGTTGTCAGGGGCAAATAATGTTTGAGCACCGGGGGAATGTGGCATAGGGGCAAGTGATGGAGCAAGCGAGAGCGTGGAGAACCTGAAGGCGGCAGAGGACCTGTCGGGAGGACTGGGGAACTGGTCGATGTCACCTGCACCTAGTTCGAGCCCCATGCCATCGTCAAACTCGAACTCGTCCAAACCGTCACCGCCGAACTCATCCTCCGGAACGTCTTGTGAGACTAGCCGTGGGTCGTCTGCACCGGAAATAGATTCACGCCGGGGTTGTTGAGCTCGTTCCTGGCCCTCCCGAAGATGCGTATCTGCGTGGGGCGTCGACGCCGAAGCCACGAGATGTGAATCCTCAGACTCCGCGCCCGAAGAAGGTTGAAAGTATGTATCCATCAAATCCTCGTCTCCCGCATACGTTTCCTCCTCCGGCACAGCAAAGCTCATAGTCATACTCATGGGCATAGGCTGGCTATGACTCCTCGGCCTCCGTTTCGTAGACCCACCAGACAACGGACGGCGAAGATTCGCACCAGCACCGGGCGTGCTATGCGAAGGCCGATGGAAAGGCTGAGGAGAGATTGACCGTCGATCCCGACTGAGGCTCATACTATCGAGGATATCAGAATCGACACTACTCCTGTTGAATCTCGAATTGACGGCCGAAAGAGGGACTTGTTGCTGGCCCGCGCTGAACGGCGTCGGTGGTTGAGCGAGTGGGAGCTCCATGTACGGAATATCCATATCGCAGGATTCGGCGAATGAGCCGGCGGAAAGTGGGCGAGATGAACGGGGGCTGAGACCAGGCGAGGTCATGTACGAATAAGATGATTGACCGTCTTGCATGGAGAGATTCGAGAGAGCGATGGAGGAGGGACGGGATGAATTTGGATCAGCTGTGGCCGCAGATGACTTCCGACGGTGATGGCCTAGTTCTGGAGCCGTGGAAGGATCGTGATCTTGGTTTGGAGGTTCGCTGTCTCCATTGGGGTTCGTGTCTTGGAAAACGATGCCTTTACGGTGACCAACGACAGAAGCGGAAGAGTGGGCGCGAGGACGAGGGCTATGCGGTGGTGAAGAAGGAGCATCTGCTCCTGCTGCAGGTTGTGATAAAGGCGATGATTCCAATTCAGAATCCTCGGGAAGAGACTCGAGACCTCCGCGAAGATGAGACTGCGGCTGGGGAGGTGACCTCGGGGTTTGCTGAGACTTGTTTGGTTCGCGCGTAGAACTCGAGAGAAACAGAGGAAAGTCTTCTTCCATATTGTACGCGCTGTGGTTGTTCCTCGAAGAATGATTGAAGGTCTTCGATGAGCGTGTACTTGTATGATGTGAAGGTCTCGCGGACCTCGGAAGACTAGCAGTGCTGTTCGGCGCTAGAGTCGAGCCGGATGAGGTAGTGCTCTTGCGGGGAACGACCTGAATCTCGTCATCGGAAAGTGGCCCAACATCGCCATTCGTCTGCTCGATACGTGAGTGCGCTGAGTTGGGGTTCCTGACCCGACGTCTTGAACCTCCGTCCGAGTCCGAAAGCGACATGCTCGACGCTGAACCCGCAGAGTTTCTCCTCGGTGACCGTGTGGCCAGTGGCGACGGATGGATTCCTGAAGAGTGCGAAGAACCGGATGATGAATGTGTCGAGGCGATGTCGGGAAGAGTGTCCGGAAGGGAAAGCGAGACATTTGACGGAGAGAAGTATAACGAGAATGCATTGCTTCCTCCGATCGACGCTCTCGAACCACTCGATTTCTTCGTCAACAAGTCGTTGTCCCTCCTCCAATACCCGAAAAAATCCCTCAGAACACGATCATCCCTCAGCTCTCGTATCAAAGCAGGCACATCGTCCTGGAAGAAAGCATGGATGAGAGCCGAGAACTCTTTGTGGCGTTGGTCAATAGTACTCTGACTAGGCCTGAACAGCGTCCCCTTCTTCGACAACTTCGGCAGGTAATCGTGCACGTTCTTCGCTACTGATTTTGGGTCGGGCCCGGGCGGCAAAGATTCGAAAGAGGCCGCACGGTCGTGGATGTACATCCCGTTCTTCTTGACACCCTTCCCTGCGGACAGTCTTTGTCGCTTTTCGCGTGAGCGAATCTCGTATTGCAACTCGAGCATGTCCTGGAACCAGAGACAGTCTTCCCAGCGGCGCCAGACGGTGTATTCCGAGGTTGTGGCGATGGAGGTGCGGGATCGTGTGGAGGTGTTTTCTCGGTATATGGGTGATATGCGAAGACCATAGCTGTAGGCTCCGCCTGTACGTGTTTTGATGAGACGGTACAAAGATAGGGATGTTAAGGGTGTGACGTGTGGAGAGAATACGATCTCACGCACCTAATTTCTGGGGTGGCAGTACTTCGACACTGAAGTGGGCTGGAGCAGCGCGGTACACCGCTCTTTTGTAGTACTTTCATGCATATTAAGATGTGGTGAGGGTACAAGGATCAGAAAGACACTCACATCAGGCGGTGGTGGTCCAGGAGTGTCTCCCGGTAGCATGACCTGCGACACTATGAGTACGAAGAATCAACGAAACAAGACCTGAACCCAGACTGACCGGGAAATCGCCATTACTCATCCCATACATGATGGGCTAGGGTTCGGTGGCGCGGAGGTAGGCTGAAGAGTGATACCCGAGAGCAGGGAGGATGGTGCCATGGAGGGCAGCGTCAATGGAGTGTTGGTGAGTATACGTCGCTAATCACATGTGGGAGATGCTTGAGTTTCAAGAGCGAAACATACCGTCAAGATATGTCCAAGATCTGCCTTGTACGGACGCTACAGCCCCGGAAGGAACAAAAGGGTAGCACAAGAGTTACGAAAGGTCTCGCTCTCGTCCAGCTCAACTAGTCTGAGCAAAAAGCCAGCACACGATGGCCCAAGCGTTGTCATATCAGCGTGGATATTCCTGGTATGCTGCTGTCCATCCACGCACCTATTAACACTCCAAGACTTTACAAGACTCTACTCGCGAGCTGACGCCAGGGTATACGGACCAGAAAAGGGATCTGGCGGGCGCCTGTGTGACAGGGATGTCGTTGGATGAGAGCGTCGATGGCAAAAGCGAAAAGGGCGAGAAAGGAGCATTATTTGTCGGATCCTCTATTGTTTATCGCACCAAGCGCCATTGTCCTCGTGTCGGCCCCGGGCAGTTGGCCGTGCGAAGCGGGGCAACGCGTGTGATCGTTCCTTGTTTCGCCGTTCCCAGATCTTATCTCTCCCAACCCTCTTCCCGCTTTGGTCAACGGCCAATCAGAGAAGCCATCGATCGTACTGCGATCGCCCACCGGAAGTAAATCGTGATGCTGTATTCCATCAATCGCAAGCCTCGAGCTACGCAACAGCACTTTCGTCTGTTGCATTGCTTATCGGACTAGGAGGTCAGTGCATGAGACCCAGTAGTAGGTCCAAGCTTTCTCCAACATGTGCTACGACGCCACACAGGCACGTATCAGAGGAGGGTCAGGCCCGCAACGTATCATCAGCGCTCTCAATCACGCCTTCAGGCGCAAGGACGATCTCCAAGGTGCAAAATAGTACATCGATATCTTTCATTTACGCATAGGGGGTTGAGTCTGACCTATATAGGCCTACAACCAGATTGAAATGATAATGAGTCTTCGAGAATATCTCGAGCATGTGCCTCAATCAAGATCTAGAATGCAATCATAATTGCAGGGCAAGTCGTCAAACTGCGTCTAAGTCTCAAGACGTGACAAACCATGGCTATATCCTTTGAACGCTGAGATGATATAGCATCAAATCGACTTGTCTATGGACGCCCATACTTGGGCTTCCAACAGAAAGCAAAGCATTAGCGCTAGCCTCCATATGTGGAGGGCGTTCATCTCCCTCCAATGCTCCAGGCGTCCACCTGATCATGTCCAGTTACTCAGACCGAGTCACTACAGTTCTGATGCTCAACACTCCAATAATCAACGTTTTAACGCTGAAGGACCATTCCAAGACAACGATAGGTATTCTCTGTCCGAGCTCCCACCATCCCATCACAATCACAGCGTATTCAGATAAAGACACAAGCTCGCAAGAGCTCAAGTATCCATCGCATGCATCTCATCACATCCCACTGCGGTTGGTCTTCATTCCCATCATGCGCCCTCACCCATCAATACCATGTGCTTGAGCGCTCCTGCACAGCTCATAAAGAACTGTATGGCGGAACACAAGTATAAATATGGAGATTCAAAGAAGTCGGGAAAAGGGAGGGGATGGGAACGGTATGCGGTATAGCAGGTGTTAGAGAGAGAGATACGCGCAGTCATATGTACAGCTACATACGCTAGGCTTCGCTGCCGGTGCGAGTACAAGTGCGAGTGCTCCGGTGGGACTCCGAGTGAGAAAGACACCCAAGAGTGACGCCGGTTATCATGCATTATGATTCGGCGAAGCATATGCAGGAGTGTGGCGCCCCATGGGAATCCACGAAACGCTTGCGGGTGCGGGATGAACGGTTGTGCACTTGTTACTGCTGTATTTAGCGTCAACTAATAAGGCCGAAGGGTATGACGGTGTGTGTGTGTACTTTTATGGGCGCATAGTCTGTGACGGCGACGGCCCAAGGTGTCTAATCTTGCTCATGCCCCGATGGGAAGAAGGTATACAGCAGCCCGAGACGATTGCGAGATTACCTCGCCCGAGACTCAGATTCACGGATCGCGCTCTAGCTCCCTCCAGAGGGCGTAAATTGAACGGCAGGAAGGTTACCAGAAATGAAGTGTGACTCTGAGGGGCCGGAGAATCGTCGATGAGCGTTTCGTGCGGCGTAAGCCCGGCGAAGTCGAGATTTGCGCAACGGCACTGCTGCTGCAACAGTGTCAGGTATACCTCCGAAGCGCTTGTCCGTGCCATGGGAGAACGGGAGCTTGTTATAAAGTTTGGGTTAGATCGTGCGCCACGAGAACAGTATGTTCATGCATGTGCAGTAAGTGGTGCTCTGGATCTGGCTATACATAGCAGGAAGCAGACATGAGAAGAGATGAGAGATGCGGCGCGGAGGTAAGGTGAGGTGGACCTTCCAAATGGGTTCTACAGTAGCCTGTAAGGGCGAGTTTTGGTCAGCTTGGAGGTTATTTAAACGCAAGAAGGGAAGCAGGTTGGAACTCTGGGACGATGCATGAGATCTGAGAGTTGAGCCACGACTCATCGGTAACTTACATACCTTCTCAAAGATCAAAATATCGAGTCGATGTCAGATGCTCCGAAGTACTTTACAACAGGTCAAGTGGTTCTTAAGATCGAGACATTGGCAGATACGATGGGAGGTATATGTGCTTTATGGGATTCGAAGTGCGGGTTCCGAGGAGGAAGTCGAAGTCCCGTGTCGCCCCGATGCTTAGTACCGTTAGTACATACCGGGTTGAGAGATGCATTCTGCGACCACCGCGGCTGCGAACGATCACCTCCGCTACCTCCAGAAGGGAATTACTTGCATAGGGAACGAAGTCGGCCAATCGTGACGGATCATTTAAGAGTCTGTGAGGCGCAGTCCTTGACGCCGCATCTGGATGCGCACGACGCCTCGTGTGCGAGAAAAGTGGAGTGCGTGAGTTAGATCGAGAGAGATCCTAGCCAAACTTAGAAACCAATGAGTCTCGGTGGGTAGTTTGATCTTGAGAACGAATAACTTGGATGGCTGCGAAGATATGATCATCTGAGTCGAGATGACGGAACAGGACTCGGTGCTACGACGCGGCGGAAAGAAGGCCAGTGAAGCTCTCGAAGATTTGGACGCGAGTTAAAGAGTGTCGTCTCCAAAGGGGCTGGTTACCTCGTGTGCAGTAGGTTCACCTGAACGCGGTTATAAGTTAGTAAGCTATGCTCTGCCTCAAGCTCAAGCACAGGCTCGACGCAATTGTCTGGGTTTGTAACATTGGGGTTATCGTAGTGAGATGAGGAAGAGAACGCGTTGATGGCGTACCTTGAGGATACGGATGGCTTCGAACGCTGGAAGTATATCTGCTCCCAGTCCCAAAGTTAGATACGTCCTCAATATATGTATGAAGTTCAGGAGACACGCGTTCGTACCGATACTAGCGAAAAGCTAGAGTGCAGATCACTCTGTACAGATGGTACAAGAGGAATAGTATACGTACGCCACATGCGACAAGTCCGGACGATGACTTGAATATTGAAACGGTAAACATTATTGACAGCGTTCAATCTAACCGGGACCGACAGTGCTCAACAAACAATGCACTCACGCGGTGGTATGGTTTGATGTCTTGGTGCGAACCCGTCCTTTCCGCGCAAAGTAATATAGCCAAGTTGATGCGATGACAGGATCCCGCAAGCGTGATATATTGATGGCCACTTTGTCGCCTGTTCGGAATAAACAAAGTTGGGCCAAGCATCGTGGGCCACCGTCAAGAAAAAGGAGTCCAGTCAATTTGCCTGCTTTTCGATACGAGGTTAGCGTAGCGTTCGAAGATCACAGTGTGGAAGCGAGTGGTCCAGGCGACTCTGCTGAGAATCGAATGGCCTGGCTCGAGGATGCAAGACCTTTGAGCGAACACGACTTCAATTGAGCAGTAGTCCTCCATGAGAATTATCTTCCCAAGCGGCGATGTCCTCGTGATGGAGACAAGTGGAAGAAGTGAAGAGAAACAGGAAAGCCAGAGTCCAGAAGCGGACATCGACTTCACTTTGCAGCTCCTTTCGACTCTCCAAGGATCTCTGCGCGGTTCCATATGTGACCGAACGCATCCAATCAACAACATCTGACCATCGTATTTACCTCATTTTGAAAGCATGTCTTCGAGGATTGTCGGGAGGCATCGGGATGCAAATCTGTCGGCTTTCTGAGCTTTCTCGACCTTCCCCGCACCACATGGAGACTTCGAAGACGGACAACGAATGGCGACGATGACGATCACCCTCCTGTCGATAGCGTGTTGAAACAGTGTTCGCTGCCAGCTCCTCTCCCAGCAGGACTCTTCGAGATGCTGGGTGGGAACCGTCGAGCATCGTCTCGCGGGATTTCCGTCGCTGTTCCGCGAGTTATTGGGAGGAAGCGCTGATGGAATTCAAAAGTCCGGGGCTAGATTCAGATTGCAGGTCGCCGAACAATTGCGAACCTGGTTGTCGTGCCCGTTAGCCGAGATAGGCCAAAATAGAAGCTCACAATTAGTATTTTCGAGGAAGCGGCGTGCCTGGCGTGATGCCAGCTCAGTTCGGCCGCTCTGCATGTCCAAAGTAGACGCTATACGAGGAGGACGAGGAAGGGAGAGAAGACGACAGGACATGGAAGAGTCGTGGACGCAGAGTTCAGAGTCAATGAAGGTGCGCCGTCGCCTCGGGGGGCTCAGGGGGAACGATATTTTACGTGTTTGGGACAGGCAGATCTGATCTGGAGATGCTACGGAATCGGGCGAGATTCTGAGTTTCGAATTCAAAATCGATTACCTCCCCGATTTGGATCAAATCCTCGCATTTGCGTCACACCTGATCGGACGAAAAAAGTATGTGCGGGATTGCTTGCGATTATATAAGCGCAGGTAAAACAACATGGGTGAGACGGGTGGGCTTTTTATATTTATTGTGTACGAGAGGCTTTGCTGTACCGGCGTTGGGATAAGAAAAGGAAAAGAGGGAAAAGCCGCGTCGGTGGTTGAAAGCGAAGGAACGTGGGGAAGCGATCGCTCGCAAGAAGCTTCCCAGAGATTCAAGCGGCGCCAAGATCCACAAGACGTCGTGCAGACGCCTCCCCTTCAGATCCATCCTCTTCCTCCGTACGCTCACCTTCCCCGTCTCTTCTTCTCTCCCTTCGCTCTTTCCCCCTTCTTTTCGCGACTTTATCTCGACGTTTCGCATAGCCAACAAATATTCACCTTAGTCGCTCCCGGTCTCAGCTCCGACCGTCGTCATCGTTCGCCCCATACCTGCTCTGAGCAAATCGGGCGGTTAATATCTTCCACGAGATACCAACTTGACAACTGATCTTGACCCCATTTCCCGGGCTCAGATCCACTAAAATCTGCGGTAGTGACGATGGCCTCTGCCCACCACCAGCCTCCGCCGCCATATCCACTTCCACCCATGCAACAGAGCGAGTTCCGTCTACCTTCTCTCAAAGACTTGAACTTCGCGTACCGTCCCCCTCCCACTCACTCGCAAGAACAGCCCCCATCTTCCATTGGGCCCGCTCAAGTAGAGCATTCTACTCCCCTTCAAAACCACATCTCGCGTCATGAATGGAGTCGTGGTACACCCGCACCTGCGCCGTCACACAGCATACCTCAGCATCATGCACCCCCGACCGGCAGCGTCCACGACCACCCCTTGCCGCCTCGACAAGAGTCTCAGAACTACGGAGGTATGCCGCCACCCGCGAGCTCTGCCAATCCTTTGACGCCCGTGAGGGACGAGGGCACCCAGCGTTTAGGACCGCTTCCCCGCTCGGGACCTCCGATGAAGAGCAGGGAATTGACCCTAGGCGCTTTGCCTCGGACATCCCACGTGAGTCAATGAGTGCTTCTCTGCTCTACTTATTCGCTCGCTCTTCGAGTGCCGTCAAAATCCCTATCTTCAATTTTGCTCGTTGAAATGCGCTGACCACGCACTTCGCCCACACGTCATGTTGACGTTGATCAGCACGCCTACCAGTATGCCTCCCAGGGCTCTGCGCCTTACCCTGTCCAGCAGGCGCCGTCTCCCCATGAACAAACGCAGCATCATCCTCACCCCTTCGGCGTTTCACAACAGGGCTACGCTCCCGACCAGTTCATGTCTCACAGACATTCGTCTGCTTCTGCGCCCTCTCCAACGCACTCAAGCTATCAGCAACAACAACAGCACCAGCATCATCAACAGCACCAGCACCAGCACCAGCAACCGGTGCCATCTGCCAGTCCGTATCCATCGGGTCCATCCCAGAGCCAACAACAGTGGCAACAACATCCTCATCCTTCGCACCAGCACCAGCATCAACAACCACCACCTCAGATCGCAAAGCCTCAGAGTCATCAATCGACGCCCCCCGCGGAACCTATCTCGTTCACGAAGGCTAAGCCCTTGGTTCCTACCACTGTCGAGCCGCGTCATAGTGCTCCGTCCCCTCGTATACCTCCCCCGGATCAAGGTCTGGGTCCACGTCATAACACGCTTTCGGAGGTACGCACAGCTCTAAGAGGTGTCGCACTCCACCATTTGTGCTCATCCTTTTGTTGTGCTTCCGTAGTTGCATACACGTTGTAGCACGTTGTACAACTTTGCGGCAAGATGTGGTACGTGCTGCCCTACATTTTGGCGCCCGTGTATGAACACTCATCCTGACGGACGCACTGATATTAGCGCAATTGCAAGTCACTCTGCCTCATGTCCAACCGACGACGACGGAGCTGGTCGAGATGTCTCGCCACGCGAGTCATATCCTCGACCTTTTGCAGGATCTCGCTCGTCTTTCCCAAATCGAGACCAAGCCCTTCCCCGATCCTGGCGCCAACAACAGCGCAGTCACTTTGCCTCCTCCGGCCTCTACCGGGAATGAGGAGAACCGGCCTCCTAAGCGCCCGTGGGAAGATATGTCGAACGACAAGACCGCTACATTGGAAGTGAGCACTTCCGCAGAGGTTCGTAAACTTTCGTGCACTCCATCAGTTCCGTAACTTGTTCCAAGCATTACGTTGACTCTGATATGGTCATTCTATAGCAAACAGCAGCCGAGGCAGATATGGCTCTGATCCGCACGAAACGGGCCTCGACGTCCGCTACAAATGGCCCCGGACAACAGAAGACGAAGTATCGGAAGAGAAGCGTGAGTCTGCTTTTTTATGACTTCCACGTCTTCTTTCTGTTCTTGGACTTACATTGGTGGTGGGCTTCGAGCAGCGCGCCACACCTCCTGGGAAGTGCCACTCTTGCAATATTCGAGAGACTCCGGAGTGGAGGCGTGGACCCGACGGAGCGAGGACGTTGTGCAATGCCTGTGGTCTGCGTACGTGCACCATCTCTATGCCGTTGTCAGGAAACCGCACGGAACTGACGACGATATCCGCTCTTCCTCCTCTGTTCGCTTTGTTCTGTTCTCCACTGCAGATTACGCCAAATTGATGCGCAAGCGCGACAAGGTCGGGCCCGACGGCAAGCCTGCCCAGATCGACCTGGAGACGCTCCGCGCATCTACTCGCATGGCTGACGCTGGTTCCTCTAACGGTAGCACTGTCAACGGTAACCCTTCTCCCTCCGTACCGCCTCCCAGCTCCTCCACTGCACCTCCGGAACAAGCGGTACCATCGCCCACGACCGCTGGCCCGAGTCCCATCCACCTCCACCCCCAGCAGCCGCAGCAATCCCAGTCTCAGCTCCCTCCACCTCCCGGACCTTCTGGTCAGACCTCGAAACCGTCGCAGATGGTCTTACCTTCATATCATAGTATGATTATTCCTCCTCAGGGTGGTGGGCCAGGAGGTGCACCGATGCTTCCTGGACCGAGCTCGATGACGCATCCTTCGCCGCACCAGCAGCATCAGCAACATCAGGCACAACAGGCGCAGTTGATGCCACCGCCACCGCATATACCTGAGGGCCCATTGGGTAGTCACTTGTGGGGCCATGGGCAGATGCATGGGCCTGGTCAACATGGCCAGGGTCAAGGCCAAGGGCATATGCAGCATGGCAGGACGTATTCGCAGGACCATTCGTCGTTTATGAGGCCTGCGCATCAGGCTTCGCATGCGAGGGCTTCGCCGCATTGAGGTTGAGGCCCTGAGGTGTAGTGGTGAAGTGACGTTCGAGGTCTTCGAGCTCTAAGTTCTATGTCCTAACATTGCATGCATACGCATAATTCTATGTCATCGACGTCAGATCCAACTCTTAATTCTGTCGTATCTAGCATGTTCTCTCGCCTTCGTCTATCATATGCTGCTTCTCTTTCTCCTTGGTCATTATTCTTTTTTCTCTTCGTTCAATCAACGAATCTTAATCATCCATTCGTCATTCATCATTCACCAGTTCATCAGCCTTCTCGTCAATCCCATTTTTTGTCTCTCCTGTCGATCCCCATGATCTCGCATCCCCATCCAAAAGACTCCAAGCTCGCTCTATGCTCGTTTTAATCTGTACAATACCCTGCACTTCCGTTCTCCCCGCTTTGTTCGATCCCGTTCTTCCCATCCCCACAATTGCAATTTCTTTCTCTCATGCTCTGCTCTTTTTGCCGGTTGCCTCTTGAACCTCAAGCTCTGTTGCAGCATTGGATCTTTTCCCCATTCGCAATTGCATTATACATAGTCTGGCTTTCGTTACCGTATTGAGTATCGAGTATACTGTATATTTTCTTCCACTCTGCCCCTTTTCGACTTTGAAGAGGCGTAAATATTTTGGCGTTGATTGTGGTAATGAGAAGTGATGCACAATGCTGTTGAGATTCAGATCTTCTGTTGGCTGTCGTGCGTGTCGTCTCTGTCTTTGGTCTTGTGAGACTCGGTAGGTGCATGCTACCGGTGATTTTGTCCTCACCGAGGGTACGTTGGATCTTAGATATATTGAGTCGTTGTTCCGAGGCACTCGCAGGTTTATGTACGACCCTGCATCCTAACTCAATCTTGAGTCTGTCCATTGTGTCGTGTCGTGAGGACAACCCTATGTAAGGTCACCTCGCGGTGAACTGACCGGCAGTTTCCAGACTTGTTGCCAGCAGGAAGGAAGCATTGAGTTCCATCTCCTTTGGGTTCCGCTCCGACCTGCGTTTGCTGGGGAGATCATGAAGAATCAGATGGACTCGGAGATGGAGAGATCGTCGTCGTCTGCGGGCCATTCGATCAGATTCAATTAATATGTTCACCGGTACCGTGTCAATGCAAGATCCTGCAAAGATGCCGGCGACGACGATGATCACGGAGGGCATGAGTCAATTAATTGTGTCCTCGGCCAAACGGTGTTCAATGCGCACAACATCCCCGACCTTATTGGCGTACGCATGCTGCGCAAGCTTATGCTGTACTTTGGGCGATCAGGCCTCAGGCCTCAGGGGCTGAATGCAGTTCGAGCCGATCCCTTAGTACCTTGCCTCGACTTGTCAGGTCGTCTGACTTCTGTGGACGGAAGGAACAATTTATGCACGTATGCTGGTCGACGGCGAGGAAGCGGAATGCTGGAATACGGCCGCAGATGATTGTTGAAAGAAGCACACGACGCGGTTGGGCTTAATGGGGCACAGATGCACTGTGGGCCAACGGCCTCGATTCTCCATACACGTCGAAGAAGAACGTTCCACATCCACACAAAATCCAAAAAGGTACAAGCACATAGGAATACACAAACCTACACATCATCCACAACACAATCTACCGCACGAGGATTTTTGGAAGCGGTTCTACAGCCAATCGTCGAAAGCCAGCTCAGCGCTCAGTCGTTGTATCCCCTGACCTTCCCCACACCCAATTCAGGAACCTCGATGCCCTGCGCCTTCCAGATCTCGAGCTGCCTATCCTTCGCGACCTTTCCGTCCTTCTCATAGTCGGCGACCGAAGTCGGACGTTCGCCGTGCGGTGTGGCACGAAGGGCGTGCCGTCTGGCGGGCCAGAAGTCGAAAGTGGCGCTGTGGGTAACGACCTGTATGGCACAGAAGTTACACAGACGTCAGCCAGGAACGAAGGTATGAGAGAAGTGGAAGTGAAGAAGAAAAGTTGAGACTGATACATGAAAGGGAAGCGATGGAGGAGTGGGGGGAAATGAAAGAAGAAGGGAAACTAAAACGAACCCGGTTGTCCCAGAAGGCGATATCATTAGGATTCCACTTGAATCGAACCTGGAAGTCGACGTTGTGGGCGATTTGCTCAAAGAGGAACTTGAGGATGGAGTCCGATTCGGCCTTGGGAACACCAACGATACGACGAGTGAACCCTTTATCCGTCAAACACTCAAGTCAGGTCCGAATCTTCGAGGCTTCAAGCAGACTTGGAGTACAGCAGCCACATACCAGGGTTGACATAGACACTCTTCCACCCGGTAGCAGGGTGAACCCTCACAATCGGATGCAGAGTCTCGACTGGTTCCCTTCGCACAGGCAATCCCGCCGCCCTCGCCCCATCAGCCTGAGCCTTCGCGCTATGCACTGCCGTCAATCCCTCGAGGTAGATCTGGAGTCCACGGCTGAGCGAAGAGTAGAGTGCGTAGCCGGAGCTCCAGAGGGTGTCGCCTCCGTATTCTGGCCCGGAGATGACTTTCAGAGATGTGGTGCTTGGGGGTTGTTGTTCGTAGGAGACATCTGTGTGCCACAGCTCGATCTTGGAGAAGGCGGCCGTGTCGGGACGGCGGGATTTGTCATTGTAAACCACTGAATATGGAAACAATAAGAATCGTGAAGAAAATGAGGTAGAGTAGTTCGTACCATGCACTTCTTCGAGGCCAGGCTCTTTCGGAACAGGAGTGGTGGCGTGCTTGTGAAGTGGGCCCCAGTGGCGAGCGAGGTCTAGTTGCTCGTGTATGCTGATGTCCTGGTTCCGGAAGACTGCACGGTCACTTTAGTCGACATAATATTGTTGCACATTGAAATAAATATACTCACAAACGACGCCTCGCTCAGCCACCAGAAGAGCCCTGCAAGACCTATCTTTAGTTCGTGCACCACGAGCAACGACGAAAAAACTCACAGTTCGTCCTTCTGCGTGTCCGACAATTGACGCAAGTCGATACCGTGAATCTCTGTCCCAATGGTCGGGTTCAAAGTGATGACTTTCGATGCAGCGGACAAGAGACTCTTCTTCTCGGGGTTGGCGTAGAGTCCGCGCTCCGTCACGGCAACGGGACCAAGAGGCTCCCAGTGAATATCGGGGAAGTTAGGCTGAGCGGACAGGAAGAGTGGGTTACGTCTCAGTAAGTATAAGGATCGTGAGACTACAAGAGCGAAGATGCGTACCTTGTATCTGGCGAACTCATATGACGCGTCGTCCTCGTCGTTCCCAGTGGAAGGAGAATAGAAAGGGTTGACAGGGTTCACGAACTTGAGAGGTCGTTCAACTTGGGATTGCTGGGGTTCGACAGCTACAGGGGCCATGGTGATTTAATGGTATCTGGCAGGCGATGTGAGAGGAGGGATAGCAGACAGGTCTTTGCAGACGCAAAGTCGCAATCTCCTCGTCATTTATACTCGAATCGGGGATGAGAAAACATTACGCCGAGGATAGAGTGTTGTGAATGAATTGTCTCAAGCTCGTCAGCGGACCAGATTCGCCAGTGGAAGACAAGATGGCGAGGAGAGATGACGACAAAACATCACGTGAAGTCGACATATGTCGAGAAGTAATGCAGTCAGTGGAGAGATAACAGCTGCCGAAGTGTAAGGCGCAAGAAGCCACGAAAGGTTTCGCATTTGTACGAATGTCGACTTAGACTTTCGAGGGTCCTGTCAATTATCAGTAGCGTGGTGGTCTGTCAGAGCGTGTCATGCACTTAGCCGAATCTGTCTGAGCCCTTGTTAAAGCATGCCAGAGGAGGACCATCAACTTGACGGTTTATGGGGACCTAGGCGTTTTTGAAAATTATAGCCAGACTCGGAGCGATTCAATGGAGACGGTGATAAAGACCATCGGACCAACATGAAAGTGAGATTCTTCGGTCGTATAGGACGCCTTCGCGACAATTGAGCAATTAGTCGTGCACATAGAGAACAAGACCACTCCATTATCCAAGAAACTCTGGACTGTATATTCGCCGTTGATATTTCTTGCTCTAAAGGTCGTCAAGGATGTAGACCCACTGAAGTCTTCCGATACGATATAGTCGGCGGTTAAGGATGTATGAGATGCCCAACGAGTCCGAACAATGTTCATAATACGTTACGACGTGCTAGACCAGATGATGACAGAGCTCTGTGATGTGTGTTCAAAAAAATGAGCAAATGAGTATCTAGTGCGAGACTGAGCCAGAGAAGCCGTATACAGGACAGTGCGAAGAACGTCGTCGTCAAAACAATGCTCGACGTCGGAGAGGACGATGTCGAGGAGGCCAAGTCGCGTGCAAGAAGCATGACGGCATCATTCCTAGTTAGGCGACGCGCGGCTTCCGCGAGCAGCCCAAGGCTCTCTGAGCAGAACCACTACGACCTGGCCCTTTGCCCACCGCTAGCTAGGAAAGAAGTCAGGAGAACGGAGCAGAAAGACAGCAAAGAAGATGGGTACGTGATTTGTCTTGATTTATGTATTGCTGACGGCTAATGACGGGGCAATTTCAGGCATTCCGAAGGTAAGGAGGACCTGTATAGCATGCATGGCACTAGCTAACACGCATATATCCAGTTTTTTAGATACATATCGTACGTTTCATTACTTCTCGGCCTCCAAACAATGGATTACTCATGTTGCGGCTTATAGGGAGAGGTATCCGCTGACCTCGCAAATCATCGAGGAGAACAAGATTCCCGAGTTCGGTGCGTACGCTTGACTCGTGTAGTAGTGGTCCTAGGGTTCTCCAAAGCTAACATCTTGCCTCAGACAATCTCTACCTCGACTTCAACGGGATTATTCATTCTTGTATACACTATTCCATGATATTCACAAGTGCCTGCATGACTGACGAGAGTTATGACAGGCTCGCATCCCAACGATGAAGACGCTCACTTTCGGCTATCCGAGGAGCAGATATTCACCTCCATATTTACATACGTGGACCACCTATTCGGCAAAATCAAGCCTAAGAAACTCTTCTTCATGGCCGTCGACGGTGTGGCGCCCCGCGCCAAGATGAACCAGCAGCGGAGTCGAAGGTTTAGGACGGCGAAGGAAGCGAAGGACGTCAGGGACAAGGCCATAGCCAAGGGAGAGGAGCTGCCAAAGGAGAAGGCATTCGACAGTAATTGTATTACTCCAGGTATGTCTATTTCCCTGTATATACGGTGGAGCTATCATAAACTCGAAGACAGGCACACCGTTCATGGTGAAGCTATCGGAGCAGCTGCGGTACTGGGTTAACAAGAAGATCAGCGAGGACTCGAACTGGAGGGACATTCAGGTCGTGCTTTCCGGGCACGAGGTACCCGGAGAAGGGGAGCACAAGATTATGGAGTATATCAGGTTGTCGAAGGCGCAGCCCGGCTACGACCCCAACGTGCGGCATTGTATGTATGGTTTGGATGCGGACTTGATCATGCTGGGGCTGTTGAGTCACGATCCGCACTTTTGTTTGTTGAGAGAGGAGGTCAAGTTTGGGCCGGCGAGGAAAAAGAGCTCCGGAGGGTGCGTGATATTCATCATTTCCTCTTCGCATGGACTTCACTTAACGGAGACACGTAGGTTGGAGTCTATCACGTTTTATTTGCTTCATCTCTCGTTGATGCGAGAGTACCTCGATCTGGAGTTCCAAGACATCGCGCATATCTTACCGTTCGACTACAATCTCGAACGCGTCATCGACGATTTCATTCTCTTGGCCGTATTTATTGGCAACGATTTCCTGCCCCATTTGCCCGACTTGCATATCCACGAGAACGGGCTGGAGAGACTATTCGACGTCTATATGAAGGTGTTACCGTCCCTGGGTGCGTACAACACCTATATTCGTATTAGCATCCGTACTGAACGATGTTCGCATTGCAGGAGGTTATTTACAAGACAGCGGTGTGATCGACACGAAGAGGCTGCAGGTCATCCTCAACGAGATGGCTGATTGGGAGCAGGGAGTGTTTGAGAAGGAGTTTTCGGACCTGAATTGGTACAAGGGGAAGCAGACGAAGCACGTAAAGGAGGCGGAGCAGAAGCGTAACGAGTCTCAGCGTGGTGCGTCTTCCTCTGGGTATTTCCTTCTCGACATTCCAATGCTCATAACCTTTTTTTACAGTAATGAGCCCGGAACAAAGAGCGATCTTCGACAAGATCAAATTCTTCGTCCTCGAACACCGTGGGCACCTCTCCCAGGCCCAACTTCGGTCCGCGCGCCTCCAGATGCCGAATACGTTCCCTGCGCGGGACCGTACCTTCATCACTGACTTGGCGAAGGATCTACATTTGGAGCTTGCATGGGACGAGTATGACGACGACGACCAGAATCTCGTTACCCTGAGGTTCCCTGGTTCGTTGGAGGAGCCGTTGCCGGAGAACGAAGAGGTCGAGGACGATAATGATGAGGAGTGGGAGGAAGTGGACGAAGGCAAGGCGGCTGTGGATAGGGTTCTGAAGAAATGGGATAAGATGAGGGTGGTCGATCTGGAAGACGAGGGAGATTTCGATACGAGGCATGCGCGGTCGATACAGCTGAAGATGGATGAGTGGAAGAGGGGGTATTATTGGGTACGTCCGTTTCACACTTCGCGACAATGTATAAACGAGGAAGGCGTCAGACGAGCTGACAATTGCATTCAAATAGAGCAAGCTGGAGATCAAGTACGACGAGCCGGCGGAGATGAAGGATTTAGTGTACCGCTATGTGGAGGGTCTGCAGTGGGTGATGCATTACTACTATAGCGGTGTCGCGTCGTGGAGTTGGTTCTACGATTATCACTACGCTCCTCGAGTGTCTGGTAGGCGTTCTTTGATTTCCTGCCGTCTTCTCTGCGATTATTTACCTTCGGTCAAACGTTAGATCTCAAGGGCGTCGATCAGATGTCCTTCCAGTTCAATCTCGGAACACCCTTCAAGCCTTACGAGCAGTTGATGGGTGTTATGCCTGCTGCTAGCAAAGATCTCTTGCCGCCAGCGTATCATGTATGTTCTTCTATTCATCCACATCCGAAAACACTGCTCACGCTATATACAGGACCTCATGCTTGATCCCAATTCACCCATCATCAACTTCTATCCCTCCGAGTTCGAGACGGATCTGAACGGGAAGAAACAAGAATGGGAAGCAGTCGTAAAGATTCCTTTCATCGAACAAACCAGGCTGCTGGCCGCCATGCGATGTGAGCTTTTTTGAGCCAATACCAATCTCGAATACTCCTCACATCGACTTGCCTTGTACTGATCTGCGTATTACCGTATAGCCCGTGAACACATGCTTACCCAAGAGGAGAAGGACCGTAATTCTTTCGGGACGAGCTATCAGTTCCGCTACAATCCAGGCGAACCGACGGAATACCCGTCTTCTCTGCCGGGCTTCTTTCCACCCTTGTATCGGTGTACGTGTATCATGGAGCCGTTCGACCTCCCCACGCTGGACGGCTTGCACCTCGTCCAAGGACTTTGCGATGGCGTCTTCCTCGGTAAAGATGCCCTCGCTGGCTTCCCCTCTCTCAAGACCCTTCCGCACGTCGCCACCTTGGGCCACCACGGTGTGAACGTCCATGGCTCTGAGTCGCGGAACAAGTCGATGGTCATCCATATCGAGAACATGTACGAGGGCAAGAAGGCGGAAGATGTGGCTAGGGAGTTGATCGGGAAGAAGACGTTCATCAACTGGCCGTTTTTGCAGGAGGGATTGGTCGTGAGCGTGTCGGACCCGTTGTTCAAGTATGAGAAGGTCAGGATCGTGCAGGGCGGCCCGGAGAAGGTGGTGTCGAACCCGCATTCGCAGATGGGATTGGGGCATTGGAAGGGTAAGACGGAGAGGATAAACTATTTCTACTCGAAGAAGTGCGGTGTGTTGACGGGGGATATCGAGATGCTGTTGCATGTGAGGCCTCTGAAGGGTTCGTCTATTCAGCTCTGTGTTATCATTGGCGGCGTATATGAACCAATGTGTGGTTGGTTTTCGTTTGGCGATTTTTTAGGTCTTAAGCGCCTGGAGAATGGGGCATTTGTCAAGGATTACGAGGAGGCGCAGAAGGAGATTGAGCAAGCTGTACAGATGTCGGTTCCTGAGGTTGTCTCTGAGGATCCACGGTATGCGGAACGTGCGCCTCCGCCTCTATCAGAGGAGTTCCCCGAAGGCAGCCGTATCTTCTTCCTTGGGGAGCACGCCTACGGTGTTGCCGCACAGGTCTCTGGGACTACCGAGGACTCGCTCTCCGTTGTTCTTGCCGTACGTTTCTCACTTCACTTCACCTGGCCATCGAAGTCGTTCTGACCGCTATATCTCCACAGTTCTCACCCTCAGACAAGGCTGAGAACGAGAAATTCAAGTCCGCTGTGATCAACCGTCTTCCAACGAAGTATTACCCCTCTTTCACCGTCGCGGAGATCCTACGCATTTCGTCCCGGGCTATCGCGAGGATCACCTCTAGCTTTATGGTCCTTACGTCGGATAATCAGAAGATCAACCTTGGGCTCAGTCTGAAGTTCGAGGCCAAGGCCCAGAAGGTGCTTGACTATTCGAGGAAGGACGGGAAGTTCTGGGAGTTCAGCGACAAGGCGGTTGAGCTTTTGAGGGAGTACAGGGTACGTTAGGGTCATTTTGTCGGAGCTGTATCATTAGTGCGTTTAGCCAGTCGCTGATATGGACTCACGTTGTAGGAGAAGTATCCTGAGGTGTTCCGCTTACTTGATCGTGGTGGTGACGGTAACGGTATGTTCCTCTTCACCCTCATGTCATCTACCTGTTTACTAATCACTTCCGTCTGAAAAGATATGGCCAGGGCTTCGGACATGTTCCCCAACGAGGCCGATCCCAATGCGAAAGCTAAGGAGGCAAGGTCATGGCTTGCCACCAAAGGCGTTCGCGATTTCGAACCCGTCTCCCTGTTTTGCGATCAACTCAAAAAGGTAAGACATGTTCACTTTTGACTCGTTCTTCCGCCCCTCATCTATATCTTCTTCCGAATAGACAACGGTCTCGGAGATCGAAACTCTCGCGGACACCTTCAACGCAAATCGCAAATCCGCCGCCGCTTACAAGAAAGCGCTCGTCAAGAACATTCCACGACGAGCCGTCCTCAAGCCGACGCATGCTGTATACAGGTTGCAGAACCAACGCTTCGCGCTCGGAGACAGAGTCACGATGGTGCAAGATTCTGGAGGTGTCCCTCTTGCCGCGAAGGGCGTTGTGATCGGGCTCAACACGAAGAATATGGATGTCGTATGGGATGTGGCGTTTATGTCGGGGACCACATTGAACAATAGGTATGGAAGCACCGTCTTGGAGTCGAATGAACCTGTGTTGACTTTCTTCGCGCAGGTGCTCGCAGTACCGTGGATCAACTGTGGATTTCCAGTCATGCTTGAATTTGACGACGCCACAGTTCATCACTTCAGTCAAACCAAATGCGCCTCCGCCTGTCGCTCCCTCCGCACCGTTCCAGCCGCGGTCAGGACCGTATCCCGCCATTCGCCCGCCACAGGGTCAACAGGCAGCAGCCGGGTTCCGTCCAGCTGCTCAAGTTGCAGCGAAGTACGTGCCGGCTATCTTACATTTTCTGACCGAGCCAATCCTGACACTTCTGCCTACCTCTGCAGTCAGGCTCCCGTGCATATCATGACCAACCCCAACCGCGGTCGAGGCCAAATGCCCTACCGAGGTGGCCCGAAACACGTCAACGGCGTCGTCCACGGCAACGGAGATGCTCATAGTTCCTCGAATGAACCGGCAACTCCTCAGTCACACCCAGTTGGGCGAGGAGCTTACGCTCCGAGGGGTCAGCGAGGTTTCCGTCACGATGGAGCTCCACCTCCTCGAGGAGGGTTCATTGCTGGTCATAGAGGAGGAAGAGGTTTCCCTCCAATGGGAATTGATAGGGGTCGCGGAGGAGGGACGCCCAGGGGAAGAGGACGAGGTAGGGGAGCCTTCGCTCCGCCCTTACCTTCGTAAAGAGTCTGCGAGACAACGAAGTTGTATTTGTGGTGTACCTGATATAGTTCTTATCTGAGTCTACTCGAGAGTAACGATGACAGCTACGGTGTTGTGTTGTTGAAAAGAGTTGTGACAGATTTGAAAGTCGTGCTCAGTTTTGGTTGTGAGGCAACTGCTAGTTTTAGACGGGGAAATTTACATAAAGTAACACCAACTACTTGTACTCACTGCGCCGAAGCAAAAGATTGGCTCAACCCAGGATCGAACTGGGAACCTTCTGTGATCCGCTCCAGAGGAACAAATGTGAGACAGAAATCATAACCATTAGACCATTGAACCATGCTTTAAGTTCACCGCTTCGTTACTAACAGCTCAGTAGAAGGTTAGCAAACCTCTTCGAGATTCACTTCTCCCACCTGGACACCAGCGCCGCACACGCTGAGACAGTTACCTAAACCAACTGCCACAACCAAGCAACAAAATGTAACTCCAAGAAATATAATACGATGATGTATGCTATGCGATCAGGCAATATATGCAAGTATCCAAGAAAACACGGAACAAACAAGATGGTGCGTGCGTACGAACGAACTCAAGCGCTCTTGACTGCCAGGTCGGAAAACTTCGGTACCTTGACCTGGGACATTATTTGGTGAGCCAACGTGGACCATTGTACATCCTTCGTACGCTCGTGTTCTAGCTCAGCGAGCTGGCTTTGCGTAGGAAACTGAAGTGCAACTTGAGCCATGTCGTACATGGATAGAAAGTGAAGAGAAATCTTACATGGGCGTGAAGAACAAACAAATATTCCGACATGTCCTCGGTATGGTTTATCGTGACGCGGTTTGAGCCAAGCTTGACAAGGCGAGAAATTTCGACACGGTTGTCAAAGATCTGATACGTCCCCAAACCGTAATCAGCCTTCTATTCCAACACCAGAGAATGATCGACTCACGATATCTGGCAACGAAGTTACAAGCCAACTGCCCCCGTCGTTCACCTGTGCATAAACTAGCCGTCCCGCAGGCCAAGGCTTTGGCCGGATACGAGTTAACATGTCAGAGAGAGACAGTGTCGGATCCTCCTTCTGGGCCTTCTGGGCTTCAGCAGTCGAATAGCACCCCAAAGAAAGAACAATTGATTTGGAGACATCTCTGTAATTGGTCTCATGAGAATGTGACTAAGGAGCAGAAGGATAATCGACAAACCTGGTGGTGTAGTACTTCTCATTCCACTGCTGCATCAACGCCCACTCTTCGTCATGGAGTAAAAACTCGAAGTCGATTGAAGACGGCAAAGGGGCACCGACTTGAACGCCGTAGGGCCACATACCGGCAGGTAGGAGGACATCCGACTTGCTGTCGTTCTCACTTTTCATAAAGGCTTCTTTGGCATACGAAAGGAACGGATACGTGGACGGCGAGAATCGTGTAGCAGGAGAGGTGGGGCTCCGGTCGTCGTGCTTGATTCCATTGGTCTTGACACTCGAGGTCGGCGACGACGGATTCATCTTAGGTACTATGAAAGAATTGGGCATCCTAGGCGGATTGAGAGCAGTTTCCGTGTCCAGAACATCACTCTTCATCCTCAATGATCTCTCGTCATTGTCTTGTGTCGTAGAGAGGGACCGAGTGCGCTTTCGACTAGGATGGAGCGGAGATGATGAACTGATGCTCATGGGTACAGAACCTTCGTGACTCGAGGTCGACTGGGCTGTAGAGGGTTGACGCTGGTGAGACTGAACGTCTGTGTGGGAGGGTTGTGCCGCAGACTGTTTCGTGTGACGTCAAGAAATGGCACAGATTGTAGGGCAAATAGTGCTAACCTGTCCTGAAGTATGTGCGTCTGTAGGCATCATCGACGAAGAACCCTTTTCGTTACTCTGATGTATCTGCTCGACGTGTGGTGATCCCTGAGTAGTACCTACATCTTGAACACCATAAGATTTATGAAGATCTCAAGGCCACATAACGAAGTTCAGCAGTAGTACTGACCTTGAATGGTATCTTTCAATGATGGTTCTCGTGAAGCTGCCCGAATAACTTCGGAGAGCCCAGATGCCTGCGAAATCGTGATATCAGTTGTGGAAGGTCCTTGCAACGCAGACGTATTAATAATGACAACAGAGCTAACACTCACAGGCAAGTTTGGTGCAAGGCTAGCTCTAGCAGACTTCGAGGATCCATTCGGTTCATCAACGTCCATAGCCGCCTGGGTCTGTAGTTCACCACTCTTATTCCCTGCTTCCCGTCTCGCACCTGGTTCTCCCGTCACTTGTGCAGAGACTTCGAGGACCTTATCGTCGGTACCCACTCTTCCATCTACCTCCATCGCCTCATGGACCGAACTCGGCCCTTCCTTCACAGCAGCGGTGTCCATCGGAGTAGAAACAGCTCCTGACGAAGAAGCAACCTTCGACGACACATCCACCGCAGAAGTCTGCGACCCTTCGCCACCAGACGAAACGATCAAATGCTGAGGTTTCTTGATACGAAGCTTCAGCTTCGTGGAATTCGGAGATGACTGTGAACCCTGCGTCGAGGGCCCGGGTTTCGTATCGACGTCCATTGAATCGGTTGGAGTCATCTCGCGGTCTTGAACTGACGTGGGGTCAACTCCGTCCGACTGGGCATCCTCTAGTAGAACATCCCAGGCATCATCCTTGTCAAACCCACCATTCAGAAATGCCTTCAAATCCGCGTCCCGAATAGAATAAACCGTCTTCCCCTTCTTCTTCCCCTTCTTCTTCTCCAATACCTTCTTCCGAAAAACAGGAAACACACGCAACACCTTTCGGACCTCAGCCTGCCACCCTGATCCTGTCTTACCATTACCGTCTTCAGGTTGGTAGTAAGGGTACGCAGAACTGATGTATTCGAATATGTGACGGGACGAAAGTGCCAGTTCCGGGGAGGCGAGGATGGCTTCGCCTATCAGGGCGCCCAAGGGTCGATCGGGCTTTGAGGTCGGACGAGGGCCTGGAGGGAGCGTATAGCGTGGCGAATGGGACGAATGTGAGGACGATGAACGAGTGGTCGAAGACGCTGGTGATGGTGGCAGTTCTTGGTTGAGAGTTCTGGTAGGAGACGGGACCTGACTTGGGACAACTGACGCATCGATCGCGGTGGACGAGATGGCAGGTGGAGGAGGTGCAGAAACCGCTGGAGAAGACTTGCTTGGATCGAGTACGGGAGTCATTTCGGGTGCAGTCGAGCTTGACGCAGGAACCGGTTGAGTGTTTGAATCTGATGATGTCCCGAGCGATATCGAAGGACCTTCAGTAGCGAATATAGGCAGCGGTGGCGGTGGTGGCGTAGCGAACCCTTTTACTGCGGGTGATATAGCCTCAGGTTTCGGACTAGAGGCCATCGGGGGAGGCATGGAAATCATTCTACCTTCAGCCTCCTTCTTCTTCGCGAGGATAGTTGCCAGTGAAGATCCTTTCGCTGGAGCTACAGTAACGGGCCTGGGCGGAATCGAAGGAGCTGAGGTAGGATTCACGATCGAGGAAGCTGGCGGGGCTGAGGAGCGTCCATTCGCAGATTGTGGCATCGTAGGTACCGGAGATGCGTTCGTACGCGGCGCTGTCGCCGACGCAGGGGTTGAAGTCGAGATAGTCGGCGGAACAGAGGTACTTTGATGGGCAGGCTGTGATATCAAAGACATTGGGGGCACTCCCTCCAGACTAGCGCCAGAAACCCCGATGAGACTTGAGCCCGGAGGCTTAGACGTCGTAGGCGGTGCTGACGCAGATCCCGGGGGCACCCCATTCACAGGGGAAGCCATTGGCTGGCCCGAAGCAGCTGTGGAGAGGCTTTGTTGCCTCTTCCGAACACGTTCATATTCTTGCAAATCCGTCTTAAAAATATCCACGGTCTTTTTCTTCGGCTTCTTGACCTTCGGTTTCGCGGATGCCGGCCCAGATGCAGACGCAGACACGGGCGTCTGTGGCTGAGATTGTGCCTCGGCTGGTGAATGTGGCGCTGGTACAGAGCTCGGGACAGGGGTTGCAGAACCGGGAGTGGTATGTATAGTACCAGAAATGTATGGGGTGGGTGCTGCTGAAGGCGGTGCAGAGACTGAATTAGGAGGAAGTGCCGGCGGAAGACCTTGCTGCGAAGCGCTGGTCGAGCGTCCGGGTATGCGAAGTTTGAGCCCACTCGGGGCCTGGTTTGCAATCGAGAGAAGAGAGTTCAGAGGATGCGTAGCCGAAGTATCGAAGGGCTTGGGTGCAGGAGGGCCCATCGCACTTTGAACTACCGAAGTCGATGGTTGGAAAGGGGCAGAGGGGTTCGGAAAGACTGTGGGTGTGGAGAATGAACGAACATGTGGTAGTGGCTGGGGAGCAGTTCGAGAAACTGGAACTTGGGGGGATGTTGGGGCTGTGGTGGGGGTTCCCATCCTGGAAAGAGAAGGACTACCTCCGATGGATGTGTTTGGAGTGGTCATTGCAGGCATGGATGATCGTCGTGAGGCGGAACCGTCAGATGCTGTGTTCGGTGGGGTCATTGATGCAGCTGATAATCGTCGGATCGACTCGTTGAGACAGGCATCCAAATCGAAATTAGCGGCTGTCAATGATGGACGTAGTTGCTCTACACAGACATAGAAGTCAGTACGACAGATACTGGTCAAAGTGTTGGTTACAATCAACGTGGGTGTATCAAGGGCTGACAGAGATCGACATGGATATCATGGGACTATGACGTTGTAGGATCTCGTGATAGAATGCCAAAGATATTTCAGAAAGCAGCCAAACGGGTATACTCGAGCCTACTCGAGCACAATCACACCCGATGCGCGTGTTTCATAAGTAAACTCTGTCCCATCTTCAAAGAATTGCTATGTACAGAGAAGATGACGCGGTATAATCCAGCTAATGAGATACTCACGGAGAAGTCCCAGATCATCTTTGAACAGATAGAGGAATCGGAGAAGAGTACGGACGAGCAGCGTGTACGCATTCAAGTACTTAGATAGCTCAGGCGGCCAATGTTGAGGTGGGAGGGGTAGGCGAAGAGCTGGATTCGCCGCTTCTATGGTTCCACGTGCAGTCTGTTTGGAATGAGTGGGTGCGATAGTATATGGACAAGTGTTGTGGGCCATGGAGGTAAACGATGAGTTTGCTTCGTCGTACACGAGTTTCGAATAAGTAATAGCTCGTACCGCGATGATCTTGACTATCTGGGACAATGTAAAACGGAGTTCAGCTACGGAGTCCTTCCTATATACCTGGGCCAGATGCACCCAAGAGTTAATCAACAGAAGTGTCGCACCCAACGTCTCGCTCCTGGATAGTAAGCCTTTGGGCTTTGCATCCACTGTCTGAGCATCTCCACCGCTTTGATGTACGGTTCGTTAAGTGTTGAGACCTTTGCGAGTATTTGAGGGAAAATGGTGTTGTTAGCCTCAACGGCTTGGTTGGGTCTAGCAGCCTGAGCCTGCGACTGTCCGTTCCCCGTAGACATAGCGTGCGTTTTGTTTGTGTTGCAGATTTACGGCGAATTGATGACCAGAAATCCCGCAATGAGGTCAAGCTGGCGAGTCGGTAAAGCAAAGCATGAGAGAAATGGTCAAAGAGCAAAGGAACGCGGTGAAGTCGGCATCGTGGACGCCTGCCGATAGTGAGCGCCTACAAAGGTCCACAAGCCGGCCACGCCAATTTATAATTAGAGCCGGTCGGTCGGACTCACCCGCCGGCCCCTTTTCAGCAACTTGGTCGCCGCTTTGAACATGCTTTCGCTGCGCCACGATTTGAATTGACACGAGTATATCGTACGCATTACATTGCATGGTGGGATTCCAACGAAATAAAATATTGATAGACACTGTAGCACGAGTACTTATTGCTACTTTACTGGCCAACAGGGCCTTCGAAGTACTTAGCCCTAGCCTACGCAACCTACTAAATGGGAAATAAACAATCCCCATGTCTGAGAACAACTAGTGTGTTCGCGGTGAAGGATCGCGGTATTATCGTCGAGAGCGAGTGGTCGTGGTCGAGTGCGAATGGAATGCGAAGGCCGGGCGAGACGGAGACGGAGACGGAGTGCCATCATGATACAATAATGATGTACAAAAAACCAAGAAATAAGTAGTACGCGCAGATCTCGTCCTAGTATGTTGTTGCAGAACAGTGACCTCCGTGCTAACAAAGACAGAGATGAAGCCGAGACAGGAAACAGACTAACTAGGACGTCCAGTAGATCTGCAGCACATTGCTGTGATCCGTGTTGTCCCAATTGCGCCGAGCCAGGACTGACACACAAAATTCTGCCACCTCTCTGAAGCGCACAATGATGAAAATGTCAGATAATATTTGGTCTTATGTCCGTGAGCTACTATACATGTGCCCCTACAGCATCCCAATCCAAGACGCTGACCCGAAAGATCAGAGAACTGTCCTCATCCCAGGAGAAGTACGAAATGACGAATGGCCACGAACCCTCAAACTCAGCACCACTGCATCGCAATAGAGCAGGACCAATGGAAAGTGATATAGATTGCAACCCCTTTAAACGCTAGTTGTGGTCGCAACAGGTGGCTCCACAGAAGCAGAAACTTTGCCAGTTGCTGCTGCAGTGGCACAAGCGCCTCCATCAACCCACACGCCCGCTGCACCTCCTAATAACACGACAACAGAGAGTCACATTAGCGCATTATCCATCACCAGCATTCCCCAACAGAAGCGATGCTATATCAACTTACCAGGAGTGTCATCCTCAGTCCACCACTGAGCCGTCCAAAGATGCCCGTTATACGAGACCTGTTCACCACCAGTATAAGCCACACTTGCGTCCCAAGCATCAACACCACTACAACCCGAGCTGCTAGTACCTGAAGTCGTGGGAGTCGCGCCGAAGGCGCCTGAGGAAGCCGTCACGGTCGATGCGGCGGTCAAAGTCGTGTAAGAGCCGGTGATGACCTGGTCGGCAGTGGTCGTCGCCGGCGGTGTGCTATGGCTGAATATGTTTCGTGTCAGTATCTACTTCGTATAACTGGCAGTCAGGGTAAATGGGACACGGTGAAAACACGTACAGAACACTGGTCCAATCGTCGCTGATGGCACACGTTTCGCCGAAGAGAGTAGCGTTTGCGTAGAGATCGAGGCTTTTGATGTAGGCAAATTGGTTTTCCATGCAAGTAGAAACATAGGGCGATGGGAGGGCACCATGGTACTGCCAGTAGACTTCAAGTACGGAGACTTGTGCAAAGTCCTGTATATACACGAAAATCAGGCTCGAAAGAAGGAAAACGATGAATTTGGCGAGATGCACACCTCAACGTAGTTCGTTTGGGCATAGGTATCCGGAACGCACGAGTCAGTGTCAACTGCGTCAACCCACTCTTGGGAAGCAGAATGACCGTGATCGGAGGCATGAGTAGACTGTGAGAGCGACAGAATTAAGCATCATGATGAGCCAACGGCGCCAGTCAAAAAGACCCCACGATATCAGAACGTACCTCGTGTATCCAGGTCCGCTGCGAACACACTCCGAAGTAGTGAATATCTCCGCCCAGCGTGTACGCATGGGCAGTAGTATCCGGCATGATCATTACCGTCCCAACATTCCTCCTCAGCCCTATCGGTACCCTGGCGAGATGGTCCATGGCCTCTTCCAGACCGATGTCCGCGTTCGTGCATCTGCAGAGCGTCCAGGTCGACCCACAGTCTCCCAACGTCACGTCGAAGGCTTGCATGGTCGTTTCACATTCCTGCCCAGAGCCAGTGTATTGAGCGCAAATAGAGGGAACGGTGCTGAGAGTGGTATAGGAGCGCGATGGTCCTGGAATATCCAAGAGGTCGAAGGTACTGTAGCCGGACGTCTGAGGTGTGTTGGAAAGTGTACGAGCCTCAAGCTTGGCCACATGGGCATACGCCTGGCTGGCAAATAATGCGAGCAGCAGAGAAGCGAACATGATATAAGAATAGGATAGAGCGATGTGGAAAGCCCAGTGCTGAGTGGTGCTTCTACAGGTATATATAATGCGCATGCGGCGTCTGATTGAGCGCGCGCATATGCACCACAGTCAGTAAAGTCGCATGCGATAGCACTGTATATTGTGCGACAGTGATGGTAACCTGCGGATGTGTTGTATGTACCTATCGGTGCTCGAAATTGAAGCTGTGGTGCATACTACTTTTGAGAGCGATGGACAGCACACGACTGGTCGAGGGCCCTCTATACCCAGAACAGACCGGTCAACATGGTCCGTTTCGATGAGGGGTGTGCGTATATTCTTCACGAGACTAGCTTGGCATCAATATCACAGCACATTTCACGAGATCAAACAGCAGGAGATTGCGCTCGTGCACATGTATACGTGGAATGAAGGTCGCGGGATCTTGTAACACAAAATGCAAACAAAATGTTAGGAGCACCCGGTCATTTGCTTGCTGAGACGAACTTGAAAGGGGAATGCTCACATCATACTATAGCTCTGGCAATCTCAAGAGGTGGAATGACTTTCCAGGATCTCCCCGCGCTATGGAGAAATGAAGAAGGGACGCATCATAGCCCTGTGTCGAGGTGTGCCACACGCTCCGGCAGCGACCGTGAGGCTGGGGATGAAACTCCGAAGGCTCCCGAATTCAACACGAGCAAACAAACGCTTTGGAGGCGCTCGTGACTTTGACCCACCAACAGCTTGCCGCATTAACCATCAACAATGTTCGGACAGCGGGCAGCTACCGCAGATCCTTGATCATGATATTTACATCGGTCTATGAGACTACTGTAAGTGACAGACACGCGGCGCGAAAATCAAATCATGAGCTCCTTCAATCAACCTTCAACCGCTGACTCGGAAGCCTTTCGCCCGCCCTCAGTACTGAGTAGCCCACTCGCACGAGAGACACAAGGAAGGAAGGAAACAAGAGGAGGAAGGAAGAAAGGAAGATTTATACATCAGCATTGTGCACGAACTCGGGTCTCTGTACACAGTTCCATACCAAAAACATAATGCATAGACATACACACAATAGAGAAGAATCATGAACAGCATGGCGTCTCCACTGACACGCACTCACTTATGCGTGCTTGGGACATCGGCCATCAGACGGATTCGGACCAGTCTGTGCTACGGGAGCCATTCGTCCCCCGAGGCGAAATCTGCTTGCGCCAACTCAAGTCTGACAGTGGGATTCCGTTCTCAGTGCGCTCGAAAACGTTCGTGGTACCCATGGCCTCGATACGGATGTTGAACGTGATACGGCTGATGAGCGTCGCGGAAAACCTGTGGTTCCAGCACGCCGACAGTGCAGTCAGATGATGGACAGTCCCAGCAATGCGAAGCTCATTCCGTGAGATGGACTCACGCAGATGTCGGTCTGTGAAGTGGAATATAAATCGCGTACATGTGCGAGAAATGAGATGACTCGCACAACAATGAAAGGCGAAGAGAGTACTAGATAGGAACTCACATGGCAGCGATAGCTCTCAGCCCCGTGGGCGCGTGGAGAATCATGACGGACCACATCAGGTTGAAAGAAAAGATCGCACTGGATAGAGGATAAAGGAAAAAGGTTGAGAATATCAGCGGTGTTAGAAGGAAAAGGGCCTCACAAGTAGTATACGGCGCCGTCTCTGATGAAACACTGCATTAGAGTATTGCGTCTGGGACCAACCACGGGGTAGGTCTTGTATAGATAGAGGGTGCGAGCCATTGTGAGGACGAAAATGAGCGTCTCGAATGCGAGATCGAAAAGTACAAATATAGGGGATAAGGACCCTCTGCAGGTAAAATTATTGTGAGGTTCGAGTCACAGGGTCAAATGTCGGCAGACGTACGCGCGCTTGGGAGGTAGGAAAACGCAGACTGAGAATATTGGGTATAAGTGACGAGATATAAGCAAGAGGACTGGGTTTATTACAGTGAAAAGCCTCGTTGTTGATTGGATCAGGGGCAGCTAGACATAGCGAGCGCATGGAGGTTCATATGCAAATTCTCTCAGTGTGGAAGGACCTGAATAGATACTTACCTCCACTACCTGGAAATGTCCATATCCAGAACCCCACGGCGGTTTGTATGGCAATGACTACGAGGAAGCCAGCCAATATCGCCCGATTTTGGTTGTAGAAGGCGTAGACACTAGGCGAAGATGAACACCAGGTAACAAGGCTTGAGGAAATTGTTCTTCTCACCGAATGAGAAGCATGCAGTCACACAACAAGGCGATTGGAATACTAATTCCCAATGGAAGAAAGTAGCTCCATCTGGCGCAACTAGTAGTGTTCGTGCGTAAGTTTTCATTCGATAAGGAGGATGGACTCATTTCGCTCACTGTTCGCCCGTCATGGTCGGGGAGAAGTAGCCTAAGTAATGAAGGCCACTGTCAACGAAACGGCTTGGCTCCGCGACTAATTAGAAACTAAAAACGACTTCAATCATACTTACCATAGGCGACGACGATCATAGCCAAAAGAGCATAATACCGAAGCTTCAAGGCGTTTCGTTAGGAACGTTCTGCAGGACATCAAAATACATAGAGACACTTACAAGAAGAAACATATACATGGCTTGAATAACTTGAGTGGATGTACGAGCAATTCAAGCTGTACTGACGACTCACGCAGGCCCTTCTTCCGTTTCCATACAGTTTGTACCTGTCCCAGCGGTTGTCAACTGAATCGAAATCGCCAGCAATTGCCAAACAAAGTCTTACCTCGTCAGGTAGTGTAGTGAGATGGTCCCACATCAGGACGGACAGTGCGGCTAAAAAGAAATACTTGTACCAAGTTTCAGTATACATGGCGACACAGCGAGGTATTCGAAAGAAGAAGGCTACCTTGTTCACAAGACTGGTAAAATTCCAGGCAGACGCATCGTAAGAATGACCACCATAGCACAGAAATCGAAGATTGACGTACATCTGTGACAAGTCCTTCTCCACCGCAAGCTCAGACGTGAGTTCGGTGACCATGACGAAGTAATAGAAAGCACGGGAGAACTATGCGCTAGTTCAAGGACTTGGACAAGCTGCAACAGAACGGTATTTCGGGAAGGTGGGTCAACCTCGGTAGGCGAGGCAAGTGTCCTTTTTGTAGACAATATCCATGACTATGCGTTCACGTACTCAACCAATCAAATCATCATAACTTCTCGAGTGCATCAGCTCCTCCTATGATCGAAGGCAAACCAAGGCTGTTATCCGTAGAGGCTCCAGAATTACCTGTAAGTGGGACGTGCTTTGATAAAGTCTGCGTGGCTTGTCCTTCTTATGACGGTCCGCTGTTCGAAATGGGTCTATTCTCCCTAAAATAACATATTTTGATGACATCAATCTGTCGCAAACATATCAATATGTGTTGAGTGAAAATTATAGCCAGAATATCTCTCGATGCAGCTCGGGAGGATCATCCAGCTGTCCGCGATCTAACGGCTCGAGGGCTCAAGCGCTCAAGGCAGACAGGTTCAGACAGGTGCCAATACGAGTGAGGTCATGGGGAGAACGGCCATACCTAAACCCAGCCCGTATACCCCGTGCCGTAAAGTTTGTTGTGAGGGGTCCTGAGAATAGCCAAGTCCAATGCGGTGCAAGACCACATTCGAACAGTCTACTACCGCTATTTGTCTGCATAATCAGATGGGAAGCAGGGTTCCTGAATGGTGTTTAGTAGCGGTGTCCGTCACTGTCAGACTCCCGATTTGGCAAGGTATATGTGATCCCCTCGGGACTCAGGCTTCAAGAACGCAGGCAGCGGCACAAGACACAGGTGCTAGCACTGAACAAGCGCATCCTCAACCAATTGCCTCTTCTCGAAGGTATACCACACCACTGAGTACTGAGTGCTCCCAGTCCTGACCATTACCGCCGCAGGCATAAGACGGGGCAGCCCACACTCCTGAAGGATTGACACCCGATTCATACATGACTTTTTCGTGCATGTAAACATGCGGTGGCTTTCAAGATCCATTGAGGGAGATTCCCTGCTGGGCCACGAAAGGTCACGACACAGTTCGCACTGAGAAGTGGAAGTTGGCCAATCATTTACATACTCGATGAATACATACCTAGAGGTACTAGCGCTAGCAATGTATGCAAACGGCATTGATTTTGTGAAAAACAACGTTCTCAATGGCACGCAGTTGGCACAAAGCACTCGGTACAATCCAAAGATGATACACCCTCGATAGTAGTAGAGAGTAGCAGAATGCTCATACCTGTATCGTTGTGATTCCGCATTCGAATTCGAGTAGATCGCGTCTGTTGAGGCATGTAGACTGCCTGTAAGAGATGGAGTTGTTGGTTTAAGGATCGGGGACGCGGAGACAACCGGGTCCGTTTCTGGCCCCGACCGAACACGCTATCTCTGACCCTTCGAGTCTTCTAACCTGGTTTGAACAGTTCTCGATGCAATACTCCAACAATACTCTTTGCTCTGCGGCGATTTAGCGATGATCAACCTGTGTCGACCAACCGTCCATGCTTCACGGTTGCATAGAACGGGGATCTCGTGTTGACTTTATGACAGTTTTCCGAATCATTTATCAGGCATGCTCTACAAGGCATTGGAGACTCTGTTTGAGGTTAAGCGTGTGGCCCGGCGTTCAGTAAGGCGGTATTGATACTCGATGTCTCTGTCAACTGTCCGAGGGGATGATCGATGATCACAGAGAGGAGGAGCATTTCCATTTCGTAGCCCCTTCAGACTTGCATGCTCTTACCGCCGATCTGTCGTCCATGAGACTCGTCGGAGTCTCTACTGAATGTCTGCTCCTTGATTATCCCTTCCTTGTTCCCAGCACTAAAGACCTAAATATCTTTCTGGACTCTACCTCTCCGGATCTCGCCCTTCGTACACGATGCTAAACTCGGTCGAAAGTCAACATAACGACAAGGACAGTGGCCTCAAAATCCATAGCCTGTCCTCCACCGATCTTCGTACCATTGAGCGCTCGGCGACATGGAAGATTGATCTTTTTATTGTCCCCCTCGTCGGCATGTACTGTGCGTGCTATCATCCCGCTTGTCATCACATACGCTTATACCTGAATGACTAGATCTTTTGTCTTTCTTGGTAAGCTTAGTCTCCTGCTTCGTATCCATGTCAATCTCATTGGTTCATTGATTAGGACCGTTCGTAAGTGTCACTGTTCAGTCCTTGTTTATTTGTTAGCATCTGACTACTATCGGCATAGAAATATCGGAAATGCACGTATCGCTGGTCTCGAAAAGGATCTCAAGATGACAGACCACCAGTTCTCTACCGCTCTCACTGTTACATAGTAAGCTGATAATCACCGAGTCTTGCTTGTATCCTATAGGATGGTATTAAATGCCCTGTTTTAGCGTTCCGTATATCATCATGGAACTACCGATGAACCTTCTCATGAAACGGATCGGGGCGAACATAACCCTCCCATTGATGGTGACGCTCTGGGGCATGGTTACTGCCTGTCAAGGTAATAGTGTTATTCATCATATTCACTCGTTCAGTGAACTAAGCCATAATACTTACATTCACCAGGAGCTGTCAAGACCTATGGAGGACTTCTGGCATGCCGCTTCTTTCTCGGAGCTCTTGAAGGTATTTTATAACAAATTTCGGACATTCAAAACGTCTCGTGCATCGGATGCCTGACCCCACTCATATCATTTCATTGTGAAGGCGGGTTGTTCCCTGGAATCGTGTTGTACTTGTCGTCATTTTACAAGAGACATGATATGCAACTTCGTTTTTCTTGCATGTTCTCTGTGACCTCACTTGCAGGCGCATTCTCCGGATTGTTAGCTGCGGCCATACAGAATATGCATGGTCTGAGGGGTCTTCATGGCTGGGCGTGGATCTTCATATTGGTGAGAGACTTTGTTCCTGGTTGTCCTTGCAATGACTTGGATGCTATCGCACTTACCTGGCGCCACAAAACACTGACGGGACTCCGTTGTTTTGCAGGAGGGAGTATTCACGGCATGCTTTGGCCTTGCTACTTTCTTCATCATTCCAGCCACGCCGGCGCACATGCCTTTCCTCTCATCTTCAGAAAAGGAAGTCTATCTCCAGAGTCTCGCCGATGATTGGAGTGGCGACTCTGAGATCGAGGTGTTCCGCTGGTCCGAGGTGACAAGTATATTCACGGACGCTCCCCATATATTGCTGGGTTGCGTGCCGTTGTTTTTCAGCGGTGTAACGGTACGTCCGCATGGCTATACCATAGATACGATAATGATACTAATCACTTGATATTGTTTCATAGTTATTTGGTCTGGCGAACTTGTAAGTCTTCTCTTTACTTTATCGCCGACTCTGCTGCATTCAGATGCTGATCGCGATACAACGAACCTGCAGTACTCCGACCATCGTCAACGCTCTTGGATTTAGCCCTACGCACAGCCAGCTCTTGACAGTACGTTATGACTCCCACCCTACATGATACCATACTGAGTGGTACCTGATAGGTCCCTCCCTACGCATGCTCTTTCTTCATCAGCATTCTTTGCTCTTACCTATCCGACAAGTACAGGCAAAGAGGACTGATGGCAGTGTTCGTCAGTCTGGTTGCCTCTGCAGGATACGCTATCTTCCTCGGTGCGTTGATATCTCACCTATCGTTTCTGTTATCCACACCCCCTCCACCCCACAATACCGGCTGACCGTTGGCGGAAAACGCTTTTAGGGACGTCAAATAAACACGCGAATTACGGAGCCCTATTCCTTCAGATCATCGGTGTTTACTCCATCGCGCCCTGTCTCGGCACCTGGCAGTCCAACAATGCTCAGCCGCATTATAGACGGGCGACGGCCGTCGCGCTTTCTTTCATTTGTACCAATCTCGGAGGTTAGTTGATGTCATCGTCGTCCGCTCCAACGCTGAACTTGATCACTGCTCACTTAGGTATCGTATCTACCTGGATATTCATCGGTCCACCACGCTTCCACATCGCTTCGTCCATCAACCTATCCTTTTCACTCGGAATCGTGGTCTCCTGCTTCCTACTCGTTTTGTATCTGCATAGGCTGAATCACCGAAAACATGTGGAGGTTGAGAGATTGCTTAGGGAGGAGGGACCCGGCATGGATGGGGGAGCATGGAACTCGGAGAGTGAGAGGAAGAAGCTGGGGGACAGACACCCGAGGTTCGAGTATACGTTGTAGTTTGATTCATGGAATGGTGGGACCAGGTATCGGAATCCGTTTTACAGAAGTTAGAACATAGGAACGTTGGGGTAGTTATCGCCTTAGAGACTGTGATCGCGGCTAGTTACTACTATAAGAACTTTTATAGATAATCTTGTTTTCATGTCTTGTGGTATTGAACCAGGTTACCGCCGAAAGTGTACTGACTATAATGAAGATGGGTGCCAAGGTGTGGCGCCTTCAGTCGTGTAATCGCCACCCGGGTACCTCCGAACGGGGTTTGAATTGGTGGTGATGCCAGCCACTTGAAAGCACTCTTCCTGCGCCGCTGTCCGTGCAGGACGGGCATCCATCGCTGGACTCTATTCTCCGATTGTGATCCCACTTGAAGCTCCACTCGACCGCTACCTGATGTGGGTAATGATTCATCGATTACCGGATCCAACAACGAAGTTTCCTCGGACTACAGAACTTTGCCCAAAGAATGCCAGCCCATGCACAACTACTTATAGCCTTGTTCAGAGTTTTTTTCGTGCACCTCGCCAAGATAGCTCTTCTCTGGTGTAAGGATGGTGATAGACGGCTTATTCGTGTGAGGCGGTGTCGCTCCCTAGAGCAACGGCGTTTCGGTCAAAAGGAAGAGCCGCTAACAAACCTCGTTCAGAGCCCACCCTAAGAAGGTGAGCATCAAAAACACTTCTGCACTGCAAGGCCTTTCGCGACCTTACAGGGCAGAAGATTCCTTTTGATAGCCCAACCCACACAAACCCCAGCACATCTCTGACCTTGTGCTTTCTGATGCTGACCGCTCGACCGGCGTTTGTGACTCCATTACATTCCTCCTCCTTTGCGTATACTCTATTTCATTCTTGCCGCCAGTCGACTCCGTGATTTTTCATCTACACAGCCTCTTCGTAGCACTCTACGCACATATCAGAGTCGAAACGGCGCGTGTTTTCCTTTTCCTGATGCTTCATGGGACCGAGCTATACTGACATCCACACCGAAGGCTCAAGATCATGAAAACCATACTTAGGACATTGAGCCAAAACATCGGTGATCCTCAACGGTGACTACTCTTTCCAAACGCGTTCAGGACCCTGTGATTCCACATCGCCCACAGGGGTGACCGGTTTTCAGATCCGAGGGTGGACGTTCCATTGGTAGTGTCAAAGCCTGGACGTGATGGGCAGTCATCACTATTCATAACATTCACCTATGATGCAACTGTTCAAATACTTGTACCATCGCCCCCCGAACATCTTCATATATTTCACTTGGTACAACAGTCTTTGGAACGGGGTCAGATCATACGCCGCATCAAATTTTCAGTGCCGATGGCCCAGGCGAATCTTGAAGATGTCTCTCCATCCGTTCAGCAAGACCTTTCGCAGATGCATGTATTATTCGATTTAGTTCCAGTAACAAAGCAAATTGAGCAAGAGCTGACTGTGATATTTATAGTCTAGTCGCGAAGGTGTGTTGGCACTGTTCTAGATGCTGTCCGAAAGCTGACCTGCATGGTCAACAGTATTTCTTTTTAGCAGCCCTTGCTATACTAGCATGGGACCATATTCTGACGTTTCCTGACGAGGTATAGCAACAACACTATATCAAAGCGATTGAGAACGATACTGAGTTGAGGGACACCTTAGATACAGACGACATGGAAGCAAAAGAAGACAGTTCGTGAGTCTCTGCGGCATGCAAAACAATTTTCTGACTGACCATCTGACCATACTGGCGTAGCGGTGTACCTCTTTCTCTTCGTAGGTTTCTCAGATGTATGCAATGGCCATCCACGGAATTCTGACATGCTCTGGTTAGACACGGTATTACGCTCTTCTCGCGATGACCGTCGTCACTTATGGTATGATTCTCTTATGGCCAACTGCATTGACCTTGAGCCAGTGATTAAGCGAACTCATAGGTTACTTTTCGCCCGCACTAACCACAAAACTGTCAGTCTATTTGCTAAGTGTACAAGCCTGTGGTACGAGAAGGTGACAGCGAATGTCTTAGATGTGAAAAATGGATATTCTTTCTTCCTCTGGGCATTGCGTTACCATTCACCTTCTTGTCAGACATAATTATGTCCCTTCGGTGAGATTTCCCAGAGGCAACTGGTCTTTATTGCAAGCTGATGATTCTGCAGGACGTATGCCTTATACAACCGTAACAAATTGGTCTTGGCTGGATTATTTGTACTCATGCTCGCGCAGACGGCTACTGGTTTGTGGATTTGGACATTGCCTGGAAGTGGATGTACGTGTACACCGGTACCGTGACTCATGCAGGAACATGTACTAACGATGAGTTGTCTTGCAGTCGCACCGGATCCAGTCAACAACTATGAGTTTCACTGTGAGTACTCCAGATCTCCGCAGAAGTAGACCTTGTTTCTTACCCTAGAGCACATAGCCTGTGTTCTTCTACCTCCGAAACGGGCGTATGTGTTTAGTACTTCTTGCTACATTAAGTACTACTGAGCCCTTCGCTATAGAGGTCCATTGGCCCCAATTTACGTCTTCTTCGAAGTCGGCTTCCAGTCACTCATTTTCATTATGACCATGGCCCGAACAGTATATATATACGAGCGCTCTCCTTCCTCACTTCCTAGGCGAGGAAGTCTCGTGGAATGCTTCATCAGAGACGGCGCACTGTACTATTTGTAAGTCATACATTTGACAGTGGGTTTTGGGAGAACATCAAAACGCTGATGAAAGGGTCTTGCTTACGCTAGTGCCATTTTTTCCTTCAATCTGGTATGGGGTGTGATGATCCTCCACGCACCTACCGGCTTACGAGCTGTCGCAGCAGTGTAAGTGCCCGTTTATGTCCAAAAAACCTTGGTTCCTGGAGATGGTAATTACTGACTTGGAATCGACACGGCATGAATAGCCCAGCCTGCACGTAAGTACCACAACTCCGAGCCAGAGTGTTCTACGTGGAAGATATGGCTAACGGCACTCAACCTTGACCTGACTATTAGTTTTGCGGTGATTCTTATTAGCAGAATCTCACTCAACATCCGCCTTGAGACTATGGGTGGACCAAATGTCTTCGAGCAAACGCAGAATGGGATACCACTGGTGGATTTTAGTGCAGATAACAGCCTTAGCCGCTCTGACCATGGGCGCCATCCTATTGAGAATACTTCATGGATGTCTCCTTAGATGTGTAGGTAGACGGTGAATACATATTTAGGATGATGTGCGCATTATGTACTTTACGAACAGCATCTTGCGTGGATCTCAGTGGGCTCAGCGAGCTCAGCGCCTCACCTACACCAAATTTATTCTGTAATGATGAAAAATGAATCGGTATAGATTATCGAGCGAGAACCTGCACTATTTCAAGAAGACATCGCCTTCTGGCCATACACGGCAACAAATTCTATTTGAGCGCCCTCGAACTCATCCCACTCCTTCCGCGTAGCCTCGATGAGTTCATCAAATTCTGCTTCTGATGCCACTATCCCAAAACCTCCCGCTGCAAGAACCGGCGTCTTCATCGCAGCAAACACACCCAAAAAATTCTTGGCTATATCGCGTCCTTGAGGTCCTCCCAATCGACCAAGTGGCGCCGTTCTCTTATCCACTGTGACTTTCACAAACCCTCCCTCTTCGACAAGCCTCGGCAACTCATCGATGACGTCGAACAGCATTTGACGGGAGGCGACGACCTTCCTAATCAGTTCCTCTAGACGTATGGTGACAGCCCCGGCTTTCCACTTCCCAGCTTCGAGGAGCTGCACCCATCCGCCTGGTCTCAGAACTCTATACATCTCCTTCATAGCTTTTGACCATTCTGAACCCTTCAGAGCGACAACGAGAAGTCGCTGGTGGACATAGTCAAAGTGGTCTGACCAGGCCGCTGGGAGGTTCGTCACGGAGTTGATTGAGAATGAAATATTGGATGGTCTAGAGGAGGGAAACATGCGAGTGTCGATGTCGATTCCATGCAGAACTGCCGAAGATGAGATGGTGCGGGCGAGTTCGCAGATCCAAACAGCTAATAAATAATATAGTTTGTGTCAGAAGTTTTAGAAACATAGAGCAAAGACATACCCGCGCCTGTACCCGAGTCAAGAACGAACAGGGCATCGTCGAGGTTGACGGGCGCAATCACAATCTTGCCATCGAAGGCTGTCTTCAAAATGTTATGTTGAAGCAGTAACCTAAAGAGGAGGAAATAATCAAAATCTGTACCAAGGCACAAAGTAGCAGAATAGTGTGTGTGGTGTCACTCACCGCTCTCCTTCCTGACTGTCCACAGGCAGGATATATTCTGCGCCCGGAAAGGCGTGGAATATCCGTTGCTCTTCGTGATGGATGGGTGTAACAGTTGTTCTGGTCGGGAACATGCTTCCTCTAGCTTATATTGGTGTATGGAATAGTGAATGCGACAGGTCGCAACTTCGAGAAAGATTGGGGGAGGCTAGTAGTCGAAGAGCAAGTTAAATATAATTCTGATGAGGCACCCTGTCAGCGGCTCGCTTTGGACGACGATGAGGGTCAGAAGCATCTATGTAAGGACATCAACAAATAAAAAAAGACTGGGGTGCATTTTATAGATAGTAATCTTGTGCATGAAAGCGGAATGTACGATATCTAACCTTCCTGCACCCAAAACGAGTACCTAGACTGCCACGACCCGTGGTCTTGTGATTGTACGGTGTCTCACTGTGTGCCGAGACTATCCAAACGCGTTGTAAGGTAGACCAGTGGCTCAAACAAGCTTGCCTTGACTGTCACCCACATTGGTCATGAATTCTGGACTGCGAGTCACTTACTACACTGCAGCTAAACACGGCCTGACAGATGCCAATGGCTCCCATACAGCATTCCACTTGGCGGTCACATCGGATGATGCAGTTTTCAGGTATTTGGGAAATGATGGCTCGAGCTCCGAGTCCGAGGGGTAGAATCTGGTAGAATCCATCATCGCAGCATTTGATACCATCGGAGCCTGGATGCACGGAAATAAATTCACAGAAATGGACAAGATCCTACCTAAGTATGAAAGGTCACTTTTGGTGGACTCTTCGAAGAGCGCAAGGCTAGATAAAGACAATGACCTTTAGTGCAATCGGAGGAGGCTCAGCCACTTCCCGGTGCAACCCGGACACAGACTAGCTCGGAGGAACCTGGTGTGGCGACGCCACTGACTAAACTCAATGACATCAGGCTTGAAGCAAATGGCTCATATTATCCCGCAGAATGTAAAGGAAACAGAAACAAGCATGAAGAACCAGGCAGTGACAAAATACAGAAGTGAACGTAAATATCCGTGCAGCATGCTAGCATTGTTCAACAATTTCCCGACGTCCGAAAGGCCCTGCGAGTATTTACGCCAGGACAACTCCCGGACATCCTCTCAATCTGGATAGACCACACTACAGCGTGTACTCAAATCGTGGGTGTCTATCGCCCAGCCTCCTCTTTTCACTCTCCGAATCCCATTCTCCCTCGTCAACCCCAGGACCTTTCTCCCGGAGCAACCTTTCCACCTCCGACTTCTTCTTGAGGTTCTGTCTCCGGAGATACATCACTATAATCAAGCAGGAGAGCGCAGAGCCAAGTGAAAACGATAGATTGATAGATGATGCGACGTGGAAGCGAGGTGAATCGATGAAGATCCAGGTAGAGACGATGCCTGTATATCCACGTGATGTACAAAGATGAGAAAATTGAACGTCTCAAAGACGACGATGAAATGTACTTGCCTCCAAGGTTGGTACTAACAAACGCGAGAGCGACAGCTGTCGCCCGCCGGTAATGTGGCTGCGCATTGTTCGATATCCAGGTACTAAGACACGGAGCAATAGCATAAACTCCAACAATCTGAAGGAACAAAGCCCCGTAATTTGCGTGCTTGTTTGGTGTTCCTAGGTAATTTACAACACACAATCAGCCAACAAACATAACGCCATGAATTCAGAGAAAAACTTGAAGAGCGAATAGGAAAGAGTTGCGGGAAGGAAGTAATTGTGATATCAAGCAAACTGACAGGCCATGTACCCACCGATGAAGATAGCATAGCCTGCGGAAGCAATGAGACTGAGGGAGACCGCCATGGGTCCTCTTTTCCTGTACCTATCGGAGAGGTACGAGCCAAGGATGCTGATGACGAATGAACATGCGTATGGAGGAACCTATATTGTATGAGTACAATGCGCGTAGATAGAAGATTTAACGCTATCTTACTGTAAGAAGTTGGCTGTGTGTTGCAGAGAATCCGAGAGCATTGACAATTGTTGGCGTGCTTCATGTTTAGTGCATAATTGTCAGCCTTTGGCAACATGCAATGTGATAAGAAAAGGGAGACTCAATTCTCTCACAAGTTCGCAAGACCGAATAGCTGTGTCAGAAAAGCAGCACATTGAGCAAGACTTCAGCACTGTATCATGAATGGGTGAAATACGGAGAAGCATACCGTGACACCACTAAAGAACAACGGCATGCATCCCAGCAATATATGCGGGGCGTTCGTAAATATACTCGCCACCTCAGACCAACGGAACGGCTCGACCTCAGAGTCTCCACTCCAATCGTCGGCAAGGCTTTGCACATAAACTTCCCTCTCAATTGAGGAGAGGAATGGCATGTCTGCCGGTGTGGCGGGGATGATAAAAAAGCTTAGAAGACCAAAACACGCCGTAAATACTCCCTCCTTTCAGAAGAAAATTTGGTCATCAGAGGTCTGAATGTACTTGCAGAGGTCATGAATCTTACCAGCACAAATATCCATGCCCATCCCCGAAGTCCTCTCAGACCGTCCATGTTCTGAATCGCCGCAGCCAGCAATCCGGAGAATGCACCTGCGAGTGAAGTGACCGAGAACATGCAAGAAAACCGAAGTTGCATCTCGTGCCGCTTGTAGAATGACGAGAGGTACAAGACGATACCGGGAAATAGCCCGCCTGTGTAAACACAATATTGAGTGGATTTACGATATGGTAAGATGGCGCTCTGGAGTGACTACAAGACCCACCTTCGAGAGCACCAAGGAAGAAGCGACACGCCAAAAGCCCGCCATATGTCTTTACAGCACCTGACAAAGAGTATTATCTCTTTGACCGAGTGGTATGAGAGGCCAAAAATATACCTTGACACGCAGTCACCATACCCCAAAGCGTCACCATCAGCGGGAGGGTTATGTTGGCCCCGACCCGCTTCATGAGGAGATTCATCGGTAACTCCATTACAATATACGGAACGCTGGAGAAAGAAAACATCATGATTAGTGATACAAAATCCACAGGTGTAATGATGAGAAAATGCCAAATATTACTGTCGACCTACTAGGTGACGGTGAGAGCGGTAGAATATTGGTGGTCTGTCATCTTGAGATCCTTTTCGAGGCCTGCGATGCGCGCATTTCCGATGTTTCTGCGGAAATTGGAGTCAAGCATGCAGGTATCGACGAATATGAGTTCTCAACTCACGAACGGTCCTACTTGGTCAAGACACACCACCATGCGAAAGTGGCGATCAGCATTGGAAATGGAACCTGAAGAACAAGTCGTACCAGAAAAGACAATAGGTCTGCGCATTATGGTTAGGTATGGGCACCAAGTGAGGACGGTGTAACAAGTGACACGTACAATACATCCCGACAAGTGGAATAACCAGCAGGTCTATCTTCCAGGTCGCCGCGCGCTCGATAGAACGAGTATCAATGGAGTGTTGCTCCTGGTCCTTCAAGCCGCTGTCGTCGTCACTCTTGTGGGAGTCCAATGAGCTTCGCATCTTGCAGGGACCAGCAGGCTCGACCTGATCAAAAATTGATGAAAGTTGGGTCTATGGCAAACACAGAGAGGCGGATGAAGTGTGTAATGGGTCATGTAACTCACCTTGATAGACTATCGAGCATCCATCCCATGTCTCACGCAGAATCGGCGTCTACGGAAGGGCGGAGAGCATGCGGCCCAAGAGAAGATCGTAAAACAGGAACACCCTCATCCCGTTTGCGATCTCCTCGGAAAGCCGATCGAGGCTCTACGGCTGTTATCAGCGCTTGAGCACTTGGGGCAAACTTGGAGCTTTCGAGACTACAGCGCTCGCGACTTGTATGGCCCAGTGAAGGAATCTGGCTGGTCGAATAGCGGATTAACATTCGGTGTTTAGAGATAAACTGGATTTATTTCCAGCTCTGCGCCATGTAAATACTAGCAAGTATAAGCTAATACTTCCATAGACCTCATACCTAGTCGGATGGATTAAGGAGCAATAGGATTTGAAGAGGATCCTGTCGGGCATTGCCGGTTCTGAATCGAACGAGAGCGCGGTTTAATCGGAACCAAATTTGAATCTCCCCTCTGACCTGTGTTTGGTTTTGGTTCAAGTCACCGTGACACAAGTCGCCATGCTCATCAAGGGTACCTGTCTCCTGAATCAGCATCCCATTTTTGGCCGCACCGCATGTATTTTAGATCCAACGAGAGGACATATGATACGCGACCATGACATGACAGTCGTGTACTCGGGGCGTCTCCTGGTGTCTCACAGGTAGTCGTATGTCGTCAATCATCACTGATAGTTTCAATGGCAGCGTGGAATTTCTGGTACCTGAGGCTCTACTGTTCCGGAGGTGGGCAACCCTCACCCATCGCATTCTAGAGTCTGCAGCGAGTCGTCACTAGAGCTCATGATTCGGCTCTGTTGAGCTGTGCGCGCATTTCATAGACAAAACAGGGGTAGATGGGCCTTGTCTGGTGGCCAAGGCTGAGGTTTTTCTTGTTCATTGCTGAAGACGGTACATTTCGGAAGACCGGCAGTGCGACGGCTTCCAAATCAATCTGTCTCTGGTCTCAGGCTGTCAATTATTAGCACAGCCTCTTGTACGGTATACGGCGCTCTTCCTCGAGAGAATAGCGATGCCCTAACGGCAAGTACTGATTCCAGTCTCGCTCGAAGGGAGATTGAACATGCATGGTGAGAAGCCCTCTCGGAAATATCCACCCAGTTCATCACCCAGGTTTGTTGCGAGCATATCAGTGAATGATCTCGTGATATACGAGTCCATTATGAGATGGGACTCTCTTCCCATTCTCAGCCACGGTATATTGGTATACTAAGGTAGGTCGCCACAGCTACTTGACCGAGACTGTGAGGCTACCCTCTTAGCATTCTCTGCGTTCAAGTTGCTCGTTAACAAATATGGACACCCCTCCCTCCCTAGTAAGAATATACGACATTATCTCTGGTATGGAACTACTCTGACTTTCCGTATCCCCAGCGAACGCAGATCCTAGTCGTGGGCGGTGGCCCTGCTGGATCATATTCTGCCACGTTACTGGCCCGAGGTGAGCATATACAAAATATTTTACTGAAACCGTGTCGCTCAATCATATGGGCCCATTTTGTACCCCGAATAAACTTACCTTACCTTACCTTACCTTATGCCAATTCTCAGATGGATTCGAGGTCACAGTCATTGAACGCGATATCTTTCCAAGGTGCGAAATTCGTCCATCCAGACTCCACCTCAAACTGATCAGCTAGAGTACTAGATATCATATCGGAGAGAGCTTACTGCCATCCGTCAGGCAATTCCTTCATCTCATCGATGCTGAACAATTGGTCGAGTCTTGCGGATTCGTACCCAAGGTATACATATATTTTGCGCTTTTGACTGCTAATGCGCACTCAACCCAACGACGCATAAAACTTCAGCCCGGCGCGGCTGTTAAATTGAATCAGTATAGTCGCGAGGGATGTAAGATATTTTTATGTATAGCACCGCCTGTCTTACCACCGTGATTTACTTCGGCATACTTTTAGTCAGACACGGACTTCACCGCGTTAGATCCAAATAACAAGGCGTGGAACGTAGTAAGCTATATCCATTCTTCTGAATATCTCTTACTCAAGTCGTATAGGTACGATCCGAGTTCGACGACGTCTTGCTCCAGCATGCCGCTAAAAGCGGCGTTCGTGTCCATCAAGGGACAAAAATCCTCAGTATCAATTTCGATGATCAAAGACCCGTCAGTGTTGACTGGGAAACGAAGAGTGGTATTACGGGAACACTCGGCTTTGACTGGCTCGTTGACGCGTCTGGACGCGCGGGACTCATGTCGACCCGATACCTTCACAATCGGAAGATCAACGAAAGCTTGAAGAATATTGCGTGTTGGGCTTACTGGTCTGGTGGGAAGGTATACGCCCGAGGAACTAGCCGTCATAATTCCCCTTGGTTCGAGGCTTTGTCCGGTAAGCTAGAGCACTTGTACGCAACTCTTCAATATGTATCTGATAGTATTCCCAGATGAGACCGGATGGTCGTGGTACATTCCTCTACACAACGGGACGGTCTCAGTCGGATTCGTCATGTCCACCATTTCCAGTGCCCACAAGCGAGCGAATGCTACAGGCAAGGAACACACAGGGAGCAACCTTCGAAACCATTATTTGGAGCAGCTAAAGTTTACACCTGGCCTCGCGAATCTCCTCTCGGATGCACGTATCTGTAGCGAGATCAAGTCAGCTAGCGACTATAGTTACTCGGCTTCTGCATATTCGGGAGACCACTTCAGGTTGGCTGGAGACGCGGGAGGTGTTTATACTCGAATCGAACAAGTCTAGACTGTGCATCTGACCTCTTCGTATTATAGCGTTCATCGATCCTTTCTTCTCTTCTGGTGTTCATCTCGCCTTTACAGGCGCTCTCTCGGCCGCGTGTACTATAGCGGCATCCATTCGCCAGCACTGTACTGAGCAAGAGGCTCAGACTTTCCATGATCTTAAAATTGGAACGGCATACACAAGGTACGCTTCCTTGGCATTTGTTCATGTACGGGTATTCATGCCGTTTATGTAGGTTCCTTATCGTCGTTCTAAGCGCGTACAAACAAGTCAACCAGCAGCATGCTCCGGTCCTTCACGATCTAGACGAGGATAATTTCGATCGCGCCTTCGATCTCCTTCGCCCAGGTAAATACTCGTCGAATATCTATCCAAACCATGAGGGCTCATCCGCCGTAGTATTGCAAGGAGCCGCCGATGTCGGTAAAGAACTGACGGAGAACGAACTAGAGATGGCTATCGAGTTCTGCTCCAGTCTCTTCGCCCCGACGACTCTCGAGATGCACCAAGAGGTCATGGCGCGCCTAGACGGCGAGCTGACGAGGAGCGATGCACCTATCCTGCTCAAGGATGAGATCTTCCAGCGTGTCGGTAAGGAGGATGAAGAAGCCCTTCACGTACTTGGCGAGATAAATGCTCGCAAGCAGATACACACGATGTACGATGTGGCATACCAATTTGGTCACGAGGCGTGGGCGGGACTTGTGCCCACCTGTATTCGAGGGGCTTTGGGTCTTGCTCGGGTGGGTTGTCGTGCCGAGTAGCTAGTTGGAAGAGGCACATGCGGACGAAACATGATGTATTGATGGGTTGAGGGACCTCGAGAAGTAACCGCGGCACACCTGTGGTTTTTTTCCCATCGCTACTCGTCTGTCACTGATCAGCACTTCAGCTGTCACCATAGGTTATTTGTGCGAGTCGTCTCTCGCGTTGCATGCGCGACTGAATGATGAATAATTGACAGATACCTGATCTGCCATAATGCAGAGTGATTCAAGGGAGCATCGCTGGCCGCGCTGGCCACTGGGTCTCATGAGGGAGAGAGCATATTATCTGAGTAGAACCGGCTACATGTTCCCGTTTCTATAATCCATCAGAATGACGGAGGCTTCGGGCATGCATTGATGTAGCAAACAAGATCTCTGCGCAAATAGTACATAAAAAGCTAAAGACTTACAGAAACTTCAACGGAAGAAGATACACCGGTCTAGTATCAGGTCATGGTCCATTTACCAACACTGATAACAGAACCGAAGAGCCGGAGACGGCGGCTCAATCCTCACACTTTCTCTTCTGCCTCGGGTTCGATCTGTTACATGTGCATTTATTGAGTTTCGAAACGATGAGCCCGACCCGAAGTGTCGGAACGAAGAGCGACTCACGTTATTCTTCGCAGTTTTATCTTTCGTCTGTTGCATATCCCATTTCTTATCGGTCTTGGTATGCAACGGCAGATCCTTCGTCCCGAAGAACGTCAGAAACCCGACGCCAGCGAGAGCTGCCATGACGATCCAGACGGTACGCATGCTCTCCAGGAACGCCTGTCGGACTTCACCTTTGGTAGGCTCGGACATGGATGAAATCGTTGATATGATCTTGTAAACGAGACTGGTCCGGGAGGAATACGACGAAGTGACGCTCTCAGGCAATCTGCGGCGCAAGTCGTTTTGTAGTATGGTACCAGCGATCGCGATTCCCCATGCCTGGCACAATGGTCTGGTTTTAAGTCTGGGTGCATACGAACAGTAAGGGGAGACGTACTTGGGAAAAGGTTCGACAAAAGGCCAGAAGGGAGACCGCCGCCGCATTATTCGCGACAGGGATGGGTGCAAGGACCAGGTACTGAGCGAGAGAATAGTGGTTAGTTCCGAAGTGCGTAGGGTAAAATGAAATAACAAAAACACACCGTAGTAGAGTACAACCACCCGAGGCCGACACCCAAAATGAGCTCATACACAATTATGATCCCGATGTTCGTCCTGACCTGGAGCGAGATCAGTAGGCCCATACCGAGAACAGCGAAGCTCCATCCTATAGAATTCTGGTTTATTTGTTAAATTAGTCGCGCTATGAGGTGTGTTCTGAATGAACGAATGCACTCACCACGACGCGATAGCGTCCAGTCTTTGCAACTAAAAGTCCCTGCACGATCGCAGAGATGGACATTGTTCCCGATATGGGAAAGAAATCGAGACCGGACATGATAGGGCTCGCGACGCGCACAGATTGGAACCACGTTGGCCTAAAGGAATGTCCACGGAGTTAGATTCGGCTGCTGCAAGGTGCCGAGCAAGATTGCAGCGTACAGATAGTCTGAACATCAAATGTCAGCCAGTTCGAAGACGGCAAATATGGTGTTTTTACTTACAGCCTGCACTAATAATGACGACACCATGCAAAAAGGTGGCTATAAATCTGGAAGATGGGTGTGAGGATTGAATAGAACAGACAGATCGGAGTAGAGCATACCCTATGAGACTTGTGCGATTCGTAACCACTACTTTGGGGATCTGCATACAACCAATAGCCCCCTGTAAGTCTTGAAGGAGGTTCCAATTTTTAGCCAGGTAGCTTACCGTCGGGTTTGCACACCATTTGAGTTCGTACAGAATGGCCAAGATAAAGCCGACGACGCCGACTATGAGTGGCACAAGGACTTGAGGGGACGACCAGGAGTATTGGACTCCTGCCCAAGCGAGTGCAATGAGACAGGAGGCAGTTGACGATACGATGAGGAAATTTCCACTATTTTTGGTCAGTACCGCACTCGATGTGATCGCAGTGGTGAATCGCGCTCACATCCAATCAATCTTCGAGAACTTGAGCCAAAACTTCTCTCGAGGCGTCGGCAGATCGAGCGCCAGAGCTACAATCACGAACGCGACCGCACACAGGGGAAGATTTATGTCTACAAAATCATCATTCAGCGCGAAGTTCAATGATGGAACTTGAAAACTGACAGAAAATCCACCGCCATGTGACCTTCTCAGCAAGACTTCCGGCGATGAAAGGTCCTGCAAGAGACCCAAAAGTCCATATGCTGAGACGATACCAATCAGAACAGGGTGAACCAGCCAACATTAGACACTGCGGCTTACAGCCCGATGATACCGTTGAAAATACCGCGGTCGCGTAAGGGAATCAAGTCTGACACAACAATTTGTGTCAATGACTGGATTCCACCACCGCCAACACCTTGTATAGCTGCATGTGGTGTTCAGCAACAAACTCACAGAAAGAGAACAGGGACGACACACCTCTCCCACCAATCAAAACGGACATGGAAGGAGCAGCAGCAGAGACGGCGGAGCCGACAGCAAAAACGGTCAATGCCACCAGAAGCACCGGTCTTCTTCCAAAAACTTGGGCCAGGTTCCCATTGAAGGGCAGGCATGCGGCGCAAGCGAGTGAGTAGGCTGATCCAACCCACGTAAAATCCGACCCGTTGAGATCATCCACAATTGTAGGTGCAGCTGTGGCGACGCCACCCTAAGAGTCCATTGGTATGGACAGCACCGATACATCACACGAATGGAACTCACTAGATCAAGAGAGGACAAAAGCATAGAGCAGCAAAGAGCGACGAACACAAACCAAAATCGCAGACCGCGAACAGGCCGGGTTTCGGTGGGTTTGACGACGACAGACGCTTGCAAAGTCTCTTGGCTGACTTTCGAAGACGCAATATGTGTCTGCGAGATCTGTAATTCTGACGAGTCAACCGGTGCTGAAATCGAAGACATAACGAGAGGCACTACAGCAGTTAGCCTCAGTCTAGCGGGCAAATTGAAGACGACAAGACAGGGTGAAGGGGACAAAGAGAAAGGCTCGAGCAACCACAGAGCTGGCTGGTGAGCGGGTCAGGGATAACAAAAGCTCGCGACCAGAACACACGCTCGGCAGAGGAAGAAACCCTAGTACCTTTCTAAGCGCTAATCAGAACTAGATCGTTGAAACTTGGAGGATCCTCAGGCTGTCTCTTGCCCGCCGTCTCCGTTGAGTACATGTGGAGCAGTCAGGCATTCTTGGAAGCTGGGAGTCTTGACTGAGGTGGCATTGCAGAGTCGCGAGGAAACGAAATGATAGTTGAGCATCAACGAGGAATGTTAAGGGGATGTTACTGACAGAAAGGAAGAAGCAAGCACGAATAGGGCGCGAGGTGCGTCCCGGGAAGGAAATAAAACTCCCTAAAATAGAAGTACTCTCAGGCAGGTTTACCGAGTGCTTGGATCGGTCAACAAGCCGCATTCGCTCCCTTTGACCTCTTCTTGAGCCATCGCTTCTCTACGGTTGATGACCGCCTTTCAAATCACTACTCACGAGTCGCTGCCGCTGCGGGCGCTGAGGACGCTGCTTTTGTTGGAATGATCATGAACGTTATTGTGTACCGGAGGTTCAATACAATCACTCACCGGTGACAGTTTTCACTATCATCATGATGTATCCAGACTTCGTGAGTAGTACTTACTGCATCTACATGGCCCGGATGGACGGTCGAGATTTGAGAAGAAACACAGAAGTCTGGATTCGGCTGGCTTTCACCCCGGTCATCGCGGAATGTACTCAATCCGCGGACCTGATCCTGATGCTCCCATTTCGTTCAAAAAAGGTGCGCTCTCTCCCTCTTATCCCGGTTCTTAACGCCACGATGGTACCACATTATCTCCCTTTAGTATGCTTCTCAAAGGAATATCACTGCAGTCGATGCGTGTTTCGCGCGCTCCTCGGTTCCTCAACGCAACATGTCCGACTTGGATAGAAGTACCGCTATGTATCCCTGGGTGCAAGTTGTTTCCTGGTCGCTTCGTTCGCTCCATTGATCCACGTTCTTCCAGTACCTCTCTTTCTCCACTCCAGAAAATCGATACAATGACTCACTTTATGCATAAAATTATGGACGTCTTGGCGCAAAATCCCCAAGTACCTGTCTTTAAACGCTTCATTGGCTCAGACGAGGGTATTTCGTGGACAACAGTTACCTGGGATGACTATAAGGACGACCTTATCCGGGCGGCTTCGGTTTGCCGCCAAGTCCTCGCGGATGAAGGTATCAAGAACGGCGATGTCGTTGGGTTGTGGTTTGTACTAGCATCGTTCCATTCTGAGAACTCCCATCGCTCTAACATACCATGTATCTATTTCTTAGGCTCACCGGGCATAAATATAGCGACTTCGTCTATATTTACGCCATATCAGCGGCCGGCTTCGTTCCCCAGGTCTTCAGCTCGAGGTATCTTGCACAAGGCATCGCTGTTATCGGTGATTTGCTCAAAGCATGCAACGGGAAGGCACTACTGGTTGATGCAGAATATATCGATCATACCGCAGGCTTCAGTCTTCCTACTCGCACACTTCCTGGTCTTTCCTCCGGGTCGAAATTGCCCGCAGATGTTCCAACACTTCCTGAAGTCCAGAACGACGATATTGCGATGATATTCCATACGAGCGGAACCACAGGTGGCAAACCAAAGCCTATCCCAGAAACGCATCGTTGGATCAAGAATCAATGTGACGTCCACTGGCGCACAGTTGGGGTATGGCAAGGGAAGTTTGATGGCCAGGACGTGATCAACACCCTTGGAAATTTTGCCCACGTAGGGACGGCTATGAGTGAGTGTTTTTTTTGTGTCGTATAACGTCGTTTCTGTAGCACCATGTTTACTTGGTTACGGCAGTGATAAACTACCTAGCACCTAAGCACGGCTGTGCGATTCAGACCCCTAGGGCGAACTTCAGTGCGGAGGAGTTACTCGCGATGATCGAGCATGGAGGTGTCAACCGTCTGCAGTTATACGCACCCTGGTTCTCAAACCTCATCAGCATCGCACGTAGAGACCCTCGAGTCTTGAACGGTCTTCGTGGCATGCGACATATTGCTTATACCGGTACAGCGCTCAATCCTGAGGACGAAGCTTGGATTCGAACCAACGACATTCCAGCGACCGTAAGTCCACCCTCTTTATGACTGCACTGTGAGCATGCCGATGATCAATCTAAATTGATTTCATACAGAACATGTATGCATCCACCGAAGCTGGTAAGATCTGTTTCTCCTACCAAGTTTTTGAGTAATCTTACTAATCCCCCTCCCCAGCTCCTTGTCTCATAGCCAACCTTTCCGATCGTCCAAGGCGTCATTTGCTGCGCGTTATTTCTGATGTACAAGCCCAATTCATTCCCACATCGAGCGTGAATGATAGCGGAACGAGAGAAGAATCGCGGCAGGGCGATGCTGGGAGAAAACTCTTCGATCTCTTTTTCAGCGACACAGCTCCAAATTGCCCTCATCCAAGAGTCCGTAATAGAGCAGACGGATTCGTCACCGGTGATTTGTTCGAAGAAGTCGAGCCTGGTTATTATGTATTCCGTATGCCTATGTATTTTCAATTTTCTGAAGGTGAACTGATACACCATATAGGTGGTAGGAATGACGACTGGATCCAGACGGGTCGCGCTCTTACTTTCTGTGATACCAAGTACGTAGCGATCATATTTTCCTCCACTGTAATCTCTCGTTGCGTTTTATTGAATGATTTACACTTACTCGGTCAGGTCTATCGAGGACAATGTTTTCGTTACCTGCGCGGATGTCGTACACAACTGTACGGTCGTCGGGAACTACAAACCTTTCCCCGTGCTCTTCGTTGAACCTGTCAACGAGACTGTCACAGAGGACGACATTGACGCATTGAAGAAGACTATCATCAATCTTACCGCCCCATACAATGCACGTCTGTTCGTTGATGAGCGCATACAAGACCCGTCTCATATTGTTGTCGTTCCGAGAGAGTCGTTGAGCAGGACTGGGGTACGTACTCTTGAACCTTCTTCTACCTCCGTCTTCCCGCGTCTCCCATAACTCCACCGTTGGCCTTTTCGCTAACAATTATTGATAATTCAGGAGAAAGGCAACGTTAGGTAAAGTTCAAATAGTCAACTGCAGATCACAGTATCATCTGACCTTATACCACAGGCGCAAGATAGTCGAGCAAGACTTCAAAGACGTATTGGACAATATTTACACGGCAGCTCGGGGGTGAAATCGGGGGATCTAGATTCCCACTTGGTAAATTGGATAGATACATTCGTTGTCTGCACTATTTGTTACCTCGTGTTGATTACCAAGAATATGTCACAATACGAGTCGATTCAAAACGTACTAACGCTCGGCTTTGAGAACTCGAGGACCACAGCCTGCAGACACCCTGATTGGACACTGCAAGGCCATTCCAAGGCTCTCGTTCTCCGAGGAGTTCAACTTAGCGAGGGCAGACACAACCAAACGTAGCTGAGATACCTCTGTCGTTCCCCTTAGGCTGGGCATCAGGCCGGTCTGTAACTTGTTGAAACTGGTCCAAATATCCTCGAATATGTAGCCCAAATGCAGCCGGCCCACACAATTTGTCAGGATCTTACGTAACTTTGGTTCGACCAAACACGGCGCTGTCTCTCGCCGGTTGTTTCTTCACTTATCACTCCAGCATTCTTGCAGACGCCTCGGTCTTTTTCTCCCAATGCAATGCCCTTTGTTTCATTACCTCGCTGTACCGCGGTACCCACAAAGCGCCGCGGCGTTATGCACTGAAACTCTATCATGACTGGGGACATAGCCACAGACTTCACAGACATGATATCTCTCAGTGAACGATCCTTCAAGCGTGGCTCGAGCAGCAGAGTCGGTCTCAGGAGATACAATCAGTGACAGTCTTTGGGAAATATCAGCGTCTACAGTACGCAGGACTGCAGCGTAATTCTCAGGCGACTTATTTTTGTCGACCCGCAATGATGTTCGTCAAGTGACAAGGACCTCGCTTTGACAGATGACCACCCGCTCTCTCCAGAGAGAAGATCTCTCTATGGTCATAGCGGCCATTTCTCCCATGCAGGAAGAAGGTGCGGCGATATTCTGATAAAAATAAACCTCTCCATATCACGGTTTCCATCACAGAGGGGCGAGCGCGGTGATCTTTACACTGACAGGTAAGCGACTTGCCTCAGATCATGGGAGACCAGATGGACCTAGATGCCCGAGAGTATCAAACCTTATGCCTTACCTCCGCTCTGGAGAGGACAACGTACGCTTACTCACACCTGGACGGTTACAATCCAGGAATTTTGACGCCTCTTCAAGTCAAGACCAGTTTAGTGGTGGCGATTCACAAACACATATAGCTTGTGAAAGGTAGATCAATGTGGCCCGGTGTCTCCAGTTGACGCGCGTACTTCGGGTTCCCTCCAGGTAATCAACTCAGCTGTGCTTCGCATTCAACTTCCTGTTCTTCCATGTTGGCCACTGCACTCGCATCGAGCGGACTTACACCTGCAATAGAGCAGGACTTGTCACAAATGTACGTCTACCATATTCAAAATTGTTGCCTCAACTACTTTTGCCGATAACACCCGATTATTCTGCAAACCAGCCTCGTTAATAAGGTGACAAAATATCTTACGAACAGCCATATGCATCATTGGTGACGATAGTTTGCACCAGTATTTCTTCTTGGCCGCCCTGACAGTCGTGATTTGGGACTATCTTTGCACACTGCCAGACGAGGTAAGGCCTTTCATATTTAGATGCCAATAATCGAGGATGACCTCTAGTTCAGATTCAGACAATATGGAAAAGGAATAAACGGCTGCGTAGGCTTACATGACAAATGTACATCCATTTCTTTCGCTGATTGATCACTCTTAGCAACATACATCTTCCTCCTCGTGAGTCCTTCGTAAGTACGTGATAGTCTCATCTAGCTTACCTGACCAATCGGGGGTCAGCTCCGTTATTATGCCCTTTCGGCTATGATAGTTGTTGCCTACGGTAAGTGGTCCATAGCGTCACACCTGCACGTCGAGATCAAGCATCCGGGTTATAATGAGGTCGTCCCTTTTAGGCTATTTTTCTACGAGAATGACTGGAGAAAGGTAAGTGTTAGAGTCTCATTCTTGACCGTTGGCTCGAAATTCATACCCGAAATGATTCTAGTTGTGCGAAATGGAGCTACTTCCTCCCTTTGGGAGTAAGTGTTCCGGTGGCCTTACTTGCAGATTCCATGCTCATCGTTCGGTGCGTGAGACAATTCGTTTCGGAGTTTACAACTTAGGCCCATGTCGTACCAGAATCTATGCGTTCTACAACAAGAATCGGATAATATTGGCGGGATTTCTTATCCTCATGATAGTGCAAACTGTGATTGGTTTTTGGATCTGGACATTCCCCGGTAGCGGGCGTAAGTATCACTTTGTCCGTCGTCCACGAAATGCAGCTTCACTCACGTATTTTATGTTTCCAACTTGTAGCTGCCCCCGATCCGATCGATAACACTGAGTTCCATAGTACGCTATTCCTATTCCCCGCACATTTATCAACGTTTGCATGATCTGTCTCGTAGTTTGTATCTTTCTACCTCCGAAGCGAGCGTGAGTACAGATAAATTTTACATGTCTGAGATGGAAGCTATTGCTAATAAACCCCCGTACGTGCAGAGGGTCTCTGTCTCCTATATATGTACTCTTCGAGCTAGGCTTCGAGACTCTTATTTTTGTTCTCACCATGGCGAGGACCTTCTACCTCTACAAGATGTACCCTGTTGTTGGGTCCAGACGAAGTACTCTAACGCAGTGCTTGATCCGGGATGGGGCGCTGTATTACTTGTTAGTATCCTTGAGTCATCTTCACTCGAGCGGTTTCTCACTTTCGATTTTGGTGTTTCAGCGCGATATTTTCTTTCAATCTACTGTGGGCAGTCATGATTCTCCACGCGCCAACAGGACTGAGAGCTATTGCCGCCGTGTATGTCTCAAATCGTCGTCTCTCTATCTGACTACCGAGCTTACATGTGACCGGTATCATTTGCGCTGTCTTGAACAGACCGACAGCTGCGTCAGTTCTATTCCTTCATACATTGTACTCACACCATAGTCGGCTCACTATCGCCTCATGCGGTCAAAATGCAGGTTCTCGGCGACACTCATCAGCAGAATCACATTTAACATCCGTATCGAAGTCATGGGCCCCACAAACGTCTTCGAGCGCACGGAGAATGGCATACCGCTAGCCAACATGCAAAGCGATCGCAAGCCGACAACGCCCCGGGTCCTGAGCAAATATGAGAGTTCACGTTCTACGGAGTGGTTTCAGCCAGCCTAATGTCGGGTATGCAAGGGCGCACTTTCTTGCTTGTTATGATCTTTTTGGGATGTATGATTTGTGCCCACGGAGAGGACCATGTCTGTATTAAATATATATGTAAGGCGCGGGTTGTCGCAACTATCATGCACTACCGGCACCGTCGTATATGTCAGTCTGCCAGTTCTACCAGGCCGCAGTGAAATTCATGAATGCGTGGGACTTAAGATGTCAGTACGTAGTCGAGCCCGATGAGATAGATTTAAAGACAATAATTATAGCTCCAACAGCTTACATCTGGCCAAGACCGAACTAGTACTAGTGTCCGTGTTAAGTATGTAGGTTGAGGAGACTCTATGTGCAGAATCAAAGAAGCCACGAAAGTAGTAGCAGCAAAGTGGACTTAACGTGTTGCTGAGTTGATGATGGCGCAAGATACACAATAGTAAACTCGTTTCTACAAATTGGACGTCAGGTCTATCGGAAGCGAAGGATTCTGAATAAGAAACACCGCACTCAGATATTCTCAAAAATGAGCAAGCCGCCTAAGTACAAAATGTTTACTCAGAAGCTAGAGACCAGATTTTGGAGGAAGCTCTACAAAGTTGGAAGTTTCGGAAGTGGCGCGAATCGGAACGAGGACTGATGGTTCGGAGGAAGCCGGTGTGGCGTCGCCACCAGCTAAACTCAATCACCACGGACAACGCAACCTTCGAGGTACCTCAGTTCGAGCAAGAGTCTACTGCGGCAGGGTTCGGTCGGAGCTCAGTCAAAGTGTAGCCGCTTTCAACACCGTCAAGATGCAGAGAGGAAATGAGTTGAGAGCGTGTTATGATGGCAGGTGGGAGAGCGAGCAAGGAAGCAAACCCGGAGACTCTAAAATACATGCAGATAATAATGCTACGTACGCGAAAGCAGATGGTAAAGGTGTAGTGAGGAGGTTATAGATAGCTCGCATTCAGCAATGGTCGGTATTCATCGAATGGAAAGCGTGGGGGTGAATGAGGGCCTCCATGTATAGGTGGCAAGTGGTGAATGTCGTGGGTGTGTATGTGTGGGGTGACTGCTGGAATTTGATGGTGTTGTGCGGGCATCGACACACAGAAAGTAAATCAGAACGTCCTCCTCTAAGAGTAAACATTGCCATCCTCGTCCCTATCCACCGGCAACGTCACCTTCCACCTCTCCGCCGCCTCGCTCCCCTTGAACACCTCCTGCAGCACCTCCCTGATATCCTCGACATAAACGAACTTGATGCCCGTCTTCACGCTCTCCGGGACGTTCTCCTCAATATCTGCCCTGTTAGCGGCTGGGGCGAGGATAGTCTTGATACCAGCGCGATGCGCAGCGAGAATCTTTTCCTTCAGACCACCGACTGGGAGGACCTGGCCAACGAGCGAGATCTCGCCAGTCATCGCTATTCACAGAGAAGTGACCAAAAACCCACATACAGTCAGCACAACTTTGCACTCCAAATTCAAGACACGGAAGTAAAAGAGAAGAGGGGAAGAACCGAACGCACCGATATCAGAACTGATCCTCGTCTTCGTAAACAAACTGACAAACGCGCTTGTCAACGCACACCCCGCGCTCGGCCCCTCCTTCCCGATCGCACCCTCCGGCATGTGCACATGGATATCTCTCTCCGTCAAGAACTGGTCCTCCGCATTCTTCGTGATCCCAAGCTCGTACGCATGCGCCTTCACCCAGCTCAACGCGATCTGCGCCGACTCGCGGATGACTTCGCCCAGTTTACCGGTCAGTTGTATGTTGCCTTTACCTGGCATAGTCTATCCATTCATATATTCCTCGTCAGCATTTCTTCTATGCAAGTGGCCATGAGGTTTGGAGATGAAGAGGGAAAAACGCACCGTAGCCTCAATTGGCATGACTGCCCCTGATCCATTGCCCAAATACCCAAGACCGGTGCTTACGCCCGGTGGTGGCGCCCTTACATACATCCTATCCTTATAATACACCGGCGGACCCACATAATCCTTCAAGTTCTCTGGTGTGATCCGCACATGCACGGTCTCCGGAACCTTCAGGGGCTTACGAGCCTCGGTCGTGACAGACTTCTCCTTGTCCTCCGTCGACACAGATTTATCCGTGTTTTCGGTGGATGGCGTCTCGGAAGCCGCAGGCGAAGAGTCAGAGGTTGTGGTGGCGGTAGATGATGTGGCGGTAGCAGGGGAAGGGGTGGAAGTTTCAGGCGCGGCAGGTTCGTTCGGTGGTGGGTTCGCAGATTCGACGGACTTCGGATTGCCTTGGGCGTCCGTGGGGTGGGCAGAAACAGCGGCGGCCTCAGGGAAGGCCTCTTCGCCCAAATCCTGGACAATTTTCAACGCAGCTTTGCGATAGATCTATACAACACAGATAGACAGCCCGAGTAAGGTCAAAGTCAGCTACCCAGCTCACAGAAAATATAGTCTATAAGACGTCAAGTGGCTGGTGGAACGTACTTTGTCAATGTGCTTCTTCAGATTCCTGACTCCGCTCTCCCGGCAGTAGTACTTGATGAGTGTGTCCACTGCGGTCGGGTCGAGAACGACGTCGGCATCCTTCAATCCGGAAGCCTCCTTGGCCTGAGGGCCGAGATACTTGTCCGCGATAACGGATTTCTCCTCAGAAACGTAGCCGCTCACTTCGAGAACCTCCATACGGTCGAGGAGTGGCGCGGGGATGGTATCGAGGACGTTAGCGGTACACACGAATAAAACGCGAGAGAGATCGACCGGGACGTCCATACTGTTCAACCGAAACACATTAGTTCACTTACAGTCTAAAAAATTGAACGTTAAGAAAAGTAAACGAGCAAGACTCACTAATGGTCCAAGAACGCCGTATTCTGCTCCGGATCCAACATCTCCAACAACGCACTCGCCGGATCCCCGTTAATCCCTCTCCCAATCTTATCCACCTCGTCAATCAACACCAACGGATTCTCCGTGCCCACCCTTTTCAACGCCTGAATGATCTTCCCCGGCAACGCGCCCACATATGTCCTCCTATGTCCCTTGATCTCCGCCACGTCCGTCAACCCACCGACCGAGAACCTGAAGAACTGGCGGTTGAGCGCACGCGCGATGGACTTGCCAATGGAGGTTTTGCCGACACCGGGAGGACCGGCGAGACAGATGATTTTACCTTCGACTGTGCCGCGGAGTTTGCCTACAGCGAGGAACTCGAGGATACGCTCTTTGACGTCTTTCAGGCCGTAGTGGTCGTCGTTGAGGACTTGGGTGGCGTGGGAAATAGAGTAGTTTTCGGTGGAGTGTTGGCCCCAGGGAATCTGAAAACGGACCAATGGTAAACAGAGAGGAAAGACGAAGACGAGGGTGAGATACATACTTGGGTGAGCCAATCGAGGTAGTTCCGCGTGACATTTGCCTCGGACGCAGCAGGTTCAAGGTGAGCGAGCTTGTTCAGCTCCTCGTCGAATACCTTCTTGACCATTTCGGGCATGTTCAACGATGCTGCTCTCTCCTTGAACTTCTCGATTAACTTATCTTTCCCGTCGCTCTCCATACCCAGTTCCTTCTTGATCCCCTTCAGCTGTTCCATCAAGTAATACTCCCTCTGCCGCTTCGCAATCTTCGAATCCACGTCCCTCGAAAGCTTGCTCTGCAGCTGCGCGTTGATCAGCTCTTTCTTCAACACTAACAAGGCTTTGCGCAACCGATCTTCGACGACGAGACTCTCGAGCACGTCCTGCAGTTCACCGACCTCGCCGGTAGAGACTGCGGCCGCGAAGTCTGCGAGTTTGTCCGGTTCGTCGAAGACGTTCGAGGCGACCTGGTTGATCGAGAAGTTGGTGATCTGGTCTCGGAAAAGCGGGTTCAACTGGGCAATGTCCTTGAAGACGGAAACAATCTCGGACATGAAGGCGCGAATATACTGATCGTCTTTGTTGAACGGCTGAGTCGTGAGATTCTCGATGTTGACGATGGAGATGTCGTAGTCCTGGAGGAACGATGTCTGCAACGGAGTCGGATGAATCTTGGAGACATGATCAGCGGGCAGATCACCAGTTTCCGTGCTCGGCGTCGAAGGTGGGGTCTCCAACTGCTGAGGTGTATCCTCAGCGACGCTCTCGACCTTGACCGTAGAAGGTGCAGCAGCTTCCACGCCACCACCAGCCTTAACAAGATCCGTAATCTTAATCCGTCTATGAGGATAAAGCACAGCCGTCAAGCCTTCTTCCTTCTCATCCTCCTTCGCCCCTGGTGTATTCGCCGCGAACACGCTCGTGATCTGCGCGAAAACGCCGACAGGGTGAACCGAGTTTATATCCGTAATGACGTCTGAATCTGCCTGTTCGTCCTTGAGAAGGAAAGCACCGAGATAGGGTTGGCCGCGCTTCATCATCTCCTTGATCGCAGCGACGACCTGTGGGTTACGAACGACGACTGCCTTGTAGAAACCAGGGAAGAGCGGTCTTCGAGCAATAGGTAGAGCGAGGACCTGGGGATAGATTTCGGGTACGGATTGGCGCGAAATAGACGTGGCTGCCGGTTGTGATGGGTTTGGTGGGGATTCCGGTGGTGGTGGGGATGAGTCTGGTGGATCTGAACCGTCCGGGTTGTCGCCTGAAGACGAGGAAGAGGGTGGTGCAGATGACTCAGACGAACTGCTGCTCCCGGATTCGCCTCGCGATCCATCATCGAGACGTAGTCGGTCGTGTCCCGAGGGAGAATAATAGTCGACGACCGTCGAATAACATGACCGACGTTCGAGTATGGCTGGGAGTATACGCGGTCGCAGTGTCGTCCGAGCTCGCAGCACGCGATGTGCTGACGCCGACGCTCGTGTGGCCGAGCTCGACGCTGCCGCCGCGCGAACGCTGGCAAATATGTTCATCTGTCGCCCAAGAAAGTGTGCACCAGCCTACGAAAGTATTGTGAACGACAATAAAGAAAGAAAGAGGGGACGACGAGTGCACTCTCGCGAGCGCTTGGGAGACGTTGAGCTTTGTGAGCGCGAAGTGAAAGATTATCAGGCTGGATGACGCACGCGTTCCGCCACGCCATGACCAATCCCACTTCGGATCCCGACGGTCCCCGAACTCTGAGGGGCCACCGCCACACACACCGTCTACGTTCGAACTCTCATGAGTACTATGTAGTTGGCATGGACTCATAGCATTCTCTTTGCAGAAGTCTTTTTTCACGTTATTTATTCAGTCCTCGTTCATTCCTCTTGTTATTAAATATCCGTATCCCGTGCAACCCGAACATCTCGTCCTGTAGACCCGTGAACAACGATCGCAAACTGAAACTGCTGTCACGGAGTTGCGAAGTATCTCAACGATTTAGGTCTATGCAGTACATTTTATCCCAAAGCCCTGTATTATGATAATGGGGGTACACAAAATGTAACCAGAACTTCAGTTTGACGTCCTCCTTGCCCGCTTCGAATTGTCCAAATACTACACTATAAGTCTCAACAACCGCCTAGTTTCTTCAAGCATTCCGCTCACTCGACATCCTTTTGGGTGAGGTGCCGTTCCAAAAAACAAGCGATATCGCGTACAGGAGCAGATGAACTCGTTTAGAGCCACTCGACCGTCTGCAATTGCAAAAAAGCGTCAGTCCAATACGTATCGGAGCATACAGAAAAGAGGTAAAACATACGGCGGGCGGCTTTGACGAGATATCGTAGGTGACTCGGTTGATACCGGCTACCTCGTTTGTGATCCTGGACGAGATTTTCCTGAGGACCTCGGCGGGGAAGACGAACCTACACGGCAGAGTGTTCAGGACCTAGTACCAAGTCGAACCACGAAGCAACGCGACTTACCAGTCTGCAGTCATGAAGTCCTCTGACTGGACTGCACGAAGAGCGATAACCTTTTGTTTTACCCACAATCAACAATCTAGTCAAACGATATCGGCTAATACGAGTATTGGACGGACCTGCTCGTAAGTGCGCTTGTCACCCATCACACCGACGGCCTTGACAGGAAGAAGGACCGCGAACGCCTGGCTGATCTGGTTATAAAGTCCAGCGGCGCGGATCTCCTCGATGTAGATGCTGTCTGCCTGCTGCAAAATTTTGACCTGGTCGCGGGTGATAGGACCGAGAATACGGATGGCGAGACCTGGGCCGGGGAAGGGGTGACGGCCAACGAGGTTGGCGGGGATGCCAAGGAGACGACCGAGCGCGCGGACTTCATCTATGCAAATATGGAGTCCAATAAGATACGGGAAATATCGACAATGGAGGGCGAAGTGGCTTACCCTTGAAAAGCTCCCTCAACGGCTCGATCAACTTCAACTTCATATCTTTCAACAACCCTCCAACGTTATGATGCGTCTTGATCGTCGCACTGGGGCCCTTGAAGCTGATACTTTCGATAACGTCGGGGTAAAGTGTTCCTTGCAACAACCACTCAACCTTTCCCTTCTTCTCCGCGCCCGTCTTCTCTTCCTCCTCCGCGGCGGCCTCGATCTTGGTTGCCTGTTCCTCGAAGACGTTGATGAAAGTGTTGCCGATGATCTTGCGCTTTTGTTCGGGGTCCTCAACACCTTCGAGCCGGGACAGGAAGAGAGATGAAGCGTCGACGACGGTGAGGTTCACGCCGAGGTCTTTGTTCAGCATTTCGTTGACTTGGGCGGCTTCGTTGAGGCGGAGAACACCGTTGTCGACCATGATGGCATGGAACCTATACAACGAGAAGATAAAACCGAGAGAAACAAAAGAGAAGGTTTCTGGCACGAACCTGTCTCCAATAGCTTCGTGCATCAACTTCGCTGCAACGGTGCTATCGACACCACCACTGACAGCACCGATGACACGACCCTTAGGGCCACAAATATCCCGAATGCGGGCAATCTCCTTTCCGATAAACTCTTCCTATTTCAAAGGCAAGATCAGAACACGAGCACCAAACAAAGGATATGAACGATTACATACCATAGTCCAGTTAGTCTTACACTCACAGATGTTCAAAACGAACCGTCCGATCACCTCCTTTCCTCGTGGCGAGTGAGTCACCTCGGGGTGGAATTGAATACCGTAGATAGGCTTCGAGTTGTGAGCGATGGCAGCGAAGGGCGCGTTGCTGGTTTGACCGATGGTATGGAAGTCTGGTGGCGCTTGGGACAGTTGGTCGCCGTGGGACATCCAAACCTGCATCTCATCCCCGAGACCCTCGAGCAACGCATCCGCGGACGCATTCGGGCCTCCTATTTTGCTGATTTGGACGTTCGCGAAACCGTATTCGCGGTGGTCGCACTGAGCGACCTTTCCCTTCAGGTTCCATGCGATCTCCTGTCGCCACATACGGATGGTGAGGAGATGCAAGAGCAGTCAGGCACGAATTGATGAGTGGAACGTACCTGCAGCCCATAGCAGATACCGAGAATCGGTACACCCAAAGCAAAAATCTCTGGGTCCACATGAGGAGCATCGGAGTCATAGACAGAGTAAGGCGAGCCCGACAGGATAATGCCTATCGCCCGAATTACTGGTCAATCGTTTTGGCACATTATCATGCATTGAGTCAACGCACCTTTGGGTTTCCACGACAGATCCTTGATCTTTTGCGTGCATGGCATGAGTTCTGCGTAGACGTTGAGTTCACGGCATCTTCTTGTGATAAGATGGCTGTACTGGATAGTGAGTCGGCTTCAGCAACTCAGTGCTGGTAAAGCCAAAGGTCTACCTGAGAGCCAAAGTCAAGGATGAGAATCGTGTCGAACTGATCGTGAATTTCGGCCATTTTGTGAGGTGAGTCGAAGGGAGTTTGTGGTGGTTGAGGGTGAAAAGTATTGTACGGAGCTCGTTCGGGACTAGAACATGCTTGAGATTAGCAGAAAATTGTGATCTCCTTCGGCGATCTCCTGCGCATCTGAGATCGTTTTATTATCTTATCTGGAAGAAGGCCCCAGCGGATCTCGGACTTCCGGTGATCGACCTTGATCGACAAGGAGCGGAAGTTGGTCCACGCGTCAGGAGAACGACTGTCCTCCTCCCTCCCTCCTCCGCCACTCCGCGATATCAATTACTTGACCGTGGGGACAGGTACTACTGATTCGGCTTTACTCTTACATGTGGGGCCTATGATCTACTCTATCGGTGCTCAGAAGTCATCACTCTGCCCCTGCGTACTTCAAACTGACAGCATCGCCGACTCGGAGAACACCAATGTGTAGATGGGATTCCGGGAGGTCTTTGAGACAATCATGGCACTTACTCTCGTAGATACTGCTCCAGGGCGACAGTTGTCATCTACTGGACCCAGCTCTGTGAACTTTCTATGTTCGATTTTTTTTTCGCAATAGTTCTGCTTGTCAGCTTCTACTATCCCAACTGATGTGGACCCTTAACGCCAGGCTGAAAAACCTTTATTTATCCTACCATATGCCGTATGGTACCACACGGGGGAGGCGAATATATATCCCATGAGCCTCATGCCGTGAAATCACCCAATTAAACCATAGATTCCCTTGTTCAATCCCTTTCAATCAGATGTATGAGCAACAACCTGCGCCACCGGAGCAGAAGAAATTAGCACAGGCTCGTGGCCACAACAAATATCTCAAGTCCCTGCCTATATCAGTATCAGTCAACCGTACACCTAGAGGATCGTCATTTCGACGTACAGATATCCGCCTCCACCATCAGCGAAGGCTTTCCGCCAACGTCAAAACAGAGCTCGTAAGCTCTCGTCAATACTCTCAGGCGATCTCTGGATGGACCTCCCCTTTCTCAAGCTCCGGTACACCTTCCGGTCTCTCCCCCATGATGCCAGTGCTCTCTCCCCTCTTGTTCACGTCGACAGGCGCTACTCCACCGGGCAGATCAGGGAATAGGTACCCTTTCCAACCTTTCTCCCTCAGGCTCGGACCCCCAGTCTAAGTGTACGTCGTTTGACATCGTCGGCAACAGAGGGTCAATAACAAACCAAGGAGAACGAATGGGACGATGATGCAAGCTATGAGGTAGACAAGAGCAATACAGTAAAAGTCACATCTAAGTGGATGGATGGAAGGCACGCACGAACTGTGATCGCCGCAAGGAGTTCAGCCTCAGTTAAGGCGCGTGCGCTCACGACGAGTGGGAAGAACAACAGAAGATATATAATGTAGGACCTATGCAATCTTGAACATTTGATCATGACGAAAGGTGAAGCAATGTCGTTCGGGGAATGAGGGAGATAACTCATTATATATACTCACATTTTTAGGACTACTATGCCACCTAGGTCTGACCTGGGCTTCGTGCGAGTTGCCAGAGCGGCTGTTCCTCAAAGCTATGATCCTATGTGAACTGATTAATTTGTCCACACTCGCAGCGTTAGTATGGATACAAAACTTATTCCTCAAAATCTAGCCAAGGACCCAGATATGCTCGTCAGGTGTGAGTCTGGTAGCACTACCATCGCAGAATAGGCTACCCCATAAGCGAGAGGACACTGTCTGAGTACGGGTGGCCCGATATAAATAGCATGCCAAGTGTTGAAACTATGACCAGGAGCATCCTCGGGTGTCTGACGGGAGCAGGTGAACAAACTGAAACTACTTTCACGGTTAACGTTGTCCGCTCTCTTGTTTCTGAAGCTCCGGTGTGCAAGTAACAGCCTGTCAACTTAACAGAGACAAGCGCCAGCCTTCTTGGGGAACACCGTTCATCAAAACCACAATATGTCACTGAGGAATTTGGGTTTTGGTGAAATCAAAGACTCGAAGAAAATATGGAATTCAACCAGGAGGGAACAGAAGAGGAGAGAAACCGGAAACAGTCGCAAAAACCTCAATCCAACGACTGTCGACCTAGAAGTTTTGTGATCTCCCTGTGTTCGGACAGCCACTCGGGGAATGATACGTCGCCTTCCCTGTGTTCGCGTTTGTCCAAGAGGTAGTTCGCGAAGACGATGAGTGTCGCATATCGATACCTAAGAACGGCAGCCCCAATCAGCGAGTTACTTAAAGGTATCAAGGAGGCAAGAGAGACAAAAGATACGTACAAATAGTTCACCGCAAGGGTGAAGAGCTTCCGGTGTTTTGATGACCCTTTCTCGCAGGCTTCAACTTTCAGTTTGTTGCTACAGAAAGTAAACGTCATTAGAGGCGAATGTGAGAGGATGGACACCAAACGTACTCGTAGATGGCCTTGCGCAAATTCTGCACATCCTGCATCTGGTCAATAGCTTTGTCCGTCATTCTCTTCGCGATCTTGCCATGCGATAGAACCCCGACGAGCTGAAGGATGATCTTGTACTCCCCTTCATAAAACAGCCGTGGTCAGAGATGCCTCAGTGCTCTCGAATATATGGCAGTAAATGATACTCACCTTGAAGATATGCCTCTTCTTCAGAAGGCCCATCGATGGCATCGTATTCCTCGGGTGGGCTCTCATTCCCATCTTCGGCCTCATCGGTGTCACGAGTATGCTGATCCCAGGTCATGACGGTTGCGATGAGGCAAGCACTGACCATGCCCGTTGTTGTTCGGCCTCTTCCCATCTGGCAGTTGAAGACGAAGTCGCCCGCCTGATCGAGGCCTGACAAGACGCGGTCGAGGAGTTGAGAAAGCGCACCCGGGAGGGGAGCTTGCTCGTCGGTCTAGTGAGACAGTCAGTGAGCAGTAGGCAGGGAAATATTGGAGGTGAATACATACAATAGCGACACGGCCATAGTCGATCTTGTAACCCTCTTTCACCATGAGCTCGAACACGTCTCTGGGTGTCATGATATCCTCCTCCGAGACGTTCTCCCATATCGGCACGATTGCGAAATGGTTTGGTCGCTCTTCCACCTCGTCATGGAGAAGTATACGGCCCTCACCCGCGCGCACTTCCCGCAGGACATCTTTCTTGAAGCTCTTCTCCATAGCTTCGACTAGCGATGTCGTAACGCCGGTAGCTCTGCGAGTGCATAATCTGAGATTTCCTCTCGTTGTGCGGGAGATGGATGGACTTACTCGACATTCTCCAGAGGCCGATTCACCAGGCGCAATACATGAGGCCGGCCGGCAATGTACAAGACAGGTTCCTGTGTACTATGGTCAGTACCAACGCTTGGAAGGTATTGTCATTCTAACTCACCTCCCGTAATGATGTCCAAAAGACCGAGTTGGCGCCGTCTGGTCCTGCGTTAACTCGTGCCAATGCTCGACGGAGGCTGAAAACATTGATATAACTTAGTATTGGCGTCAAGCTATGTCGATGCATGTCTTACCCTTGAACGGTCGGCATCCCACTTCCGCACACCCATTTATTATCCTGCTCATTTCCAGCCACAAACTCGAAGCCATCCGGGGAGGTCGATCCAGACCTAGATGCAACAGGGTGGAGCATCAACGGGACCCTTCTGAAATTGGGTGATCCATCGATTCGTCTGTGCGTCAACGCGAGGTCAGTCAATGTGCAGATCATTGAGCGGAAAAAGACGACCAACTCTGGTAGTGTCATTTTCTGGAGATTCGAGAAGAAATCGCTCTTCAGGATAGTCGATGCCGAGAGGATGCTCCCCGAGCGGTTGGTGACGATCTTTGTTACTTCGTCTGGGAGAGCCACGCCCTCTGCTATATCGACACGATTAAGAGGACTGAGAGCAGCCAGTCCTTCGGCGAGGAGTTCCTTCTCGAATGTCTTCAGAACTTTGATAACAAGGCGATCAGGTATGTTTTCGGAGGATTGTACAAGAGAAGCTACCTGGCAAACTCTTTACGAACGACTCGAATGAGCCAACAGTACTCATGGTGTCTGGCTCTGTCGATTGAAGATACGCCTGGAAGACGATGAGGTCGAAGTATCGACGGAGGTTTTGTAGACCTAAATTTCGCCTTTGTGAGCTAACAAAAAGTAAAGAATACAACAAAGAAATCATACCTCTTTGTGCATACATCTTCTTCGACTTCTCGTCCGACGCCTGTTCCGCCTTGGTCCTTGCTTCCTCGATCGAGTCGCGAAGGTTGAATACTTCGGCGCATTGGTCAATCGCCTCATCAACAGTATTCTTCACCGCAGGACCCTTGCGGATTACACGCAACAAATCTGCAGTACGGCGAGTCAGGCGCACGCCAGTAAGTTATAGTCAACCATTGAACGACGCACTGTTGATGATGACATAGGATTGTCTTCGAACGGGCTTGTCCAGCACTATGTTCTCCGTAGTCGGATACGTTGAGTTGGCCAAGGATGGTCTTTGTGGAGGTTTGTTATGCTCCAGCCATTGCTGAATCAACACCAGGATGATAGAAGTCAAGGTGCTTCTACCCCTTCCCAGCTGACAATTGACCACAATCGGCGTTGAGGTAATGTTGGCGCCCATAACAACGTCGATGAGCTCGCTGAAATCGGAGAAATCTGGTGGTTTCTCGGCAGTGATTGGTATTCGCGAGTAGTGAAGGGCGATGTCGTTGCCCACGGACTTGCGCGACATGACTTCTTTGAGGACTGCGACGTCTTGCGGACGGACTTCTTCCCATATTGGAATGACGGAACCATCTGGAGTCTCGGTATGCAGGAGTAATCTGACGCGAAACAGTTATTCAGGGTTGAGAATGGCGAAAGGAAGGGGCAAAGGTACGTACTTCCCACCGAAAGAGTATAGTTCAGACTCGACGTCATCCCTGAGCCTCTCTTCGAGTACCTCCAGCCTCGACGACGATATTCCACCATAATCTAATCATTCCACAGAGAAAATATATAGACCGTGTGAGTTAGCACGGCAATATAACGGTGACGATGGTAAGCGCACCCTTCATATTCCGCAACGAGAACCTCTCCCTCCTCAAGCAATATGGCGCCCCATTAACATACACGATCGGCTCCTCCCTCAGGGTTAACCAGATAATCTTGTCGGCATCTGGGTGCGCCTCCTTCACCCGGACAACGACCTCGTCGATCGCTTCGACTGTCGGCTGTCCGAGCGCGTAGATCTTCGTGTTCGGGATATTGCGGAAGTTGATCGCGCCACGCACGCCGTGCGCAACTTGATGGGATTCCCGGTGCCATTGGTCGGATTTTAGGAGTGTACTTCATGGGCGCATGAAAGTTAGCGATGGGCCTCACCTTTGAAATGGACTAGGTTTAAGAGGTGTGTCATACCTCTCGCGAAGGATAATGCCACTCCGGTTCTACGCCATAAGTTCAGTGTTAGTCAGGCGGTCCATTACCCTAAGATCCTTCACACACCTTTACGACGTGATCAGAGTATTCGTCACCAAGTATTTGACCACCCGCTATCGCCACATCGTTCTTCTGGCTACGTACAAGGGACCGTACCTCTGAACTCGACTTGGAGAGAGCTGAGAGGTCTGTGATAGGGGCGAATGCGTTCAGTCGAGAGCCGTAAGATTTGCGGAGGAAAGTAATTTGGCTGGATAGAAAGATAAGATGAGATGATAGAGAGACTCGGAGTTGAGGAGTGGTGCGCGTACTTCCAGATCTCGGTTCGGGCCTGGAATTTAAGTTAATGCGAGATAAATGAAAGTAGTCGTAAGTATGTAGAGGCAAGACAATGTACCTTTAACCAATCAGAGAAAGTTTCCTCGAAGTCATCTTGCGACTCAACATAGCTCATGAAGGCGATCATGAAGAAGCTGAAAGTGAAGCGGTCAGCGGAACGATGCGAACAGGACGAATATAGCAGCACATACTACTTCTCAAGTGCCTTTACGGCCTTCCCAAGCTGTGGAGATGGAACTGAGGTCAGGGGTCGTGCTCAGATGTGAAAACACCAGACTCACGAGTTCATCCTTGCTATCCTCATCCATGTTCGTCAAAGAGTACTTGATCCTGTGAATCAAAATGTCCTCCCGTAGATTGACGACATGATCGCCTATTACCCACATGAAATTTAGTAAAACCCGTTGAGCAGTGTATAGCCTTACAAGAATCTATAACCCGATCTACCAGCTTCTTCGCCCTTAAGCCATGGTCCAAACAACCCAGCAAACTGAGGATGACGCCGTAGTTGCCCATGTGCGCTTTCCGGAGATTCTCCAGCAAGGTACTGTTGGTGAGAAGAAGGTCGAATACCCGTTGAGAGGAACTAGTAGGTGAGCCTAACGCGACCGGTTTAGTTTAGTAGACGTATCCGCCAAAAAGAAGGACCGCAAGTGCAGGGCTCACATTGCTGCAGGATGTAGGTCAGGCGGAGGAGGGACTTGTTGAGATCTTGTTGGGCGTTGGCTTGTTCGAGTGCTTGCACGATCTTAGCTTCGTTAGGAAGTCGGCGTATGTCGGATCCCTATCCGGAAAATCTGTCAGTAAATGATCTGTCTAAGAACCAGAGACGACGATGTACTGAGTTCGGGTTTGACGGCTAGAAATCCTCCACGTCGAGTAGTAAGAAGACAGAAATACTTGGACGATGACAAGTAAACATACCGTGTTCGCTCCACTCGTGCTCATCATAGACGGTGTACTGAGCCCCTTGGCACCATATGGATCCTCCATACCCCTAAGGATCAATTGACGCCGTCGAACGAGGGAAGCAGCAGTCATAGCAAATGTGGTTCGTACGGCCCCCATACCACACGAGAAAACGAGAGATGTCTTCAGTGGATCTGTTTTCTTGACGACTTGGAGGTAGGCATCCAGGTAATTGTCCTGAACAAATGTAAATGTGATCTCCTCGTAGGGTGGAAGCTAGCGCCACACTTACCTCGATTGGGCGATCTGGTGATATGGGAATTCTGATAAAATGTAAGCGTTGTTGTAGAAATAAGAGAGCATGATCCTGACCGATGGTACTGCGAAAAAAAGGTCCCTCCGTAAGATTGAAGGCAAAGGAAAATGCTAGCGCCACACTAACCTCGACGCGCCACCCTTCGTTCCTCATATGTTCCCACAGCTCTCGCGACGTTTTGACATTATTCGCGTCCACAGCAGTCCAGGTAGGCAGTATAGCACCATCACCATCTTCCACGGCTGTGCTGTGACAGTCAGTGCATACTCATCTAGTGCAGAGGGTATGAACAGACCAACCGATTTCGTTGTGTGTGAGCAGGAGGCCTCCATATCTTTATGTAAGGTGAGCTCACGAATGACCTCCAGTAAATAAAAGTCATACCTTGCGGCTTCGGCGAGGATATCATTCTTTAGTCTGATTTCGATTCCCTCCAGGTTTTCGGCACGATCGGACAGATGCAATGTTTTGCGCGGCTCGGATGCGTCTCGGAGTACGAAGGGGCGGCCAGAGATGTAGACTGAGATGATGACGGGCTCCACCTCAGTACTGTGAGTGTACTTTGCTATGAAATAAGAACGCACCAATAGGCTCCTCACGTGTAGAAAACCACACGACATTGGACGGGTTGGGTATATTTGGTCGTGCGCGCAAGACAGATAGAATAGCCCTCAGACCTTGCGAGCGTGGCTGAGCTGCACCATAGACATTCAAATTGCCCTGACGAGGAGCTCTGAAATTTGGTGCCCCGTGAACGTTCAGATCAAGATCAAGGGCCCGACCTTCCAAATCGCAAATACCAGTTTACGCGTTAATTACACATGTCCTTCCCCGATATGATGTGGTGATTCCCGCGAGTGTTCGCTGGTGAAAGTGTGAGGACGAAGAACGCACCAGATGGATAGTGATCCGTCTTGAGAATAAATCCTCTTGAAAGAACGCTCCCGGTGCGTGTCTTGACGATGGAGGGTTCGGCACGTCCGAGCTGAGGCATTTGATCCAACGGCGCTATTGGACTTGAGCGGTCTCTGTCACCAAAGATAAGTGCCTCGCTGATTTGTCTTGGTTTCTGAGAGCTTCGGATGCTCGATGCGGTCGGTACACTTCCAGATGAATCCGAAGGAAAAGATGATCCCAGCACTGGAGGTACGGAGACTGAACGACCCGTTTGAAGGGTGCCGTCGTCTAGTCTACCCAAGGGGGAAGGTCTTTCGGGTTGTGTCACCATTGGTGCTTGACGTTCTGCGATGGTGGACGGAAACAAGAAAATGCAAGACCGAACTGGGCGAAACGTCGAGCGTCGTGGCGTGCCACACTTGTCAAGGGCATCTCGCCACGGGGAACATATTTTAAGCTCCCGGTCAATTCTTTGGACTCCGATCGGTCAATCTCTTGGCGTTCCAACTTGCCTTTCCTGGACCCATTCCTTCATACGGTACCTTCGCAACCATCCACGACTTGGAACAGTGTCTTGACAGTGTCCTCGACGACAGCGTACTGAGACTTGTTCTGGCCGCTTGTTAGAAAGTAGAACCTATCATACCACGAGCCAGAGCTTACGCCCACTTCGACCTGGATGGCACTCTGTTTCGCGTACTACTGTTCCGGTCATGGTATGCTTCATTCACCTGTATTCCGCTTCAGTAGCTATAGTATCATATATTTTTCAGGCTACGGACACGCCACTCGCGTCTCTGCATTTACGTCCAGCATTCTTCATCTCTCGAATTCGATCTCGGTCCACATAGTATCCTCAGCTCCAGCCCATGTCTTCAGCGATAGCATCAAAGCGGGAGCGCATTACAGGTCCCATTCCCGCCACTTTCCAGCTGCACGGCCTAATCATTTCAGTGCTTACTTTATCTCATCGTCGTAGGTATGCTGAGATCGATCCGGTGGTCGTTCAGCCCGTAGCGTGAGTGATTTCCTTCGTTAGCCCTATTTTCCCATATGTTTATTTAGAGGGTCAGATACCGAGTAGACCGCCGGAAGAGCGTGGAAGTCCTTCGATCGTTTCTGGGCAAAAAGGATCAGAAAGTGGCCGAAGAAGTGGAATGGCTTCGTGATATTCAGGCAGACGCTGTCCTGTCCGATGCGGCATTTCTGGCTTTGTAAGTATAGTGGTGTCAATTACTCCTCGAAGTACTCATTCACCCTTAAGAAACTCAGTCTAGCCGCCAATAAGGCCCGTCTCCCTTCGATTCTCGTCACAAACTTCACATTCGACTCTGTCTATAGCTACCTCTCCGCTGTGTTCGTCTGTCAATCACCTGCCGCTGCCATGCACGCCGATCCCAAGGCTTCGACGTCTCCAGCCTTACCAGATGATACACCTATCTCAGACGAGGAGCTCTGGCCTCTTGTATCCCAGCTTGAAGAAGGCTATCTCAAAGCCGATCTGCTCCTACGTCTCCCAGGTGCTATTCCTATCCCCGGATTTGCTCGTCGTGCTGCTCTTCCTGCCCCAGACTGGGTCGATCCGGCCTCCATGACATTCAGCATATCAATCAAGGAACATCTCTTCCAGGATCCATCTTCATGGGAACTCCATCCTTCCACTCCTTTTGCGCCTTCATCACAGCCTTCTCAACATATACCCAAGTCAATTCCTCGCATCGCCAAGGCTGCTCCGCTCCTAGTTCGTCAAACTACTTCGGACGTATATACCCCATCCGGTCGTGCTCGTATTCTTTCCTCTATTGGCGTCCCACCGCACCTTCATGATGCCTCCAGGACAAAGATACTCGTCGTGTCCTTCGGCGGGCAGGTCATTCATAAACCTCAACGGAGTCGCACTGGTTCTCGTCAACCGTCTACCAGCGGGACGCCCATGCTCCATGACCATAATCACTCCAGCACCTCTAGCGCATCACACAAGGGCCTTGCTCTTTCTCTACCTGGCTCTGGACCTGATCCCTCAGACCTCTTTCACGAGCTCTCTCAGTCTCTTCACGGCTTGGCGGCCCCCTCTGCTGGTCAATCAAATGGACACGCAAAGACCATCTTCGACAACGGCGTCGGCATAGTCAAAAGCCTGCCAAGTGCACCGGAGCGTCCGAAACCTCTAAGAATCACATCCGCCACACAGATATTCATCCCCGGCGCGCCCGCTCCCGCATCTATTACGAGTCCCAATGCCAACTCCGGAACGCCTTCTTTCCCCACAATCACTGCTTTCCCACCCACTCCCGAAGGCATTTACCAGAGGTCCAGCTCAAACGACTATCTTTCTCTTTCCCTGCCGCCGCAAGGCCCCGCCACTCCACCTTCCCAAGATCTCGTGGCTTCTGGCGAGTTCGACCAAATGGACATACAAGACTCGCTGCTCTTGCCGGATGACTCCTGGATCGCGATCGTCTGTGGCGTCTCTGACACGAAAGGCTGGGGTTCGAGAAGCGTGACGCCGGTCAACATGAGTCGTTCGTCGAGTTCTGAAGGGACGAAACCGAGCGGGAACAGAAACGGAAGTGCAGCTGCTGGAGTGGCGAGTGAGTATTTGATGCCGCCACAGCCGGCGGTGGGTGACGACGAAGAGGACGGGTTACCGGCGGGGTTTTATATCGCGCCGAAGAACATATATATGCCAGATCTGATGGCTGTAGGGGATGTGCTCTTGGGAAAACTGGTAGGTCTATTCGTGATCGGACGGTTGGCGTTTCACTGATGATCTTGCAGGGATACGGTGCTGTCTCAGAATGCACCGAGTCTTGCACTCCGTTCATTTACGGTATGTCGCCGGTCGATACTCGATCTTCGTAAACTGTACCAATCTCACTCCACTGACGTTTATTTTCTCTTCTCGTTTGTGATTCCAGTCTCCCGTCCTCTCTTCATCGAAGAACACGGCCTCCGTCTGCTCCTCGACCACGAAGGCGTTGGAATCGAGATGAAGCGTGAAGAGTACGAAGCAGGAGACTGGGCGGGTAAAGTTTCCGAAGCTTGGGACAGGGGTGGACAGAGGAAGATTGAGAGGAGGATGGGAAAACACGCTGTCGATAGAGTTGGACAGACGAGGGAGATGGCGGAATATGTGGTGGAATGGACTAGGAAATGGGGTGTGACGGACGAGGCGTAGAAGAGTGGCGATGTTTTGCAGTACTCTTGGGACTTTATGGATTGGTTCAGGACTTTGGTGTGTTCGTATGGATGGACATGTAGAGACACAATGCGTGTTCGCAATTTATACTCAGATGTGCGACAGCGTACTTTGAATAAATAAAGGTTTTATTCAACAAGCAAGAGACGGCCTTCGGTATGTAACTTCAACAGCGTCCCGCAATGACGCAAAACAAAGTACAATGTCGATACACTTCACAACTCTGGCCAACGAAGGGCATACATAGTAGTACAACTAGAGCAAGACTTCTCGATAAGGGGAGGATGACAGCAATAACACAGCGATATATCAAGAGCATAACGATAACAAAAGAGAGCTGAGGGCGCGGGAGCTCATCGAGGCGAAAGTAAAACAAACGACAAACATATATCAATGCAAGCAAAGGCGTTCTCGAACATTCAGCAATCGATCTAAGCATGCACAAAGGTGCTGCTGACCCGTGCGCACCCCGCCGGGAGATGCACACGGAAGTCGATGGTACCATCCGCGTCCTGCGAGAACTCTGATATCAGGTGGGTGCCGTAGTACATAGCTCCAGGAATAGAGGGCGGGATGCGAACATGAATGGAGAGTGTGTCGTCCTCTCGCGCCTCGATGTCCAACAGGTACTGCTCGGCGTACGAAGGAGAGTAGTTACTCCTAAGGTCCTCGTGAGAAGGAGCCATTTGAGCGGGACTGACGAGATTGTCCATGGGAGAAAAGGAAGTGGAGAATTGCGAGTCGCGTGGATACTGGGTGTCCCACTGAGCGAGGGGACCAAAGTCTGTTATGGGTTGGTGCTGAGAACCATACGAAGGATAGTTCGTTGCGTCGTTCCACTCTACGGAGGAGATAGAGGGGTTCTGGATTCCATAAGGCTGCGAGGCTTCGAAGGAGTATGTGCTAGGGAGTTCAAAGGGGAGCTCAACCTCCGTGGTTGGCTCTTGAGGCTGATGGTGACTTGTGAACACCAAAAACCAATGTCACGAAGAAAAAGTGCACGCACTGCGGAATTGTCCCAGAGCATGACTTGTCTGTCTACGAACTCCGGATATTGGCTATCACTTGCTGCCAAATTAGAGTCGGGTTCCTCATGAAGGTCGCGAGCGGTAGTAGCAGAGCCACCAAGCTATTCACCAAATGATCAGGTAATGAAGGAAAGACGGTGATGTTGTGACATACAATATCAAGACGCGTCGTTGCGTCGTTGTACAGTGCATTGTAGTCGACAAATGCTCCAAATCGATCCTGATTTTGATTGCGATTGTCATGATGCAGGCTGAAAAAGAAGGAAATGAGCCATGAGCAGTAAAGACATTGTGGTGGCACCAACCCATTCGGATTCACGGAAGTTGAATATTGTTCGGAGTATCGTGAACTGTCAGAATTATATGATTGGGCCATCATGATACGACCACAGTGCAAGTGTTAACAGGACTGAGGTAGAAACCGGGGTCGTGGAGTGATGCACTTGGTGTATATGTCGTTGTGGGAGACCTCGGTGACAGTAGTAGAGTCTGACGATGAAGTCAAAAGCGGGAGTCGGAAGGACCCCTGCGTATGCTAACGGAGGTCCCATCCTGATGCGACGAATTTTGAGCGAAACATCGCGTTTCGTCCGATCCGTAGTGCGACGAAAACGGCTTTTCGATGCTGATGTTCCATCCCGCTATGCGACGAAAATGTCTCTCGGGGACGCAAAAAATGGGGTAAAAACTTGGCAAACACGGCCAAAAACATGATTTGGGGAAATTTTTTGACGACCAGGGTTTGGGAAGGCCTTATGCGGAGCGATGTTCCATCCGACGTGCGACGGAAATGGCCAAAAATCCGATGTCCCATCCCTGATGCGACGAAAACACCCCCAAAAGCGTGCGACGAAAACGACCGATTTTGGGG